GCACGTGCTGTTTGTCGCGTTTGTATCCGGCACGTGGCGGCGCCCAATCGGACTGCGCGCATGTGACGACGGCCGTTGAGTCAGATTAACGAGCCTTGTCATGCGTTGTCACTAGCTAGCTAGCTAGCTCGCTGGTGGGCGACACGACGGCACCGCTGCTGCCACCGGCTCGCGTCGTGAGGGCCCGAGACTAACTAACTAACCAGCTAGCTAGCTAGGCCAGCCAGTCGGCCAGCAAGCCGTCCGTCCCTGCCAACACCGCTGACTACCACCCAACGGGCCTCCGTCTTGTTTTTGTCCTTTTAATCTTTCTCCCACAGCCCGTTGCGCGGTCCAGCCGAACCTTGGAGCCCTGACTTGCACACCAATCGGAAACAGCCTGCCACGAACCAAGCGGAGCCGGGTCCCATCGTCGCTTGTGCTTTTTCCTCACCCCAACGCCCGCTGGCGCTTATCCTCATGATCTGCAGCCAGGAGGGAGCACAACCCTGACCTAATCCTTTGGGAGGGGGGGGGAGAAAGGATAAAAAAGACCAACAGTAAAAAAAAGAAAGCATGAAAAGATCTAGAGCAAGAGGATGAATAATATGGAGAGAGCCAGCCGGAAAAAAGAAATCGAGAGTGGGAAGGGCCTAGGAGCGCGGGGGGATGCGTTATCACCCGTGCATGGCCACTAACCTGCCACGATGGAAGTGATGGAAGTGATGGAAGTGATGGAAGTGCTGGCGGCAGACATGTGTGTCATCGGGCACTCCGCCAGCTACAAAAGTCTGGTAACTGGTAACTAGCTACTAGCTATGTGCTACCGACAGCTGTGGCCCTGATCCCCGCTGCCGCTGCCAGGGAAAAAGGGGCAGACCCGGCCGGCGAGCGCGTGCACGAAACGTGTCCACCCGGGATGTCCATCGGGCGCTGCAATCTGAGTCCCCAAAACAAAAAACAGCTGCAAGAAGCAGATCAAGAAAAAAAAAAAAAAAACAAGCAGAGAAAAAAGAAAACGCAGCCTTGGAAAAGAGGACCTTCATCATAATCCTCATTCATCATTTCATTATCATAAAATAATAAATTAATAAGACTAAAGAAAACGAACGGGTCCTTTTTTTTTTTTTTTTGAAGATTAACTATAGCGGAATAAAAAGTCAGCCAGGAAAAACCGGCTTTTTTGCCGGTTCCTTGGAATGGATCTCTATCTCTTGCAAACAAATACAAACACGCACACACACACACACGCGCGCGACTCCCGCGCGTTCCTGACAGCAGGATATTTGGAATAATAGTCAGCAATAGCGCTCCTCACATATACCCGGTTCCTCTCTCTGACATAGGCTGAGAAGAATGCGCAAGCAAAAAAAGCAGGGCAGGACCGGCGCCTCTTCCGAGTTTTCCGCCCCTTTCTTCGCCTTCGGTAGCATCGTCACCATCGTCACCATCATCACCATCATCATTACGTTCATCCCCGCTCTGTCTCTTTTTTGCTCGTCGTCATCAGCTAGCTCGCTAGTTAACTGTGGCTGTTCGTGTGGTCACTACTGAGCTAGGGGGGCGGACCCCCCCTTGTCCTTCTTCCATCCCGGACCCCTGGCCTGATCCTGTGCGAGGACCGCGATCGCAGGCCCACGAACCGAGCACCCGTTCAGCCCTTCCTTGCCCCAGAAAACCCCACAACACGCCAATCTTGCCTTGCTGACCGCCAGTAGAAAGAACAAAAAAAAAGGCTTGGGGCGAGGGCTTGGGTAGGAGCTGTTTCTGTCGTGCTTCTGTTCTGCTCATCTCCTCCACACAGCCTCTCTATGTCTCGCTCTCTGTTAGTCAGAGAGGAAGGGAAGGGGGGATTTTTTCCCTCTTTCATGAATCGACTGCTCTTCCTCTTTTTTTCTTTTCTTTTTCTGGCTGTTTTATCTGTTTAGGCTCCGCTCGTTACACGCGACGCCGGAGCGAGACAGCGCCGCGACGACCAGCACAAGACAAGCAACGTGATATGCGTCCTTCCGTCGCTACCGTTACTTGCGCGGTGGCCCATATATACTTTCTCCGGTTTTCTTTTTTGCTTCACTCTGATTCATGCGCTGGAGTACTATTTTGGTTTTTTTTTTCTCGCTTCGTCGTCAACACCGTGATATGTATATGTTGCACCTCGGGCTCTAGGCGCCGCTGCTCTCGGCATGTGAGCTTCCTGATGCTTTCCTCCATTGTTCCATCCTGCGCATCATCATCGTCGTCGTCCGCCAAACCCCGATGAACGGTGATTCGATGCGCGGTGCCGTCCGCTTCTCTCTCTATCTGTTTCTGGGCCTCTCGTCCCGCTCTCGAGAGTTTCTCGCTGTTTCACTCGCACTGGTCTTACTGGCGGAACTCAGTGTGCGCAGGAAATGAGCTCTTTCGTTTCTGGTGCCACTTTTTCTCTCTCTCTCTCTCTCTCGTTATTAGTCATGCTCCCTCTTCGCCGTGTGTTCCGGCCTCTCATTCGGAAGTCCTATACTCCGGTTTCAACGCCCCCCCCACTCTCTCTTTCCCCCCCCTTTCTTTTACTTTTAGCTTCCTCCCCGTCCCTGCCATGACGTTGCTTGTGTGTTCGGCGCTGGCACGGGCACATGATACCTCAGATCTAGACCCAGAGGCCGTCTATCTCCAGCGCCCTTTTTTCGTTTGTCTCGCCTCGCCGGCGGCGGCCATGTACGCACGCACGCACCGTCCACCCGCCCACTCTCCGATGGGGATCATCCTGCGTCCAAAGCTCCCAAAAAAACCCACAAGGTAAGCTAGTTGTCCAAGTCAAGAAAAAAAAAAGGTAAGGCACACGCGCCTTGGTGGCTGCTGCACTGTCGACCCTTTTTTTTTTTTTCCCAACAAGTCTGGGCATGGACTTTTGTTGAGATTTCTGCTCTCTTCCCCTCTCTCTCCGGCCCCTCTTCTTACTCCCCCTATTTTTTTTTTTTGGCTTGACTTGTGATTCCTGCCTCCGTACGGAGTACTCCTCCCCCCTTCCCCCCAGTCAACCCCTTAGCATAAACGCCGTTGAAACCATGTTCCACATGAGTTACGACGCGACGTTCCAGATTTTTGCCGCCCTAGGCAGTTTAACTAAGCTAGCCTTGATGCCTAACTAACTAAACCAACGACCATCAACAAAAAGTAATAATACGAACATATCAGCAGGAAAACACACACACACACGGCCGAAAGGAGAGTTGTAAAAAAAGGGCCGAAACACGAGAAAAAGGAAAAGAAGAAAAAAAAAAGGATACCATACCCACTTCCGTTTGACGCCGAAGGACGCAAATCTTACAAACACGCAACACACACACACACACACACTCACACAATGCACTCACATGCAGCTGTGCGATATTTTGCATTTCCTTCTTCTTTTTTTTTTTGCGTTTCTGCTTGTGGTCCGCGTGCGCCTTGCATCGTGTTACACGGGGGGGGGGAGTTTGACGTAACGTCCACAGGCCGGATGACAATGAATTTTGGGGGGAAATTTTTTTATTTTTATTAGTTTTGTCCTTCTTGTCTCTCCCCCTTGCTTGTGATGGTGACCTCTTTTTTTTTTTTTTTTTTTTCTTTCCGCCGTGCATGAATCGCGAGTGCCGATATAACAATATCAGTGGAACCAAAAAAAAAAACTATATGTGTGCGCAATATCGGGCGATTGGTTTCTAATTGGTGCCTCGAGCAAATCAAACGCTCGATGCCTGGGGAGACTTACGCGTATGTCGTGCTTCTGACACCTTAAGGGAAATGACATGATCTGATATCGTGGGGGCCGGGCGTCCTTCCCTTTTTTTTTTAGATTTGAAGCATAAGATAGGCAGATGAAGGAATACCGATCTACCGTGCTGTAATGGGGGGTGGGGGAGCCGTGTGCTAAAAACAGGTGTCATCGTTGGTGTCACTGTTGTTGATGTTGATGATGATAATGATGGAATGCGAGCTGGTCTTGTGGAATGTCACACACATACATCTTTTTTTCCCATCGGTATTATTAAAAAGGATCAATCTGAGCTGATGCCAGCCTTATCCCAGCCCCCTTCCACCCCCTTTTCGCCCAGAGGTGCTCGTTGACAGTTGGGCAGGAATACATCGAGCCTGTTCTGCATGGCGTGATGGCGTGGGTGATTGGCCGTTGACTGAGGCGGGTTACTATCTGTTAGGTAGGTTATTACCGGAAATGGAAAAACGTCGTGCAGGGCTTTTTTTATTTTTTCTGCGACGTAGAGATTATTGGAATTTTATTTTGAGATATGGATGTGGGGGAGCGGTATGGCCGGGTTTGTTGGAGGCGTTGATAGTAGGGTAGGTGGGTAGTTATATGTGGTACAGGGAAGTTTAAGCCGGTTGTAGAGAGAGGGTGGTTGCAGGTGGGCATCCCGTTTGTCTGCTTATCTGTTTGTCTGCTTTTGAGGAGAGAGGAGTATGGGGGCGGTGGTAGTATGTAGTACTGTCCGGAAATCTCCTCCTTGATGGCTGCCGGAGGGAAATTGATAGTGTGGGCATATATTCCCTAGCAATATGTATTCCAGGCACTTAAGGGCTTTGATATCAATCAGATCAAGTAGGATTTCTCTAGTATAATATGCTATTAGAAGATGAAAAAAAAAAAGAGCAAACTATCAGAAACGACTGTAGTGCAGAAATACCCAAGTGTCCATCCAAGGGCCAACGGGGAAGATTATGCCAGGAAATAACAATGAAGAAATGACAGCTAGACATGTATATATATAGCATTTCGCAGTCTTACAGAACGAGATGGCAAGGCAAGAAATCAGTATATCGTCATCCCAGACATCAAAATCATCCAAACCAACAGAAAAGGAAAAAGGAAGAACCCCGAGCAAGAATATATATATATGTACAATCCCATCCAAAGAAAAAGATGTATCACGAATAGCCCAAGGAAAGGATATCAAAAAAAAACAAGAATAGAAACCGAAATATCCTCTCCCCACTATCGAACAGGAAACTAGAAAAGAAAAAAGAAGAAAAAAAGTAGAAGAAAATCATCTTCTGGAGTCTGAATCGGGAGCGTTATTCTCTACAGACCGCTCATCATCCTTCCCATCATCACTTCCCTCATCGTCCTCATCATCACTGTCCGTGCTATGCCGGCTGCGGCCATAATGGCGGTCGCCGCCGTTCTTGCGCTTGTTCTCCTTCCGACGATCGCGGTAGTTCCGCGCTGTTCCCAAAATATTGTCAGCTCTCCTAACTTAGAAATATAGAAAATATATGAATGCATCACTCACCTCGAATCTCCGCGGTGCGGATGGCGTACGCCTGGATCTCCTCGCGCGAGAGCACGCGCAGCACGATGACGTAGTCGGAGCGCTCCTCGAAGCGCTCGAAGCCCTCCAACGCGGCCGGGTTGACGAGGCGGCGGTCGATCTTGGTCCAGCGCGCGCCGGGCGGGACGCCCTGCTTCGGCGCGTCCTTGAGCGGCGCCACGCCCTCGCGCACCGCGCTGGGGTCCTCGGGGAATTTCTGCGTCGGCTGCTTCAGGATGCCCTTGGGGGTGGGCTCGTTGTTGTTGCTGCTGTTGTCCTTTTTTGCTGGCGTTTCGGGTGATTCTTTGCGGGCCGGGCTGGGGGATACGCGGCTGCGGTTGCTGCCGCCGTTGCTGAGCTTGGGGCCGCCCGAGTCGTCTTTCTCTCGATCATGGTGTCGACTGCCACCTTTGGATTCGGAGGTTCGGTCGTTTCGACGACGTGAGCTCCGGCCGTACAGATGCTTCATGCTGTCATCTGCAGAGGAGACATCGGTATCACTCCCGGTCTCGTCCCGGGACGGCCGTTGCAAGTCACGGTCCTTTCGGCTTCTTCTGCGCGGACTGCGATTGCGGTCGGAATACCCGTCGCGGATATCCTTGGAGTAGCCGCTGGCAAGCCCCGCCGACGCAAGGAGCCCGCCGGTCATGGCGTACGTGGAGTCGGAGTCGCTTCTGCCCGTTTTTCGGTCGTTCTTGACGCTGGGGCTGGGCTGGCGGACGATGGTCATGTACGGCTGGTCGTCCACCACCACCACGCCATCGTCGTCTCGACGGATGCGGTATCCGCGCGAATCCGTGGAGGTCTCGCTGTCATTGTACGACGGCTTGGCCTTGGCCTGGTGAACCGAGACGGGCGCTCGTTGCGATGGATGACGTCGAGGGACGTCCGCGGCACGGGGCGCCTCCGAGCCAGCACTACGGCCGTGGTCTCTGCGGTCGTCATCCTTGCGGGCATTCTCAGCACCCTTGGAGGACGACATGGGGCCGTGGTACCGCGAATCACTCCAGGACTGCGGCAGGGATCCATCCAGGGCGTTGAGGCTGACGGGACGCGGCGCGCTAGAAGGGTTTGTGCGGCGAGGAGCGGGCTTCGCGGAGTCCACCCAGTCGTGGATGAACTCCTCGTTCAGGTTGGTATAGGAATAGGCGTTGTTGAGATCGATCTTGGTGGGCTTGCGGTCGGTTTTGTACACGGGATACAGCTTGCGGGTGCCTCGACTCCCATTGGCGGCAATATACGCGGCGGGGTCCTTTTTGGCGCGGGGCACGAAGGTATTGGTGACGGTGCTGATGGTGCGGCGGCGCGCGGAGGTAGATTGCGGCGGCAGGTGGCGGTCGGCGTCCTCGCTGGGGTAGTAGGCGGCCGGATGGTGGACTGGCGAGCGCAGGCGGTCGTAGTCGGCCATCAGCGGGCGGGTGGTGGGCGTGGCGGGCAAGATCATGCTGGTGGGACGGGCGCCAGTCGCGATGGTGGTGTTGCTGCGCGGGCGCAAGGCCGGGCCGTCGGGGCGGGTTACGGGCGGCGGCGGCGGCGGTGGTGGGCTGTGCAGATACGACGACTTGGGCTCCATGAGCAGCGGCTCGCCGGGCGGGCGACGGGGCTCGAAGGGAGCGCGGGCGGCGGTGGAAAAGGTGCCGTCCGGGTTGGCGCGCGGGCGCATTTCGTGGACGTTGGCCTCGACCAGGTAGGCGACGTTGCCGGTCGACAGCACAGGGTCAATGATGGTGCGGGTTTCCGCGGGGTATCGCGAGACGCTCATGATGGCGAGAAGGGAGTCTGAGGGGTTTTATATATACACGACGCGAGGGCGGCAGAGGGATGGTTATCGAGGTCTCGCTCTCTGGCAGCTGACGGCCGGAGGGGCAGCGGCGAGCCCAACGGTACGACGGGGGGCGCACAAGGGCTCAGGCGCCTTGACGGCTCGCTCGCCGGGCTGGTAGGCGATTCGTGGGCGGTGGAATTCTCCGGTTGGTGGTTGGGCGGCAGCCAGGCACGGTAGCACGGGCGGGCGTGGAGGTAGGAGGGGGGAGGGGTAGAGCGGAGAGAGAGTAGAGAGGATAATAAAGAAGCGGGAGAGAGAGAGAGTGTGTGAAGAGAGAGAGTGAAGAGAGAGAATGAAGAGAGAGAATGAAAAGAGAGAGAGAGAGAGAGAGAGAGAGAGAGAGAGAGAGAGAGAGAGAGATGAGGTGAAGTCAAGTCGAAGCGGCAGAAGGAAGACAGGCGGTGGGGACGCGGCTGAACTCAATCGGGGCGACAGCCAGTGGTTATAACTAACTAACCAGGCATTGGGCACGCCGTTGGGCTGCGCTGATTAGCGGGCGAGACGCTGTCTTAACTACATAGTTACTACTACTACTAGGTACCTCCCGACCAGCGCCCCGCTGGCCGTCCCAAACTCGCGCCTCGCCTGTAACTAAGTAACAGACAGACACCGCCGTCTATCCTCACGAGCAGCCTCGCCGCGCCTCACCCAGTCGGCCCCGAAGACCCGCGCCCCGGCTCGCTCGGCCGCTTTGCCCCCGTTGCTCCGCCCATGATGCCATCCGCGAGCCTCACGCGCGCGCCCGTACGCCCGGAGTACATCCTGCGAAGTGAAGCGCCCCGACGAGACCATGCTTCTCGCCCCGTCCGCCTCCCGCAGCCTGGTCGTGGGCGTGCGATGTCCCTCCAGGTATACATACATGTCCCTGAGGAGCGAACATGCACGCCCTTCTGCCCGGATGCAAGCCCAAAAACGAGGCCACGGGCTGCCAGCTCCAGCTTGTTTCGTTATGTACTCCGTATGCACATCAAAATAATCCTGTTTGTACACCACGCCCGCCGCGTCGCCAGGCGGTGGTTGTGAGGCTTTGGTTTTGCTGCACAAAAAAGAAGCTTTTGCGCCGTCCAATCGGCCAGTGGAAAGCAGAAACCCAAACCTCGCCTTGCAGAACCGCCAGCTGGTGTGGATGCGTATTCTTTCTTTCTTTCTTTCTTTTTTTTTTGGCGTCTGGCGCTTTGGCAGCCTTTGGGTATCAATGTGGCTCTGCGGTTCCTGGACTAACTAGTTAGCTGCGATGCGGAGACGCCATCTCGGCCGCCAGGGTTTCCGCCCAAGGAAAGGAACTCCCCCCGCCGCGCTCGCGCTCTCTCGACAAATAATAACAGAGAAGAACGGGCGATCCGCGGGTGCGGGACGGCTCTCGGGCAAGAAGTGCGAACCTGCTCAAAACCAGGTCCCGTTGGGCAGCAGCTGTCAAATATTATGCCTGTTTCATAAACCATCCAGGCTGGATCCTTGGAAAAGTGGCGTGGTGTCCGGCTCTTCTTATTATTATTAACATTCTTCCTCTTGAGCTCCCGCAGCGAGCAAACTCCGAGCAGACCTGTCTCTCGGTTCCCCAGGGGCTTTTAAAATTAGGAATACCTCACACTCCTGCGTCTTCAGGCCGCCCCCTGTTGTTGCCCAACCGCCACCAAGTGCCGGCCTTGGCTCGCGACCCAAGGGAATCGGGCATCCATCGTGGAACACGGCTGGAATGAGTTTAAAAACTCCGAACTATCTCCCTACAACAATACAAAAACAGGATAAACGAAGGACCGCGAGACAATGTTTTACCCCAGCGGCCAAATAATCTATTACCTGCCTTTACTCCCTACACAGGCGCATGCAACTACGCATGTCCAGCCAAGAGCGCGCGAAGTGTCCTCAAAATCACTTCAATACAGCGATCAGCGGCCCTACGCCATGCTTTTTCATCAAAAATCTTGAAATTATTGCGCTGGATATCTCGGTACATAAGCAAATTCAATGGGCTGATTGAGATTCAATCAGGCGCGACACATCACTTTTGGGATCAGCACGCATATATGCGTTGTTGCTCCCTAACAGGCCAGAACTGAGATCATTATACAAAGGGCCAATGGCGAAGTGCATCAACCAAGCATTTGGATCTCTTGGTCTGCCTCCATGGGCAGAACAGATATGTTGGATTCCAATATATCTTTACGCACATATGGGTTATCAGCGCAAAGATCTCAAGGTATGCAGTGAATTTAGCAGCAAACACAACTAATCGTCGCTATATCATCTGCCCATAAGGCCGCCATGAACCACCTAGAGTAGCCTTTCAAAGAGACTTGGGTGGGGTGAATTCAAGTAAGTTCATTGGAAGTCTGGCACCTACTAAACACTAATCAGCCAATGCTATTGTCTGTTGGCTATCAGGATACACTCTGCATAGGTTAATAAATGGTGTCTGTGGTAGGACTTGGGGGATCTCACCTTAATACAAGCGTGAGCACATCTGTCCATAAAAAAATATTGGCAACGTGTAAATAGCTGACGGCAAAGTAAGTTGAGTCATGGGAAAGCCATTCTTTAATAGCTGTGCATTACTGGGGAAATAGTGGCACTCCATACATATCAAGCTTCATTTTGCTACGTAACCTGTCTTGACTCTGGCGGTAAAAGAAGGGACTGCAAAAGAGGGTAGTCAGGAATGCATAGCGAATGTGCGTGCTAAATAATGGCAGACATAAAACACCAGAGTCCGCCAGGTCAATCCAGCGATTGAATTGTGTTGGGTGTTGCGCAACAATGCTTGCCACTGACTCTCCAACGCGGGAAAACGACCGTTTGACGTGGTGGAAACTCAGCCAAAACGCCAAGTCACGTGTCACCGCCATCGGCTTCGACAAACAAACTCGCACTCAACTTCATCCTCACCATCAACCGTCAACCATCCACCAAAGCCTCCAAAATGCTCGATGCTAATGGGAGACAGGTGAACCCTTATCTCAAAGTGACTCATCAGGACACGAACCTGCCGCATACCACCTGTCGAGGGCACGTTCCAAGCGTTCCTCGGATCTTACTCTCGGCGGCTGCTCATCAGGCTGCGCCATCATGATTTCGAAGCAAATGCGATAATTAATTACCTAACTAGTTAACTAATTAGCGGGCCGGGCTGTGGCCCTCTTATCTAACGAGTGCAAATGATAGCCCCCACCCCGGATTATGAAGTACACCCTGCGTGTTATCCTCCGGCTCTCCTTTACTCGTTCATTTTGTTCTTGCCCTCGGCGCCTTTAGAAATGCCTCGCTGGCTTTGAAGCCTCTCGTGGGGAGGTTTTTTTATTACAATTTGCCTTGGAACCCAGCGCCCAGCATGCTGCCTGCATCTCTGGTTCACTGATCGATCTCGCATCGACCTCTCATGCAGGGTGCGAGGTTGATCTGCAGCCCCGTCGGTCGCCGTCCCTGTGACCCCCTTTTCTCAGGAACGATGACGCCCTGGGCCAGCCGACCTCAACACAATATACCGCAATCGCGTCTCCCCTCATGCTTTGCCTTTGCTAAACACTGGTTGGGAACTTCGCGTCGGCGCCTCGGCTTTGCTTGATATCCCAGCGGCGCTGCTGCTCAGCCCGTCGACTGGATCGTGTTTCCCTACCGCGGCGGGCGCTTACGTATGTTGGTTATCTATGTACCTCCTATCCTACTTTCCATCTATACGGCTTTTGAGCAGCTTCATTTTCTGCGCGGTCAGAATGGTCATGGATTTGATGACGCCCCCCCTTTTCTTTTCTTTCTTTGCCCTACGGTTTTCAGTTTATCTGGAAAAACGGGGGCGCCTCCTTTGCCTCTGGGTACTCCGTCTGTCGTTTACCTCGCAATCGCCCTCAACAGCAAGCCCTACTCTGCCTCCTGAAGCCCTGGGGGCTGGCTGCCTGGCTTTGCTATCCCAGGCTCGAGCTTATAAGAGGCCGTCTTCCCCATGAGTATCTCTGTTAATCACACAGCATCGAATCAGTTATCAACGACCTACCAGTATTTTTCCTGTTGTTGATTTATTTCAATCTTTATTGCAGAATTCAAGACTTAAACACACAGCAAGATAATTTATCAGATATCATCTTTGATTCCATCTCCCCCTAAGAGTTCTTTTGTATTTACAGAACTCCCCCATATAGCATTGTATTCTCAACAAATCAACAACCAGACAAGTCAAAATGACCAACTACTTGTCCAATCCGAGTAGCAATAAAACAATGGCACACAACGCCCCAACATGCGCCCATACCAACCACCCGAACATACCCTCACAACCCCCAGCCTTGCTCAGAGCCACGCACAGCAGAAAAATCACCAACTCCGAACTTTGGGCTTCTCTCCCCGCGCGCACCAATCACCCTCGCTCGCAAGATGCAAGCTACATGGTCCTCCTGGCCCACCACGTCCCCCATTCGCCGCCGACGCCGCAGCAATTTGCGCGACCGTCCATGCGAGGCTGGTGGATATGCCACACCGAGGGCCATATCAACAACCCCGATCTCGCCCCAGAGTGCTGTTCGCAATGCGATCACTTCAAGTGTCCTCTGTGCGAAGTTCTTTCGTGACAAACTTCACTGTCGTCTTACCGACAACGTTTGCGTTAATTATTTTTTTTTTTTTTTTTTTGACTGGTTGATTTTCTACATTGTTGTGCTTGATTGGCAAGCACAACGACCTAACTCTACCTGCTTACACACCCTTTCTTCGAAAGCTCCTTGGTCCAACCACCAGCCTTGTGGAACAAGGGGCCGGTCTCATATATATTCTTTTTCCTCATCACGTGTGTTTTAAGCCCCATGGGGGGAGGCTTCGGACGGAAACCCCGGCGTTCGGAAATAACCTTCCGCCTCAGTGTTGGAAACTGGACTCTTTTTTTTCTCTTTCTTCTTTAATCTTGTGGGGTTGTGCAATGCCGGCCGTTCTTTACTAGGATATTTTTTAATGTGGCTGCTTCTGGCTATTTATATTGGCTCTAATGTACGAATATATTGTGTGCTGGAATTTCGGGGTCCATGTATTATTTAATAGAGTGATGCTGCTTATCTTCTGACATAGTTATGTACTATTAACATTATTGACTTACTTGAGCGGTTGCGCTCCGATAAATAAAGTTAGATAGTATGAAGGACCATAATCAGAAGAACAAAAGTTTATGAAACTGTCTCAGTCATTCAAAGCTCTCTTCTATCGATTAACTATATATTTTCATGGCCTAGGAAAGTGGATTTCCAAAACGCCGGGCGATTCGATCCTCTTCGCCAATGCTAAAGCTTCCCGAAAGACAAATATGCCAAAAGCTGTAACCAAACCAAAAACAGATAAAACAGTGAAAAATCCGAAAAACGACTAGTCTCCAAAGAGCGACCATTGAAGCAGAATATATATAAGAACAATAGAGCATAGTACAACAGGAATATTCATAGTGTTTGAATACAAATTTGGACCAAAGGCCAGGGAAATCGTCATGTCAGTCACTTGTCACTCAGCCCTGCCTCCCGTTTTAACCTCTGTACCACAGGACCAAACGCGTACGCGCTCTCCTGGCTGCTGTGGTCCGAACAGGGGCTGTGTTTAAGGGGCACCAGCCATTCGAGCACGCTGTGCCCCATGACATCGCATAGATTTGCAAGCGGGCTGCCAAGATCAAAGGGGTTCTCTCCGGGGTTGGTAGACAGGATGGCAAATTCACGCGAGGGGCCGGTTGATGTGGTGGTACTGGCTGAACTGGAAGATGGGAGGATGGCGGTGCCCGGGTAGATGACGATGGGGGTTGGATGCTCCCGGGTGGATTGAAACTCGCGAAAATCCTTGGGGCGGGAAATAAACACGGCAAGAGTCCACACTTTGGTTTGATACGTGAGACTTTCGATGGTCGAACAGTTCAACCAGGCGAGGTGAAGAGAGCTAGATAGCATTCCAAGAGAGAAAAGGAAAAAGAGGCCAAATCTGATATACCGTTAACGAACCACATAGGACAAAGGGGGCAGGGTATGGCTTACAAGCCCAACGCAACGAGCCACTGAACCTCCAAGTATCCCGACTGTTTCATCTTTTATTAGCCCAAATAGAGGGTGGATAGAGGGGATCAAAACGTACGTCTTGCCGGTATTCAGCAACAAATATAGAAAACACGGTAACATTGAAAGTCGTAAACAGAAACGTATAAAATAGAAACTGGAGGAAAAATTTAAACGAATTTTCACAGATGACTCCACCAACCCTGGAAATTCAGAAGTTAGCGTTTTTGTATTTGCGGCCTTCAGAAATCGATATATTTACCAGGGGCAAAAGTGATCGAGCTTCCGCACGCAGCGATCTACTTCACTGCAATGATGCGACCTATCCGTTTTCCATTGACAACAAGTTGGGCACCAGGGGGGCCGACCATCTGGCTGGCAAACAAATATGTCTTTGCAATAATATGCCTCGAGTCCGTACGCATCGATAGGGTACGGCGAGGTTTCTGTTTTCTTGTCGCCCTGATGTTTCTGTTTAGCGGAGTGCGCACTACTAGGGCGAGATCGGCTTCTTGATGACCGGCGTCTCTTCTTTTTGGATTCGGTTTCAGGGGAATTCAACGTGTCCCATTGATTCCCACGGGGTAGGAACCCAGGATTCAGCAGGATGGTGCTCAAGACTCGCAAGTATGATATGCACACAATAATCAATAAGATGTAATATGGGATCAACAGGCCGATTGCAAGGCCACGTCGAGGCTTAGGCGCCCCGTGGTGCGAGGGAGGATGTATGAAGTAATTAACTAAGAAGTATCAGTAACCGCAGCCCCATGGATAGGAAGAGATAGAAACATACTGCATAGTGGTCCTGTAAAAACGTAGCTGCCGTAGGCGATTAAAGCTGCAAGTACCACGGGAATCACTCGCGCGACAGCGACATTTCTTCTCTTTTCAGAGGCCATTGGCCTCGGGGGGGTCTTGAATAACACCAGAGGCTACCGATACATCATAAGATAGTCGTGAAGACGTTGAGTTTCGTCTGCCTGAAGCCCCTGGGCTGTCTACGCGACCTTGAGGTCGGAATCTTCCTTTATCGGTAGGAAGTGGTCGTCCCCAGACTCTCACGTGATATCTAGGGAGGCGCGGTTGATGACGTCATCAGGGCTTGATTCTTCATCGGAGACTTGGCGGGTGATCTTGGCCGCGCTAGTGTATATTAGGTTAGACTTGCGGCCCGAGTTCGCCTGGCAACAAAACGTCCCAAACAAATCGTCCTCATCGCCCGTCAACTTTGACCATCCATCATCATCTTGACCATCTTCATCATGCATGATGCGTCTTTCATCTGGACTTGTTATTGTGAACAGTAGCTTTATTTTGCGTGTCTAAGTCTGGTATTCTGAGAATGTGTCGACCGAACGGACATGAATGTGCTCTGCACTGCATAGGGCATTCGTACCTCCTTACCTGCGGGGAAACTAATCTGCCCCGAAGTTTTCGCACAGCAAAAGTGATGCATACTTCGATCCCCCAGATCGATCATTTCTTCTTGTCGATCGGAATAGCGCCCAACTTCGTTACATGTCTCCGCCCCTCGACCGCCACACCCGCTCGTGTTTATGCTCCATGACCCATAAGGCCAGGTAAGGCGTTGTCGGTAGCCCTGCATGAGCCAACTCGCCTCAAAATGGCCCCTTTTGCCTTGCACTACCATTGATCAACTATTCTGTTGGCTTTGCATGCTGTTGCTAGCTTCAGAACTGGATCATCGTCGTGTTTGGAAGCGAGCTAAGCCTTGCAGGTGCAACGCGATCAATATTTTGTTCTTGTAAGTATCAGGTTTATCCCCTCCAGAATTCCGAGTATTACTTTTGGGACTCGCGTATTCGATGGTGGACAGAACGGACTTTTGCGTTTGGGGTCAAATCGCATCGGCCCCTATACTCAGTGGCTACTTCGTACTTACTCAGTGTGGCTATGCAGCCAGGCTGGTGGTGGTACTTCTTGTTCTTGACCCAAAATTCATTGCAGGGCTAACAAGGCGGAACCACTGAGAGAGATATGGCCCCTATGCGGACTACGGGCCTACCATCTGCCTATTGTGCTTTCTGCACACTCTTGGACGAATCACATCCTGTATTTGATTGGGACTGGATTGACACCCCGGAAAGGCGACTGTATTCCAGCCATACTCCGCCTTCAAGGCTGCTTCCCTTTTATTTTGTACATTAATGGCTATGCTCCGCGACTCGTCGTAAGTACCTTCATCGCTGTGGATGTTCTTTAACGCGACAGCGCTTCATTTTGCGCTCATTCCATAATGCCCCTTCGTGATTTCCACCATCCAGACTGAATATACCACCTGAGTGCTGACTGTTTGGCCAACTATTGGGTGTGATTGTCGACGTTGGTTGTCTGCTACATGGCTAATGTCAGTCCTTTGCTTCCAACTTTACTTTTATCGCCAATCTAACCAGTCATGGTAGCCTTTCAATTTGCGACTGGATGAATTATACCCCAACCCTCGACTCTACACAGGCATGACGCGTTCAGCGTCGCCGGTCTATTTTTTCTACCCCCCTGATAAACATGGCCGTCGACCAAGCAAACACACATCGCTTCAGTACGCTTCTCCGGTCGATCGCGCGCACCAAGAGGCATTTCGCAGACATCAAATTTCGCAATTCGAATTACATGCGCGCCAATCAAGCTCACAATCCCGAGAGCTCCCCCCACAACGAAGTGTGCCACGAACCCAACAATGCCCCGAGCGATATACAGTACCCCGAAAACGTTATACCCGGGTTTGGTTTTGTTGCCAAAATTGCTCATCCCCTGGACCGTACTCGTCGCTGCATCCGCAATGTATAGGGTGCAATACCCCTAAGTGTCCCAGCTGCACTGAACATATCGTGTCAGTACAAGAACTATCACCGTCCCAGTAAATTACTTTCATAATCCTGCTGCCTAGCATTTCGCTTTGGAGCGGGTTGTGTTATTGCATTCAACATCTTGGTTGCCTTTTGTTTAAGTTATAGGTTCAAAAACCCTTTTTGGTTGGCATTTGTATCTGCCTGGAATTTGTCTCCAGGACAATTCCAAATGTTTAGAGTTTCGGCCGTGGTACCATCAATTGGCTTTTTTCAACGCGGGAAGAAAAATATCTGTTCCAAATTGTGTTGGAGTATTGCAGTGGGTTGATTTTGTGGCATTATACGTTATAGATCAGCATGGGCATCTAGATTTCAGTCCCCCTACGTCAGTTAGCAATGACTCCTCTTGATAATCACGAGAACAGTGTTTTATTTTTAATTTCAATTACGAACCAATCGTTTTCCGTGAAATTAAAGCGTCCTGCTGGGCAAAGAGCCGCAAATGTCCCCCTGCCTTGGTTGCCTGAACTCTGAATCATCGGCTTCACGAACGCAGTTGGTCACGTGATTGGGCCGGCCGTTCGATTGTTTCGGGGGCCTAAAAGAGCAGCGGAATTCGCCGAGGGGAATGCAGACAAGAACAGTGGGAACCCTTGGATGCGAACCTTGTCGCCTGGTCAAGGCCACCGAAATGCCTCGTGTCCTGCTTCAAACTTCGCAGGCAATGACGGCGTGGGCGCCGGCCCCACACACATTGACTCAAACCTCACAAATGACACGCCTTGGAGCCGGGTTCCCAAACAATTATTCGTTTTAGCTTTGGACCCGATCGACGCTGGGTTGTTGCTTATTCGTTTCCCTGGGCTGGCGACTAACGGAGAAGAGCGCCATGCTGCGCAGCGACAAAAGCTTCCTCCAACAGGTACCTAGGCTTCCCTTGGCGCCTTTCCGCCCTCTCAGGGCTTTACAGGCTTCTTTTAGCAGCTGACCTTATCGAGGCGATGCTTTCGAAACCCGAGCAGTTGATGTCCGCCTTAATTTCAGGCATTCATGGCGCATCTACGCCAGTTTTTCGTATATAAAAGTGTTGACTCCTCAGGTGTGACTCTCAATTCAATTCAGTCAACACCTCATCCGCATTGTATTATACTGCAGAAATAAAGCAATTGTATTGATAGAAAATCATTCATTTGCGCATCCAAAGTCAATTCTTCTATCTCAAATTCAATTCAATTCCTCCTTTCGTCCCAGATCAACGAAACTCAACCGTTGTCATGCCACACGCCACTCACTGGGTTTGCTGCCGCTGCGGATTCGGTCCCATGAGCATTGAAAACTACACTTCCTGCATAGGCTGCCAGCACCGCGGCGCAAAATCGCCCTGTTGCCACCACAAAAGCCTTAGATCTCACGCCAGTTACGAGAGCCGCTCAATAGTCCCTTCCTATCCCACTGTCTGCCAGGCAGAACTGGAGAGCATAGTATCTCCAATGGCACATTCGTACAGCCACATGAGCAGCGTACCATATCTGAAAACTGCCACGGATCTATATATCTGCTGCGTCTGCGGTGATGGCCCCAAGGTCTTTCAGCACGAGTCGCGATGCGTTTTATGCAAGCACGATGCATGCGGTTCATGCACGTATGTGAAATAGTGAAAGCAAGAAATTTTTGAGGGTAAGCAGGGATACCTCATACCATTGTTTGAAGGAGATTGTGACTAACAATTCCCTTCTCAGTCCTCTTCTAGGATTTTGAGAACTGTACTTTTATGGTTGCGACGAAGCATTTTTCCTTAGCGATATATGAATGGACGGAACATGATGACATTTTCGGCAAGCGCATGATCGATGGGCATTGGGTATAGAGGGTTACGTGCATTCATTTGCAGGACAACATTGCGCGCGGCGTTTTGAATATTGCGGGGTTGGCATTTGGCATTTTGTAATAATAGAATCTGTGTTTCCTCCTTTTGTTGTGCATTCTAGCCGAGTTCATTTTTGCATCTATAGAATAAGAGTATCTTTGACTTGTTGCGAACATTTTCTTGCCATAATCAGCCTTGAGGGCGGGTTGTTGTGGAAAAAGAACGAGTGATGATGTTAAAATTAGGCGGTTTTCAGCCTCTCGTAACTGCCTTGAGCCCCATCAAGCGTGACCTGATTGGCCCGCCCCGCGGCCACTCAGCGGCGCCCGCCCGAGCCTCAACGTGGGGCAAGTTCGTTATGTCAGCGAACCATCTCTTTCCCCAGGGCTTTGACTTTCCCGCGAACACACGCTAAAACCGCCCAAGCCCTTCCGGAGAGTTTACTGTCTGCGGTCGCCCGGGAACGGCGGCCAGGTGACTGTCGCTGGCCTTTAGCGAAAGGTTGCCTAGAACGCCGTGCCTTATCTCTTGGACGGCATGCCTTGCGAGGCCCCCCGTGCGAACAGTCATGGCAGCTGGAGTACGGAGTGTGTCTTGCTTGAACACCGGGGGCTCCGCCCTCGCGCATGTCGCTGCTTCAGAAACGTGATGTTGAGTCATCGAGAGCCGCTTTTGTCGTTGGCTTTTGGGTTGTGTGTGTGTGTGTTGTGTCGTGTACGGAGTACACCGTATGGAGTACTTACAGTTTCATGAAAGGTACTCCGTACAGGGGTAGGGAATTGATAGCCACTGTGCTCTGTATTCTCAGTGGCTCATTATTATTAGCCAAGCGTGTCTCGGAGCGGCTGGTGTCATGGCAAGCCATGACTACGGAAATTTGACCTGCAAGACCCTTCAGCCCATGCCGGCGGTGCTCGACGGCTTCTGGGCTAGTTGGTTGGTATCTCCACATGGGGTCTGCGCTCGTGACGTCGGTTAACGAAATCGTTGCTACGAGAAGCGCGCAAAGAATGCCTGTCTTGCGGGTGAATTCACGCTCCGATTTATCCGCCCCGGGTCAGTTGGACACCCCGTCGATCCCCGTTCAGCCTATTTTCGGATCGATATCATCCCTCTTGCTAGTAGAACGCGCAGTTGCGCTGGTAGTTAGCCCAACTCTGTTTGGCTTGCAGGCCCAATGAGGTCGGCAGATTGCGAAGTTCATGCATGGTTAACTAAAGGATGAGTCAGGGCCTCACCTCTAAACGATGCGACCAGCCCAGATCGCTATCTATACTTTTCAAAGGCCTTGGAAGCTTCACTTTTTTCCGACCCGCAAACCTAAGTCAAACCGTGAGGACAATCAGGCGTTTACTCCGTAAGGCTTAGCGGTGGCCTACTCAAGCCACGGATGGCAGCTCTGCCCCAACACGAAACAAAACGCAAACATGAATTCAAGAATCAAGTGTTTCGCAACTTCTCAGCCGTCCTTCGAATTTAATACACATTAGCAAGGGGACACTGTGGGCGATGATGGGCGTTGGCCCTCACTTGGCTGGCCGCAATCACGGGGTTTGCGGCTGGTGTGGAGGCGGGCTGTGCATCGCGGCCAGGCGGCGTCACTTGAGTGCGCTGAAGCCACCACAACACCCCTCTTGAGCGTTAATTTCAACTTCGACTTAGATTTTTAGCCCTGGCAGCCTGGTGGGCGGCGCGCGCCTCTTTTCCATATGGTCATGTCAACCTTGCTGGCGCTTCCAGACCTGTAAAAGGGCTGAGTCGCTGTGCGGTGCTGTGCAGTACGAGGCGTTCTTTGGACCGCAATCGCTCAAAATCTGCGATTCGCAGAGAGTTACCACGCATTCAAGCGATACGGACGACTCGAACAATTGGCAATCACAATGGCCGGCCCTTGAAGTGAGGCAACATCCATGGGAGAAGCCGGCGTCGAACATATCATCCCGAAGGAAGCTGTAAGCCTCAACGTTACATTAATGTGTACATACTCCGTACAATGAGCGATTAAAGGGTCCTTATTCCGTACGCTTGGAGGCCTTGGGGGCCACTGGGGTCGGGCCAGAACACGACGCGAGAAGCCACCGGCGATGGCGGCTGTGCACCACGATCTCCCGAAAAACTCGCGCTGTGAATGGATCATAAAGCGCCAGTAATCGACGCCAGGAACGAGTCTTGCGTGAGGCTAGTTAACCAACTGTGGTGGCTTGTCAGACCAACTAACCAGCTACTACATGGTTATTCCATGAAGCAGCGGGCCGTGCCCTTGACGTTTCTCGCCCGTTGGGGGTCTCACAAGACAAATAACAAGCCCAAGAACCATGGCGGTATTTAATATCAGCCTTATTAAAATATACCGAGTATGATGGTGCATGGGGGCACATGTGTGTATTCCTGGTATCTCCGCGGCCGACAGAGTCCGATAAGCTGGCCCTTGGTTTACGTGGAATGCAGACCCTATCCCGTCTATGCCCAGGGCTTGTCAAGAAAAGGAGCGCTTACGGGCGCATGATGCGATTGCCTCTTGTGTTCCCCATCGCGATTCCGTGTCATAGACGGCCCGACCTTTTGAGATTACGATAATATAAAAGTTGTCTGGGGCCACCTGCATAAGATCCCGCATTGAAGGATTTCGTGCCTTTCCTGGGGATCGCTGGGCGGCTGGATCCTCCCAGCATGCAACTTCAAAGCAAATGCGGAGAAGCCGGCCAAACCTGACTACGGATTACACACTGAATAAAGGCTTCAGACTACCGGCAACAACAAATACACAATGCCCTTAAAATCTTGAGCGATGTGACGCCGAGTCATAAGGTTGTGGCTACCCTGGTGGAAATATTTCTTGGAATATAATATTACTATCGGCGGCCTCTTCTTCACCTTGACACAACATAGAAGCTTTCTGGAAGGATTCAATTTCCTGTGAATCTCTCCCATGGCACTATGCCTGGTTTGGCCACATTTCTTCTCCACAATAATAATGCAGCCCTCCGCCTCCGCCTCTCTCCAAAATGCCAAGGGATATTGCCTAGTTAACTAACTAGCTTTCACAGTACTAGCTCTGCAACAGTGCAACGTATATACCACCACCTATTCGCCCCCCACATTGCTTGCATGTACAGTATGGAGTACGTACTCTGTACTTCGACTTGATGACCTATCGTTGGCTAGATCCTGCGGTGAAGGCTAGTTTCTAGCGCGCGTCTAGCGGGGCATCCCGTGTACTCGTGCTCCGTTCGTACGGACCTTTCATTATCAGTGTTCTGGCGGATTACATAAGCGACTAAGCCCCGGTTTCACGTGGCTGGAGATTTCATTCTCCGCCGGAGCAGGAACGATATAGTCGGAAGCCGTGCCTGAGCCGGCCTCGGCGACCCAAGACGGGGGGGCGACGACTTGTGAATCACAATATCAGCGTTGTGGCGCGCACCACGCGTCAGGCCATTATTATTAGTACCCGCCAGTAATCCATCTCAGCTACTCCGTACTGATATCCGATTACTCCGTACTTATTGTTTTATCCGATGATGGTAGCCAGAAGAGTTACCAAAGATCCGGATGTATCCGCCAATGCAGATGTTTTCAGAATATGTTTCTTAGTCCCGAACATGTGCAGATCACACCCGACTACTCCGTACAGCATTAGGAGATCGGCAGTACCAGGTACTGTCACGTGACCCGATTACTATGTGGTTTGTCACGTGAACATGTGCCCCATACCGCCGATCCTTTCCCAACTCTTTCATTTTATCAAACCTTCTGGAGCACCTGAGACTTTCATCACAAGCTCAGAAACCCGCTCCATACAATCTCCAGGCCATCTAGGATTGCGCCATCCAGGGTCTATCTTGTTCGAGCTCACTGGCTTTGAAGCTGCCCAGAAGGCGGCGCCTCCACAGAATGGAGCTATTATCATTCATTGACCTCCGAGAGACCCATTTTTCCCTCTTTTTTCTCGGGGGGTGTATACCCCACGAGTGCCTGCAATGCAACATGACAAGCGTAGCTCCGTGGGGACATCGTGAGAGCTCTACGGAGTACTCCGTGCCCGCTGGTGAAAACTAGTATTAATAGTAACGATTCCTGAAGCTTGAGGGGGATTGTTCCATTCTTTCCCGATCACCCAAGAGTACAGGCGTGACTGAAGGCTTGTCGGGGCGTTGCTCTCATTATTTAAAAGCAAGTCGAAGCCCCTGAATTGTTCATTGCTAGTCTACCAACGGCAGCCTGTCGATTGCTCTCTCCTTTCTTTCGTTTCCTTTTACCCAACATGGGACCTCTAACGCAGGCCCTGGCCACCCTCTTGGTCTTTCAGGCACCCTTGAGCTTCGCAACACCTATACATGAGCCATGTGCTAAGGTGGCTGCAATCCAACTAAAGCAGAAAGAGGCCAATCCTACTCGTAAGCCCACTTGAGTTGAAGTTTCGTGTGCGCCCAGCTGCATTGCTGACGCATTCCTACAGGCACCAGATTCGAGGTTCCTGCTCATATCGCTCTCTCCTGTCTGAAATCTATTCCATTTAACCAGAAGAATGCGCTGAGCTTTCTCGATGGGGTTCCCTCCTTCTGGGACTGGCAATCTACCAAGGACTTCTTGCCAAACCCACCAAAGGGATACCAAGTCCCCGGAACCGATTTCCTAAAGGGCCTTGCCAAAATCCGTGCCAAAGCTGCCACAAATGGATACCGTGGTGAATATGAGTTTCAGGTCGAGTTGGATGCTCTTGCCAGGACAGTTAAAGACGGGCATGTTAACATGGCAATGGATGTCATAACAATCTTCACATTCTTGCGAAGTAAAATAGGGCCTATTGTTTCCATTTCAGAGGATGGCAAGAGCATGCCCAAAATCTTTTCTTTCAGTAGGTTGAACCTTAACATCGCTTTACCGTTTTGCTAACGCACTTGTAAAGACGACTTGAAGGGTCGAACAGAGAAACCATCAGCTATCAAGACCATCGATCACAAGGATGCAACGCAGTGGTTAAGAGATTACTCATACCAGGGAACGTCACAAGACCCTGACGCTCTTTTCAATAGCCTTCTCTACCGCCTTCCACCTACTAAATCTAGCTCAGGCGGCTCTTTCTTAGGGTCTCTTTCCATCAGCACTGGCCCTTACACTAAACTTGGCTTTGAGAATGGAACAATGACGAAATATGAAAACGTTGCTACATTTGCTGCTGATTTTACCAGGGTTAAGGACGGCGCGTCATTCTATGAAAATTTCTGCAATATCACGCTCCCTGACGCAAGACGAACGGAAATTTTTGAAGAAGATAGTAACAAATTTTATGTTGGAGACGATATGTTCGAAGTAGCAGACGTTGAGGATCCTCATGAGCCAATGGAACCAGTTGTGAAAACCAGGGACGGCCAAGTGGCAGGCTATTTCCTTGGGGGCGAACACTCCAACACTGCCGTGCTTACTTTCCGGTCTTTCTCTAGCAAAACTGTTGCAGGCATACGGGAATTCAGCCAGGCAATCGAAACGTTTCTAGATCAATGCAGATCTGCCAAAAAACAAAAACTAATTGTTGATGTCAGCGGAAACGGAGGTGGCGTAATTTTCCTTGGTTATGAAGCCTTCAAACATGTGAGGAACCACTCTACCCAGGTGGCCCAGAGAATATAGATTCTAACAACTCATAGTTGCTGCCCTACGGAAAAATCACCACCCCTATGAATCTCCCTGCCACCGAACAGTTTGACACTGTTGGTAGAATTGTCACCGATCTCATAAATAACCCGAAAGCGTCGCCTGAATTGGTGCGGGCGGAGAAGAATAGATTGTTTGATACCAACACTTATGTGAATTCGGACTACAAAAAGTTCAAATCTTGGGCCGAATATTTTGGACCTGAGGGTGTCGGACACTATAATTTCACCCTACCAGCCTTTTGGGATTTCGAAAATGTTCCAGCGTCTATGAATTCGGGTGGCATCGTCGTTTATGGCCATGCCACTCGCCCTGTCAAAGCCCCTCAGCCATTCGGGATCGAGGATATAGTACTTTTGACCGATGGAATTTGCGCATCCACATGTGCGGTCTTTGCGGATCTGTTAAACCGCCATGGGGTTAAATCCATCGCCATCAGCGGCAATCCCCGACCTAACCGCATGCAAGCCGTCGGCGGTGTCAAAGGCGCTCAAGTTCTCAGCTACAGAGCACTATGGAACGTCGCGGCGCGCACCCTTACTAGATATATTACCCCCGAACAGCTCGAGAAGATGAAGGGCAACAAGCTTGTTGAAATGTTCGAGAAGGGGCGGCACGTGCTCCCACGGCTCTTGCGCACCGGCGAGGGTGGCCGCATTAACTATCGAAACGCAATCTACACTGAAGATAAGGACCGCATTCCACGGCAGTTTATCTATGAGCCTGCGGATTGCAAGGTGTGGTTCACCCGCGACACTGTGCTTGATCCCTTGAAATGGTGGGGAAGCATCGCCAAAACTTGGTGGGGTAGGCGTGGTGAATGCCCTATGGGAGGGCCAAACTCGCCTTCTTAGACAGCCTCCCAGTGGCTCGGTGATTCTCGGGGATGTTCTATTTCGATCTGTACATACATAATGACATATTTTGATATCTATTTTAAAGTTGAGCAGTATACGTAGCTATTTCAACACTGTATGGGACCTTGAAGGCCGGGCTTCAAACCCTGCATATTATTATTCTCACGACTTCGTCACCCGGGGCGGTGCGGAATAAGCCCGGGGTTGACTTCCCCCGATTCCCCACTTCCCCGCATTGTCGTGCACGGGCTTCCGCGCGGAAGATCGATAATCCGGTCTACGGCCACCCGCAGCGTCACCATCAGACTCTCATCCTCCGCCGATACATCACCCAAGACGGGCTGCTCCGCGCCCGGGATAGGTCTTGCACTCGGCGCCGAAAGATATCTAGCATGTCCGGCCTCCGTCACGGGAGAAATATCTGCTGCATGTCTGTCTATGTGGGCCACGTCTGTAGACGGCCGATTTCTGCGGGGGAACCCATCCGCCTCTTGTAGTGCGCGGCCCGCGCACGATGCTGTAGTCGTAGATAAAAAGCACGACAGAGCCTGGTTGAGATGGAAATAATGCGTCTTTGGAATGCTCTTTTCCGTTTCCTAACAAGCACCGTCAGTTGAGACTTGAGTTGTGATCCGTTGAAAAACTATGCCTTCACAGTCCGGCTGGCGACAGCTCGATATCGCCATCGTTGGCGGCGGTATTGGAGGCCTTGCCGCTGCCATTTCTCTGAGGCGAGCGGGTCACAAGGTTACGATTTACGAGCGTGCGGACTTTGTTGGCGAAGTGGGCGCTTCTATCTCTTGTGCTGCCAACGGAACCCGGTGGCTGCATGAGTGGGAAGTCGATGTGGAAAAGGGCGACCCAGTCATTCTTCGAAAACTGATCAACCGCGATTGGAAGACCGGCGAGCCTGTCAGTGTTTATGACTTGGCTGACTACGAGGAGAAATGGGGCCATGTATGTATTGTAAGGGTGGTGAATGGGCTTGAAGAGCTGATGCGGACACACAGGTTTATAATATGTTTCATCGCCAGTACATGCATGCAATGCTGATGGACTGTGCTATCAGTGAGGGGAAGGGAGAGCCTGTCAAAGTGGTTTTGAATCACAAGGCAAGTTTATACTGGCGATCATTCTAACAGGGACTGCTTGTTAACGAAAAACCTCCAGTGTCAAAATCTGGACGTTGACTCCGGCACGATAACATTTCTGGACGGGAGCACAGCACAGCATGATGTTGTCGTCGGAGCAGACGGAATTGGATCGTCAGTCCGGACTCTGATTGGAATTAACCCTGAGAAAAAACCAGCTTCGTCAAGCTGCTTGCACGCCAATGTCGATACCGCGACAGCTGTAAAACTGGGCCTCGTCGACTATTCGCAAAACAGCGCCATCGAATACTGGGGAGGCCATCACAATGTCAACAAAATCGTTCTTTCTCCATGCAACGGGGGTAGCCTTTTATCATATTATTGCTTCTTCCCTCGCGAGAAGGGTGACTATGCCTCTCACAATTGGAACAGTGAGGCGACCGTCGAAGAGTTGCTTGCTCCATACCCAGATCTGGACTCTCAAGTACTTGGCCATCTAAAGATCGGAAAAGAAATTAGACCGTGGCGATTGTGGGTGCACGAGCCATACCAATGGTGGCAGAAAGGCGTTGCTTGCATCATGGGCGATGCAGCGCATCCAGTATGTCATGCTTGTGATCATAGGGTTGAACGAGCGGACAGCTAATACGTTTGCAGATGATGCCTGACCAAAGCCAAGGCGCCTGCATGGCAATTGAGGATGCTGCCTGCCTTGGCCTTGTCTTCGGCCAGAAAAATTTCACTGGCGACATCCGGGAGGCCCTTGAGATATATGAAGCTGTTCGCAAACCACGAGCAACAAGGGTACAAGCGGCTTCCGCGAGAGCACGAGAAAACATCCACGAGCGTATTGGTAAGTCGTAAACCGTAGCTCTTCTTGATTTTTGAGGGAGAACTGACCCAAGCCCAGGATTCTCCGATAACACCAATAATCCCTTGTACAAGGTTAAGGACGAAGGGAATAAGTTAACCATTGAAGAGATGAATAGGTGAGCTCCTCAGATTAAACTCTCTTGTTGGAAATATGTGTTAATTGTACCGCAGGTATGATATGCACCAGCACGTTCAAGAGACATTTGCGCAGCGACGAGAAACAAATAGTAGTACGTAAGCTAGGTCTGTTGTATATATAAGGTACATTAGCATCGGGTTTTGTAAATATATGCATTGTTCATGATCTAAAAATCCATTCAGCGTCCATTGAAAAATGCAGCAGAATGGAGAGACTGGTTATCCGAGTCAGTGCACACTTTTAGGAGATTGGATAATAATTCGCCTGCGAAAAACGGTAATATACCAAGTCTGTTAGATCTTAGGGGGGGCTGAAAGACTAGTATACCTGTAGGCACGTCTGCATCACACTGCACAATGGATAAGCGCAGAGTCTTTACAACTTGAGCTATTATTATGGTGGAGCTGATGAGTAGTAAAGTGACAACAAATCTTCATTCATTGGTTGGAATAAACGGATCTGTTAAAAACGGAAAATTATCCCAGATGGGCAAATGCAAGCTATCCCACGCAAGAAATGCCTCCCCATCAAAATCCGAGGTAGAGAATGGGAGAGATGAAGCGTCCCAGCCCAGGTTCGCCTCATCTCTTCCCAGTCCCGGAGAAGGAAGGGTTGGCTGCATTTCTTCGCTGTAATTAACCGACAGAGTATCAGCTTCAACCGCCAGTGGGCTGGGCCGAGGAGCATCCAGCTCGAAAATACGGCCTACATAGGCACCACTTCTCGTTTTTGGTTCCTTTGCCAAACGCCCACGATGTTCGTTGATAGCGTTGGATAAATGGGTCAAAATTTCAAAATAATGAGCCGCTTGAGCTGACTGGGGACTGAAAATCTCCAGAATTTCCCTCGCGCCCACAAAGGCTGCCTCGGCTTCCGGGTCTGGTTTAGTTTTTGCGAACATGGAAAATCCAAGAACGAGGGCAGCAGCAAACACAAGTGCCCTAATACAAATAATTAGTTGAGCCGCTCCATATTTATTTTCCTGGAATTTTTGCGCCCGATCTTACTTAATGATACACATATTTGCCAACAGCAAGTTCGCTTTACCTGCATCTTGACATGCGCGTACAAGGTAGGCGGCTGAATCCACACATGCGGAAGCCAATCTCGCATGAGTAGGGTCTTCCTGCGTGTTAGGCGTAGATGCTCCGCTTGAACAGCCGTTTTGCTGGGATCGAACAAGGCGGGCGGTTAACGTCGAAATCAAAAACGGCCGTGTAGCCAGCATAGCGGCAAAGTAATAAAAACAAACAACCTGAATACTGCCTAGAGTATGCTCTTGTTCCTCATGGGAACCACAATTGGACGAAGCCGTGCGCATTGTGGCCGGAAGTTCCTTTTTCCAATTGTCTAACTTTTCAAGAAAATGCTCTGCTGCGTTTGTAGAGACGGACTTTTGACCATATAGGTCATTGGCTACCGTGTCCATAAGATCTGTAATCTTATAGGATGCAAGAAGCCGAGAATGTGCCTCATCGCCCCATCGCATCTTCAGAATCAAGCCTTGTCCAAGCTCAGACCGAAGCGACGACGTGGCTGAGGGTCGGCCAAGAATAGAACTTACTAACAAGTCCAGAACACAAAGACTCATCCAAGTCTTTAACCTATATTTGGATTTTTTGTTAGTATAAAATTCTTAAAAAAAAAAGCGCCTTAGTAGCTTTATTACCTTTTTTGACGATCTGCCAAGGTGACGGCCGCATAAGAGTCTTCATTGTGAAGACCAAGTGCCACAGCGGCTCTTGTAGCAACCCCCAGATACATGAAACCTGCATTTCGCCGGCATGCTCCCAGCATAAAAAATGCCATAAGAACAAAAGCCCACACCAGCTCTAGGTTAGGATCTTGCAGCATACCCGAAAAGGCTCTTTTCTGTCCACGGCTAAAGAGAGAGCTCGCCTTCAACGAGACAGCAGCACATGCTTTCGGACATTGTGCACCAATAGCCAAAACGAGATCTACAACTGCAAGCCGAGAGCTGTCTATCATGGTATCTGGTGCTGCAGTTTGCTCCAATAGTTGCACGGCATCATGACTTGAAATTACGTCAATGATGCCACTCGTCTGAGATCAATAAATCAGTCCTCAACTTTATTGGTTTACATAGGCCGTCAACTTACCGCAAGGCGGTAATTTTCAAGAAACGCTGCCTTTTCCTCAGGAGTAAGGATCTCTGCGCTATGCGAAGAAACCTCCGCTTCAGTTGACGCATTCTCAAGCATGCTATCGATTTTGGCATTGTGTGTAAAGCCAGATGGGCCAGTATACTGGACCACGGTTTCCCGAATAAGTTGCAGGAACGACAACGATGCGGCGCCTCCGATGTACACTTCAACAAGTATCGTTAGACTCACTCTTCTGATTTTCAAGACACGGATTCCGCCATACCCTTTTCACCTCTGAGGTTCCGCAGCATTCGCGGGTGCGTTTTATGAGGCGCTTCCGGCGATATAGAGCGCGGTCCAGTAGGGGGCGATTTTGATGGTTGGGTTTCCGATCCCGGTTTATGGTCTGAATGACTGGGCCTGGGCTGCGATGGAGACATCGTACACGTGTGGGCACGCCCGCGTCGAACACAATGACTGCATGGGACAACGCCGCTGCATCTTTTCTTGGATGTTCTGCAGAGAGTACAAGCCTGTGCAGTTCGTTGACGCTTGTCGGGGGGTACTTTGGGTCGCGGCATACCGAGCCTATTTGCCTTGCTCCAATGGTATGTGGAACATAGCTACTCGGAACTCGGCTTGCGCGTGGCTTGAATTAATGTCTTTTGAACGCAGCACTAATTGATTGACTTTGGAGCAAGATTACCGGTGTCCGCCTGCAGCTGTAGTGCTTCTTTCCACGAGGATAAACCAGAAGAATATCTCGGAACGTTCCCTAGCAACCTTAAAACGATCTCGGGCTCTCCAAAACCATCCCCGGCGTCTTTGCAAGAGCTGCGCAGCTTGTCTTCCGTGCGGAGTTGGGAAGCGTCTCGGTGTTCGGATAATAGCTTAGCCGACAACAGCACTGAGCCAATCAACCCCCATTTATTTGAACCACAAGGATTCGGGCGATCCCGTTCTTATACGACATGCCATAATCTTGCAAAACATCTACAGCTGTCACCCGAATCAAAATTCAGCGCTGCTTATTCATCTTCAGGTTTTTATGGTGTCCTCAAGACCTCAGTGCCTATGGCCGGCTCGGTTGCCTTGTACTGCTTCAGCAAAGCCATTATCCTAGGTTTGACAATGATTGCCAAATCCTCGAAGAGACTGTCAGGAATTATAACCCTTGTTTTCCGATTCGTCAACAAAAGAGTGGTTATAGCTTGTGAATATCTCGGGTTTGCTGCCGCTGCCCGCAGAACGGCTTCTGTCGTTGGAATTTCCGTCTCGTGCTTCTCTAGCAGAAGAGCTATTATTTTGTCTCCTAGAAACGGGTTTGCCGCCGCAGCCTCAACCACAGACTCTGTGACTAGAAGTTTTGTTTTCTGATTCTCTATCAAGACTTTCATTATCTTGTCTCCCCAGTTCCAATTTTGGGCAGCTGCTTTCATGATTTTTTCTGTGGCTGGGATTTCCACATCTAAAAGAGACAGTATATTGCCTCCGCACTCGCTATTTTCTACAACTTTCTCCAGGAAATTTTCTGTAGCAAATGTAATATCCTGTCGGCTGTTCAGAAACAGGGCTATTATCCTATCCCCGCATCCGCCATTAGCCGCTGCCGTCAGAACGACGTTCTCTGTGATGAGAGCCTGCTCCTCTTGGTTTTCCAGAAGAAGAGCCAATATTTCCGCCCCATATTTGCGGTTTTTTGCCGCTGCAGATAGGTACTCCTCGCAAAGTACTCGAGTCTGGCCTTCCTTTTTAGTGCCACAGCACAAGAGTCCCAAGTCCAGTAATGACACTATCGTTTCGCTGACATATCCATCGATGTTAGTCATAATATCGCAGATATAATCTTGCTTGATGGCTTTAAGTTGTTTCAGCATGTCACGGGTGATTTTGGGGTGGCAATAACTTGCAACCGCAACCATCGTGTTCCCAAGTTTGCCCTCTTTGAGCACCTGAGCACCACTGCGAAAGAGTTTTTCCGTACAAACTTGCAGACCCAAAAGCGATGAGTAATACAACGGGCTAGGAAATTTTAGGGTATATGGGCTCGGCCATTTCAAATCAGGGTTATACAGCCTCAGCCAATTTCCATAAGCTTTAGAGCTTTCACTACTGAATATGCAGTTCATCAAAGTAACAAGCTGGTCGTTTCTGGTAACATCTAGAGCTTCCCTAGCGTGAAGAGGCCAAAACTTTGCCGCATAATGCAACGAATCCGCCGCACTAAGCGGATTCAGGACATCAAAGTCTGTGTCGTTATCGAGCAGATATTTGATTGTCACAATAGCAATCTCGGCTTGCGTGGACCCATTTTCGCTTGGTTGATGATTTTCAAGGTATTCCTGCACTGACAAGTGTGAAAATCGACAGACCTTCTGGATTGAATCGACGACCAAAAGATTACAACAGGCGTCAAGAATAAAATCGATATCTAAATCGGAATTTTGGACTCTACCATCATGAGGACTTCGACTAATAAAGGTAGTCAATGCTTCTGGGGTCAAGGGGCTGTAGGATCGCAGAACCCATTTGAATGCACGGAATGCGATTTCCGGCTTGCTTCCCTCCGCAATCTGAATTTTGTCCCAAAGTTCGTCGTATGCTTCCTTAAGACCCTTAGGGAGTCGACCTAGCCGGTTTCTAATATCATTTTCCAATCTAAGTTGAAGGATTTGTTCTATCTGCAAAGCCGCCCATTGAAACCTATACGACCATGAGAAATTTTCTAGTTGGAAGGCGAGAAAACTTACATTCCTCGGCTCTTTTCCAAAAGAATGCTAGAAATTTCGGTTTTCAGCTGTTCAGTAATTGGCCTTCCTTGATACGCTTCAATTCGTTCCTTGACAAACTTGCTAATGTCGTCTTGATTGTCGGTGGCCTCGATCCCAATATTCCCATTAATTTCAAGCTGCCGTTTAATATCATCATCGCATCTGCTGGAAATGAAGAACTTCACGTTACGGGATTTCGAAACTATGTTAATGAAAGACTTTATAAGATCCATTCGACCCTGTTCATAGCTCTCGTCGAGAGCATCAATGATCAATATAGTTTGTGAATATGCTTCAAGTAACCTCAAAATAATGTCTTCACTTTCTTCGAGGCTTAGTTGTTCAGATGCCCAGCCTGTGCGTTCCTTTTTTCGGTAGACATCGAGAAGAGGCTGCTGTATAGCGTCCCCTTGTGGAGACCGGGCGAGCTGTTTCACAAGGCTTTGCAGAATTTTTGTTGGATCACGGCGAGAGCTCTCGTAACGGTTACAATAAAAGTATGCGACGCCATAGTCCTGCCGGAACATGCCCAAAAAACGGTCAATAACTCTAGAGGTGAGCTTCGTTTTACCGGCACCGGCTTGAAGAACGTCAATTTTATTTTTGAGGCTGGAATGGTACAACTTACGGATTCCATGCAGCCACATTATAGCCGGTTGATTGGATAATTGCCATGCCTGGTATCGTTTATCTTCAAACAACCAACAGCCAGTATTAGGGGTGCGGTTTTTACAAGCAGCCGCATGATGATCCTCATATGGAATTGCAGATACCCACTTCAAGACATCCCTTATGTCCTGCTGCTCTGCCCTTACCCATATATTAGTCACTATTAGATCTACATGATCTAGCGAGTCTTTCAGGTCTTTCAGCTTTGGAAGGTCCCGCAAAAGGTTACGAAACTTGGAGCATTCGTCACGTTCAATGCTGTTTAAATGCCGCTCGCAATTTTGAGCGGCATGCTCTGCCCTCATTTCAAGGTCTTTGCATTCGTCATCGAACCCGAGCACACTGATAGACCCCCATAAAGCTGAGCCAACCCTTTGGAGGGAACTTTTATTGTACGTTCGCACTGCAGAAGCCAAAAATCGAAATATGAGGTCATATAAATCAGTAATCGCAGACTGAAGCTCAGAGCTGGCATCAGAAGGGCCATGAGATAGCAAATAATAGCGCTCGTATAATTGACATCGGTACGAGACATACAAAATCCTATTGAGGCCACGGAATATAGCCTCCATCTGCTCACGATCCGATAGCGCAGCCTGGAACTGTTAGTCACACTCATAACAACGGAGTTATACTCGATATCACCTGCAGCACGAATCTGACGAACGCCCATGGTAAGCCGGCAAACAGGGGGTTAGCATTGACAGCAATGTCTCCTACAGCCTTGAACTTGTCAAGGCAGTCCAGAACTTGGTCCGCGACGTGGCTTAACTGTATGGTGTGGCCCCCGCACTGAATGGTCCAGTTTGCTTTCCAGCACGTTTCTCTCCTGCTGTGGAGCAAGTGAACTATAGCCTCTGGTGTCAGGTCCACGCCGTCCGCCACCAGAGATTGAATTGTCTCTTTGTATTTCTTCTCAAGTCTATGTTTGACGGCTTCAAAGGGATCCACAGAGGCGTTTGGAGCCTGGGTGTTGGTAGGAGGTGTGGATACTGATTGTGACTGACATACAACCTTGCTTCGGAGTGGCCTACGAGAGCGAGGGAAGAGATCAAGTTTGCCCGGGATCTTAAGAGGCATAGTTTCGAAAGGAAAAGCAGAGTGGCTTTAGTGCAACTATCTTGTGTGGTGGCATGTGTTGGTCCGAGCAAGTCAACTACCTAGTTAGTTACCCCTCACACAACCAATACTAGGCTAGCTAGTTAAGCCAGTTGCCTATCAAATTTCAGGGATTGCATTGAAGATGCAATGATATTTAAAGATATTATTTGCCAAAGGCAGATTAGGCCATGATTGCAAATTTATGAGAATTAAAGAATTCATGACTTTATGTGCGTATTTATGTGGAAGCTATGTAACTTTGGCAACTAAGAACTACACATGAAAGGGGGATATTCAGCACACTGACGATCATGTAAATTTTGTAGGAAACCCAGATGAAAACGAGAGGAACTGCAAATGGGGAGGGGGCATCATTCTCAGATCGGTGTTTTGACTGGAGTTTCGCATACCCAGATCTCCCTTCCTGCATGATAGCAAAAGGCGTGAAGAGGCGATAGCTATACGAGAACCAATGCGCAGTCCCGCAACTGCTACCGATGTTCACCAGCGATCTTGTGTTACCCTATTCAAAAGTATCCCAATGACTGAGTACCAGGGGTCTTCCCTGGGTATCATTCCCTATCTGCTTGTGTTAAACGAACCCAAAATTAAAGGGGGAGCAGAAAGCAGATTAAAGTCTGGTCGTTCTACGCGAATCAGACAAAAATGCAATCGACCTCCGATTGGAAACCCCTAGATTCTGGGTCCAGAGTGCTTGAAAGATTATCCGATTTTTGCTCCACCAGACAAATGCACTTGTGAAGACGGGGCTGATGCAGTGACCTTAGGAGCTGTCAATGCGGCATAAGAAAAGCCCAAAGTCGAAGTCAAAAATGGCGAACCTGCCTCGTAATATACGACTCTGGAAAATAAAGAAGATCTGGGGTATATGCGCCTAACTCAGAACAATTGGGTGGTACTCGATTGCCTCTTCGGCAACCGAGTCTCACCTTTGGTGGCTCATGAATTGAATCACTGCTGGATATGGGAATACCTACAAAAGCCGGAGAAAAGAGATGGGTATTACAGCGGTAAAATCCGGGAGGGATCTTGCAGGAATCGCCTACGATACGCTGCGATTTCCGTCGCCACAGTATTAAAATCTTTCACTTTGTCGCGTCTCATATCGTTTATGGTCTGCTTTAGTCCGGTAACGTAGGCATCCCGTTCTGCCTGTGTCTTTCCTTCTCTCAAGGAGCCCATCTCGACCAAGATTTTATCATCTGCGAGGGTTAATATGGATTCTATGTCAGTGACCGAGCGAAAGCATAGAAAAAGGAAAGGCCTTTGTGAAGAGAGGGGGGGTACGCCAAGGGAGGATACGGTGCATCACCACAGTTTAGATATGGCGCAGAGGAACCGAAAATTGAAACATTCAGCAACATCAGGGGTAAAAACAAATCTTCAAACATCAGCTCCTTCAACGCACCGCTCAATGTCATATCCCGGAAATGCTGGCTGGAACATGATTGGTCGTTACAAACACCACCTGCAGCCTCAAAGGTACATAAGCTTCTGTTAGGATCGATGTTGTGACTATACGTTAGGGACCGGAAACCCTGCGAGATATCCTTGACGAAATTAGGGTGGTATCGATAGGCTTTAAACAAGCGTAGGGGGCTGATGTAGGGTGTGAAATAAATATTGGGTTCTTTGGTATCGTTCTAGTACGTTTTAGCAATGATGGAACGCTTGGGAACGGACAAAGCATACCTCTTTGCAATTCTCTCCTGGTTGAACATTTTTGTCGGCTAGGGTTAGTGTCTTGACATTTTCAACTAGTGGCAGAGTGGGTGGATTGGCATTAGCAGGCAATATCAATGAGTTAGTAGACGTAGCGGATGAGGACGATTTTATCGTCGCCATGGGCTCTGGTGGCTCATATGCATCTGAAATTGTCGTATGTTCCGACAATGATGCTTGGTCACTTTCTCCATTCTCACTATGTATCACTGATGGATTCTCTGTCACTGGCTGCTCTTGAGAACTGTCTGTGGCTTGATCAATTGATACTGAAGTACCACTTGTTGGGGTTCCAGCACAAGGTACAAAATCATCTTGAGTCATTGCTTCCTCTTCTTTCTCTTCATCCTCGCTGCTTCCCATGGATTCATCCATAGCGGAGCTACAACGAGATGACGACACACTGCCCTGTCTGTCTGTGATGCTAATGTCTTGGCAATCAAGGGTTTCAGTGGCGTCGTTAATCGCTTCCTGTGATGTTTCCTGGATTTTAGCGAATGTTGAGGAATCAGGGGAGAGAGGACGTTCGACTAGTTGATCCAGAGGGTATTCAAGAGTCGAATCAGGAATGCTTCCACTAACAGGATGTTGCGGAACATTAGTGAAGCTAGGGATCGTGGGATCACCTTGAGTTTGCCCTAAAACAACATGAGAAGTAAGTCACATCAAGGAACATCTTGTCCTCGTTATGTCTTAAATTACTACACGTGCTGATGGGGAGGATAAATACCTGGTATTACTTCATGTTCCTCCAGCCCGGCCTCCAGGCGTTCTCTTGTTAGCTGGAGCTCTTCGAGGGTTAAACCATCAGTCTCAACTCCTAGTTCCTCCAATTCTTCAACCAACCGGCGTTTGCCTGCCTTGCCCTTGGCGATTTCAGCAAGCAATTTTTTTTCTTCTTCTCGAAAATGTGCTAACTTGGCTTCAGATTTTGACAATTCTGCATCAAGAACAGGGAGGCCAGATTCTATCTCTTTTTTACGAAGGAATTTTTGTCGAAGCTCGGCGGCCTTTTTGGGCTCTAAAGACGGCCATGACCGGGCCGATGGGCTGTTCAAGGGCGTTGCAATGGGGGAACTAGGTATATTTTCTGGTACTGTACGGTTTAATGCAGGAGAGTAAGAAGTATTGGCCGGTGAGTTATCGGCTGGGTTGAACCTTTGAAGTTGCTGGGGGGTTTGTACTTTTTGTTCTGGTGGAAGATTCATTATTGGATGCTGATCAGACCGAACCGGTGTTGTGGATTGAGCTTGGGCTGCACGTTTGGCATCACGTCTCTTCTCCAATTCTGCTATTCGTTGACGCATGATCAATATTTCGGACCGAATATTTCCTTCATCTCTACCCTTGATAGGTGCTTGGGGCAAGGTGCCTGATGAAGGGGAACGGAAAGACTGGATAGACCGAGGAGGAATGTCGGAGAACTGCGCGTTTTCTCGAATCGCTAGTGGTTTAGATATTGTGCTAGCAGTAGACATACCCATACTAGTATTATGGCTGGAGGAGGATTCTTCGGCATCTGGACCATATATGGATTCTTCGTCACTAATGTCAATAATAACTTTGTGCCCAGAGCCTGAATTTCGATGATCTTGTTCTATCTGCTTTTGGGGCGGCTCTTCAACGACATCGTCAGTAAAGTCAGATGCCCGGGGCCTCTTGCGGGGCAGTCGCACAATGGACGAAGAAACCTCAAGTGTTGAAACAGAGCGGTCATTTTGGCTTTGTGACGTTTTTTGATCCGCCGATTCTACATTTGTCATGAATAAACCCGGAATCCTCGTTGAGGTAGGTTCCGTCACTGCTGGATCTGGTGGCTTCTCTGGTAACGGGTGTTTCATGGGTAAAGGCTGCAAGGGCCGTACGTCCTGTGGCGAAGGCATTGGTTCGGGTATGTTACTGGTAGTAGTTGACGAGGGGCCCGATGGTGACCCCGAAACAGAGGCACTGGCGGACTGTGACTGGGATTTCAATAAGCCGTTTTTCTTGAGCTGTTCTATACGTTGTCGTGCTAGCTCTGTTTGGGCTTTATTCTTCTCTTTCGACCTAGCTTCTTCCGATAACGGCTGACAACTATCCACAATATTGGATGCAGCCTCCGGTGGAGGTATATTTTCTTTCGCGGAATCAAAGGATGTTGTGTCTTGCTGTAGGTTCTGAGTAGTAACCGATTTTCCAGCTTTAGCAGCTAGCATTCTAGCAATCAAATCCTTACGCTCTAATGGCTTGCCGGCAGTGATGCTGGATGTTGCTGGATGTGCTGAATTTTTCTCACCCTTTGCTAGTAGCATCGTTGAATGACCAATGCCAATTGGAGTAGACAGTAAACCCGACTTCTTTCGGCTGTCTTCATTGACAAGACTCACGTCACTGCCAACGCGTTCATTGTGAGAATTTTTCCGAGTGAATTCTTCAGTCGAAACTTTCAAGCCAATTCCTTCATAAAGGCTCTTCAAGATTATTGGGTCCACACCTTCATTAACCAATTCTTTGTACCGGATGTTGTGAGGTGCAAGATTCAACAAGGCTCCTTGTGCCTGAACACGCATCTGGTTTAATGATTTTGCATTTGGCACATGAGACTCTGAAATATTCTTGTCCTCAGAAACTGGTTGCCTTGTGGCGGGAGTGTCAGAAGCGATATGGATTGTCGTGGAATTATCAGCATTGGCTGACAATGTTTGATTTTGTGCTCCCAAGGCTTCTGAGAATTCCATCATTAGCAATAGCAATACAGACCTGGAAAATTGAATTTACCTAATGGGGCTAGGTTTGGCGCTGATTGAGCATTGATTATTGCGGGCTCTGTTTCCCCACTACTCAGCTCACCTTCCTCACGGCTATCGATATCCATTGCATCATATACATCCACATCAGCTATATCAGTGGCTATTTCCTGGTCATCTGCCAGCTTCGAGGGGGCGGGCTGGGGAATTACTCCTTTATTTTGGAGCTGATTCATAGACGCTGAGTACATTTGGAAATTACCAGGCAAAGCAGAGTTCTCTCCTAGTCTGGGCGGAGGAAAGTAGGATGTCACTGGATTTTGCGGTGGAAATGTTTGAGATGCTTGTGGCATGCTGTTAAATGTCAGGCCTGGAATCTGCCCATTGAGGCTCGTCCCGTTAGGCGGGTACATCGACTGCGGCGGCATTGAAAAAGAACTGTACTGGTAAGGCCGGTATGGTGAGTCTGAAGAATGACTGGCGGACTGATCCGAAGGCCACGTTGGGGGAAAAGAAGGGTGGCCTCCGTGTGGTGGTCGAGAAAAACCCGACATTTTTAGATTGGTCGGTTCACCATGTATTAGGGCGTCAATATAGAGAAAGAACGGCCAAAGAGTAATGAAAGCGCTGCGCACTCGTTTACAGCGCGTTTTAAACGGTAGCCGGCAAACGGAAGGCTAACACCCAGGTGTTATCGGGTACTCTGACATGGAATAGAGGGAGAGCTGCGTTCTCGAGTCCGTGTCAAATCATCATGAACAGCCAACTCCAAGTCGCATAATAGACGTGTGTTTAAATTTGCAGGCTCTTGCAACACGAAACACCGCTCACGACACCGTAGCAGGTATGTGCTGGAGTTGGAGTTGGAGTTGGAGTTGCAGACAGGGTGGGCGACGGGGAGGTGAGGATCGAAAATTGGGCTCGCTTCTTTCAACGGGGCCAAAGCAAGCGGTCAGGTGACACGACGTGTCGCGCCAAGCCACTAGAATATGCACGGGCCACCTACAGCCCAACTCGATCAAAAGTAAACAAACAGGGTTCATGCGGCAACGATCTTCCGTCATTGTTGTGATGTTCTAGCACTCTGCAACAACCGACAGCCAGCTTGATGGCTATGTTATGATTGAAGGTGTTTCTGCTTGATATCGGCTTCGAATGATCTCTACTCCTACCTTCCTTTGCATACATACCCTCCTTTGCGCATCCCGCGATTCTCGGAGCTATAATATCCGGCGTATCTGAATTGAACGGAGAGTGCTTCCAATTGAAATAGCACTTATGTACTTCTAGGAGGTTCGCGTGACATGAATCCATCTTCTATAAGCGTCGCACAGAGACGCAGTCCCTTCAGTCGGGACTCCGCTTCCCCCTCCCCAGCCCCTCGAGAGACTGCTGCTATGAGACCCACCAGACCTAAGTCCGTTACATTTGCGTCGCCAGCCCCAGTACATAACACAAGTCATGCTCGAACACCGTCCTTTAATCCACCTGGCTCAAACTTCTTGGTGAACCCCATCAGTCGGCAGAGGTCCAATTCGTTTCGCAATAACAATACTCCGTCGTCAGGTACATTCGCACCGCAATTCATTAAATCAGAGGAGCTGCGCAAAGGTGCAGACGAAATAAGGGGTCAAGAAGGAGACAATGATTTTTCAGGGAAAAGATATGTATGGCTAAAGGACTCAGAAAAAGCTTTTATCCGTGGTTTAATAGTGGAGGAGTCAGAGGGAGTTCTGCTTGTTCAATGCGATGACGGCAGTGTAAGTATGTCAGTCATTTCTCCATCTTAATGCTGACAAGTATTGTTATAGAGACGCGAGATTAGTGTTGACAACGTCGACAAAGTCAATCCTGCTAAATTCGATAAGGCAGATGATATGGCTGAGCTCACTCATCTAAACGAGGCTTCAGTGGTCCATAATCTACACAGTCGATACCAATCTGACTTAATATATGTATGAATCTTCATATCTTCCGCAAAGCACAGTTTATTAACAACTGGTGCAGACATACTCAGGACTGTTCTTGGTGACCGTGAACCCGTACTGCCCGTTGCCAATATACTCCAACGAGTACATCAAATTATATAAAGGACAAAGTCGAGAAGACACGAAGCCGCACATCTTCGCCATGGCAGATCTAGCGTTTCGTAACCTCGTTGAAGAAGGAAAGAACCAGAGCATCCTTGTCACGTAAGTCATCAAATGACGTAAGGTTTTTCTCACAGATCTGACGTGTTCTGCCACAGAGGAGAATCCGGTGCAGGTAAGACGGAAAATACAAAAAAGGTCATTCAGTATCTGGCAGCAGTTGCTGCTTCGGATGCCAGGACGAGTTCAAAACAACTGTCGAATCTCTCACAGCAGGTACTACGCGCAAATCCAATTCTCGAAGCTTTTGGGAATGCTCAAACAGTAAGAAATAACAATTCTTCCCGGTTTGGGAAGTTTATTCGCATTGAGTTCACTCGCTCTGGCCAAATTTCGGGCGCGTTTATAGATTGGTATCTTCTTGAAAAGTCTCGTGTTGTCAAGCTGAACTCGCAAGAACGCAGTTATCACATCTTTTACCAGCTTCTACAAGGTGCAGATGAAGTCATAAAAAAGCAACTGCACCTTACTGGACTAAACCTTGGAGATTTTGCTTATATGCGAGATGGAAACGAGTCAATCGTGGGAGTATCGGACGTTGATGAATGGAACACATTAATGGAGGCTTTCAGTGTGATGAACTTCTCCCAAGATGATCAAATAGCAATCCTGCGTACCGTAGCCGCTGTTATGCATCTAGGAAATATTACGGTTGGCAAAGAGAGCTCGCGCGCTGACCAGGCAAAGCTTTTGCCAGATTCGCAATTAAGCGTGCAGCGTGCCTGCGATCTTCTTGGTATACCTGTGGACGCCTTCGTCAAGGGTTTGCTTCATCCTCGAGTTAAAGCAGGTCGTGAGTGGGTCGAAAAGGTGCAAACACCAGAACAAGTTCGCTTCGCCCTTGATGCCCTGGCAAAAGGTATATATGAACGCGGGTTCGGTGATCTTGTTACAAGGATAAATCGACAATTAGATCGCAGTGGTACCGGTGCAGATGATGGTTGCTTTATCGGTGTTCTTGATATTGCTGGGTTCGAAATTTTCGAGAACAACAGCTTTGAGCAGCTATGCATCAACTATACCAATGAAAAATTGCAGCAATTTTTCAATCACCACATGTTCGTATTGGAGCAAGAAGAATATGCCAGGGAGCAAATTGAATGGCAATTCATCGACTTTGGAAAAGACCTTCAGCCAACGATCGACCTCATTGAATTATCAAATCCGATTGGTATATTTTCTTGTTTAGATGAAGACTCTGTTATGCCCAAGGCCACAGACAAGTCCTTTACTGAGAAGCTCCATTCGCTATGGGATCGCAAATCTCAGAAATATCGTGCTGCACGGCTGAGTCAAGGCTTCATTCTTACCCACTATGCTGCAGAGGTCGAGTACGACACGCAGAACTGGCTGGAGAAAAATAAGGACCCTCTAAATGACAACATAACACGGCTGTTGTCCACCTCCAGCAACAAGCATACTGCAGGTTTATTTTCCGACTGTGCCGATTTGGCTGATGCTCCCGGGGCTTCGCGAAGCTGTGTAAAGAAGGGGCTGTTTCGTACAGTAGCACAAAGACACAAGGAGCAACTGTCCAGCCTAATGACCCAACTCCATTCAACGCACCCGCATTTCGTTCGGTGTATATTGCCAAACCACAAAAAGAAGCCAAAGTTATTTAACGGTCCTCTTGTTTTAGATCAGCTTCGCTGCAACGGCGTGCTGGAAGGTATTAGAATTGTCCGTACTGGGTTTCCTAATCGATTGCCCTTTGCAGAATTCAGACATCGTTATGAAGTTCTTTGTCGCAGCATGCCGAAAGGTGTCATGGCAGGCCAGGAAGCTGCATATATGATTGTTGACAAGCTCGGAGTCGACAAGTCTTTGTACAGAATTGGCCTCACGAAGATATTCTTCAGAGCCGGCGTTCTTGCTGAATTAGAAGAGCAGCGAGATACCCTTATACGGGATATTATGACCAGGTTTCAGTCAATTGCGCGCGGATATGTGCAGAGACATCTTATCAACAAGCGTCTCTACAGGGCTGAGGCCACGCGCATCATCCAGAAGAATTTCCAGGTTTACCTGGACCTGAAATCGTCTCCTTGGTGGACATTATTTATGAACATGAAGCCGTTGCTGGGCGAAACCCGCACTGCTGGAGAGGTAAAAAAACGGGACGAGAAGATCCAGCAGCTTGAAGCAAAGGCTCAGCAAGATCTTGCTGATAGGCATAAATTAGAGGAAGACAGACGGAGGGCGGACGGCGAAGTGCAGCGTATAAAGAAGACTCTAGAGAGCGAGCGAGCACTAGCAATAGACAAGGAGGAAATTTTCAACCGCCTTCAACAACGAGAAATCGAATTGGCTGAAAAACTTGCTGGGGCAATCTCGGACCAGGAGAGTTTAGAGGACCAAGTTGATGAGCTCATTGCTGCGAAGAAGAAAGTTGAAGAAGAGTTGGAGCTTCGGAGGTCACAACTTGAGCAGGCAGCACACTTGATGGGTCGACTTGAAAACGAAAAAAAGGAACTCCAAAGCCGTATTTCCGACCTCGACGGTCAACTCCAGACCGTGGAAACGACTCATCAAAAGCGTGATAGTGAGGTTGAAAAGCTAAATCAGGACATAAAGATGCTCTCGAGCCATCTCAGTCTTAAGGATCGGAAATTGCAGGACTTAGAAGCAAAGGTTCTAAAATCAGGTGAAGATTTTGATATCCAATTGACAACGACCACGAGAGAGCTCCAATTGTCAAAAAAGCAAGTCAAAGAACTTCAGGATGAGAATCGTGAGGCCCAAAAACAAATTTCCATTCTATCGTCAACTTCCACCGATTTTGAGAAATTAATTCGCCAGAAAGAAAGTGAACTATCCATGTTTCGGGCTGACATTAAAAAGTATGAAACCGAGAAGAAAAGCATCGAAAAGGAGAGAGATACTCTGGATACCCGACACCGTGATATGCAACATCGAATTCACGATTTGCAAGCACAGATAGACGCCATGAAATCGGAGAACGCCACTTTAGAGCGTGAAGCTGGAGATGCAAAGAGGCTTCTCGAAGAAAGAGTCTCTGAGGATGCTCAATCAGGGCAGGCTAGGAAAATGTTGGACCAACAAATCAAAGACTTGAAGGCTCAGTTATATCAAGTACAAGCTGAGCTTAGCCGTGAAAGACAGTCTCGAGATGATGTGCGCATGCTTGGAGAGCACAAATATACGCAGCTCCAGCAAGAATTTGACGCGCTCAATGAATCGAAGATAACAATCGAGAAAGAAATGTATATTCAACAAGATGCTTTGAGGCGTGCAAAAGAAGCACGCGTTGCCGCAGAGGAGTCTCGAAAGGAACTTCAAACGGAAATAATAAAGCTGCGTGAACGAATTACAAAAGCTGAGAGTGCACGGCTAGATGCCGAATTGATTGCTGAAAAGAAACTAATGACTCAGGCAAATGAGAGGGTCACAAGTTTGCGAAAAGAGCTAGATGCCAAAGTCAAGCAGCTAGAAGATGCAGACACTGAACGCACGCGCCTAGCTGCCCAGGTACAAAATTTGAGTAGAATAATGGCAGAGTCAGAGGATTTTAAAAATCGTAACGATCAACATAAGGAGCGCTTGGAGCGAGAATTGGTGACCGTTAAAGGGAGGCTCACGGCCTCTGAGAATGATAACCGAGCTCTTCTAAACAAGATTCAACAGAAAAATCTTGACATCGCACGATCCAACTCCCGAGCAACCGACACCCAAAGAACTCGCCTGGGTCAGCTTCAAAGCGAAAAGTCTCGACTTGAAGAAACCAACAAACAGCTTAGCCGTCAAGTCGGTGACACTCAATTAACGATCACGTCTTTGGAAAAGCAAAAGGAGAAACTCGCCCTAAGCCTCGAAGATTTGAATCACGAAGTAGCTCGAGAACACAAAGCAAGCCGCAATGCAGAGAAAGCTGCAAGCACGGCTAATATCCAACTCGCGGAGGCGAATCGAAGTCTCGAAACTGAGCGTCAACTAAAAACACAGGCCCAAACGAACACTCGAAAGCTGCAAGAATCTCTTGATCAATCACATAGAGAAATTCAAGAGTGTCATCAACAGTTAATTCTATTGCATAAAGTGTTTAACCCAGACATCACAGAAGTTCCGACCTCATGGGAGGCTGTCAAGCCAGAGATGTCGAAGCAAATCGATATGGCAGCAGTGTTAGAGTCAGTTCAAGAGAGACTCCGAGTAAGCGAAGAAAAGTGTGCCAGAGCCGAGGGTCAGCTAGCAGATATGCGTCGTCGCCATGCAGATGAGGTTACGGAACTTGACGCTCGTTTCAGCTCCTCCAAACGTGCCCTACTAGAAGAGATTGATAACAACCAAGTTTCCAATACGAGATCACCAGGCCATTTCCGAAAAAATTCAGAGCCGTTTAAACGCTTCTCGAATCCATCGACTCCAGTTCGCCGATTCAACGTCATAGAAACTGCTAATGATTCCGGACGATCTGATCGAACGGTAGACACGGTTGCTTTTCAGAAACGAATGGATCTTGCTGCAGAAGTGGAAATGCTACAAAATCAGCTTCAAATGTCAGAGATGCAAAACCGACATCTCAAAAGCCAGCTTGACAGGGCATCCCCAGCACCGAATATTTGGCATGACGAAAGCCCTTCTGTCCGACGAATGCAGCTACTTGAAAGAGAAAACGGTCGTCTGCATGAAAAATTAGATGATTCCGCTAAAAAGGTATCAGCCCTAGAAAGGACTATCCAATCCGGAGAGCTTACCCTCCGTGACGTTCAAGCCAAATCACATGAAGAACTTTATGACTTGTTAAATTCCCAGGAGAAATCGAGGAAATCGTTGCTACAGGTGTATAAAACGAACGTAGCTGATCTGGCAGAAGCAAAAGAGCAGTTCGACAAACTTAAGCATGCGAGATCAAGCTTGGAGGTTGAGTTAAGAGATGCCACATCTGAATTACAGGAAGTACAACTTTTAAGAGAGCAAGATGCTGCTAGTCGTAGCCAGTTGCTTCAAGAATTTTCGGATCTCCAGATCCGGTTAGACGCTGAAGGCTCTAAGGTTGTTGACCTGACGGCAAGTTTAGAATTATACAAGAGCCGGGCAGATGAGTATTTCAACAAACTTGAGCATGCTGAACTTGCTGTTCTGAAAGCAAACCGAGCTGAGCAATTCGCAAAATCCCAGGCTAAAGAGGCCGAAGACACATGTGCCACCATCATGTCTGAGCGGAAACAAATGGACGCCATGGTTGAAGACTTACAGCGAGACACTCAGGCTCACGAGGAAAAGATTGAAGATCTGTCTGCCGACCTCGCCGCAGCGCTCCAAGCCAAGAGGAGGCTGCAGAACGAATTAGAAGACTACCGAAGCCAACGGGCGATGGACATCGAAGACAAGGAAGCTTCTATGGAACAGACTCGGAAGAAGTATCAAATGGAGTTTTCCACCATTACAAATGAGTTGGAAATCGAAAGGGAGAACGTGCTTCATATTCGGGGAGAAAATACCAGGCTCAGGGAAGAACTGGATGATCTCCGATCAAAATGGGATAATGAAGTCCTTAACAGCTCAACATGGGCCAAGGAAAAATCCCGACTGGAAATGACATTACAGGACGTCTCTAACTCTCGGGACGATGCTGCTCGTGCCCACAATGATGCTCAGGGCAAAGTTGTGTCACTTCTTTCACAAGTTCGCAATCTTCGAACTTCCGTGGACGAGATGACCGCAGAGCGGGACCAGCTTATCAAAGAGAAGAGGAGTCTTGAAGGGCGCCTTTCTGAAGCTGGAGAACGCCTGGAGGATCTTGCCAAGGGAGAAAACCCAGCTATGCGCAATGCTGCCGAAATGGATCGCGAATTATTGGAAGTGAAATCTAAACTTGCACAACAAGAAGATGTGGTAACTGCAGCTGTGGGTAAAATGAGGAGAGCAGAAGCCCTAGCAACGGAAATTCAAAAAGAGATAGTGGCCGAACGCGAATCAAGCGCTCAGCTGTTCAAAGATAAAGCCGCACTGGAGAAGCAGCTGAAGGAAGCACAACTGAGATGCATTGACTTGGAGACCAAGGGATATTCTTCCGGCAGCCAGGATGTGCGATTTCTACATAAAAGAATTCAGGAGGTATAGAACACGTCCAACTCTCCCGGTTTTCTAATGCTAACACTGATATAGCTCGAAACACAGCTTGACGACCAGGAGTCGAAGCGTAGCGCTGAGCAACGTTCTGTTCGCAACGTAGATCGAACAGTCAAGGATTTGCAGGCCCAAATTGAACGCCGAGAGAAGAACAACGCGCAGTTAACAGACGATATCTCGAAATCGCGAGACAAGATAGAGCGCCTCCTTCAAACCATTGACGAGTTGCAAAGCAGCGAGTCTGCGAACCAGCTGCAGGCTCGCCGTGCTGAGCGTGAACTTAGAGAGGAGAAAGAGAAATCTCTCCGGTTGGAGAGAGAACTAGATGGGTGGAAGGCCCTACGAGTAGAGAGGGGGAGCGCCATTGGACGAACCGGCACTTTTGCTGGGTTGAGTGACATTGGCATAGGTGAACGGTTTGGGAGCCGCCGGGGTAGCGGTGTCTTTGTGGGATCCGGGCCAAATGGCACAATTGAAGTTCCTCAAAGAAAAACGAGTAACACGAAGGGTTTCTTGTAAATGTGTTAGGCCGTGATTTGTTGCATTTGGGGTGCTGCGTTTTGGTAGGGCTAGCTTCTTGTGGTCGGTCTTTGTTTATATCAGGTGTAATTTCATGTAGATCTTATGGTAATGATAAATGCATAATGGCTGTTTCATGGAGTTCAGCGGTGTCTTCAAACCTGGTCGTTGCAATCGTCAGTGATATCCGTCGTTGTTCGAGACCGACTTCCCGATTAGGGAAGGTAAGCTATATAATCGAAATATAGTGCCCACCCCCACCGCCCTGTGCCTTAACCAATCACAGTAGGCCACGGTGACGCCATGATCACCTCAGAGTGCCCGGACCAAGCACGAATCAGTCATGGGCAAATGAGCTCAGGCCTCGCTGTGGGGAAACTGTACAGGGATTTCCGCGTCTCGCGTTGCTGGCGGGCAGAACGCCCGCTCGTGTCTGCGATGCAACGTCTTCGCGTTGTTCCATATGGAAGGAAATAAATATATTATTGCTGAGAGCGCCATCTATTGCCATGTCGTGAACTGCCCTTACTCCGTACTTCTAGTATATATGAGCTCGGCTGCTCAAAACGGGTCTATCTGATTCAGGATGAAGGCTGCCTTTCGCAACACCTGCTGGAAGCCTTCGATAGTCTCAAGACCGAGGCTTTCGAGACAAGCCCCAGTTCTAACTTCCCACCGGCAATTTTTGCATTCCCATCGACCTAGTAAAGCTCCCGCAGCTGCAAGTCAAGAGAACGTGCAGCGGCCGTACGATTCTTCAAACCCAGCCCTTTCTTTTCCTTGTCTAGATGCGTTAGATGCGAAATCGGCTCTCCTTTCTACTAGATCCCTTTCCTCTGGTCCGGAGCCCTCTTATACAACTGGCCAGCATGAACAGTTTCAATCGTCTGGCCTATTACTGCTGGATTGGGGTGGTGTGCTGCCGGAATTCGAGATTGCATATGAGACCTGGGGGACATTGAATTCGCAGAAAACCAATGCCATACTTCTCCATACCGGCCTATCGGCGTCGAGCCATGCGCATAGTACCAAGGCAAACCCAAAGCCGGGCTGGTGGGAGAGGTTTATCGGGCCTGGAGCACCCCTAGATACGGATAAATATTTTGTTATTTGTACCAATGTCATTGGGGGCTGTTATGGCAGCACGGGGCCTTCATCAATTGATCCATCAGATGGAAAACGCTATGCCACCAGGTTCCCTATTCTCACTTTGGACGATATGGTTCGAGCCCAGTTTCGACTACTGGATTCACTAGGAATCGAAAAACTATCTGCGTCGGTAGGGTCGAGTATGGGTGGCATGCAGAGTTTGGCTGCGGGTGTATTGTTCCCCGAGCGTGTGGGCAAAATCGTGACTATCAGCGGCTGTGCCCGTAGTCACCCCTACAGCATTGCCATGCGACATACACAACGACAGGTGTTAATGATGGATCCCAACTGGGCTCGTGGGTTTTATTATGACTCCATCCCTCCCCATTCTGGCATGAAACTTGCCCGAGAAATCGCCACTGTGACCTACCGCAGTGGCCCAGAGTGGGAGATGAGATTTGGGCGCAAACGTGCCGATCCAAGCAAACAACCGGCACTCTGCCCAGACTTCCTTATAGAAACATACCTCGATCATGCTGGCGAAAAGTTTTCTTTAGAGTACGACCCAAATAGTCTTTTATATGTCTCGAAGGCTATGGATCTTTTTGACCTTGGCATTTCTCACCGGCTGCAAGCGCGTCAACGACGGGTAGATAACAAACGGAGACTCTCGACGAGCACAGCTGTGCCCCACAATCATCCATCCTGCAGTCTTACTCTTCCCATGCGACCATACGAAGAACAGCCCATCGAATCGAACGGCTCTTCGCCAATAGACGCAGGCGACCTTGACGGCTCTCCTACGTCGTCTTACCCCTTGAAGCCGCCTGCAGACTTGGTGTCCGGCTTAAAGCCACTCCAGAGCCATCCCATTCTCGTAATGGGAGTGGCAAGCGATATCCTCTTCCCGGCCTGGCAGCAACGCGAAATTGCGGAGTCACTGCGAGCCGCCGGAAATACCACTGTAGAACATCATGAACTGGGAGAGGATGTGTCCGCATTTGGCCATGATACCTTTTTGTTGGATTTGGAGAATATTGGAGGACCTGTCCAGCGTTTTTTGGCATAGGTTCAGTTATGGTTGTATCAAAAGGACTGCCTTGAGATGAAACAGCATTTGCTGTTAACGAATTATGATATATAGTATTTACTCTTCTTTCCACAGATATGTATATTCCAGGAATATTCGACATTTTAGGCAAAATCAAACAAAATTGTGGCATTTATAAAAATAGTTAGGAAGACAAAGCAAATAAGTCGGTTCACCAACACAAAGCCCTCAGATTAGCTCTCTCAGGTTCTCATCGATTTCCAGGCAATGCTCAAAGACAAGGAACCTTAAGAAAGATTTGAACCCTGTCTTTGATTGTATCAAGTCAATCCTTTGCAGATCGAATTGCCGGATACCATACAACTTTGGCTTAAGACACAGAAGTCATCACTGGGTATTGTTTGGTGGACCAGTTAATTTGCAGCGGTTACGGACTTGAATATTCCTGAATTGACACAAATCTCAAAGGAAAGGGTATGAAAGTAGAAAAGATATAAGAAAAGTCGAGTAGCGTTTAGCCATCGGAAGAGTGTATATTTATCATATGTTCACGAATGTCTTGCATAATTCAATCATTCTAGCCTTTCTAAAACAGAGTTGATAGCACTATTCAATGCCGGGTCAGCAAAATATCGAGGAATTGATGTGTTGGGTAGCAAGCAAAGGTAAATGATATAATCAGATTGAAAACTACATATTGATATCTCATCAGCGTCGTGCTACAACGCCGCTACCTTTGCAGACAACATGCGGAGCACTGGGTCATCTAAACCCATCACTCAGTGTAAAAAATGTGTCATCCTTAAACGGTATGGTAGTAATAAAAAAATTCAACACATACCTCAGTAGTACCAATTTCAATCATTTTACTGACTGTAACTCAATTCACGATATAAGATTGAAAAGTAATTATAATTTCACGGAGGGATATCTGGGAATGTAAATAAGATATTACTAGCAAAACGTTAGATGACACGTCTCTCAGATCTCTGTTCGTTCCCAATCATTGATGCCACATGTTTTAATTAGGAGCTGGTTCTTCCACGCGATGCACGGCGGCCGGGGATGAGCTCAGCATTGAGGGCACCTCAAGGAAGCTCGGTGAGGGTCATCATCATCGAAACACGTTATGAGTGCAAGGCTGATGTCGAAGCAAAAAGTAAGTTGGAGGAGTGATATTGCGCTAAGCTCAAAATGGCAAAGTGCATTGTGACCACGGTCAAGACCTAACCATCAAGAATAGGTACCTAATTGTCGGCACGCATATATAGAGCAATTGGCACCCACACAAGTCTCCTTCATAATGGCCCAGCAACCAGCCACCCTCCGGAATGGAGCTTCTATTTGGTAGCTCCCAACGGTCCGACGACGACAACGACTTCGATTTCGACCCTCAATGTGAATGCGACACTCCAGACCACATCGAACACCGTCACGACGAACCAAGTATAAGAGAAACCATGGCCTCTTGGATCCAACGCCAAAGCAATTCCCACTACGTGCAACTTGCTGGTGCGGCTCTCCTTTCGGGCACTGCTGTTGCTGGCGCTATCCTCGGGTATCAAGCTGTCAAACGAAAAGCTGCTGTTGACCAGTTGAAGAAATCGATACCGGAGCTTCATCATGACCATGCAGCGCACTCGGTTAGTTGCTTATTATGCCCTTCGGGCTTGCTCCCGCGGTCAGTTTTGAATTTTTGCAGACCAATTGACCAGTGAAAGTGAAGCTTACAGAGTTTGGCGTACTACCTCCCCCAAGCTTCAAGCAAAGCAAAGAGGACGAGCGGAGTGCGGCTCTAGCTTGGAGAGCGCAAGATGGAGATTATGATGAAGGTAGGATAATTATGCATACTGGGTTTGCCTGATTGATTGTACTAACACGATTTCTCTTCCTGTAGATCTTATTCTCGAACAACTTGCGCGAAACAGGGCCTTCCTTACCGATGACGGCTTAAAGAAGCTACGTTCCGCCTTTATAATTGTTGTCGGATGTGGTGGTGTTGGCTCTCATGCTATAGCTGCTCTTGCGCGATCCGGTGTGGGCAAAATTAGGCTTATCGATTTTGACCAAGTGACCTTATCTTCGTTGAATCGACATGCTGTTGCCACCCTTGCGGATGTTGGGATGCCAAAAGTGTTCTGCATTAAAAAGAGGTTACAACAGATTGCGCCATGGGTGCACTTTGATCCGCAGAATAAACTCTTTGTCGACTTTGCGGCAGACAAATTGTTAGGCCCCTGGGATATACCTGGGGATACAGACACTCCTAAACCAGATTATGTGTTGGATTGCATTGATAATATTGACTCAAAAGTTTCCTTGCTTCGCTATTGCCATTCTCACGGCATTCCAGTGATATCTTCTATGGGCGCCGGATGTAAATCCGACCCAACACGAATTATGGTTGGTGATATATCAACAAGCAACGAAGATCCGCTATCGAGGAGCACCCGCCGCCGTCTAAAAGCGTTAGGCATTTTCTCTGGCATACCCGTTGTCTACTCGATCGAGAAACCAGGTCCAGGGAAGGCGGAGCTACTCCCTTTGCCAGAAGAAGAATTTCAGAAAGGCGAAGTGGGCGAGCTAGGCGTTCTTCCCGAATTTCGCGTGCGCATTCTCCCCGTTCTAGGCACGATGCCTGCTGTCTTTGGCTATACGCTGGCCAACCATGTCATTTGTGACATATCTGGGTACCCGAACGATTACAATCCTGGCGGAAAGGGCAGAGACAAGCTATACGATTCCATTCTAGGGAGTCTCCAAGGAATGGAAGAACGGCTCGCGAAGGCTGAAAACAAAGACCCTGTGGGGCTTAGAATTCCCATCACCAAAAACGATATTGGATATCTACTAGAGGAGGTGTGGAGGGGGAAGAGTATCGTCAGTGGGCTCACTACGCGTCTTGTGTTAGTACGATGGAAGAAGCCGGAGTGTGGGTTTGGAGCTGACCCTGAATGGGAGGCGCACGGCCAACGTGGAGTGAAGCTACAACTTCGAGAATTGGTATGTATGACTAAAGAAGAAGCCCTGCGGCATGAGCGAGAGGTACTCAAAGGTGGGAAAAATCCCGAAGATCTTTATGACGAGATTATCCTGCAAAAAGTTCGAGACACGATGCATGAAGAGGAGACCTTTGAGAAGTACAGGTAGATGTACATACATATTTTTCGAATACCTAAACACCGAACGATCTTTTTGTCTGTCATTCCCAAACATTGTGTCAATAAACACTGTAGAGCCACCCCCTGTGTTGCCGCGGGTATAGTTCGGGGCCGGTCCAAGATCAAGCAACGGCCCCAGCGCCCGGCCCACACGAGCAGTTGCCGCATTGCACAGGGCGCCTTGGAACCCCCGACCTTTCCAATCCTACCATTGAAACCCCTACTTTCTAGCTACAAAATCAACTCTGAAGGTGTTTCCACTACTCCGTATTCATCTCTAATAATCATGAACTTTGCTCATTCCATTTAACCTTACGGTAAGTTGGTGCTAGCTAGCTAGTTAAGCTAACTAGTTACTCTGGATATGGCTTGAGTTGCGTGTTGCCTGGGGGGTCAACACAGCCTTGCCCAGTTCCGCCCGCTTTGCCAGCACATACCAGATTTCCGATTGGCAACGCTGCAGCTTGGGCAGTAATTCTGTTAGAGGATGTACTCTTCACAGTCATCCCTACCATACCATACGTCGAGTTTTCCCCGTCCGGCTCCTGCTCCTTTGCCCAAACGGCCGCTCATTGAATCGGCGCGAAATGCCTGGTCAGAGCACAGCTTCTGCGAGCACCAGAAGCCCCCCATGGCGCCGAATCTGATCGTCGCTCTGATCACAGCCCCACGCTTCCGACGATATCTCCTTGTTTATTCGATTCTCTTGGCGATTTGCGGGTTCACCTGGATCGAATTCGCGTCGCCGAGACTGAAGGAACATGGTGTGCTTTTGAGGTCCCTAGACCAGAACAACAAAGACCTTGTTGGAGGCTGGTTTGGAACGAATTCGAAGCCCAGGTTCCCAGAATTTATCCATCTTGCAACGTTAGATTCTCGGTTCTTGCCGGAACGAGGAGAAACGGACAAAATATCAAAGAGGCTGGTGGTGGTGGGCGATGTGCACGGCTGTCGAGATGAGTGTATGTTCAAGAGAGTAATTTTGGAGTTTAAGTGCCATCATGTTGAAATATCTAACTTCTGATATTATTTATAGTGGACAAACTCCTTCGTAAGATCTCTTTCAATCACGAAGCCGGAGACCACCTGATTTTTGCCGGAGACCTTATAAACAAAGGTCCGAAGAGCGTCGAAGTTATTCAAGCAGCTCGCATGTACAATTCTTCATGTGTCCGCGGGAACAATGAAGACCGCATCCTTCTCTACCGTCAGGAGCTCGACCACAGAGGCGGACTGTCCTTCGTAAACCCCAAGACTAATATCGGTTTGCCAAACGACGAACTTGGTGGCATTACTGAAGGTGAATCACTAGAAAATGAGATTCTTCCATTTGGGAAACATCAAGAGCATGTAATTGCACGAGACCTTAGTGAAGAAGATGCAGCGTGGCTACACAAGTGCCCGGTGATCCTGAAAGTAGGACATATAAAAGGTATGGGAGAAGTAGTGGTCGTGCATGGAGGCCTTGCTCCTGGAGTACCTCTAGAGAATCAAGACCCCTACTCTGTCATGACGATGCGCACTCTGGATTTAGACACCCACGCGCCAAGCTCAAGCTCGGACGGTATGAGTTGGGCAAAGGTAATATCCCGCCTTCTTTTCACGCTTGGTCAATTCTAAAATGGGTTTGTTTTAGGTGTTTAACAAGTACCAGTCCCTTTATACGTCTTCCACCTCCGGTACATCGAAACCTGAGCCGACAACAGTGATTTATGGTCATACTCCTCACAAATCGCCTGCTCTCCTACAGTTCACAAAGGGCCTTGACACGGGGTGCGTAAAAGGCGGGAAACTCACGGCGCTGGTTATTGAAGATGGGAAAACAAAAATCAAACAGGTAAGGTGTAAGAGCTATGTATAAACCTTGAGGGGGGTTTTGGATTGGGGTTGAAGTATGTATATATTCGATAAAATTTGAGTGGAACGGTAGCATACGGAGTACATGCGCATGGATCGGAGCTGAGGTCTTAAAAATTTTGGCTGCTCTGGTTAAAAGGCTCTTAATGGTTGGTTATCCCTCAGCACCCATTGTTTATGTTGACTGCATTTTATGTATATAATTTCAGCGGATTGTACTGTCCTTGACTAGTTATACAACAATATTATTTCCATTTAAGTTTTAACTTTTTGGCTATTAAAGTGTACTACATCTGTATGGAGCACATGTATTGTTGTAGAAGCTTATACACGGTACACGGCAAATCTACTGACGGATGGATATATGTAGTGCGAAGCAATTATCATACTGTTTGACCGTCACTAATCTCGAGGAACTTCCTACCAACTCCTAGGGGTATAACAGTATTCAAAAGGCAAAAACGCTCAGATAGACAAACACGCGTTTGAAGGCCCGAAGGCGGTAGGAGGTAGCTCATCTCTTTGGGAATAGCAAATATTATTAATTCGAGTATCACTCAGGGGCGTAAAGTTCAAAGGAAGGGACTGCGCACATCAATTGCTCATAAAAGGCCAGTGTGCATAAGTAATAAAACAAATAACAGGGGTATCAGAAGAGAGAGAGCGCATTAGGACATTTCCTGTTTTTCATGATGAATTGACGGAATATTTAGACCCGGTGGCGGCCAAACCAACGGCGACGATGGCCACTACAATCGAAATATTATTAGTGAACAACGTTTACTCCAAACGAGTCAGTCATAAACTTACGGAGTGGCTGCATCTCCAGCGACAGCGCGGTTTCGTGTACGGAAAGTGAACCAAATGCCCTGAATCAAGTTGATCAGCTATAGATCTCGATGCAATCATAATAACATGCTATACTTACCACTAAAGCAGAGACCATCCAGAAAATAGCAGACAGAAAACTGAATGCTTCAGAGGCCTTCCAGCGAGAACAGATATTTCGGTCCGTAATGTGGCCCCATTCGAAGATTCCTCCGCAATCAAACCTACGCAGGGTGTTGACCAAGAGTCCGAATGCCGCAAGCCATGCGAAAGATAAGAGCATATCAACTGCAGGATGATTAGCGCGACATAAGAGAAGAACAAATCAGGTAAAGGGAGCATACTCGGCCACGTGAAAAACGAGCTTGAGAAAGGCAGCAGCCATAGCAGCGCTAGCAGAATAGAGAGACCGGCTATGACCTCAGTGTAGATCCAACGGGCCTGTGGCCAGGCATCGGCCTTGTCGAAATCATGGAGATACGATCCGACAATACCAGCAACGACCTGCAGAGCTGATTAGCTATATACATCCGTAAGACCCAAGTCAGGTAAACATACAGCCGCGAAGATTAGCTCTCCAACGCGGAGGATAATGGACACGACGCGTGATATGATAGGCATTTTGACTGATCAGGGAGTCGCTTGGTACAAAAAAGTACTGGCAGGGATGCTAAGGTGCTTTAAACTGAAAGAAGGGATGTTGGTAGGAAATGTCAATGATTGTTTGAAGCAAACAATGTTGCTGCTGCGGTGAAGAGCAGCGGTCAGCAAATGTGGCGGATGGCAAAATAAAAAAAAAGATGCCTCAAGATGGGACAACGGCTTCATTTATATTAGCTGAAACACATAATAAAGCAAGGAACCAGCTTTTTGCTAGGCTAGTTATGTCACTAGCATCGCGTCGCCGGCCGGCTACAGCCCTAGCTCAGAAGGCTAGGCAAGACACAAGAGATGACGCATTCTCCTCCACCCCCAGCCCGATCGTGCATTGTTCTTTTTCAAAAAACCTTTGTTTTTGCTTTCTGGGGTGGCCTCTCCCGCACGGCCCTGCCAATGGGAATGCTGGGGCACGGCAAATGAGGCAGAGGTCAGAAGTCCTGCCCAACGAAAAAGGCGCGTCGTCGGACTAGAGGGCCAATCTTTGCTTAGCGGCAGCCATCCGGCCTGGTTTGCTGTGATGGCGGATTGATGTGGCAACAAGGTGGCCGGGGGTCTTGTAATATCAGTGGCCCTGTGGGACAGGGATCGTCGCGCTGGAAACTGCTGGCGGGAACGGAGCTAGTCAGCTGTCATACATGTGGTGTGGTGCTCTTCAAGCCATCGCACCCAGCTCTTCTGAAACAGCAGCGGCTTCACGGTCGCGCCAGACAGACGGCCGGCGTCCTGGTCGCGCGCTGCTAGGCCAGCCGTCGCCCGCCCGCCTGGCAAGCTCCGGGTGAGGTGGTCGCGAGAATCCACATGACTGGCGATGCGCGTCATCGGTGGCTTGTGTCCAGCAGCACAATCATGCGCTAGCCGCAACAAGCCTAGCGCCAACGCCTCGCAACTTTGCTCGGGCCTGGCCACCCGGATGACGTCACGCGGCAGTCACAATTTCCCTGCAAAAACACGCGGGTCGTGCTCGGATTGCGACCCTGCCCGTTGACCGCGCAGCCGAGGACCGTTACCTGGACATCACAGGGAAGAAGGTGCTGCGGATGTGTAAACTTCCTCTCTCCCGACGTAGAATAATAATAATAATAATGCTGCAATATGGAATCCGCGCGATGGCAAACATATAGAGTACAAGCGCAGGGCAAACGGCGGAAATCAAAACAAAAATCAAGAAGACCCGTGGATATCAGCCCAGCCATTCTCTGCCTCACTGGCTTCAATCCAAGAACCACCCAAAAAGCTTCCTAAACACTTGCTTACCGCCTGTCTCGATCACGTCCCCATGGCAAGGGATTATCCGCTCGAAATCCCACCGATCGATTCGCTTAAGGGATTCCTTCCACTCAGCTCGGTTTCCCGCTAATAAGTACCAAATGAGACGCTGCTGCCAAATCGCATTGCCGCTCGTAGTCCAGACCGGCATAAACAGCTTGGTCAGGATCCCCTGGGTCGCGCCACCCTCCTCCTTCTCAAATTGCTGCGTGGCTGGGAGGTTAAAGAACATGTCTGCCTGCAGTAGTGTCTTGGTGGGTTTGTGGAAGACGACTATCTCGCGGTTCGGGTGGCTGGGGAAATATTCCGTGTCGAACTCCTTGTTGAACTCATCGAAAATTTCGGGATTATGTCGGTCTTGCGGGTTGAACCGATAGTCAATCTTCGCCCACTCCCTTGTGCTGGGGTTCTTTTCTCTTTTCTCTTGAAGACCATGCGGGCCTATTATTCGGGCCTCTGGAAAGGCCTTTTTCCAATCGCCCAGGAAAATGTGATGCTCTATATCTGGCGCTATGATGTATCTGATCGGAGAGTTGAGAGCAGTGACCAGCCCTTTAACGTGTTCTGTCAGGGCAACAGGCGAAAAGACGGCGCTGGCCCCAGACGCCATGCGAACTGCCCCTTTTTGTTAACCAACCAGGCTTCCCTGTCGTTTGGATCGGCAACGGTGCGACCGCACCAATAGTAGACAGACTTACCGATTGTACCACGTCCGCCGATTCGTAGAACCCCAAAGCGATAAAAGGGAACACTGCATGTTACGATGTTCTGGTTCTCAAGCTCCCGGATGACCATAACCTCTTCTGCGTTCGTTGGAGTAAGGGCGGGAGACATTGCGCAGATCCTTTTCCAATACCATGCAACAGTTGATGTTTGTCGCCTGCTAGCGATGGGAGTATAGGAAGCACAGCAGCCTTTATTTGCATCAAATAGTACACGGGCGAAAATTTCTGACGTCCTATTATTAAGGCACTGGATTTTGAGCCTCGGTGGCATAATGTTTGATCCGAGTGATGTAACTTGCATGCCACCCAGTCAGATGGTCTAGAATAGTCGGATGACATGGAACACCCTTCCCATACAATCAACATTTTCTTGTGTTCACAGTGAATGGGTGAATGTGAACAAAAGTAAATGCTAAAAATCCCAAGTCATTAAATATGCATTGACACTACAAGCCACACCACAGGTATAAATGTACCGTATTTACAAGAATAGAATATTATCACAACACAACAAATATATATTGATCACAATGCCACCCCAGGTGTATTAGATACCATGCACCCAAAAATTTTTCAAAGAGCTCAGACAGCCTCCCAACCATAAACAGCTTACAAACGCTGACTTGCAAGCGCGGTCTGACCGCGCTGCTCCTCTTCATCTCTATGAGGGATTAAGGGCTTTTTAATATCGAAAACCTCAATCAAATCTCGCCAGGTTTCGAAGTCAAGGCTAAAAACAGCCTGGAACTTCTCTATGCCTTGATCCCTAGCTTCGGATGCTGTTACTGGCTTTGATGGATCTAGAAAAAGTGACGGTCAGCTCTATCTTAGGCCACTTGAAGGAAAATCTGGACTCACGCAGCGTGGGGAGCTGTTTACTGTCAGTATAGACTCCGACACTCCCGTCTCTGACCAAAAAGCTGACGTAAAATAGATTCTCCACGGTCTGTCCAAAGGAGTTTGGATTGATGCAGAATTTGAAAAGTGGCACTCCACCATCATCGGCCAGGTCATATTTGTCCACAACCTCCCGAATCTGGTCTTGTGTAGGCTCTTTCAACTTGGAAAGCTCGTTGGTAGCACGCGCCTCACCTGATTGCTGCTTGGTTACTAGGATTTTCCGAATCTCGGTGCAAATAGCTGTCAAATTGGCGGTCTCCAGCTTCTCCAAATCCTCGGCTTGGAGTTGTTGCGGGCGAACTGCCTGGGATGGATCGATCCTTTCCTGCCTTGCCCTTCGCTGTGTGACCTGCCGGGTTCGCTTTTGAACAGACAGTGGGCCATACAAGAAACCAGAGAGTGAAGGCCGCAGATTGTAGGGAAGACATGCCTGCCTACCCAATACATCCCAGTTGAGGGTGTCATCTTCATCTTCATACTCCTCGATATTTCCACCATCGGTTCGGCGCCGACGTCGTTGAGAGCTCACTTGCTGGCTGGACGATGATGCCTCATCAGTAGCTCCCCCACGCATGAATGATATACATTTTGATACAAACTCATCCACATCAATGCCTGCAGCTGAGTCTCCCAGAACCGCTTGTGCAGTACGCTTATACGATAGATCAGCTGCAGCCACGAGAAGGCGAGAATCAATTGTCGCATCTGATGTCTGTTTAACGGACATGAAAAGCTCATTAGCCTTTGTAACGGTATCGTGGATGCCCCTAGACCGTGTTTGTAGGTATTCGGCGCGCGAATCTAAGTGAATGTCAGCAACCGTTATATCCAAGTATTCTAGACGGAAGCAATACCGTTCATTTTATTTGTGAGCTCTCGTAGACTCCTACGGATCGCCCTTCGTTCTTCAGGATCCTGATCCGGGTCATAGAGGCTAGTATCACCCAGGTCCGCCAATTTATCTCTATGAACCTTCTCAACATGGACCCTGTCCGAGACCCTACGCCGTTTATTCGATGTATCCTCCATGGTTGAGGTTGTTGTTCTAGCTTGCGCTGACGATCCGCCCTGCTTTCGTTTTTCTGCGCGTGATGCCGTTGGTGAAGCGCGGTTTTCTTTGTCCGAAGAGGACGCCAGCGATGCGCCCGTGGAGCCTTGAGGAGTTGACTGAAGGTCTGAGCTATTGTCAGTTGGAGACTGAGCCATAGCCTTCGCCGTTCTTTGTAGAGATAGAGTTAAATGTAGAGTCGGATGTTTTCCCGTACTCCGCCGTACTGTCTGTTAGAGCGCGTCTAAGTAGAAAATGAGCAAACATGCGGGTACTTCCATGAAGGAAAAAATTCCAAATAAATAGCAGTTGCTCAGTGCACAGCTGGCCACCTTCACAGCCTTCAGATCTCAGCCTTATGGCCACCCAGTGTGTTGTGACCTTTCATTGTTCACTTGAACCATTTAATTGACAAAACGCGGTGGCCCGTGCACGCCTGCATATATCGGATTAACATATTCCCGAAAGATCTGACAATAGGGCTGGAGCTATGAGAAGCCCTAACTGCCTGTTTAAGCAGGCTAAGCAACTTGGGGTCCAATCAGCTGGGGCACCTGGCAGCAACGTTGACATCACTAGCATTCGCGATTCTCAAAGGAGCAACTTTGTGAACGCAGAGGCGGCCAGCAATCAAAATACACAAGACAAGAACCTTTGCGAAACAGATGCTGAGCTAGACTATTGCTTTGCGCACGATCAACCATTTGTGTTTACAAACAGTGATGACACTCAGGAGAATGGAACAGATTCCATTGCTGACTCTGCCTCTTTACTAGAAGATTGGGACGTTATTGGAAAAATGGAAGCATTTACATTCGCAACATCAACACAGGTGCCTCTACCAATACGTGTCAAAATGTATGAAGCTTCTCCTGCGTCAGTCATGACCATTTATCGCTAATAATCATTGCTAGATGCAATCTTGAAGGGAAGCAGAGACAGATACCCTACTCTGAACTCCTTCAAAATGAAAGACTTCGGCACCTCGGGTCAAGTCAGAACCCGATATCTGATCTTTATGTTACAGTGCAGTTGTGGTCCAGCTGCAAACCTTTGGGTGTCAACATGCAAACGTCATACAAATCGTTCAAGACGTCGCGCACTTGGAATGAGTGGCTCGAAATGCCAGTCCTGATCAAGGATGCCCCCCAGAATTCCCAGCTAGGTATTACCATCTGGGATCTCGATCCAATGGGTGATGATTCGTTCCATGGCCACTCAACTCCCTTTGGTGGCACTACAATTTCCATTTTTGATGAGGATGGTACGCTTAAGAAGGGGAAGCAAAAATGCAAGATATATAGGCATAAAGCAGCAGATGGTTTCACCAACACGACCACTCCAAGCATACCTACCCCCAAGCGCCGAACCGGTCAGTTTGTTGAAGAAGGCCTTACGCCTGAAGAGTTGGAGTTGGAGCGCCTCGAGAAGCTTCTAAAAAAGCACGAAATGGGTGAGATTCCCAGGGTCGACTGGTTGGACCAGTTGGTTTTTCGAGCAGTAGAGAAGAAGAAAATCGAAGCCGAAGAAGCTGCTAAAAAGCGTGCGTTACGAAATAAAGTCGCCCGAGAGAAATACATCGCCGAGAATGGCGTGGAGGCAAATGAGTTAGGAGACGATGGCATAGATGAGGAGAATTTTGTGCTCTACGTTGAATTTCCGCGTTATGATTTTCCTATTGTCTTTCAAGACTTTGAATATCCACCGCCACCTATCTCCACTTTCTCCCAGAAAACTAACTCCATGAGCCAAACGCTTCGTCCGCCCCCCGAAGTTCGTCTTGGCCCTGGAATTGGCGGTGCTGACGATGACGAGAACTACCCAATTATCAAAGTTTACGACCCTGAGGTGGGTCAAAAGGGAAACCCATGCGAAGACAAACATCGTAGATTAGTTCGAAGTCACCGAACCGGAATTATGGATCGCGATCTCAAGCCCAACGCGAAAATCCGGGATGAATTGAATGATATCATGTCTTATGGACCTACTCAGGAATTAAATTCCGAGGAAAAGGATCTTGTCTGGAAGTTCAGATACTATCTCACCCGCGAAAAGCAAGCGCTCACCAAGTTCGTGAAGTCTGTCAATTGGCAAGATGCTAGCGAAGCACGCCAGGCCGTTGAAATTCTTCCAAAATGGACCGAAATAGGCATAGATGATGCTCTTGAATTACTTGGCCCAACCTTTGATAACCCTGCTGTTCGAGCCTACGCTGTTGAGCGTCTGAGGAAATCTGATGATGAGGAGCTACTGCTATACTTGTTGCAACTCGTGCAGGCCTTGAAATATGAAGGCATTCCTGAACATGCAACGGAAGAGTCTGCGCAGGACTCTTCCTTGAGTAACTTTCTGGTTACCCGAGCTGCGCAAAACGTTCTTCTCGGGAGCTATCTTCACTGGTATCTGATGGTCGAATGCGACGACAACACGGGCAACTCATCTGCTCACCGTGAACTGTTCGCCCGCGTCGAATATTATTTCATGGTTGAGCTAGAAAGGGTTAACCCTGACCAGAGAAAGACTCTCTTAAGACAGGGCGAACTCATTACCGTATTTTCATCGATCTCCAAGGACATCCGGTTGTCTAAGATCAACCGCAATGCGAAGATTGAACAGCTGAAAAAGTGTCTAGCAGATCCCAAAAACGAGATCGTGCAGATCGATCCGCCACTACCTCTCCCTCTAGACCCTGAAGTTCGAATTATCGGGTGTTTCCCAGAAGAGTCGAATGTCTTCAAGTCTTCTCTATCACCTCTCCTTATTAACTTTAAGCTTGCTGGTGGGCGAAAGTACCCGGTTATATTTAAAGTGGGAGATGACCTTCGACAAGATCAATTGGTCATCCAGATCATTAGTCTCATGGACCAGTTACTAAAAAAAGAGAACTTGGACCTGAAGCTTACCCCTTATCGTGTTCTTGCGACCAGCGCAAATGCTGGGGCTATGCAATTTGTCCCATCGACCTCCCTTTCGGCCGCGTCTGAGAAATACAAAGGTTCAATCCTGGCGTTCTTGAAAGCAAATAACCCCGACGAAAGCGAGCCTTTAGGCGTACGTAAAGAGGCAATGGATACCTATATCAAATCCTGTGCGGGATATTGCGTAATTACGTATCTTTTAGGGGTTGGAGACCGGCATTTGGAAAATCTCTTACTGGCTCCAGACGGCCATTTCTTCCATGCCGATTTCGGATTTATTCTTGGCCGCGATCCAAAACCCTTTGCACCAATGATGAAACTATCCAAAGAAATGATCGAAGGAATGGGCGGTGCGAACTCTCCAAATTATCTCCAATTTAAACAGCACTGTTTCACGGCGTACACTACGTTGAGGAAATCTGCCAATCTTATTCTGAACCTGTTTAGTTTGATGGCTGATGCGAACATTCCTGACATTCGAGTCGAGCCAGATAAGGCGGTGTTGAAAGTTAAGGAGCGGTTCCACCTTGAGTTGAGTGAAGAAGAGGCCATTCGCCATTTTGAACAGCTGATTATTGAGAGTGTCAACGCGGTCTTTGGGGCAGTCATTGATCGCATTCATGATCTTGTTCAGGGGTGGCGAGCTTGAGCCTAGCGAGCTAATACTTATCACGATGACCTAGGATGGTAGCCTCGTTGCATTATTCTTCCCGGTGCTAAACTATCCTCGAAGCTTACGTTTTATGTTTTATTTTGAAGAACAAAGGCAGCCGGAACTAGATTTGTCAAATAAATACCCTTTTGCATTTGTTAGCTCTTCTTTCTTGCGAATAATGGCATCTAGCGAGGTGTAATTTGGCGTTAAATTGAGAACTTCGAAAGCATTTTCACTCGACTATATACAACCACGTAGTAGTTAAGAGGCCCGAGCCAAAATATGTAACACCTTTATTCTATCAGTTATCTAGTCCACTCGCCAGTTGTAGTTATATAAGACCCATATACAATTATAATTTTCATTAAGCATAACATTTCACAATGAACGCTTAGGTTTCCTTCACATTATCCGAAATACGGACTTCACAGCCCTGCTGGAAAACGCCGTCATCTCTTTTAGGGCTACGCTCCCGACTCTCTTCAGTTTTTTCGTCTATTACCCCCTGACGTCTCCCTTTCGCATCTTCATCGTCTTCTGGAGTTCCTGGTCTGCATGCCCACCCATCAACAAACCGAAGTACATCTCTTTTCCACCAGCGGTTCATAAGTAATAGTCTAAACGGAACGAGCAAAATAATCAGCACCGGGAATGTAGGTGCACCTTTCGTGAGAGTTAAAATGAATATTGCAGTTGTTAGAACGACCTGGAGAATGGTATATAGGTGAATGGGGAGGTACGACGAGTTAGACAACGGAGCTGGAAGGGGAGGAAGCTCGGAAGGAGAGGATAGAAGATGGAAGAAGCGGTAAAGAAGAGGGCTATTCTCGTGGTTAGTGCCATGTTAAGGTAGGGGTTAGGTGTGGTGAGCGTACTTGACCGATAAGCTCTGCTCACCCATAAAGAGAAACAGCCCAGCCAGAACACTTGTGGGTGTTAGGCCGAGAACTTTCATTAGAGGCGGGCTGATGAAGACGAGAATACCACAAGCATGAAGAAAATGCGACCATCGTTGTTCATATACGCGGTCATTTTCGATCATACGGACCTCCGTTTCTCCGTCGACTTCCGTCATTACCTCTTCCTTTTCTGTATGCAAGAGGGATTCTGAATGCAGCGGAGCTTGTGGCAGTAAGCCATTTGCAGGCGGAATACCTAGAATACCGCAAAGAGCCGTTGTAACTCCTAGGAGCACGATGTCCCACGCAAAGCCGCCAGGCTTCCGCGTCCCATATCTCTCAATAGTGCATATTATAGAGCTGATTTCATGATCAAAGAAAAAGAGCATGGTGATAATAAGTGCAGGTATGATTGCTGCAAATACCCAGCGAACTGGTAATTTCCAAAACTCGACCAGGAACGTTTCACGATCCGGCGACGTGGGACGAAAGGAGGTAGAAACAACGAGCGTAGTTTTGTCCAAGTGCGCCAATTCTCCAATATAAGGCATTCCAACAAATATTATAATCGATATAGCGGCAGCATATTCAGATAATCCAAGGCGAATATAACGATGAAATAAAGGTTTCCAGTGCTGCGCTGTTGACAAAAATATTGCCACCAGCATGGTCCCAATCGCGCCAATCACTGCGTACAGAAATGCGGCAAAGGAAAGATTGGCATGAGCACGTTCCAATTCCTGGACGGCTTTATGGAAGTATATAATACTGTTGAGGAGGGAGAATATCTCCGTTGAAAAAGTGGTCACATACTGCATAGTCCAGTCATGGGCATTGAAAACTGCCAAGAGGATATGAAGCCATCCAGCATGGATGAGCGACCATGCCATGAACGGGAGGAACGGTATCTATTTTCGGGTTAAGTTCTCCACTCGCTCTTTGTATGCATGATGTTGTGCATAGTTACCTTGAAAGAATCCTCGCACAAAGAATATATATTTTCTGCAAGCACAGAAAATGGGCCCGTCACACCTAAGATCGTCAACGGTTGGATCGACAATCTGCAGGAGTCTTAGCTATAGAACACAAATCTCGTTCGGTTGCTCAATGGACGTACAAAGAGAAGAGAACTCCGCAGACGCCTGTACTCAGTACTACCTCGATAGTCCCCCAGTTTTTGCCAGTGAGCACGTAGAGATCGCTCGCAAACGTGATCCCCGGCAGCAAGTTCGTGAAGAAAACATAGACCGCACTTGCAAAGACCAATTGATTGAAGACTTTCCAATCCGATATATATCGTCGCCGTACATTTCGCAGATCCTGCGCCAAAAGCCTAAGCGGCTGCAGCGAGCCGCCGCGCTCGAAGAGCCCAGCAAATCGTCGCACAGCAGACGGCCTATGACTGGGACTCTCTCCGCCGGCAGTCCCACCCTCTTCCCGCGGAGGCGTCACGGCCTGGCCGCTGCTGGAAGTCTCCAAGTCGGCCACCGGCTCCTTTCTGCGCGGGACAAGACGCCGAAGGAACCAAGAGCGGGCCATGAGTTGTCTTGTCCACAGTAGTAGCTTCACTAAACCAAGCCTAACCCCAGCACCCAAGCATCATACATAAGAGAGACGGACAACTAGGCAAAACGCGCAAAAAGAAGAAACAAGAGCAATGGTGCTGCATGCTCGTCTGGCATCGCGAGAGGGCTGCCCGCCCTTCCCGCGCTTAATGAGTTCTCGTTCCGGCCGGCTATGAGCAACGTGGGCCCGTCGAACCAGAAGCGCCGTTGCGCCTCGTGGGCCGCTTAAGGTTTACGCACGGGCCACCGACAAGCGCGGCGCCAAGCAACAGACTGGCTTATTCAGCAATGCATGGCCGCCTTTTATTCTGCCGCTTCTTTTTGATGCCAAAGCTGCTCAGACGATAGAAGCAACATGTACGAAGTACTCCGTACGAGTGCTGTTAATTTACATTGCTTCAATTTTGGGAGGAGGGGGTTTGTATTTTCCCGTTTCAGAAATGTCGGCCTCGTTCGTTCCGCGCCAGGTCTTCAATGTCGCGGAGAACATTCCCCGGTCCTATTTTCTAGGCCATCATCGAGCCGGCCTCATGAAGATGAAATCAATGCTGGACACGGTTGACCACGTTATCGAATGCCGTGATTTTCGCCTTCCGTTTACCTCTATTAATCCTTTGTTTGAGCATGTTTTGGGAAGTAAGCCACGGACGATAGTTTACACAAAGCGGGATCTGGCCGGGGATCGTAAGCTTCCAATGCAAAAGGTTCGTATCGCCGTGGCCGTTCAGCTTTTTTTTTCCCCCTTTAATTTCTGTGGGATACAGACTCATTTTCTGACTGGAATTGGTTTAGATTGAGAATCAAGTCCTGAGATGGGACCGCCGAACCTCGAAAGTTTTCATCATCGAAAAGTTCGCGAGAGATTCCCTAAAAGAGTTCATAAAATACTTCCGAGCCCTCCCACTCCCGGAAGACAACCTGACCGGATACAACATATTAATGGTGGGCATGCCTAACGTGGGCAAATCCTCCTTCATCAACCACCTTCGCACCAAGTACCTGGAGCCACGACCGGCGCCCAAGGCGGCCATCACCGGCGGCCAACCCGGCGTGACGCGGAAGATCAGCACGCCCATCAAAATCCTCGAAAGGAAGCAGTGTCCCATATACGTGCTCGACACGCCCGGTGTGTTTGTGCCGTACATCCACGATGCAGAGACCATGGTCAAGCTGGCGGCCTGCGGCATAATCAAAGATTCCCTCGTCAACCACGTCACGATCGCAGACTACCTCCTGTACCACATCAACAAGGTCAAGCCGTACGCGTACCGGCGCTACCACGAGCCCACGAATGATATCATGGAGCTTCTCGAGTGTTTTGCGCGCCAGACCGGCTCTTTTCAAAAGGGCGGGCTTCCCAATATCGACGCGGCGGCGCGCAAGTTTCATGTGTATTGGCTGCAGGGGAAGTTTCCGCGGTTTGTTCTCGATGATGTATTGAGTATAAGTACGACTCAGCGCCGCGAGTGGCAGTCGAGGTTCAAAGACATGTTTAGTGATGAGCAGAAGCTGGAAGAAAAGGGGCCGACGTCTACTATAGAACTGGGTTTATGACAGCATTTAAAAGACTATTGCTTGGGGTGTTTTATAAATTTCTTTATGATTATGCTACTTTTTAGGAAATCTTCTTCTGCAGCAATTGCAGGTGTACAATACATGATTCAGCTAGATAACAGTACAATTGGTTAATACCATGAAAATATAAAAAATCGCCCAACTCCCTCCCCCCAAAGAAAGCCTTAAGAAAAGGAGGTAAAAAAAATAACGTAAGAAATGTTCAAAGAATCTTATCAAGTAGCCTCCGTCTTCGTCTATCCAGTAGTTCTTCCTGCACCTCATCAAGCGTAGGCAGCCTCCACTCCACACCATCCCCCCCATTCCCAGGCAACGGCTGCCAATCCCCGCCAGCAGCGTCGTCGTCGCCCCGTTTCAGCATACTATCAAAGGCCTCTTTCTCTTTCCTCCGCTCATACGCCAGCAGCGTCCCATCCTCCTCATCCAGGCCGTATCCAAAATACGCCGCATCGACATGTTTCTTGAGCATCTCATTCTGCCTACCACCGCCACCGCCAGAGTCCTCCAGCTCGTCAGCGCTGCGCTTCTTCGCCGCAGCTTCAAACATCTCCTTGACCCCAGGCAGCTCGCGCGCGCGGCCAAAGTAGCGATACCCCTTGCCCGCACCGGGAATCTCACGACCATCCTCATCGTACACACGGCCCCCGCCGCCGCCGCGGGTGTAATTGGGCCCGCCCAGGTTGCGGATCTGCACCTCCCACATCCACTTCTCGCGCATGAGCTTGTTGATCTCGTCGTTGAGGTCGCGGATCTGGTAGTCGCTGAGGCTCTGGTCCTGGATGCGCGAGACCTTGCGCGACACCTCCTTGAGCACCTGGCCGCGCCACTTCTCGCACACGGGGATGGAGTCGACCGAGGTGATGGCGCGCGGCCGCCGCGTGCGCCCGATGTCGAGAATGCCCAGGTCCGCCGCCTGCGCGGCCCGGAACCGGAAGAGCATCGACTGCGCTTTTTCGCTGTTGCGAGCCTGGACGAGGGTTAGTTTTGTTTGTGGGCTGTGGTTTTGTTTGGGCGGGTAGAGATGCCGCGGCAAAAGGGGAGAGAGAGAGAGCGCTCACCATGGCTGTGGGATGCGAGACAGGCGCAGCGGTGCGAGAGGGAGAGAGAGAGGGCGGTCAATGCTCTGGATGGAGTGATGATGAGGAGAGGAGGGCGAGTGGTCGAGATAGAAGGGCAATTAGGCGTGGTTTCAAGGGTTGAGCTCTGGGTGGTGATGCTCAGCAAAAAGGCCTGTGGCGGGTTTGCAATTTTTGGCGCCGTTTAGAGTTTCCTCCCCACAGCCTTGGTGTGTTGTGCAGCTTCAAAGCCAACCACCAAACAATCCACGGCCAGGCAATAATAATAATAACGGGAGAAGCGCCCAGCAACAATTCACGGGCGTTTTCTGCGGCTGTGGACGTGTTTTGCATGCTTGCCGTTGCAGGCGGCCACTGACATTGCGGTTTCCACTACCATGGTGCTCTGGCGCAGGGGGTGTTTGCTCGCTGGTCGACTTGGTTTTCTGGCAGCTAGCTGACACTCTTTCAATGAAGCAACCTAGGGAGTTCTCGTCTCATCAGAAACTTGCCAGAGCCGTTGGGCGGCATAACAGTGTGTGGACATCTCAATTGACGGCTTACAGGAAAGTAGTCTCGCAATCGTTGCCTCGCATATATCAGAGAAACGGAGCCCATTCCAACAGCCCTGCATTCACATGCTGGCTGCAACCCATATACCGGGCCTTGTTTCTGAAATATAGTACCTCGCAGTCGCTCCGTGTCCCCATGCAGCAAAAAGTTCCACTTGGGTCTTGCTGAATAGATGAGGTTGTCTTTGCCTCGTTTCTGCTTGCATGCATTACGAGCGAACGGAGGGAATTGGGATCTTCGTGCGTTGAATCCAAGCTAGGACCCCCCACATCGAGCAGAATATGTATGTATGTATGTATGTACGGAGTACACGGTGGTGGAGGTGCTCACATGCACCAAGGCCATGTCATCGTCTGCAAGCTACGAGAATAGTATATGCGACGCTGCTACTTGGACGAGATGGGTCGAGATTTTCTTTTGAAACACCTGGCCCTGGCGGGCTATGGTCTTCACGGATATAGGTGCGTTTCGCCAGGCACGCAGAATACCTTGCTGGGCCAAAGCCATGTCATTCATGCCAATGCCAGAGCCCCGCTGGGGCAACAGGTGCAACTCTCAGCCGCTGGTGCCTGGGCGCCAGACAAGAGCGCGAGTCCACCGATGACTGGCATTAATACGTGGACAGCAGTGGTCATCGGTGCAACCCCATGCCGTCTCTGTCCAACATCCCTGTTGATCCGCGCAGGAAACCTAAGAGATATGTAACTATAACTGACTAGACTATTACGCACACAATCCATCGAGCCTGGAGGAGCATGTTAATAATAATGTTATCCAGAGTACAGAATACTCCGCACAGGCGGGCGGCGCCGCGCTCCCGGAGGAACACCAGGCAGTTCACTACTGCTCCGTTTCTCCAGCCGTGCCCTCCACCACGTGTGGTTAGCCAGGCAGGACAGGCATTAGCGAGCCTGCCAGCAGTTTCGGATTGACAACGGTGGGCGTGCGCGCCGCGTTTTTTCTTTTGCCGGCCCGGTGCTGGCTCGCTTTGGGCAGTGGAAGCGCCTATTTATGCGTGGCCTTGCAGACACGAGGGCAATTCGCGAGAGAAACATAGTTCAGTAACGACGGGTTCAAGAGTTGCGGTGGAGCGCCAGGATGCGGATGTGCTTGAAGGCCCGCGAAAAGAGGAGCGACGGCGATGACGATGACACCCTGGCAAGCCTGGGCTGTAACTACGTGAAAACATTCGCCGTCAATGCAGCACGGCAGCGACCTGCTACTCGGGCGTTTGGCCATATCATTGCTGCGGCCGCTAGCCCGGCGGCGGCGGCGTGTGTGTGTGTCGGGGTTCTAGACAGAAGGTCGCTCTGGAACCAGAGAGGGTTTTACCAGCGGGTTATAGTTCGAGTGCCTGCACAGCCATGGCACGGAGCTGCTCCCCCAGTCTGGGTTTGTCTCCCCTTCAGGTCGGCCGATGGGGGCCTGCCTGGTTGGCACGTTCCCGGGAATCCACCCCCTCCTTTGTTTCAATTGTTGATCGCGCCGCGCACCCGATCGGGCATCGGGGGGCGATCGGGGTTGCTCCATCTCTTGGATGAGGGAGTGACGGGCTGGGCGCGGTGGTGGTGGTGGTAGTGGTGGTGGTGGTGGTGGTGGTTAGTTGACGCCCGCTGCGATGGCTGACGAAGCTGAGGACGAGAAGGCTTAGCAGCAGCGGCGCGGGCGCTAGTTAGTTCGTCAGGCACAGTCGAGGGCTGTCTGCGTGTACAGATAGTACTAGTACATGAATACTCGGGCGTCGCATCGGGCGGGCGATCACGGCCAGCCAAGCGGAAGCGGCGAGGCGGGCAGGCGGCGGGCGGGCGGCGGTGATTGGGGGGCGCCCGTTGTTGCAGAACCGTCAGACAAGCCCGGGCGTCGTCAGCGCGCCGGGGATGTGCGACCGCTCGTTTGTTTCAGCGGGAGTTTGGTGGTGGTGGTGGTGGTGGTGGTGGGAGGAGTAGTGGTGGTGGTGCCCCGGAGGAGAGGGTCTGCGGGCGGGTGGGTGCGTATAGCAGTGTATGGAGTACAGAGTATCGTGTACGGAGTAGCTGGTCTGGCCAACGAGTTACCTGTTACTGACTACTACTACTACTGCTGCTGCTACTACTACTCCTACTACTACTACTACTACTGCTACTACTACCACTACTACTACTACTACTACTAATACTCGCTCTTGGCCCTTGTCGCAGGTGGAGCCGGGCCAGAACCCCCTGCGTCGCCCTGGGAAGCCTATCCGCGATAAAGACACGCCCAAGCCCGCTTCCAGAACTTAGTTGGTTGGTCTCTCTCTCTCTCTCTCTCTTTCTCTCACCCTCCCGCCTGCTCTCTCGCCTGCTGCCTCTGCTGCTCGCTAACTGCCCATAGCCATGAGCCTGCCGTAGCTGCCGTGTTGCCAGCTCCAGCGACCAACTGACTAACTAACTAACCACCTACTTCCTCTCCACTCGCCGCCGCCGCCGCCGCCCGTTGCACACCCACAACACGCCCTCGCGATGATCCCCTTTCGCAGATGCGTGCTGATCGCCGCCGCCTTTCTCTCCTTCACCTTCACTCTGCGCCTGTCGTCCTCCTCCCATTCCCGTAGCAGCCCGCGTCCCGCCGTCGTGCTCGACCACGACAATGACCCGTCCGCCGCCCACGCCCAACCGCCCCCCCAGATCACCCTCGACGACCTTGCCTCCAAGCCCCTCCCCGAGCGATTGCGCTTCCAATTCCCCTACGACCTCGAGTCCAAGTTCCCCGCCTACATCTGGCAGACCTGGAAGTACAATCCCTCGTCCGGCAGCTTCGCCGAGCCCCTGCGGCCCCTCGAGGCCAGCTGGACCGTCGCCCACCCCGGCTTCGTGCACCAGGTCATCACCGACGACGGGCTCGACTACGTCGTCAAGTACCTCTACGCCGGCTTCCCCGAGGTCATCGAGGCTTTCGAGTCCATGCCCCGCGCCGTGCTCAAGGCCGATTTCTTCAGGTACCTGATCCTCCTGGCCCGCGGCGGTATCTACTCCGACATCGACACCTTCGCCCTCAAATCCGCCATCGAATGGGTGCCGCAGGCCGTCGACCGCTCCACCATCGGCCTCGTCATCGGCATCGAGGCCGACCCGGACCGCGCCGACTGGAAGGAGTGGTACTCGCGCCGCATCCAGTTCTGCCAGTGGACCATCCAGGCCAAACCGGGCCACCCCGTCCTCCGCGACACCGTCGCCAACATCACCGAGGAAGCCCTGCGCATGAAACGCGAGGGAAAACTGTCCCACGCCCGCATGGACAAGACCATCATGGAGTTCACCGGCCCCGCCGTCTGGACCGACGCCGTGTTCCGCTACTTCAACAGCCCGGACTACTTCGACATGAACAAGGGCGCCAACTACTCCCGCGAGATTGACTACTCCTACTTCACCGGCATGGTCGCCCAGAAGGTCGTCGGCGACGTCGTCGTGCTGCCCATCACCAGCTTCAGCCCCGGCGTCGGCCAGATGGGCGCGGAGGAGCCCGAGCATCCCATGGCCTTTGTCAAGCACGAGTTTCAAGGTAAGCTGCCCGTCCTTCGCTCTACTCTTTCTCCCACCCCTGTCGATCCTTGCATCCTTGCTGACCCAAGACCTTCACAACCCTCCAGGCGTCTGGAAATCGAGCGCGGACAAATAAAAGACTTTTTTGTCCAAGGATCATCCCAACCCTTGCTTAAGACCCAATGTTGCCGGCTTGGAAACCCAGGCTTCCTGACTCGATCCCGACTGCTCCGCCAGGCCGACACAATAATTTACTACCCAAACCCAAACCACTTGCTGATACAGATGTGCTCCTACGGATGATAACACTACTGTGTCCGATCGCCCTTCTCCGACACACCCACACAGACGCCCCCACGGCAACAATCCCAGCCTTACCGAAATTAACACCCCCCCTTTTTCGACCTGCACCCACAAAAACCGATTTTATTTTTTTCCTGGCTTCGCTCCGCCCAAACCACTCCCCAGCCAATCAAGACCAAAGCTGCCACACATGCTGGAACCCCCCCCTGACGTCACCCCCGGCTGCTCTCGCTTCCCCTAAAAATAATTCGCCGGCCCAGAAAATACTCCGTACCTGCTTGTCTCCACCCACAAGCGAACCTTACCATCGAATCGACCGGAATCGACCGCCCTCAGCATTCCCGTTCGCCGTATAGACCTCTTCCTGCCATACATACCCTACTACTTTTTTTTTTATTTAAATCTTTGCATTTTTTTCCCTGCTGTGTGTTCTCGGCGCAAAACCAAACAAGAACGGTCGGAAAAGAAGGAAAAAGGGGCGGAAATACCCAAAAGTTCCCAATATGTTGTCCTAGGAAGCGATAGACCAACCCTGTTATCTTTTTTTCTTACTCTTCATTTCATTCCTTTATTAGACCGCCAGGCTCTCAGGTTTTTTTTTTTTTTTTTGCATCAGCTGGCTGGAGGCCCAGCCCGGCGCACAATTTTTTTTTTTTTTTTATATCAAACAACATTCCTTTTGGTCTTTTCCTTTGGACAAGCCCCACGGCCTTTTTTGTGCCCTTGTTTTGTTTTTTTTTAAGTATTCCTGTATAATAGAGTGGTCACCCGGCGAAATGGCGGCGTATCTTCAATTCACTTTTTTTTTTTTTTTCCTACCGTTCTACAATTCTTTAGACCGGCTGCTATTCTGTTTTTTTTAGTATGTTAAGGAAGATTGGGACGCTCCTTAGCGTTCATAAGTACAGTTACATATTATCTTTTTCCAAAAAAACTCATTGTGATAGAAGATGTCAAATTTTGCCTGTGTCAATTCATATTAGGATCATTAAAATATGGAAAAAAATTGTTTAAATATCTGGCAAAAAGTGAGAATCGCCTGTCTTTTGCAGTTCCTCGAAACATGATTGTGAAAAAAAAAAAGGCCCCTGCCGCATGCAAATAAAACCCCCCAAAAAACAGCCCTCGTGATATGCAAAAAGACAGGGCGATCCTAATACCTCTCTCTCTTCCAACCATCATGGAGCCGGTTATCATGAGACCTATGTTTTGGGTGTAAGTCGATCCCTCTGCATATTTTTAATCCAGTTCCACCCACTTTATGGGTAGAGACCTTACGCCTAAAGAGTTCTAAGCTTTTTACCACACATGAATGTCATTGAGAGCTGTGGCTTGAAGGAACGCCTCGAACCGGCAGAGAACTGTCGCGATATTAGTAAAATGGATATGCAATTTAACTGATTCAATGCCAAAGATGTATGTGGGCCCCGGGACTTATGTGTATAAGTCACATTTTGAGAACCCTCAAAGCATCATCACGTGGACGTATACTTTTGTTTTTTGACATACCTTTTTTGCCTTTTTTTTCAAATTCAACTTTTTTTTTGTCGTTTTAATTTTTGTTTTTTCTGAAAAAGTAGAAATAGAGCATTATGATGCATTTTGACATCGCTATAAATGCAGATTGTCTGCGGGGCAAAATGGGTAATTATGAGCCCGACAGAATGCATATACCCAACAAGTGATGTGCCAAGGCTGTACAAGAACAGAGATGGGACAAAAAATGAAATAGGTGCAGGTCTGGGCGGGAGAATATATGTAGGTACAGTACATATATCGGAGAAGGATGATATGGCTGCGTCTATATAGAAGAAGCCGGAGTTTCGGGTACTAATGACGATAAATGATAGCAACTAGGAAAGATGAGGAGAAAGGCACAGCTCCTTCATTCAGTAGTCATCGAAATCATTGAACAAGCGCTCATACTTCCTGCGCATCTCGCCCGTGTACACGCTCTGCGTGCTCGGGTCCGGCGGCGGCGGGTACTCCTCGAAGTTGCCTGCGTCGGCGGGGTGGTCGACGCGGGGGACAATGGGCCCCTTGACGCGGCGGTAGTACAGGTCGTCCCAGTCGATGCCGCGGAAGAACGGATGGTCCTTGACGCGCTGCGTGCCGCCGGAGATGTGGCCCAGGCGCTCGGACGGGCTGGTCTTGCACAGCGCGCCGATGATGTCGCGCGCCGCCGCCGACATGTGGTGCGGGAAGCGCAGCGCGCCGTCGACGATCTGCTCGTAGATGCGCATCGGGTTGGGGTCCCAGAACGGCGGCTGGCCCGCCAGGAACTCGTAGATCAGGATCCCCAGCGCCCACCAGTCCACTGCCAGCCCGTGCCCGCTGTTGTGGATGACTTCCGGCGCCAGGTACTCGGGCGTGCCGCACAGCGTGTACGTCTCGTGCCCGTACAGCTGCTTGGCGAAGCCGAAGTCGACGAGCTTCAGGTGGCCCTCGGCGTCGAGGAGGATGTTTTCCGGCTTCAGGTCGCGGTATGCGACGCCCTGCACGTCGTGCAGGTAGCCGATGATCAGCACGATTTCGGCCGCGTAGAACCTGGCCGTGGCCTCGTTGAATCGCCGTATTCGCCGGAGAAAGCTGAAGATCTCGCCGCCAGGACAATAATCGAGCTGTAGAACATGCGGGGTTAGCACGAGAGCATGTATACGCCGGAAAATGAGGCACGAGCTGGGTGTATGGTGGGAGAATCAATTGCTGAGACGTACCAGCATATACAAACACTCTTCATCGGAAAAAGAGGCAACTAAAGTCGTTATAAATGGGTGTCCGGCGACAGCGTGGAGAGCATTGTTCTCGTTCCGCACATGCTCAACCTGCTTGAGCTCGATCACTGCATGACGGGCAACGGCCGCGTTAGCTGGGATATGATACGTCACACCAGGCCAAAACGACTGGACGGCCTGCGGGAGAGCAAGTAGGCTGCAGGGAACACATACCGTCAGCCTTGCGGAGCACCTTCAAGGCATATATCGCGTTCACCGAGTCCTTTGGATTCTTCAGTCGAACCAACCATACGCGTGCGAACGTCCCTAGATATCACGAAGAAAAAAAAAAAACTCGTCAATCAAATGGCCCTAAAAACAAAGTCCACCAACGTCCCTGTTTTTCCTGGAGAATCCAGCTAACGCACCAGTGCCCAGAGTCTTTAGCAGCTCAAAGTCCTCGATTTTCAGCTTCCGCTTCGGCATCCGCGCCTTGATATTCTCGCGGTTCTGAATAATATCCAGCGGTGTTTTCGGCCGCGGCGACGGCCACCGCGCGGGGCCAAGCCGCTTCACATCGAGGCCATACGATCCAGCGTCCAAATCGGGATGGCGGTTCGTGGGCGATTTGGGTAGTGGCTTCTGCGGCGGCGGGATCGCCTCCGTCGCCATTGGGGGGACTATTTTGAATTTTTTTATTTCTTATTATCGCTTGTGGTTTATGCGGTCGAGAGAGGAGGTGAAAGGAAGATTCCGGTGCGCGTCAAAAGCGCGATCCCGTCGATACGATGAACTCCCAGGCAGCTTCCCCCGCTCATGCCTAGGGTATTCTGGATTCTCAACCTGGACAATGGCGTCGGGGAAGAGGAGGGGAGGGGGGGGGCGCAGGGCAAGGGAGCGAGGAATAGGGTTTGCCGCTCTGGTCAATTGCAATCGGTCAGTAGGGGCTGGAGAGACGAAGAGAGCGCGCTGTAAGAACGTCGTGCGATCATTGACTTCGTCAGACCGGTGCAGAGCGACGGATGCATAGCTTTCAACACTAAGAGCGTCGAAGACCTGTCAAGAAGCGAGGCATAGTTTCACCGTGTCTGAATGTCTGACTTTGAGCTAAACCTCCCATCTGACGTAGTGCCCTCGGCTTCCGCCAAGCCCTTTACCTGTTCGGAGTCAATGGCGTACGTACGGCTCGCCGGCCGGACCAAGGCACTGTTAGAAAGGAAACTTAATCTTGCGTTCGTTTTCTGCTGTTGCTGCTGTCATATGCAGATTTTGGATAGGAAGACCAGTTAGAATGCTACGGCTCTTCTCGGGTCTAGATGCAGGGGGATGTTGGAAAGCTGAAAGTTGTACATAGTATTTTATCATATTGCCTGTTTTCGCCCAAAGAAACCAAATCCCAATGAAACAGTAACTATGACCGCTGTCACGCCGGAATATACATGAAGTCCACCATCTAGACAATACAGGTATCCTGCAGAATAAAACGAACCAAGGTGTTGAGATCGATGATGACTCTTACGATTAACGCTTTGAGTTAAGGATTAACGCGACGATAAGGCTATAAATAGAAAAAGTTAGAGAATGCCCATATGAGATAAGAGTGCAGGGTAAAAGCATACCCATATAGACCCAAGACTTCGCCAAAGATGAGAATCAGAATCATGCCAACGAACACCCGGGATTGTTGCATGTATGACCGTGTTCCCTACACATATTTTAGCTGCAATCACACAGCCTTAGAAATGTAGCTGTCAACATACTGCATCCCCGACTATTCCAATTGTATAGCCAGCTGCTAGGCCAGCGAGGCCAACGGATAATCCGGCGGCAAGGTGGATGAATCCTCTATTAGGGGAGGCATAATTAATGACTGTCCAGAGTGGTCACAGGACTAGAGGGGTCACCGCGACGTACGCATATAAACTGTAATTCTGCTCCGGCGTTCCTATATCACCCACGATGAGGACGGAAACCACCAACCCATACACGGCGATGATACCAGCCATCACGACGGGCACCAGTGACTGTAATGCCCCAATCAGCTACACCCCCCACGATAGAATACTCAGATATACGCACCTTCATGATGAGGTCAGGTCTGTAGGTGCCGACATTGGCGATTCCGATGCCAGCTTTCGCCGTGCCATATGCCGCTCCGAGTGCTATGCCAGGGTTTGTGAGTGGACTTCGTGGGGTCAAGCAAGCCAGGAGCTGCAAACGTACATCCAAAGATCATCTGCAAGAATGGTGTGCCTGGTGAGTAACGGTTGCTGGGAGCTAAGAACGAAACCAACTTACTGCCGATGCTATCCCTGCCTGTCGTTGCGAGAGTCAGCTCAGTCAGTCAACCACCGCAAGGAGAAACGGAAACACACCATCCCGAAGAACGGGGCAAACTTGGGCGACAGCTCGCTCTCCGCCATGATGCTCGCGGTGTCTCAAGCGCGCGTTCGAGTGCGTCAAAACTGCCCAAAACGGCGTCCTTGCCAGACTTCGTGCTTGCCCGATTCGTCACCTCGCCTGACCACGCCAAGCCGCACGTGACGTCGTACCTCGACGCACAGCCACACGACGCCACAGTTACCGTAATTTCGAGCGCGTGAAATACCGTCCTGGCCGAGAGCCGTTGTGATTGGTCCGATATGGATCGCCTACCTACAATTGGCTAGCAGGCCCCACCGGCAGCTCAGCCGCACGTACGGAATACACCCAAACGTGACATTGGAGGAGGTGGCCCGTCCGCCGCCCGATGATTCGCAGCTCAACCATCGAGCCTTCACGCACTCTTCACTGCATCGATCTTTTCTCTTTTGCGTGTTGGTGTTGTTTTTTTTTTTGCATTCTTTGTGTTGCTCGGTTCTTCGCGAGCTCTGTGTGTTGTCCAAGCCGCGTTCCTTGCTGGGTAAGGACATGAGTTTTTGAACCCCTGCCCCCATTGAACAACCCGCACTATGTGGACGTTTGGGCGTTGACCCCCAGGCCTTCTGCGTCACCTCACCTCGTTCTAATCCTCAATCGTGGTATATCTCGACTGCATTCGCTCTCAGACGCTGCGTGGGCGTCCTCACACGGGTCTTTCCGATTGTCGTCGTCATCCCGTCGTGCGGTGGCACCGATCACCCCAACTGGCCTTGCGAAGCATGCCATTTCAGTGAAGTGCTTTGCCAGCCTTGCTCGCCAGTCACCTCCGTGCAGTTACTAGCAGGGCGCTCGTGGAAGCCGCCTAAGGCGTGCCTCGAACCCGCATCGCCGTTGTTTACACCAATTCCACTCCATTTCCCTCCTTTCCCCTAGCCTTCGTTTCTATAAATTATGGCGAATTACGGGTCCCAGCAGGGTCGGAATCCCCGACCCAACCAATATGGCCATGCTTCATCGTACCAACGGGATGCGGCCTTCTCGGAAATCTTTGGAGGCGCCCCACCGCCGGGGCGCTCGCAGACTATGACCTCACAGACATCCCCATTTCATCAAGAACGGGCTCACACGATGACGGGGCATTCGGCAGAAGCCTACATGCAACCGCGTGCCCCTCCCGCACCGATGAGACAATCGCATCAGAGCTATGGACCGCCAGAGTCCGGATATGACCCCCGACGGCAGCCTAACGGAAACATGCCAACCCATCTCCAACCTCGCAACCCCCCTATCCCTCCATACTCAAATCGATCTCAATATCCATTTCCACAGAGGATGGATTCCATTGCCCGGCCTCCACCTCAGTATCCGCCCATGAAACCTCCCACTCGCGTTCCTCCCCCAGCCGCCTTGAACTCGGATCCATACAGATCACGCTCCATGGCTGGACCGGGGCCCCGGCCACCGCAGTTTCATGCTCCGCCAAATAACTACAATCAAGCGCCTCCCAACGCTTTTAGACAGCAGGGCTACCATCCAATGAGTTCCCGAACGGCCCATGGCCGAATCGTACCGGAAAGGCATGATAACGAGCGTACAATGTCGTTGCGTTCGTACGTCTCTGATCGTGATCATGCACAGATGACTAGCTCCGGCAGAGTTGTTCCAAATCGAAGGAGGGAGGCAGATATGGAGCGGGAGCGCCTGGAACGCCTGGATACTCGTATTATTGAGCAGCGTATGGACCAAGGTCCCATGATGGAAAGGCCACCCTCTCACCAAATACCCACGCTTCCAGAAATCACAACACCTCAAGATTCACAGCCAAGAGTTAGACATCCTAGTGAAAGTTCACTCCAGTCTCGTACTCTATCGATGGCGTCAACTGTAACGCCTGAGCGCAACAACAGCTTACAGACACCTTCATCCGGTAAAACCGGCTTCTCCAATTCTGGAACTGTTGCATCCCATCGCTCTCGAGGTCCTCTTGTTTATCCTGCTTTACTATCCCGTGTTGCATCGGTGTTCAAAGAAAGAATTTCAATCGGTGAAAGGATCAAAAACGACTTGGCTTATACCAATGCCTTTACTGGTGCTGAAGCCGTAGACCTGTTATCCTACATCATCAAAACAACTGACCGGAATCTGGCTCTACTCCTGGGCAGAGCACTTGATGCACAGAAACTCTTCCATGATGTGACCTACGACCATCGACTGCGAGATGCTCCTGGAGAGCTCTATCAGTTTAGGGAAACTATGGGAGAGGAATCTCCAATGTCGGAAGTTAACGGTGTCTTTACTCTATTGACAGAATGCTATTCTCCGACTTGCACACGGGATCAACTCTGCTACTCTATCGCTTGTCCAAGACGCTTGGAACAACAAGCCAGATTGAATTTGAAACCCCAGCCTGGTCTAAGATCATCTGCGTCCAAAGGAAGTCTCCATGATCAAGACGACAATGAAGACCAGAAGTTGTGGATCAATATGGTGCCAAAGGAAGTTGCGGATAGTATTGACGATAAGGAAAAGAAACGGCAAGAGATTATCTTTGAAATAATGTATACTGAACGTGATTTCGTCAAAGATTTGGAATATCTCCGTGATTTCTGGATGCGTCCGCTGAGATCTGCGCACAATACCAACCTTTCTCCCGTGCCTGAACACCGACGAGAAAAATTCATTAGAACGGTATTTGGTAACGTCCTCGAAGTCCTGAATGTCAATTGTCGGTTTTCGGAAGCATTAAATGCTCGCCAAAAGGAAAGCCAAGTTGTCCATTCAGTTGGTGATATCTTCCTTCAATATGTCCCTCGGTTTGATCCCTTCATCAAGTATGGTGCCAATCAGTTGTACGGCAAATATGAGTTTGAAAAGGAGCGTGCATCTAACCCCGCTTTTGCCAAATTCGTTGAAGAAACCGAACGACTCAAGGAATCGAGGAAGTTAGAATTAAACGGCTACCTCACGAAACCAACGACTCGTCTTGCTCGATATCCACTACTATTAGAAAATGTGGTCAAGTATACCAAGGATGACAATCCAGACAAGGAGGATATTCCGAAGGCCATTGCCCTCATCCGTGATTTCTTATCTCGGGTGAATGCAGAGAGTGGAAAGTCAGAAAATCATTTCAATTTGATGCAATTGAACATGGCTCTGAAGTTTTCGGCTGGTGATTATGTCGATTTGAAACTTACGGAGGAAAATCGAACTATGTTAATTAAAATGGCTTTCAAAAAGGGGCCCACGGATTCGTCTGAAGTTACTGCGTACCTTTTCGATCACGCAGTTCTGCTTGTCAGGATAAAAGCTGTTAACAAACGCGAAGAGTACCGAGTTTACAAGAAGCCTATACCATTAGAGCTTCTCGTTATTGCGCAAATGGAAGAAGTCATCCCCAAGCTAGGTCTCGCCAAGCGCCCGTCAACCAATTTGCTTGCTGCTGGGCGTGCAGTAAACAACCCTCCGGCAACTAAAGATGCTTTCCCCATCACGTTCCGACATCTTGGGAAAGGAGGCTACGATCAAACGTTGTGGGCAACATCAATAACTCAACGGAAGAGATTTATCGAGTTGGTTGAAGAGCAGCAGCGAAAATTGAGAGAACGTAGCAACAATTTCTATTCGAAGACGATTTTATGCGAAAGCTTCTTCACCGCTGCAAATAGAGTCAATTGTTTGGTACCTATTGGTTAGTGCTTCCTTAGATCCCCTTTTTGATTTGACATAGCTGCTTACACTTTATACAGATGGTGGCCGGAAATTGGTATACGGAACCGACAGTGGTATTTACTTGTCTGAAAGATGGCCGAAAGATAAATCCGCGAAGCCAAAGCGAGTTCTAGAAGCCACTGCTGTTACACAAATTGATACTTTGGAGGAGTATCAGCTTATGCTCGTCCTAGCCAACAAGACTCTTAGCTCATATCCTCTAGAGGCGCTGGACGTCCATGACGGACAGAACCCATTGGTTCGTCGACCAAAAAAGATTCAAGGCCATGCAAATTTCTTCAAGTCTGGTATTGGTTTGGGCAGACACCTTGTTTGCTCTGTCAAGACATCTGCGCTCTCGACGACGATTAAGGTGTTTGAGCCTATGGAGAATCTTGCCAAAGGAAAGAAGAAGCCTTTAAGTAAGATGTTCCAGAGTGGGCAGGATGCGCTCAAACCGTTCAAGGTAAGTCAAATTTGCAAATAATCATTTTACTGTCACTGATGACGTTATATAGGAATTTTACATTCCCGCGGAATCATCATCTGTTCATTTCCTGAGATCTACCCTTTGTGTGGGCTGTTCTCGTGGCTTCGAAGTCGTGAGCTTGGAAACCACCGAGCGGCAATCTCTACTTGACCAAGCCGATACGTCGCTTGACTTTGTTGCGAGAAAAGAAAACGTCAAACCAATTCATATCGAAAGGCTGAATGGAGAATTCCTGCTAAACTATAGTGATTTCTCCTTTTTCGTGAACAGGAACGGATGGCGCGCGCGGCCTGACTGGCGGATAGCCTGGGAAGGCAATCCGACATCCTTTGCTCTCTCGTATCCATACATTCTGGCTTTTGAGTCGAGTTTTATTGAGATACGACATCTAGAAACTAGCGAGCTTGTTCATATCATGACAGGGCGAAATATTCGCATGCTACATTCTTCAACCAGAGAAGTATGATATATATTCGCTCTTTTACGTTTAAGTTTAAGATTTCATTTACTAACTTATAGCATAGATCATATATGCATACGAAGATGAAGCCGGGGAGGATGTCGTAGCCAGTTTGGATTTTTGGAATAAACCCCAATAAACTAAACAAGGCAAAGAAGGCTTTCGTCGCGGTCCCTCTTTTGTATAAGTAAATAAGAATATGTATGTGCGGCGCAGAGGAATTTCAAATTCCAATTTATGCATACACCTCACCATTTTGTGCGAGTTGAAAAACAATGCCTCTTGCTTCCCTTCCGTTCTTCTCATATGCATGAGCATTTCTGAGCTTTCCTAGCCTGTTGTTGACATGAATGGAGTAACTTTGCTGCGCACATTGGAGCTTTCCAGAGCCATTGCTGATTTCCCCACCTTCACCTTCATCTGGAACTCACTACCTCTTAATACTTCTTGTGCTGTTTGCATCTCCCCGGCTCTACTTTCGGCTATGAACGGACACTTTGTCAAAAATGACTTTTCGAGTCATTCCCACCTCCCTTTCCCTTTTTGGCGATTTTGATTTCTGGAGAGCGTCCATGTTTATTTTGTCTTTTTCATTGTGTAGTTTTGAGAAACCACTTTATCTTTATTGCAATTTCTTTTCCCTCTTCCCCTCCCCGTTTCCATTCCCCCCAAAAGAGCTTTGTTGAATGATATATATGGTCTTATTGTTCAGTTGGTTGAATTAGCTGGGGAGCAGGGTCTAGGTATGGATATAAAACAAACTTATATATTATCTTTTACTCACTAAATCTGTTTATTGAAAATGAACCAACGCTAGAGTGCGCAGGTTACGTAGCACCCCTGTCTAATCATTCAAAAAAGACACTTTCTTCTTTTTCTCTTACAATACACTTCGTCATACAGCCTACTACTCCTACCCTACCCACAGCCCATCAGAAGGCGCGCACGCAGCATGAAGCAAAAAACATGAGTGATGAGGATTGACTAGGTCAGAAATAAAAGTATCTAAACCGAAAGAGGGTATACTGTGAAGAAAAACATCGTTACTAAGAAACACTCACTCTGAAGATAAGAGCACAATAGCAAGTTATGGAGCAGAGAACCGATACCAAGTAGAAAATAGCGAGAACGTTAATAAATCAAAAAAGGAATATAGGGCTACAGGCTGTGGGAATAAGAGAAAATGGAATGTTAAAAAATATGGAATCAATATTAAGAGCATAGTGAGTATGAATCAGGTCTTAGTATCAAATAAAAAGAACAAGTTTAGAAAGGTCAAATCCACGGGTTACATGGCTCTCTGCTCGTTGCACCCCCCCGCTGGCTTCCTACTATTCTCAGGTTAAAGCACATTTTGGAATAAGTGAAGTAGCACCCACTACTTTTGCTAAACCAAGAATCGATGGCATCAAAAAGTAACAGCATCGGAATGGAACTGGCCATGTATGAGTCTCCCTCCAAAGCGTGGCCCTGCCAGCAAATATATCTAAGGACCAGCTTCTCCGTTGGGTCCATCTTGGGGATTCTGCTCCATTTGTCGGTTCTGCTCGCGCATACGGGCTTCGATCTCCCGCAGTTGACTCTCGCGGGCCAAAAGCTCTTGACGCTTCTCGTTGATTTCGCGCTGTACTTTCAATTCGATCTCGCGGAGTTTCTCCTCTTCGCGACGGAGTTGCTCTTCCTTCAATCTTACGGATTGGGATGCCAAGTCCTCGGGGTTCATAGACGAATCTTGGTTACTGCATACGATGTTAGGAAAATCTTCACTTCACATGCCAGGGGTTGGCAAACATACGCTGCAGCTCCACCCTCAACACTCTTGCTAAGCTTCTCAGTACGATAGTTTTCATAAAGAAAATCGTGGGTGATCTCTTTAAGGTCTGCTAAATGACTGTGCAAAAGCGCACTTCGGATGGCCAAAAAGTCCGAGTGTCGTTGATTCTCAACTTCAACTACACCCCATGGATACTGTCTAGCACGGACCTTACGACCGTTAATTTCAAGAACATCCTCAGATCCAACAATGGCAAACGGCATCAGTCCTCGAAGTTCGGCATTCTCTTCAACTGTATCCTCATCATCCTCTTCAACATCGTACGGGAAGTTGTAGATGGGGATACGATAGTGCTCAATGTCCTCCATGATCAGCTTTTTCGACTCTGCCAGTTCAGCAGGGGTGAGCGAATCAGCCTTGCCAATGACAGGAATGACGTTAACACGAGGAGAGAGGCGTTTCATCAATTCAATGTCGAGCTCTCGCAAGCCATGGCCGGTAGGTGTGATAAAGTAAAGGAGAGCGTGAACACGGTTATCGCGGAATCGAGGGTTACGTTTAATTCTGGATTCTTCTGCTAAAATGTCGTCGTATTGCCGTTCTAGATAGCCGACAATTTCAGAGAAACTGTAAAACAGGTTAGCTTTGCACAATTCCACAGGGCCAGTCACCTTTTACCTTTCCTCATTATCAATTTGATCACCAAACCCGGGAGTGTCAACAATTGTCAACGAAATGCGAGTCCCTTCCTCGTCTAATTCAAGTTCTACGTCCAGTCAGTCCCCACCACAATAGACCTAAGGTTTGAACCACACACCAACTGTGACGGGCTTAATGCGCACTCCTTCTTCCAAATGGGCGTTTGTTGGATCGTCTGCATCTTTGCCTTGCAGGACTTGCTTTCCGCAAAGCGTATTGACAAAAGTGGTGCGACCTTTGGATAGGGTGGTCAGTGGCTATCACGCGTCTGGAGACAATACTAAAGAATTGCGCGAAATACCTGTTCCACTGGCACCGCATACCATCAAACAAAACTGAATTCCCTTCTTCACATTCTTCTTTCGGCGAATTTTGATCTGGGGCCCTCGAAGTCAGCGAACACCATCCATCAATTGCTAGCCCTTTATGTCGAGGACAGGGATAGCGCGAACAGCAAATCAATCAGAAAAAGCGCCAAGAAGATAGAACATACAGCATTGACTGTAGAAGCCATGGCGTGCGAGTTGGAATGGAACGAAATCGTGAAGGACGGGGTGCAAGAAACTACCAGGTAGCCTCGCAGTCAGGTGGGATGTGTTGGGAGGCTCAACGACGTGAGAGTGAGAAGAATCTCAGCGTCAAGCGTAGCAGTCGAAAATCTAGCCCCTCGAGAGTAACGACCGCACAGTGACAACTATCACGGGGAGGAAAAGGGTTGAAGCTGTACTTGTGATGGCGTTTCGACGTCGGAAAAACTAAGTTTAAGGGGGTCTCGTTGTGCTGATTGGGACAAACGGCGCTAGGCCGTTTCGGGTGATGCCGCGATGAGTATTGCTAGGCCGAAATCGGCTAGTTTCGTATTTGGTGGCAGCGAGTCAGAACAATGATAAATTTTCATTGGCAGGCTTGAGAAATTCTGTGAGCATTTACCAAACCCACTATTGGCTAAAGCTACTCCGCCCAAGTCATGAGTTGTCTGGTAACTTTTGTGTAACGATTGAGTTTTGCCCCTTTATTTCCCCAGATGAGTTGGGTACGATGCCTGCCATAGCAGGCGAGCCCCCTTACAGTCACTTGTCTAACGTACTTTTTTACTATAGCTTGCTGCCTCTCGATGTATTCACATACAAGCAGACGAACGGTAACGCTAAGCCCGATTCGGCGAGAGTTTCAATCACGTGAACAGAACGTATCCGCTTACATAATGAAGTCATCTCCAGATGATGTGTCAGGTGACCATGTTCCTGAAGGAGGAACCAGAGAACAGTACGGAGTAGGTTCACTACCTCCTCTTCTCAACCATGATACTGATTTCATTATCTTTGACTATCAGGCTGACGGAGATTAGCTAGGGGTTTTTCATATGTTTTTCCCATAGTCTTGATTTTAGCATGTTCTACTACTAAGAACTGAGCTGACTTTGGCAATCAGAAGTGAAAAGATGTCTTACAATCTTTTCATTTGTTTTCAAATTTCTGTGGAGGAAAGACATAAACCATTGCCCTGACACTCTTGTACTTTTTCTATTTGTTAACTTGTCTATGATCATGTCTTTGATCATTGTTTTTGTATTTTAGTTAAATCCTGCAAGACAGCTTGCAGGTAGTCTTCATAGTCTCAGACTGCACAAGACTATAATGAATAATAATTAATAATAATAATAACAATCAGAAGTGAACACAATGTCATGCTTGGGTCTGGCTTTGATGTCTTATCACACCATCTCCATCATCCTCATTTCTCTCTTTATCTGCCTTTTTGGCCCAACTGACATCTCTTGCTTTCTTCTTTTTACAGACTTTTTCCTGCTTTGCCTTCAAACACCCATGAATATGCTCCACAGCAGTTGGTTTTAATACTGATCATTTGCAATGCTTACATATGACCATCTCAAGTTGCATTTCTCTTGGCTTCCCTGTCGGAAAGGAAGCCATGGTTTTCTCGTCCATCACGGGGAGAATAGGTCAGGACCCGCCGGAATCTGCGTTTCCGGTCTCTGCGTCCTTCGTCCCTGTAGATACGGGAAAAGCAACTATTAATTCTCGTACTCCACAGAAGCGGACTCGATGTACCTAGCCTGCACGAGACCAGGTAAATATATTTGTATCTGGAAGCATCAACAAAGCTGGCTTCAGAGCTTGAAGCCACTGATGATCTTAGACGGGTGGGGCGAGAAGTTAGTCTTTGCTGCTCGGCGCAATCAGACCACATCACATACGGCGGTCGTTGAGGGCGTAAACGGCATGGGGCGTCGGCAACTCACCTCGTCCATGCGAAGCCATCGTTTGTAAGGCGCACAGACTATATCGGGCTCGTTGCTCCGCCGGAGCGACGATCGACGCTCGTAAGCAGCTTCCACGTGATCACATCTTGACCAATTATGTGGCTGCTACTGTCAGGCGGCATGTAAATTGCAGGCCTCCTTTATGTTTAAATAATTTCCTTTACGTAATCGTTCACACTTCTGAGCCCACCAGGAACGACGACACGCGTTCAACAGTGCTGTTATTGAGCTACGGTTTGTTTTGCAGCTAGTATTTGTTAAGATGTTTGGAAAGGAGTCGAGTTTCGTTCCCCACCAAAATCTACGGGACATATGCCGCTGCGATGCATCCAGGTTGGCATCTACCAAAGTTTTTTGCTACCTTTGAATGCCACGTTCCCGGGCCGCTTTTTGTCCCTATGACCCAGAGAAGCAGTGGCCAACTACCTAGAGGCTGGGGGATCTCTCGCTGAAGACAACAAACCTATTCTCACTTTCACCTTACCATTACTCTCAGTCACCGCCTAGTGTTAACCCATTGTCGGAAGTGGCCGCTGGGATGTATACCTTGTACTGGGATATTGTCAACAGGACGAGGTTCTACCACCGTCTACCACCAGGCCAGGCTCCTGGATCTTGCAACCATCACCCTAACCATACACTCAACGCCAATTATCGTTTCAGAAGGCCCAGTCCAAACATCTGTTAGCTTTGTTTTGAGAGACTTGCATCAGTTAGCGCAGTAAGTTTGTGTTCTCGAGCGTTTTCCTTTATACAGAGATAGCATGATGTATTAGGATACATCAGTATACATTTAAAGAAAACTGGTTCGCATTAAATCAGACTCGATTAGAACATATCAGATTCTCGTCGAATCTATAATTCCCAAGTGTTCCCCGCAGATCTTAATGAATTAGAGGCATAAGGCGCTAGAGAGGCCTATGAGAAACAGTGCTGACTGGGAAATGGACATGGACGTTTCTTTCCACACTCCTTCTTTTTCAAACCATCCAAAGAGAACTAGAAGATGGTGGCAAATGGCATCACCAAGCAAGGGGTGTGAATTCTCTGGAGTGCTATTTCGCCTTGATAACGACTTGCTGGACTATGGTGAGCCTGCGTGGAGGCCTCTAGGGTTTCTAGGCCACGCTGAGGCAGAATGGCTGAAACAAATAATTCTGGATATTGCTACACTATCCATTGTCCCTGTCACTCACCCTGCAGCTTCTCTCGCTGTCTCAAGGAAAATTCCGGGAAGATAGCGGAGAAGATATTTCAGCATATACATGCTAAGACACTGCGCACATTCTTTTACTGCGTTCCCAATCAAAATTATAGCAATATGGCAAGTATCGACCGAAGCATCAAGTTCAGAAAATTCCTGGAGACGTGCTAGAGCCTCTTCGGCTGGGAAACCGCACGGAGAACACGGCAAATGGAGGCCGGAATGAGATATCTCTATAGGAATCTACCTGCACTGATAAGCATATGGTCAGAGCAAAGAAACCTAAATAGGCTGGATCAGAGCAAAGAACAGCTAACAATTAGAACAGAACAGAATGATGATATAGCAAGATTGTGGAATGCCCAATAACATGTCACTGAGCTTCCACAGTACTTGGATGCCACCCTGAAGAACGTCCCGGTCCCAGAAGTCAGTGCAGGAGATGGACTTGGATTGAAATTTCTGATGTTAATTGCACACCCAGCGGCATCATTCAGACCCGGATCGTAAGACCGCGGCAACTCCTCGGCCCCTTTAAACATACAGATCACCCAGTGGAGCCGACCTTACCAATCACCCAACCTGCCCCTTAAGCGAAGCAAGATCTCTGTATAGGGCTGAGTACTACATATCCAAACTTCAGATAACGGGTGCCGGTGGCAGAACGCCTGGCTGTTAACCGGCCGCGTTATGTTTAGCGCAATGCAGGCATATTTGAACCTCCGAGCTCTTGGATTGTTGGGTACTACAACCGCCCAGCCCCAAAATCGGAAGGCCCGATATGGTCCAGGCCGGGACATCCATTGCTGCTGCCTTGATTGGTCTACTAATAGCCAGAGGGTGGAGATTGTACAGACCGTAGTGTCTTGATATACTTCTTCACTGGGGAGCTCGGCTGCATGACAGGACTAGATTTGGGGTGACGGTTCCAGAACACATTCGGACGCCATCCATTCGGGGTACAGAGCAATGAGGGTGGGAAATGTTAGCAACGTGGAGAGGTTTTCCACCAGGAGTGTGAGCTGTTGAGTAGCCATGGTTTTTCTCTACAATATTCCTGGTGGGGGGGCAGCGTGACTCAACTATCGGAGAACCAGCCCCCTCACATACCGAGCTCTTGAAAACCGGATAAGGCGAACAAGTGTCTAGCCATTACATAAATTTACCCTATCATTCCACTCTAGGGGGATATAAATACATGTATCTTTGGCCGTCGGCATCTGGGATTCCATGTGTGGGTCTGGTGCGTTGCAATGGGCCATCGGGCGGGTAGCATTCATACATGCGGCAATCTTCTAGGTTTAGGATTTTTTTTAATGTAGCCAGCACTCTGTTGTTACTTCAAACTAATTATGGCCGCAACTTCTGTGGCTCACAGGCTATGAGTAGAACGACGCCATCCATAAGCTTCAGGGCAGATTTGCTCCCTCAAAACATGCCGGATTTTGTGCACGTTATTAGATAGCCTGCATCTAGGGTTGTTCTATCGACCCGAAGAGGAAAAGGCAGAGGCCGATTGGAGTGGACCCGCCAACTAGTTAACTAAGACACAGTTCGTATGCTTATTTATACCTAGGTAGTTAACGGGAAGTCTTACTTCCGATTCAGCTCTACCTTGTGTCACCGCAGCATCCCACACCTACAGACATCCTTCACTGCGGAGGTCACCCCCTGTATGCTGGCGGGCCGCGGGATATGGGTATCGCCATGGAGGTTGAGCCAAGCAGCGTACGTAGGCAGGTCAGAAAGCCCTGGAGAACCTCAACGACTGAGGGGGGTCTGAATCCTTGGGCAATAATATGTCGAAGCCGCATCGCATGTTCATTAAATGGTATATAAGAGAGGCCCTGCACCTCCCCAATTGCAGTTTCATCAATCATTTCAAGCACGTCTTCTCTGCTTCTCCCTTCTTGTATTAGTTGTCTACTTTCCACCATATCCGTGCAGCCATGATTTCTGCAATAGTTTCAGTATCTCTTCTGGCTATTGCATCTTTGTTGCCCAATGTCTACGCTAGTTCAATGCCTCGCGATATTGAACTGGAAGCCAGGAACGTGGCTGAAAGTTATCAATTGATTGCCTCGTCCCCGCTCCTGGAAGAGCTTGACAAAATCATTGCCGCGAACCCGCAAGGACGGAGCCTCGTAAACATAACGGCTAGGAGGGTTAAAGAACTTGAAAGAAGCATCCTGGCAAACCGACAAATGCCACCAAGAAATCGCCCATTCAGATCCCACGGCCGCGTTCATGAAGGCGCTCATCAGGGCTACCTGGAGTGCAGTAACCCTGTGGGCTGTGGTCCCAATGCCCCTGCCTGGGTTCAAGACACACTTGTTTCAATCACATCAGCAAAGGTGACCACAAATCAGGTTGCAAGTCCTGCTCAAGTCAACTCAGACCATAAGCAGACAACGACACTGGCAGTTGGGACATTGCATGCAGTCGCTAAGGGCTCCACAACAGGCTGGAATATTGCAGCTTCACTGAACATCAAGGGTGCGCAGGTTGGCTTTTCATATACAAACCAAAAGTCAGAAACGGTCACCCTTACCACAACGAGGACAGATACTGGGACTTGTGGACCAAGGAGGAGGTGCCAATGGGTAACCTCCACTTTCAAAGCCAAAGTTAAAGGAAAATGCTTTATGACTGCGGTTTCGGAGTGCAACAGGGGGAAAAGAGATATGTGTGGGAGAGATAGGAACCGATTCTTCAGAGGATGCCTCCGACAGGCCACCGCCTCCAGGAGGGGTTGCAAGGACCCCGTCGGACAACGACGATTATTTGATTGCGAGCTCGACTACCCGCTACTTGATGATAAGGGAAAACCGCTTTATGAAATCAATTGGAAGACCGAGTCAATTGACAAGTGAACCTGGCAAAGAGAGAAAGTGTTGTTGACTTGCTGTCAATAATGATATTTCTTTAGGTAGTCGAGGTCAACAGCAGTAAGGTTTGAAAGGAAATTTGGGACACACGATGCTATGATGTTTTGGAATTTCATGTACTCATTCATTTCCTTTCCATTTCAATCTCTATTCATTCCGGAAAGAACAACTCCCAATGTTCCCACACAGTCCCTGTTTATAAGCTCCGACATGGTTCGTGAATGATAGAAGGATCTCTTGGCATGCCAATTTGTATGCATTTTCTCCCCTCGGCTCAGAGCAGCAGCCAGCCCGGTCTTCGCTGGCCTCGCCTAGAGATGTAGATGCCCCAACAGCACGTCTATCTATATTACCAGCCACTCACGATCTGCTAAAGCAAATACGAACCATAATCCAACCCTTGCAGGCAGAAATAAGGCAGAAATATCCCACTATATAATATTTTTAGCCTCTCTTCATTATTCGTTGTGAAGAGATATGTAGTGGAGGACCTTCCTACATGAATGAAACATGCCTTCGATAATAACAATGCTGACGAGGCGAACAGCAAAGGTGGGGGGGGCTTTGATCCTGACTCTCAACGCTGGGTTTGTTGCCTATCGGACATACACAAATAATAGACTCACGCTAGCCGTGCAACATCGGCCCAACCTCTCCACACAGAGGCAGGATTCAGGGCACGACTTGGGAGCGGGCCAACGCTGCTTGCTCCACTACTGCGTTATGTTGTGCTGATGGCTCTGCTGTCGAGAGATTTAGCTGGCTCTCCACAGCTTGGCACATCTTCGGCCCCGACGGAGTTCCCAGGTGCCGGATGCCGGGCGCTTCTATTCACTATCGGAGTAGTAGTATGTATGTAGCAGTAGTGGTAGGGCAGTACGGTTTGAAAAACAGCTTGTGGGGAAAATCCTGACTGATCGGTGAAGGAGCCAGAATATGAAATCAATGATAATACATGGGGCTTGCGTATGCACCCATTGATATCACGAGAGAAAGGTACTCCGTATTCTGCCATATCTCGTCAGGAACCCGTAGCTTCACCTAGCAAACCTCTGGCTGGATTTAGTCTTAGATGAGTACGGAGTACATCAAGGTGAATGGGGCATGGAGGCTATGCAGGTGAATTTCAGAGAAGGGAACTCGATTAGTTTGCGGACTTGTTTTGCTTGACCCTGGCATACCTCGGAACAGTCCTGCATGGGGGCGACCACCCCTGAGTGGGTCATCTGCAAAGACAAGTATTGATAGGCGGCTAATCCGCACAATGTGGAATTTTCTATGAAGCAGAAAATTTCAGATGTTCTTATTATGCAATCAGTGCTAAAAGCTCCACGTCTCATTATGATGGGTTGTCATGCCTACTGTAGGCTAGGCCTACCCTGAGAGCTAGTACCTTAATGGTTAGTATAGCCCTAACCTCACTAGTACTTATAGGTCATCCTACAGATTATCAGACTGACAGAGATTAGCTAGAGGTTTTTCATATGTTTTTCCCATGGCCTCAGTTATAGTATGTTCATCTATAGGTACACCAGTCTTGTTTGTTAGGAACAAGGCCAGACACAATATTATAGACTCTCAGTCACATGATCATCACGTGTTCATGTCGTCTGATACCTCTACCTTCTGCGGGATCGCCTCGCCGGCTGTCTCTCCAGGCTACAGGCTATGCAGGCACACCGATCCGTCGCTGTTGGACAAATGATTCGCCTCAATCCCCTACATAACATGCTGCAAAAGCACTTGGACCCCATATAAATTTTTACCCATCTGCCTTATTTTCCATAACATCTATATACTTCGTACAGTCCCATGCTATCATGACCAAAGCTGCTTTTGTGACAGCACGATGGATACAAGACAAGTGATTGGCACTTCTGCAGGGCCTGTGTCCCTATCCGCATCGTTTAATAAGGGAAACAGCTGCTTTGCTGTGGGCCTTGATTCCGGTTTCTGCAGTATGACTATGCCCTTCAGCTCACGAGCTTTGTATGCATATATCCCATGCTGACAGTTGAACTATGTCACAGTATTTAACTCAAACCCGTGTGAGCTTAAGGTATCTAGAGGTATGTGTGCCTACTCGCCGATTCTCTTCTCTTACTAATATCAAATAACTAGATTTTAATGCTGGCATTGGGGTTGTCGAGATGCTCGGCGAATCCAACTATGTAGCTCTAGTTGGTGGTGGCCAACGGCCCAGATTCCCTCAAAATAAGGTACGTTACTTCTTGGTACTGAAGCGATATCTAGCCACTCACCTGATGCAAGGTAATTATCTGGGACGATGCAAAGCAAATGGTCGCCACGAGCCTCGAGTTCAGTACCTCTGTCCTGCGGGTTCGACTGAACAAATCTCGTATTGTTGTGGCACTTCAAAATAGTGTCCATCTTTATGCATTTTCCGTGAAGCCGCAGAAAATCTCTCAGTTCGAAACTGTTGACAATCCCTTAGGCTTGTTGTGCCTAGGACCTCGACATCTGGCATTTCCTGGCAGGTCACCCGGCCAAGTTCAATTGGTAGAACCGGGAACTGGAGGTGTTAGTATAATTCCAGCACACAGCTCGCCTCTGCGAGCTTTAACGCTTAGCTCTGACGGAGCTTTACTGGCGACTGCAAGTGAAGCGGTAAGGGTTGTCTTCGTACTATTCTTACAGAGATCTGATATATGGTGGCTAGGGAACGCTTATACGAGTATTTGTCACCAGCAACTGCGCTAAAATAGCAGAGCTACGAAGGGGAGTGGATCACGCGGACATATATTCAATTGGAATTTCGCCGTCTAACACATTACTCGCCGCTACCTCGGATAAATCAACCTTGCATATTTTTGATCTACCACACGCCCGTAACAGCTCAAATAGCCAGGCGGCCCCTGCTGCTGGCGAAGATGGCATGTACCAGAAATGGGGGTTTCTAGGAAAAATACCGCTTCTCCCAAGATTTCTCTCCGATGTATACTCAATCGCCAGTGCCCCGTTTGAAACCGGGGATGAGACCGGCCCGGGGGCCGTATACGTTCCGCAACTCGGCTCTTCGCTCGGACGGCCGCCCAAAGGGATTATTGGGTGGATAAGTGACTCGACTCTCCTTGTGATAGGAGCTGGGAAAGATGGGCGGTGGGAAAGATTCGTGATCCAAGAGGACGAATACAGTCGTGGGAGTAGGCGGTCCTGCTCCAGAGCTGGGTGGAAGCGATATCTAGGAAGCTAAAGCGGCCCTGCTCGACTCGCTTGCTATTTTAAAAGGACGACCACATTGTTCTCGTCACGGAGGGACAAGGCTGGCGAAAACATGTCAAGGTACAGCCCGGCGTTTCGGAATTGGGTCTATGGAAATGGAGAGGGAGGTAATGGCATATCGGATTCACCGAGATAATCCATATAATGTTCATTTGACCCTGAGAATAAGTTCTTATGTTTCAAAGCTCATACTTTTATATCATTATTCCAAGTTAGGGGTTTCCGAATTTCCATTCTGATCGAGACACAATGAATTAGATTTCATTTATGATCTCGTTTTCTATGTCGACGATCTTTTGAAGATGAGCGCGACCGTGGTCTTCCATACTGCGAATGGCGGTCTTCTCGGGAGCGAGAACGGTCTGTGCTCCGTCTTCGTCGATGGTGATGGCGATGTCTGTGTTTACTAGACTTTGAGTTTGCGAGCGCTCTCTCCACCTCATCTCTCTTCTCCTGTATCAAGTACTCCTTCATTGGATCTTCAGCATCATGTTCTTCTATAAGCCGTGCTAACTCCTCCTCCTCCTTGATTAAGGACCCCCTTCTTTCGTCGCCGCCGTCTTTATCAGACCGCCGTTTCTTTGTCCTTCTGTGGCGCTCACGGTCATCTTGGTCTTTCTCTGGCTCTACGGCCAGTGTTGCAACATTATCTTCAAGCCCCTCATCCTCTTTGCGCTTATATCTCATATGATCAACTCTAAGCAGCCTTCCCATCACAGTTGCGCCACCTAGATTATCCACTGCTAGGTCTGTACTTCTTTGATCTTCATATTTAAGGAACGCGAAGCCTTTGCTTTTTCCAGTTTCCTTATCACGAACTAGATTGATGTGTACTGGCTCTCCAAATTGGGAGAATATCGTTAAAATGTCGCCTTCGCTCAGGTCGTAGGGTAGTCCACCGATGTAGATGTACGCGGTGTCACGATAGTCTGCATGCCACGAAGCTTCTGATGACCTAGAAAGACTGTCAATATCAAGAAGCATTTGAGAGAGGAGGGTATATACATACACTGCATTTTCTAATTCTCGTTTGTTCAGAGCTTGAATCTGACGGATGGAGTTCATACTGAGGTCAGGCAAATGGAGTTACAAGGAAACAAGAGCAGTTAAACTATCTCTTAATGGCAGACTTCCAAACAAAATGATGCAGATACTGAGCTGTAAGCATCGAGCTCTGGTTGTGAGGCTCAAACAAATTATGTAGTTAAACAATAGGCCGAAAGTTCGTTTGCGTAAACCCAAAACGCGTCACATCATCCATTTGACCAAAAGGTCACGATGATTCCATGACAAACACACAACATCCCACCTTGTACAAGACCATTCGTTTTTTACACTTATGTATCTCTTGTATAGTGATATCTAGTTTACTCAGCCGTTCAAACTCTTGCCTCTCTGCTCGATCTCTCCCTGTTCAACACTCCGCGTCCCCTTTTTACCGTGTCATTGTATGCTTAAACATAGGCTCAAGAGCACCCATGATATGCTGTCGCTAAGATGATCGGAGCTGGGAAACGTACGTCAACTCTAAGTCAAAGCTCCGGAGCCAAAAATGGCCCAGGCAGCAGACCGTCCAGCAAAGACGGAAAGAAGAATCTCTGGTCCTCCATGTTAGATTCAGTTGCCAGCGGAAAAAAGCTGCCAGAAAAGACTCTACTGGTATTAGGTTAGTATGTGACTATGTCGCGCTCACTCCTCGTTATTCAATATTGGACTGCTGGCTGACCATATGCGACAGGAGGGACACCAGAAAGCCAGAGAGAGTTCATGGATACGCTGTCGTCCGATCCGTCAGACCCCAGATTACCGTCGGAGCGTAAGAAAGCAAAGGCGCCCCCTATTGCTAATCAATTTGCGCTTGGATATACGTACCAAGATGTCCTTGATGCGGACCAGGAAGGTAAGTGCTTCGTGTTACACTACACACTCTGCAGCCCTTAACTAATCTTCGATATGATATACTCTAGATATTCTCGCCCGAGTATCTGCTTACTTTCTCTCCGAACCCTCTCCCGCTTTTGCTCCACTTCTAAAACCACTCTTCACCCCAAAATCCGTCCGTGAAACCCTCATAGTACTCCTTCTGGACTGGGAATCTCCATGGCTTTGGATAAGGCAATTACGAGACTGGGTCCGGTTATTAAGATCTGTTTTGATTTCTCTGGATGATGATACGAAGTTGGTGATGGAAGAAGTCATGACGGACTGCAAGGGGCTACAGAGGGGCCTGGAATCATCATACCCGACCGGTTCTGGCCCGCCCGTGACAATACCTCTAGGACCAGGAGAATGGGACGAAGGCCTGGGAATCCCTATGTGTGTTGTTTGTCAAGGAGTAGGTGTTATTCAATAGTTCTTTTTATGCTGATACTGACTAAAACATCGCCTAGGCCGAAAAAATTGAGAAGCTGGAGAAGGATCACGGATGGCGGGAGGAAGAATTCGATTTCATTTTGCAATTCATGCGCACAGTTCTTTTGAAACGTAAGTTTATTTTCTCAAACATCGCATTCCCGCTGACTTTAGACTAGATGGCTCGTCGCTCATTTACACTACACCATTTCTCTCAAACTCTCTACACAGCTTGATACACTCCTCTCTCGGTATCCACTCGCTTCTTAAGAGACAGTCTTTAAAGCACAATGTTATCGATAGGGACAAGATATTAGTACCATCTAACTGGGATTCGTGGGGTAAGATACGCATTATCAGAGAAGGCTTTGATATGGAAGGTGTTGGAACAGCATGGTCGATTGAAATCCAAGAGTCTATATCACCCTCGACGGATGGAGATGAAGCGACTATCAGTGAACCGAACCCAGAAGACGCTATAACCGCCGTAGCGATGTATGAGCAGACCATACATGACCCCAAACAAAGCATGGCCATCGCACGCACCGCCCAATCTGACGACAGCAAACTAGAGATTGAAGCTGTCGATACGCAGACGTTTTTAACAGAGCAGCTACAACTGCTAGAACAATTGAAAGCCGAAGATGAAAAGCAGGAACGTCAGATTCGCAAAGAAGGAATTCTAAAAGAGAGTCCTATGATCGACGAGACTGGTCGAGTAAATGAACACATTGGGCCTGTTCAATTCAATATGGGCGGTATCCAGGTCGATGCTGATGATATGTTAAGGAGGCTGAAGGTGAAGTTTTCCATAAGTTGTGTATCACTATACCTTTCACTAACCTTCTTTGTAGGAACGGGAGGCTAACCGAGCATCCAGTCGGAGGGATGGTCAACCGGACAGTGAATCACCGCTTGTAGGGTCTGTTGGCTCATCACCTATCACCCCAAGCGGAGATATGAAAATGCAGAATCAAAGTCTGGCCACGTTCTTTGCTGGCTTGGTTAAAAAACCCGGCAGTAGTCCCCGTTCTAACCAACCATCCTAGATGTGATCACCATTGATCTTTTTCTTGATTTGGAGCGGTATATAGCTATTTAGTGCTTTATCATTCACTTAATTTACCCAGCTGCTAAGTGAATGGAACCTTTCTTGCTCCCTCTGTTATCACTTTATTTTTTCGTGAATTTACCACTGAAAGTACTATATTCACATAGCCACAAAGCACTCACCTCCCACCCTCCAGGACAATATAAATAGAACCGCCCCTCTACCCCCCTCTCAATTTCTTCGTCTCTTTACAGAATAGCCTGTGCAAGCTAGAGTCCGCCGCAGCGGAAGCTGACCCAATTATACTCGGTGTACTTCTAACATAGAATATGTTTAGGTCGGTCTACTAATAAAGCAAGATACGTGGAATGACGGAGCCAGTAGTGCTTGTGATGCTTTTCTTGGGGCTCTCAACCCTGGGCATTTGCTTCATCCGCTCTTCAGTCTAGAGGAGTTGTGGGGATTCAAGTGACTTTACCCCCAATACTCACTCTTTGAAGATGTTAACAAAGTAGAGCTTGGGAAATCAAGGGACAACTCCAGGCGCTAATAATGCTTCAAAAAGGCCAAAGATCAGGATGCTCTATAAAGAAATCCTTAAAAAGCACATCAAGAATAAGGATATAATTTCTACAAGGCTTAACGTCAAGATGGAAATTCAATATAACCTTGAACAAACTGCATCGAATAACAAAAGGCTTTGCTCCCAGGCCGCCGCCCTCCGCCCGTAAGATGCTAGAGCGGCAATTTATAGGGACAAAATGGAACTCCCCCATAGTAAGGTTCCTAAAAGAATGTCCAGCAAATTCCAACGGGAAAATGAGCTCCCTAAAGGTCTGAAAGTGGGAGTGATCTCCCCAATCTACAAGGACGAAAGCTTCCGAATGGATACTTATATACCGATAGCACTGGATAACAGTGACTACAAACTGCACTCAGAAATTCTAGGTAGAAGACTACGCAAAACACTGGCACTTTGTTTTAATGGAGAGGCATATTTGCTCCATACCATCTTATTTTCTGTGCTCAACATGGAGTTGGGATTCAAGGACAATTGAACTGAACACACTTGGCATGAGTTATTTCCTTATTGCGTATAACGACGGATGACTGTTGAGAAAAAAAAGAGAAAGTAACAGTGCACTAGGTTCGCGGGAAGACGGATTTATTGATGTATCCATGGCCATTTTTGTCGCGCATGGCTCGCAACCCTGGGATACACCCACTCTCGCAGACCACATCAGCTCATACCTAGCAAGACCTGTCGCCCCAGACCCCCTCCTAGTGCAATGAGGGGTATCCCTCTAGATACTCTTTTTCGGCCCTACCACAGCCGGTTCACCCCTCCCCTGCCCCGGGTTATGGCTGGAATGGGGAGGCAAGTTCGCTTTCTTCTGTGGGAGTACCAACTGTTCAATTCAACAAAGCCTCTATTAAGAGAGAGAACAGATCAACAGAGCTACAAAACAGTAGCTACTTACATCAATAACCAAAGCTACCAGAAGATCAAATATGAATATAGAGCATGCTTTCAAGACTCCATGAGGAATGTCCCAGCATTGTGGTGTTTTACTCTCTCATCCATACCTTTTTGAGAGCATGTAAATAATGAAGACACGCCCCAGTCAGTCTCAATCGTGAGTGACATACAAGCAGATGACCATTTACAGGATCTTAGCTGCATACCAGTAGGACCGGTTATTGAACCCCCCACGTCAACAGTGATGATGAGAGGCCGCCAGGCTAACTACACCCTATGTTTCGTTCTACGTCCGACTGAACCCAACAAGAGGATAGAATTTTCATGGTATTATTACCCTCACCTAACCTGCATTGAGGATACAGGTATACTTGGCCGGAATACACAGAATAAACTACGGATGATACCCCCAGAGACAAGCTAAAATCTACGCCCTAATGAGACCAATAATGTCAATCTTAGCAAGAAAACAATTCCTCTACCCAGCAACATACAACAAATTGACAAACAAAACAGTTATGGAAAATATGTCTCTATTCTTTAACTTTCCCTACTATTCTGACTAGGCCTGTCCTGACCAGGCAACAATCACTGGGACTCTTTCTGATGATTTTTTGGTTAATTTAATCAAGAATATGAATAATTGAATAAATTCAGCCATCCCCATGGAGGGTTGGCAAACTTGATACCAAATGGTTTAATTTATTTTAATCTCAGATATGTTAAAGTACTTTAGTTCTCTACAAATTACCATGGTTTCCAAGTATCTGTACATCAATTGGATTTTTTAGTGACCCTTGAACCCAGGGGATGTTTCCTGGGGGGTAGAAATTTGACTTCGCGGCCACCACTTTTGAACGGTGACTGTACCTCAAAAATGTTAGCAAGCAGGAGCGGGATACTCTATAACTACATCTTTAGTATGCTGACCGCAAACAAAGCATAGCACGGTAGCTGTTGCTCGGGTTCCACAGTATTACATCCAAGCCGAAAATTGTGTTCCAGAACGAGTTTTTAATGAGGCCAGACCCAATTTATAAAGGATACTCGATGATATGCAGATTGGCTCATTGAGCATTTTTGAAGCGTATGGAGGAAATTTTTACAGGAATGAACAGCAATATGCCTCTGGATCCCTTCGTAACCAATAAAATTGACCTAAGGCACAAAGGTCAAAAGGGTAGTCATCCTTTTGACTGAAGGGTTAGGAAGATGTGGTATGGTTATGCGCCAATCTGCTCGGTAGATTCTTGGCCGTTCACCGCCCTCGAGACTGGGGTGAAACAACAATATTGATTGCTCGGAGCTGACTGAGAAGAATTAAATGAATTCTGGGAGTCTTAGGTTGTATTTAGAAGATACCAATATCAATATATACAGATAGAATTGGAATCATAAGATATACCTATGCTAAGGAATATTATGCCAGGCACGCTCAATTGCATTATTTTAGCGTTCGAGGATACACTGATTAATTACTGTGGGTTAATGTTGACGACTGGGACAACCGTGTCAGTCAGCTTGACGGCATTAGGGTTGCTCTGGGCAATGCCAGAGTACTTGTTAGCCCAGCCAAGGACTTGTTGGTGCCAGACGAGGGAGTTCTCCCTCTTAAGGACCCTATAGCGTAACGCCCGTTAGTATTTGTTCAAATAGAGATAGAGTATGAGGTATAGCATACCAATGGTTCTCATCTGGGAAGTTGAGGAAACGGCTGGGTACACCACGACCTTGGAGGACGTTGAAGATGCTGAGACCGTCGGCGACAGACAGACGGAAATCAAGGTCGTTGTGGATGACAAGGTGTGGGGTAGCGAACTGGCGAATGTTATCTGGCGCAGAGGGGTCAAAGCGTTCGTAGTTGTCGCGAGCATCCCAAAAAGTTCCGTTGAACTATAAAATTAGTCAGTTATAGAATATTATAGCATGATGTTAGCGATGACATACGTCGTGTTCCATGAAGAAGAGCTCATCAGTGGCGATCTTAGCTGGAGCGACGAAGGTTCCGTCGTGCGTGATCAAGGCCTTGAATTTTCTTCCGAATTCCTTGCCCTGGATCCAGTTGATCATGAAACCACCATAACTGGCACCAGCGGCAATACCGTTCTTAGTGTCAATGTAAGGGATGTTTTTGTCGATGTGTTCCCAGACTTTGACGAGGTCGTTGTATGGAGCACCTCCTATAATTCTAAAAGTCAGCATCGGTTCAAGTATTAGATTGATTAGCTGGAGGAGAACAAACCCCAGTCGTTCTGGATTGCGTCGGTAAATTCCTGGCCCCAGCCAGTGCTACCAGTGGGGTTAGGAGTAACAACAACGTATCCCTGATCGGCCCAGACCTTAGGGCACCAACGGGTGCTCCAGGAGTCTCCCCAAGAGCCCTGAGGACCACCGTGAATGAGGAAAGCAAGGGGGTACTTCTTGTTCTTGTCGAAATTCTCTGGCTTGATAATCCAGGATTGGACCTATTGGCTTTATCAGTAAAGTTCACCTTTAAGGTTCCTCGGGAGGGGAAACTTACCGGGTGCTTCTGTCCTTGGACGTAGAATTCATCAATATCCTCAGGGCCGAGACCCTTGAGCTCAGGCTCGTGCTCGTTTGCAAAGAACAACTTCTGGGGAGGGCCGTATGGGTTGGCAATGTAGTAAAGAGCATTGGACCAAAGCGAGTTGGCAAAAACGAGAACGCGGTTCGATTTTCCAAGGAAGTTGAAAGAGCTGACGGAGCCAACGTTGAGAATGCGTCGTGGTCTGGCGCCCTTGCCAGCCTTGGCAGGAACAGAGAAGAGACGGACGGTTCCACGATCCTCAGCAGTCACGTAGAGGGTATCACCATCATCAGTCCAAGCAACGGATGAAGGAGATCGGTCCCAGTCATCAGCGACAGCCCGGATGGTTGGAGACGAGCCCAGAGTGGAAATGTAGATGATGTTGCGGTCAGATTCGTAGTTCTCTCCGTTCATCTGCAGATAAGCAATTTGCTTGCTATCGGGGGAGAACTTTGGTGCAGTAGAAGCACCACGGGCGTTCCTGGGCGTAGCGCCAGTGCCTCGCTTGTTGATTGGGGCAAAGGTAGCAGAGCCGTCCTGGGGGCCAACGAAGATATAAGTAGTGGTCAAGTTGGACTTGGGCAACTCAGGGGCCTTGCTCATGAAACAAACGGTTTGGCCGTCAGGGGAGATATCGTAGTGGTCTGTCCCACCGAATGGGGGATATGGAGACTCAGCACCCTTGATGGGAGACACGAGGTTGTTGAGCTTTCCATTAAAGCTGTATTTTCCACCATTGGCTTTGGACAATGTGCCGGAGAAAACAGCATTGAACTCGGGGGTCAAATAGTAGTCCCAGTGACGGACCCAGATGCTGTCGTAGATACGAGCACTGGAGAGAGGCTTCTTCACAGCCTCAGGGTTGAACAGCTTTCCATCAGCGGACGACTGGCCGTACGAGACGAATTTTACATCGCCGTTCTTGGTGAGGACGACCTTGAGGCCGCTGAGCGGGCCAGGGAACGATGCCGCCTTATATCTGATATCAATGTCAGAACAGTGCTACTATCCGCTGTCCACACGCCGATCAACGACCTACCCGCTGGAGAAGCTCTTGGTATCTGAGATCCAGAGGTCAACACCGCCAGGAGTTCCCGGGCTAGTGCTGTTGATGTAGGCAACCTCAGTGCCCTTGCCGAGCCAGACGATTTCAGACACGCTCGAATCTTGCGTAAGAGGGCTGATCTTGCTGCTCCTCAGGTCAAGAAGACTCCACTCGTTGCGGGAGGACGAGTGCGTCTTGAAGGAATATTGACTGGTGCGGAAAAAGGCAACATTCTACAACCGCAAACACAGCACGGTTAGCAAGGGCAGCTCAACACGCGCACTATGGAAGCTCCCAACTTACTCCTTCAGGGTCAGGAACAGCTTCACCTCGTCGGGGGGCCGAGATGAATTCCTCTGGGGTCATCGACAGTGCCGGCGAAGCCAGCGCAGCGGCGGCGACCAGCCACTTAGCCATCGCCATAGCTCCAGGAGTCCAAGGTGAACAGATGACTTGACGTGCAAGTTGACAGCAGCCAGACGAGGGGCCCACGCGGGCATATATGGGATGGGGAGATCGGCTGTTTATCTCCTAACGCGGTGGAGATGCGCACCGCTTGACAGCGCAGGCTGATCCTTGCCGGCCCAACAAGAACCGGCCCAGGATACCCAAGATCATGGGAGGCGCCGCCGTCCGCAGTGGAAATAGCATCCATCATAATACGACCGTCATCTTATTCGCAATTCCATCTGGCCGTTGGCCGCCGAGCGCACGCGCCCGCCCATCAGTCCACGCGCCGACCCGCGCATCCTGGCCTCGCAGCACGGGAAATTACACGGCCGATCAGCCTGGCAGCTCCTCGACGGCTGCAAGACAAACCAAGGATCGCTCACACGCCGCAGCAGTGCCCTCCGCACCGCCTCTTGTGGGGTATTCCGCCGCTGACGCAGAGAGGACAGCAGCCAGCACAGCACCGCACTGCACTGTACCGCATCGGATAGAGGCACATGGAACCGCACTCCCGCCAATACGAACCGGATAAGATTAGAAGGTGACATTTGGGCTTGGGCTAGTTATTCCACTCCTGCGGCGGGCTCGTGGAGCTCTCGCAACGGAGCCAGCGGATAGCCATGGGAGGCTTCGTCGAGGTTGCAACGCCAAGGGCTGCAGCACTGAGCTTAACACGCGCGCTGCCCACGACTCCCTCCGCATTTCCACGCAGCGGACTGGGGCGCCGTCGGATATTTCGAGAACAATCTGGAGAAAGGATCAGCGGCGCTAGGGCGCACGCCTTTTGGGCCTGTCCCAGCCCGCCGAGCCAGGGCTACCCCGGAACCAGCGTTGCCCTAGGTTTGGCTGGGAAGAAGATTTTGAAATCTCGCCACGATCAACGGCTAAGCCGTGGCTAATCCAGGAGAAACACCTTTATTTCAGGGCCCAATAATGACGAAAACACACCCAGATCGAGCCCAGCCAAATCTCCCAGTCTGGCGGGGGGACACGCGCGCGACTGCGAATAGTTCTTCCGGCATCCAAGCCGGCCTGGTTGGGCGTCCGCAGGCCTGTTCGCACGATGCTTCCAGCGGGGAAACCGTGTGCCGCTCCACAGATGATCAGCCGTATGTTGCCCGTATAGATTTCCAATCGCCTTCGGCTACTCAATGACCCAGGACCCTGGCCATCAGGTAAAGAAAGCTTGAGTATCAGCTGGCCGCGGGGATTGGGGCGGGTTCCAACAACTGCATCACCATCTCGACCACTGTCCTTGCTCTGAACTGGGTAGTCCAGGCATCAATGGGGCGTGGCGTCGGGCCCGGCACATTTCAACTTTCAAGATTTTTTGATGCATGTCTCGGGCCATATTCACATCATGTGCCCTGGACTCTGCCAGCTGTCATTCGGTACTACGAGGTATAGCAAACTCCGTATACAGGCAAGGAAACTAACAAAGCGGGATTCCGTCGGGTTAGTTACGGAGAAAGATCCTTCTCATCTAACTACGACTAAAGTAATATTAATGCAGAGAAAATGCCAATAATACGAACAATTCTTGACCTCCTCCGCGGGTCCCCGTACTCCGTACCTTGATGGCTTCTGCTGGCTTCTTATTTTATTGTCGTGGATATCGCTGCTTATTTCATGCTGGGAGCAAGGGCCACCAAGCTGAAGCCAAAGTCGCCCTCGCCCGCGTCGCTCTTGTTGTTGAGGAATGTTCGTACCCCCATATTTAGCGCATTTTCGCTCAGACAATCCTCTTCGGGCTGCAAGGCCCCTCGATCAACCGGGCCTTTCATCGACCCGTTCAATTCCCACAGGTGCCCATCATCGCCCTTCACAAAACTAATAAAGTGAAAGCCGCAATGGTCTCCAGGCGTCGGCGCTTGCGTGTCACCCCGTTGCGCGGCCGACCGATGCGCCGCCTCTAAGGCTGGCGAATCATAAAGAAGCTGCGCGCGATTGACGCGAGAAAGGGGCACCGCCTCGTGGAGCAGTTTATCCAGCTCTGAGCCCGATGTTATATATTGGCGCGCAGGCCCATTGCTGATACAGTGTAGGAGCGCCATGAGACCACATGCATTTCCGATCGTCTGTTTAAACCACAGAACCGGCTCTCCTGGGCCAAATCCTTCATAGTCCTTCATTAATGCCTCTTCCGCGTCTCGAGCTCGATGGTAGACGTCCCCGTGGCAGATGAAGATCAGCCCATACGCAGGACGAGGAAGGAAAGCTAACAAATCAGGCTCGTCGATGCTGTAGACGTCGTAGAAGCCAAGGTCTGCGGAGACGCCCAGATGGTGAATTAAATGAGACATGACTTCTGGGCTGTTCTCTATGTAGATTCGGCGGAATCAGCATTTGATTGTTATGTATTAGCCATATTCAAGGATGGCTGATTGTTTACCCAGCGGCACGAAAGTCTTCTTTCCATTGATGTACTCGACGTCCGGTCGCCCAGTTGTTGCCATGACGAACGAGAATGGGCAGTGTTCTGCTTTGTACCAGGCGTGCTGATCGCGACTCTGTATGGAGTACTTCGTACGCTGGTAATTATGTGTTTACAAGCATCGATGAGCTCGAGAAGAGCAAGTGAGGACAGGCGACGCGTCGCTAACTAGGCAACCACATGACGAGTCATGCCGGGGATCTTCTGCTCAGCGTTTCTACTTCGCCGTTCAACTCTCTCTGACCACTACTCAACCCACCCATCCCGTTCTGAAAACACGCAGGCTTCTGTGCTGTTATTAGTATTAGCCTCTCATTTTTCTTGTGGGGATTTGTTAACCGTACGATCTCCTTTTACTCCGTAGTGTCCAGAGAGACGATAGATTTAAGACCCCGAACTGGAGACCCGTACCTTAGCTGGACGCCAAAGTCCCGATGTAACTCCAACCCTGCCTTGACTCGATATTTTCCGCTTTCGCCCGCCAATCTTGCGTTCGGTCCTCCGTACCCCGGCTACTGGCGGCGCCCATGGCCAGACCCGTACAAATTTCGTAAGTCTTGAATACCGAGCCGGCAGGAGGAAGGTGGTGATTTCTATTATTATTCTTATTATAGATGAGCCGAAGGATTACTCTATAAAAGACACAAATATGGAGTAATAATAATTGTTGCCAAATAAGACCATGGCCTCAAATAATAATGTCTAAGCCCAGGAAAACACGATGTCGTGTCTTCGGAATTGTTCTCCGTACGGAGTACTACGTAGAGGAGATACTTACCTGATACTCCGTACTCCGTACCTACAGGACTAATAGAGCAATGCTATCATAAAGTCGAGGAGAAAATGGCAGATACCTAAGATGTCCAGTATGGCTTCTTCTTGAACTGGATTAACTACCTGTACTCCGTACAATGGGCGTTAATGTTTATAGCTGGGCCGAACTAACTACACTGTGGCACAGCACTTGGGCCTAGCTAGCTTGCATGGCTGCCCAACAGGCTATCCACACAGGTTCGGTGTTGCCAGAGGACTCGCCCATCGAAACATGATGGCAAAATCTTCAGTATTAGACTTGGATCCATCCTGGTTTGACCCCTTCAAAACAGTGTTGCAGCAGGTTCTTGCGACTAAGGAAGCCGAATTGACCTTTGCTCAGATCATCGATGGCCTACCAACTGCTCCTATTGCCTTCAAATATGGCGTTGATGATATGCGGTCAGATATTATAGACCGAGCGGTCCCCTGCGGCGATTCACTTTCTATCTTTCAAAGCTTCCGTGAGAAATTCGATACTTCTACCCTTCAGCTTGACTTGCAGGCATGACATTTTCCTTGGGATATCTCTCATTTTCTATCGATAGGTGGAGCTGATCAGGAGATTAACCATTTTCTTACAACAGATGCTACAGAAATATCAGAATACCCGACTTGGATCCATCGAATTTCAATTACATTTACTCGGCTTAGTCGCTGTTTCTATTCATGACCTCGCCATCAAAACATTCACAGAGCTACATCCAAATGGTGGCCCCAGTCACCCGCAAAAATTTCCTTGGCCCGGAGGTATAGATATGCCCGACCTCCGCCATCCAAATTATATGTGTTGGCATCAATATCCCTATGGCCCTGCTGAGCTGGTCGGATACTGGGCTGAAGCTGAGATATTCGGAGGGACTGTTGTATTTGAGCACAGTATTAGCAATGAAGTAGGTATCCTGAAATATTCAACTACCGTTTAGTGTCTATGGGGCTAGAGATATTTGGCATCGGCTTCCTGTGTCAATGAATGAGCTGCTGACCCGCATTACTGCGTTTAAAGCTTCAAGGCGCTTTCATCCACCCACCCTTTCGCCCACTTTTCAAGCTTTCAGTAAACTAGCTTAATGAGTTTACTTCCCTTGCCACTGTACTCTCAGGTCCCGCAGATATAGCACTCCACAAAGCTTCCGGAACACAAAAACCGCTCCCTTTTCAAAGAGAGATACAAGCACAAACAATTGTTGATGATATTGGTATGTATCCACTCATATATCGGGACAAGTATGAACGGGTGCCGAAGATACGACTGCCAGAAGCGCAGGAGGGATGTGTACGCCGTGGAATAGTAACGGATGAGATGAGAGACTTTGTGAATGACCTGCCCCATTGAACTGGTTCCCCATTGCTTTTTACACGGGGTCTTGCACATACATACATACACCCACAATTCCATGATGCTTCTGATATTGGGTACTTCATAGACTCAGCCTCTTCTAGTATTTGGCTTATGTTGCTAGAGGTATTTGGTTTTTTACCCGTAGAGAAAACCAAGCCAGAAATCTGAAAGGTCAGAACAAAAAAAATACCAGCCCACCACCAACTCTCATAAACATATCAAAGCATGGGAGTAGCAGGGGGAACAGCTAATGAAGTGAGATATTTCTGCCTGTGTATGGATATATATATATATATACAGAGCTCGCTCACTTCGTCCCATATGGGCGGGTGAACGAACAGGCTAGAAGGCTTGGCAAGGGCAGTTTTAATTGCGCGACGCGACCTCGACGCGACCTCAACGCGTGTCATCAACTCTATCTACAATTGAACGCATTTTCGCATCAAACACAATGTCTAGCCTCTCACAAACAACCTTCCTATATTACTCGTCTCTCTTCGACTTACTGATTTCACCACTCTCTCTCCCTCTCTTCTCTTTTTCTTCCAGAACAAATCATCGATGGATCCAGCCAGCAAGCGCATTAAACTCACCCCTACTCACGTGCCTACACATGTCATTGATCCCCACGGTGAAGTGATCATAATACTGCGCAATGCAAATGCCCCTTTCGCGGTGTGGAATGATATAGTTAAAACCAAGCCAACTCAACCAACCGTCGACCAAACCCCACCCTCCGATTCGCAGAATGAAAAGGACGCGGATTCACCAGAGAGGATCTTCTACATCCAGGTATCCGCTAAGCACTTGATGCTAGCCTCGCCCGTACTAGAGGCAACGTTGACTGGCGGTTGGAAAGAGAGTACCAATTTACTCGAAAAAGGGTCTGCTGAGATCGCCGCGGAGAATTGGGATCTTGAGGCGTTCTTGATTTTGCTGAGGATTATTCACTGCCAGAACGACAAAGTACCCCAAGAGCTCAGTCTTGAGCTTTTTGCCAAAGTCACTGTTTTAACGGACTACTATAAGTGCAAGTCAGCAGTCCTTTTTTTCGCTCGCTCCTGGGTCCGCTATTTCGACGACCTGCCCCGTGAGTTCTCCCGAAATGCGATCTTGTGGCTATGGGTTGCCTGGTATTTCGACTTCTCACTCGAGTATGAGCCAGTATCATTCGTTGTGATGGCGAAGAGTAGTGGTTCGATCCCTACTCTAGGTCTGCCTATTCCGGGTAGTGTACTCGGTATGTAAGCGTGCTCTTCCAACTTCAATGCACTCTGAGTAACGGTTATCCAGAGCAGCTGCAAGTTCGAAAAGATAATTATATCCAAAGGATCGTCGACGACCTTCATCAAACGTATCAGATGCTGATAACTAACCGTGAGGGGTGTAACCTTGAAGCCCGTGCGATGAGACTCGGTGCTCTCAGTAGGGCCATGTATTCGATTGGCGTGTTACCGCGCCCTGTCGCGCCCTTCCCGGGCTTAACTTACAATTCGCTTATGGAAAAGATACCGTCATTTGAGTCTCCACTGTTTAGATGCCAGCGTTGCCGCACTAACTGCGCAGATTTGACGGATGTACTCAAAACCGGGTTTTTTTTGCGTGGCATCGATCTATCATCATCATCATCCACTCCCCTCAACTAATGAATATCTATATGATATTCTGGAGAGAGGAAGAGTATACTTTGCCGCCATTGACTAAGACATGGCCTCCTAGCTGATCAAAGTGTGACTTATCTGAGAACAGCATATTTTGATATTTATTGACCAACACTAGATTCCATATGTATACATTTACATTCACTCTCAAATCATACAAATTTTTTGATCGTACACTGCTGTTAAAAGACTAACACACCAACACTTTGCACTGTGTAATACTACTTACCCACTTGTAATACATAAGTTTGAGTGTTAGTTATGTAGTTAACTCATATTGTAGTTAGTTAAACAAGGTTGTCTTAACCTCGGCACGATCACCATCAATTTCCACTGAGAGACTGGCGTACCTATGTATGTCCAACAACACTTGCAAAATGCAGTCGTTGAGAACTTCGTCTAATATTCAAACTACCTAGAGAGAAATGAAAGAGAAGATGCAAGGCCCTACCGCGACCCTACTGCCATCCCCACCATTCCATATAGCCAAAGGCATCAACAACCTCCGCGATGTAGGAGGCTACGTCGTCTCGCCCACCGTCTCCGTACGGCGCAACTTCATATATCGTTCTGCGCACCTCTCTCAGGCAACGCCCGAAGCCGCAGGGGTCCTCGTCCAGCAGCTTGGAATTGTAAAGATCTACGACTTCCGCTCGCATCCCGAAACCATCAAGAGCCCCTCACGCGATATTCCCGGTGCTGAGCGGCTACATGTCCCCGTCTTCACGGATCAGGATGCGAGCCCCGAAAAGCTGGCGCTGCGATATCAGCATTACGCGTCGGTGGAAGGACCCCGGGCGTTTTTGCATGCATACAAGGAGATACTCAGGAGTGGAGCGGACGGCGCATATCGAGTTGTGTTTGAACATATCAGAGACCGGCCAACAGAGCCACTGCTATTCCACTGTACGGGCGGCAAGGATCGGACGGGAGTTTTCGCGGCGCTGGTGCTGCGTGTTGCGGGAGTGACGGACGATGGGCTGATTGGCAAAGAGTACGAGCTTACGGAGATTGGTATGGGATCGCTCAGAGAGCAATTCGTTCAGCATCTGCTTAAGCACCCTGCTATCAAAGAAGATCCATCTGCTGCGTACAGGATGACTTCTGCGAAGTCAGAAGCTATTGAGGCAACACTGGAGTGGATGGATGCTACGTATGGAGGGATTGAAGGGTATATGAAGACAGCTATGGGTTTTCAGGACGAAGATATTGTGAAAATAAGGAATAATCTAGTTGTTGTGGAAAAGGCGACATGATAGGTGGAAAACAGGACCAGAGTCGCGATAGATTGCGCTTTGAGCAAATGATTATGAGATATCATATGCCCGGTGAATATAAATAATAGATTTCATTAGCATCGCATTTACCACTGCTCCCATACACTAGCTGGAAGCACCGTTCTCATGATTTTCCAATGCCCAACCGCACTCTTTGAATGCCACGAGTGAAGGTGGTGGATCTGCTCCTTCACCAAAATCTCTGGTATTTTGCTGTGATTCTTTTCAAACGCCTTCTTTCCAATTTCGTGTCTGGGAAACATGTAGGATTCCCTCGACCTGCTGCCCAAATAATCGGCCTTGGTCGGCTTTCTAAATTGTAGCGATGATTTTGTTTTCTTGCAGAAAACAACCATGTTGGTGAAATCGACGTCCGTATCACCACTTGGCTCGCCTTCACGGAACACCCGGCAGGATGGAAAAGCTGCCAATATCGTTCGAACTATGAGTCCGGCTGAGGGTAAGTTCAAATCACCTGCATAATTCTTTATTATGAGAAGACAGAAGGTTAGTATTCCTGCTAAATCTTTGTAGGTGAAGGGTGGGGAGGGGGACGAACGATGGCAATAGCTCCATCGTCTTTCAGTAAAGCGTGCAGTCCTTGCATGAACTCTAGTGTAAAAAGCTCTGCTGGCTCAACACCCCCAGTAAAAACATCGTGGACGATAAAATCGTACTGCTGCGGTGGCTCAGCATTCCTTGAACGCTGAACAAAATTGACTGCATCCTCGATTTTAGGGATAGCCTCTCCTGGAAACCCGAAATATCGAGTAGCTAGCTCATATACAGCTGGGTCTATCTCCACAACTGTGGTGTTTATTCCATGTGCAACAAATGCAGCAGGTGTTGTACCAATTCCAAGTCCACTATCGAGTTCGTTAGTCGCTGAGACTTCCCTAAGATCAGGTCACAGTACATTACGAGGGCATTGGTTCCTAGGCCTCCATTTCTGGGTTTCCTTGAACCGGTTTCAATCAACCTAACAGCTTCCAACATCGTAAAAACGGCATATATCGGATCCCGTATTCGCTGTTTTGGTGCCCCAGGAGGGGGAATCCATTCTCCACCAAGGAGACTATGGTCACATCTCATGACTCTAAAATTAGGCTCCTTGCTCTCTAGCACAGATATATAGCCAGTCAAAGAATCCTGGCGGTGAAGTAAGACATAATTTTCTGTTTGTAGGTTGGAATTAAGGCGAGCAGTGGTGGGCCCAGATGGGACATGAACGTTATAGCTGGCAGAAAACAACAAAGATGGAATGGCAAAAAGTAGCCATTTGGAAGGCAAAAATATAGAATAAAACGTGGCTATAACAAACTGAAGCCCCGTTCGAGTCATCAAAATACCCAATCCAAGATATCGGGGTAAATGGTCTCCCGCAACTTTGATAGCAGAAGTAAATAGAATGTATGAGCCTATAAATTTCCCATGATTTGCCATAAGTCGAGACCCGTGGCTAAGGTCTATGCCTTTTAAGCAATACACTGCTGCGGCCGCTGAAAGAGAGACCAAGGGGTACAGCGTACACGACTCAGTGACTAACGGTCCAATGACGGGCCCCAATTGAGTGCTATACTGGAACAAAAAATATTGAATAGTGGGAATGGTCCATGCTAACACGGGTAATACATCGGTGGGCATCCGAGGGTTGGAGGTGTTGATTCGATCCATTCCAACCCACCCTATCAGTGCAGCAATCATAATCCCTGGGCGGTGAAAGGAGCTAGCAGGGACCGAGCCATAGACCGGTGATAACGTCAGCTGCGAGATGTGCGAATATATCGCAGGTAGAATGATCATTGCTGTAGCCATGCATATTGATATTATTGTGTGCGGGGTGCTCCGGTGCACCGGCAAGTGTTGCTTCTCGGACATCTCCGTGCCCTTCTCCTTGGGTAAAGAGCTGGCCATATTGGTGTATACAACTTAGGTTCGCATTTTAGAAGCTCTTGCAAATCGAGATCCTAGAGGCCGTAGGTGGCGGAACTGTCTGAACAAGGGTCGCGTTTTAACGCAGAGCAGAAATCAATGCAGTATACCTGTATAATTAATAGTAATTTCAAGACGACTGGAGGGTATTCAGGAGCAGAATCCACGCCCCCTTCCCTTGTTTCAGCATCTTGGACATTCATGAGACAGGTTGAAGGGATATGTAGGCCTAGTCGGGTTTAGTGGCCACGAGACCACGCGCCACTCCACGACGTCACGCGTTTTCGTGTTGTTGAAGCCGATTCAATAGGCAACACTTCATTTTCATTAACGATAGGACGTGGGAATTGATACCAAAGTGAGTGCGGGCCATCGGCTAGTGGGTTATTTTCATAGACTGTTGTCCTCTTAGCGGCAATATTCAACAGGTTCTATCTACTCTAATAGTTATATCACAGTGGCAGAGTTTCCTGGTCTGTAAGTAAGCGGTCAACAGTTGCTCTCGGTGAGAACATTTTAGATCTATTTTACCAGTTTGGTTTTGCTTTGCCTATTGTGGACACAGAAGACACAGAAGAAGAAGGAAGGGAAGGGAAAAGAAATAATCATAGAGCTAATTAGTTATACAATCTAATCTCTATCCGTGAGACTGCTAAGGGTTCTCTAAATACAGAGGGACTAATGAATGAAATAACATTCAATCAGGCCAATTCATTCTACAACAGGCCCATTTTTAATTGTAATAAATCAGAGTATTGCAGGTGGACATGTTAATTCAGGTGCAGATGATATAAAGGACAGACTGCTCTTCCCATTAGATGAAGGCAATACATCACGGATTATTATGGCCAAAACCCCTAAAACAATAAGTCTATTTACAGACCTTTTCAATAATCGATGATAGTAATTTGCTTGGTTAAATGCTGAAGCTCTAGTACTCCGTAAACCAGCGGCGCCTAGTTAGTTAACTAGCGCGGACAACCTTGATAAGATAAATAATATCGCCACTTGGTTACCAGCTGCATCAGCACGAGCGAAAATGTCCCTCTTGCATACAGCTGCTTCCTCCTTTAATGCCTATTCTCTCTTATTATGCCGCATTTTCCAATGAACACGGGTACTGTGGTTGCCAGTTCGAATGCCAAAGACGAACAAGAAGAGCGACAGACAGCACCGGTGCGGCCCCCCGCATCCATTCAGATCAAAAACCGACGGAAGAGATACCTTGAAACACACCCTGATTATTTCTCTGCTGGCCTTGAACTTGCCGGTGCGTATTTTATTACCACTGGCAAACTTTTCCTAAGCTAAAAGTTATACACCTCTGACTGACTCAATTCATTAAACACCTAGACCCATTGCTTTACGATCGCCTAATCCGCCGTTTCCAAACCACTGGCGAACGCGAAGAGGAAGGCCGGGCAAAGGGCTACTCCGGCGCGCTGGAAGCAGACCTTATGCGAGCAGAGCTGAAAATGGAGGCACTGGCGCATCCTGACCCGAACGCTACCATCACCTACACCCGTGGCCCGCAGGGAGAGATTCTGGCCGAAGAGGACGACGAGATCCCGGCCACGAGAGAAGAAGGCGAGGAGCGGTGGAAGACGGAGATGGAGCTGAGATTCCTGCGGGGCGCCGACCCGGACTTTGACTATGCGGCTGTGGACGAGTGCGAGGACTACGACGATCTCAGCGAGGAGCAGGACAAGTACTTTGATGACGAAGAGCCGGAATGGCTCGTTGAGAAGGGCGAGGACGGGCAGGTCGAGCTGCGCGGCGAGACGGGCGTGCAGGACTTTTGATACAGAACTACCGGCCCGAGCCGCAGCGGGCCCCAACAATGCCGGTAGGCGCGACAGCCGCGCAGGTCGGCGCCGCCGCTCGCTCCGGGGCTCTTCCAGGCAGCACTACAGTAGCTGAACCGCCGTGGGCGCGACGGCGTATGTAACTGCCAGACGCAGAGCAGCAATACGCCCGATACCCGTGCGCGTACTATACGGTCCAGGGCGGACGGCGTGACGATACGATACTGTGCGACGCGCTGCCGTGCCTGCCCTTTCCGTCTCCCACCAGCCTTGGCGCCGAGCTCCCTCTCTTGGCGGCGATCAGGGGCCGAGGGTCTGGCGGAGCCAATCAGCACGCGCGCCCGGGGCTTGGCGGCGACGGGCGTATCGCCGGCGACGGGCGGTGCGACGCCCGTTTCTGGCACGGCGGCGGCGCGCGATGACAGCGACAGCGAGGTGGTGGTATGCTTGGCACGCGGACAGCCGGACGACGCCGCTGTGCTGACGCTGGTGCTGGTGATGGTCGTTCCACCCCAGCCGCGGCGGATCTGCAGCTCGCTGGCTCGCCAAGCCGCATCACTGGGTCTGGGCGGGCGGAAAGCGCGCGGTTTCATGTTTCTGGTTGCGTCCGGCACTCCCGGGTGCGTGACGGATGTGTTTTGGTTTCAACCACAGACGACTGGAGGGAGGGCTGAGAGGCCGATCATCGAGGCTTCTGCACCACGGTCGATGGGGATATGACGACTCTGGTGAGCAAACGCAGTATAGCCCGTCGTCCCTCGGTCTCCGCGACGGACATTCCTTCTGTCACCACCTCCTTTTATGGTCACTGCAGAGTTTTGCCAATCTCTCGGCGTTTCTAATATTGCCTGCACGCATCCTGCACGCACACCGGAGTGTGGCATCATTATTGTCTTCCTGTCTGCGATGTCCAAGAAGGAAGTTCGCAGCCGCAAGGCTTACCAGCGCAAGCTTCGCCTGGGCAGCACACCGCGTCTTGGCTGACATCCGCACCGCCCCTTACTAATACCTCGCATGCTGGCTTCCGAAAGCCTTCCATGCATAATAAGGTGTCCACGTAGAACGTCAAGCCTTCCACTAAAATCGCCTCTGATGTGGTGCTGGGCAGGGCACACCCCAGCCTTCGTTGCCCAGATCTTGCGTGATTTTATTTTGTTGGTTTGTTGTTTTATCTGAACAGGCGCGGTTTCCGTCTGTTCCTAGTACTAAGAGGGCGCACAGAGTCCTTCTGATCCCAGCAGGCTGATCAGCTCCCTGCAGACCTCGCTGTGCTTCGAGAGCTGTTGAAGGTTCCACCGCCCAGCTTCTTGGATGCAAGCCGCGATCGGACCGTCAATAATCGCAGAAAGTGTGGCCTTCAAGAACTGCCGGATTAGTGTGTCCCTCCCGTGTCAAGTACCAGCTATAGACTTGGCAACTCTATCGTTGTGGCCCTTGTTGTCATGAGCCGTCTTTCCGGGGTCGCTGTTAGATTACTGAACTCAACCAAAAGATGGAGCCTCAACACTTCTTGCAGCAGAAGGCAACATAAGTTGGGGTTTCTTCGTTTGGCGAATGCTTCAAAACCCTAATCTGTAGCGTTCATCCGGTGATCGCGTCGTCCTGGGTCTTAAGGGAGAAACACGCCATATAGATGTGCCCTTGAGCGCACATGCAACGACAAACCCAGGTCTATCCCAGTTGGAGGGGCAACGGGGGGAACAACACCGGCTCATAGCACAACCTCTCATTTGGTCAAAACCCAGGGTCACAAGGAAGCATCAACGTCCTGGTTGCTCTCAACTATCGAAATTTTGACTCGAGCGAAAAGGCACCCAAGAATGCTGTGTCGCCCAACAAGGTTTGCTGTTTGATATTTTGTTGCACGGCCCGCCGACGCATGCACCTGCACATGCATACATCATACACATGCGCTGTGTTGGATGGGATAAAGGAATGAGAAACTCTCAGCCGGTGATCTGCAGTTGTAGAAAAAAAAAAAACAACATCAAATCACAGCGTCCAACACACTCGTCTGTACTTGGACGAACCGTCGTGCATGTTGCATATGCACCCATCAACATATATACCCGAACAGGCATCCAGAGTATGTATGAAGTACTGAGCAAATAAATGTATAGCATGTCGAATAGTGTACAGCAGAGCATAACATTTGCCCAACTGCAGGCACGATATTAGATTTCCATCCAAGAGCATGCTTCGCGATCTACCTCCCCCAGCAACGCGACGGGATGGATTCCCGGCAACCAAAATCATCTAGAGCAAAGCTGCTCTGGCCTACAAGGATGCCTTTTCCCAGCGGAGTTTTCCGCGAGCCCATAAGATCTTGAACGGGGAGTGGCGAAGAGCCAGCACAGAAAAAAAAAAAACAAGAGACCTCACTCACCATCCTATTGGATCGCAACAGATGTAACTATGTAATCCGGCAAATTTTTCTCTAGGGTAAAAAGGGAAAGGGAAATCAAGGACAGAAAGCGATCGATCTTGCCGTGTGCGCCTTGGCTTGGCACTCTGATCGACTTCGGCGATTGGCAAGAAACTACCAAGATGTGTACATACGGAGTAGTTACATACACTAAATATGTATGAGGCCGAAGTGTATGTAAGGAATAGTTTTTTGAGTTCCATAGACTTGATGATGTGCAAGTGTTTGTTTCATTAGATTGTCCCCTTTTGTCCCAGATATTAGGATTATAGGTTCCCTGTATCCAAACAAATGGAAAGCATATACGAGAGAATTACCAAATACATGTCCAAGAAAGCGAACAGACAAGAGGAACGTCGCATAGACTGCAATATTGGAAAGAGGGAAAATATGTCAAAAGGGAGGTAGTTAACTGTGAAATTCCAAACCCCCCTTGGTAAGCTAAGGAAACAAACGGAAGAAATAGACCAAAAAAAAACCTTTAATAGCCATCTCTTGTATAGAGGTTCGCACCCACCGTGGGTGCCGTATACATAGATACCAAGGAAAACTTTTCAATCTGGGAAGAAAAAGAAAAAGAAAAAAAGGGAGTGCCGTTGCTCTCCACCAAGAGACAGCAAATCGGTGGGGCGCAAAACATAGTACTGTACTTCCAAAAGGAAAGAGGGTTTGGCATGCAGGCAGGCGAAAATCAGAATGCTGGAACAGAAAAAGCCGCATCAAATGCAAAAATCATGATTCCAGGTATTATCCCACAGGTAAGAATAATACCAGTAATGATTACTCGTAGCAGGCAAAAACCAAATAAAAAAGCGCTAAGCCACCAGACCCTCATCCACCAAGTAAATATCAACAAGAAAGAAAATCTAAAAAGAAACTCCAATCATATAAAGAGCAGTCAAACTCAGTGTGATGGGCAGTGGCCCAGTAGGAATCACGAGTCAAATGCGAAAATCATTGAACAAACTGAGATAATATATCATTAATAGCCTTCTCCCATATCGAACCGATGTTGTGGGAGGTATTTTTTCTCCGGGGGGAAGTGGTGGTGAATTTTTTGAATCACCATTTTGTTGGCAAGTCTGCAACTGCCTTTGCCGGCAGCATCGATGCCAGTAACTGCTTTTGAGGGATCTTTTAAATATTCGGGCGAGCAACACTCGATTGTCTTAAAATATCTATCGCTCAGAACCTCGTTTATGGTGAACCGCTTGCTGGGATCCGGGTGAAGCATGCGAAGTAAAAGTCGCTTCATGCCAGAATTGTTCAAGCGTCTAAAAACTGGGCCGCACATGGGGGCCTTCTCTTCCGTAACAAGACCTTCAGAATCATTCTTGAGGAATGTTTGCCACCCTGAAATAAACTTAGCGTAGTTGGGATTTTTGTCGTCGGCAGAAGGCCAAGGGTTTCCGCGGTAGTTAAGCGTGAGGTAGACGATGGCGCAAGACCAGATATCCAATGGACGAGGGTCATAGTCGCCTTCAATGTGGTAAGTAAAGACAAAAGTGATTGAAACATGTAACTGCACACACCTTTCTTTGCCAAAACCTCAGGCGCAATATACGGCAAGCTGCCGCAGATCCCGGGAGCACACATTCGGACTTCTCCCATATCCTTACCACAGACGCCGCCAGCACAACGCAAGCCCGGGTGACTGCCACTGAAGACCTCTGAAACACCAAAATCAGTGATCTTGACATATCCGTCATCCGACAACAGCAAGTTCTCCAATTTAATATCACGATGGGCGATGCCATTATCGTGCAGATACCCGACACCCCGCACTATTTGCTTGAAAAAGCAAAGGTTATCGCGAGGAGTAAGGTAATCTTTCTGCACCAATGAGAAGAGTTCTCCGTACGAACAATATTCCATCACATGATTCCAGCGGCCGCTGTGGGTGCAGAGACGAAAAGTCTGCACGATATTGGGGTGATTCAAACTGTTCGCGATGCTAAACTCAGACTTCACCTTCTGAACATACTCCTCCTCATCCTCTTTCGATGCCCTCTTCCTAAACTCCTTTACAGCAAATGGAGCATCCTTCTCACCGCCTTTGCGATACATGATTTTAACCGTGGCCGTCGCACCTTTCCCCACTTCCTTTCCTCTCCGACCAGGCATCCTACTCGAGTTGGTGTACTCATCATTCAACTCACAAGTGTCAACAAAAAAATCATCAGGAATACTCGCACTCATGCGACGTGCCTTCAGTCCAGCGCCCGATACAGCTGGGATAGAGAACCCAGGCCTTTCTGGCTGCTTATCGACGTCTCCGACGCTGGGAGATCTGATTCTAGGGTCTCGGTGAGGTTTTGGAGTCGCTGAGAAGATGACTTTGCTTCGCTCTCGTAAACTAAACCCGGTAGATGATCGGTGGGGTCTCCTGAGCGACATACCATCAGGTGGCGTCGACGTACTTGATTTGATACCGCCGTTTAAGGTACTAGAAGGGGAGGAAGGAGATGGGGGCGAGTTTGACTGTGACATGTCTGGAGAAGGGTGTGCGGTCGAGCTCATGGAGTTTTTACGCAAGGTAGACAAAAATCCAGGTCTCGTATGAGTCGGGCTATGCGGGTTCTGTTCGAGCGTGTGCTCGTCGCCGGAGTGCGAATTTGATCGTCGAAACAGCGATTTCAGGGATTTCGAAGCGGATCTCAGGTGAGAAGGCTGTCTTCGTGGACCGGTTGCGTACGGGCGATCGGGCGATTTCGTACTAGGAGGCGTTGAGGGAGGAGTCGCAGCTGTGCTGATGATCAAAGGTTTTGGAATAGCGGCAGATCGAAGACGGGTGTCAGCATGATTGACAGAGGAATCGGTGGCTACTTGCGGTTGCTGGTAAAGCGGCGGAGGTGTTTCGCTTCTGGGAGTGATCGGCTCAACTGGTTCGCTTGCTGTTTCCTCATCCTCTTCACGAATGGACTCCGGAATGTCTGACGCTCTCATGGGCTCAGGGATCTCGAGACTACTGGGGGTCATAGCTGACAAGGAGGCAGGTCGCTCTGGGGCTAACGCTTGCCCGTAAACGCCTTTCACGGAAGGATCATGCAAGGGTGTTGTATACACGGCGAGCTCGCTCTGGTTCGACATGGTTGCAGTAGAGCGGGCGGTTCGCTCTCAGGATATGACGACAATCGGCCACACTCGAGGGATTTGGTCGGCAAGTTCCGTTTAATTCGAGTGCTATATATGCGGTAAACAAAACGTCGAGGAGCACACAAAACGGTTCGAAATCGAATATACGAGAAGGCGACGAGATCAAAACCAAACGGCACAGGAGACGCAGCGAGACCTGGGGCGAGTAAAAAGGGAGAACTCGATGACGAGCGTAGCAACTATTGCCTTTGGAGCGAGCTGACGCGACCGGAAGCCGAACGGAGGAGTAACAGGGCGAAGGAGACTGTTCGTTGGGATATCTTATCCATCGAATGAAGGGCCGGAGGCTTAGCAGCAGTCAGGGAGGAGAAAGGCCGGCGCCAGATGCATATATGGAGAGTGGAGAGTGCGGTAGCAGAGCGGAGATGAAGAAGAAGGAAAAAAGGAAGAAAGAGGAGAGAAGCAGAAAGTGAAAAGAAGCCGGGGGGGAGGGAAGATCAGAGCGGCGGGCGCGGGGGAGAGAGTTGGCGGACGGGCGAGCAGAACAGGACGAGAAGAAAGGATGAAGCCCGAGCAGGAAATCCGGATGGAGTTGGAGGGGAAAGTATCAGCGCGCGAGGGGGGCGGCGAGGACGAGCCGTGGGCGTACCGGCTAGTACGGTACGGCAATACGGTATATGTACGGGTACGGCGCGAACGCACGGGGCCGGCACAGCGGGCGTAATTTTGCCGGGGAGGGTTTAGCCGAGGGGGCGCACTGCCGTAATTACCGGTCTGGTATGGAGGAGGAGGAGGGGGAGAGCAAAAGAAGACCACGACTCCGCAGCGGTAATAAAACGGGCTTCGCCCAAGACGGACCTCCGCGTATCAGGAGACGATGCTGGGCAGCCCACGCTCAAGGGCGGTGCAGGCGACGCGACCAGCTGGGCGCTTAGAACGGCTATATATATATGCAGTAATAATTATGGCGACAGGCTGGCTGCGGATACCAGCTGGCCGGGATGCTGGATTCCAGCGCGTTGGAGAGGCGATCGGCCGAGTTGCCAGGCCGAGGCGATGCTGATTCACGGCCACGCACAAACCAAGAAGAAATGACGATTGGCAAATAGCAGAAAGAAATAGCGGTGATGAAAGGGCTGCACGGAGCAGATCTGCTCTGGGAGTGGGAACCGAGATAACGGGAGTGTAATAATATATTATTCTCTGGCTAGACTGATGATAAGCGGCCGTCGTTCCAAGGCGCGCCCTGGGATCGCTGATAAGCGCCAGACCGGTGGATCTCCGTCACCACACCGCCGTAGCATATATATATATAAATACTGTTATGCTGTTGCTGTTGTTGTCGTTGTCCTCCATTCCCTCTTGGCCGATGCTGTCAAACTGGCCGCACAAAGCCATCCACGCGCCAAGCCGTGGAGGTGCCACTGCGCCCGCCCTCCTCTCTCGCTCTCCGCCGGCCGATCGCGGGTTTTGCTGCGTCTCGCCGCCTCGCTGCCGCACTAGCCCACGCCGGGCTAGCGCGGAAAGCCCGGCGTCCCCACATTTCATAAATTCTTTTTTTGGGCGATGTGCGCCATGGAATATGCCTGCATATCTGCTGACGGAAATCGGTGCCGAGCCTTGGGACGTCATGGCCGCCCTTACCGTACCGTACTCGTTCCGCCCTGGTATGTGTGCGTGTTGTTCGTCCCCGACGTGGACGGCCACCGCGACTGTCTGTCCACGCCTGAGCGGGCGCTGCCCTTCACCGACCTGCGTCTTCGCACACACGACCATCCGACTTCACCCAGCAGGCAATCTAGTTAGCGCCAGATGGGCGTTGTTGCTTTTTCTCTTTCTCCTTTTTTTTCGGCTGCAGCCATCGAGGAACAGCTTCGTGGGGCCTGGCGTTCTGTGGGTCTTCTCCCCCCCATGCGTGTCCACGACGAGCTGCAGCTATGGCAGAAAGGGCAACGTCTCGCGCGAGCTCTAAAAATCTGCCTTGCATGGCCTACTGCATATCGACAGATCAAAACACTACAGTCTCATTCTTGCCGTGGTCGCGTTCGCGGAAACGCCAGAGATGGCTTCTCCCTCCCAACCACAATAATCCCTATGTCGATGGGAGCAAAACGAAAATTAATTGTCGCTCAGACTCAATCGACACCGCTTTCCAGGGCCAATTCTGAGGCAATTGCTCTGCCTCATTAATGGGTCATGCTATTGAACCAGCCCGGCTCTTCTCCTTCCCCCAGCTCTTGTCTTGACCGTCTTAAGTTTAGTAATTAACAAATACTCCTGCCCCGGCATGGGGCAATCGAAAGCACAGACACCGGTCCGGCTTTGCTTCCCAGTGGGCCAAAGACAGCAGTCCCCAAGAGAAGCCAAAAAAATGTCGCAATTATGTTCCTCCGTGCCCAGTATTTTTTCGCTAGCTTGTCATGGTAAGAAAATAGCCATGTGTATTTTCAATAATCGATCGTTGACCAGGGGTTGTCGTGTTATGATTTGAGGCTATTTATTTTATTCATCCTGACACGCACGGCTTTTCCGGTTCCAAGCGGGCGTCTGTCGTTTTACTTTCCTTTAAAAAAACAGCACCATAGTCTATTCCTACACCGCTCATCCTCTCCTCCCTACTTGTCTGGTACTCCCTTTCTTATGGGGTATTTATTTCCTTTTTCGCGAACAAGCAAGGGCGAGAAAATGCTTGTTTTGAAATTAGACACGCGACACTTTGGAACCAGTCTCAGATGAAGCAGTGGTGGACCAGACAATAATAATAATAATGGGTTTCAATTTCCAAGAAAAATACCTACGCTATTTTATTTGTCAACTCATAACTATATGCGTACTCCATACAAAAAATCGGGAACCTACGCCTTGATGTGTTTCATTGAAAAATAAGAATAAGATAAAAATGGGTTTCGATCCTTTGGCGAGAAAAGCTGACAACACATCATCTAGGGTTGGACGAAAGCTGGCCAGCGACGAATCAACATGTGATGCGAGGTCAATCACAGATGCAGATGCAAGGCAACATTGAACACTTTCCTGTTCTGCACTGTTGAAGGTGGCGAGAAGCTTTGAGACGTGGATGCCCGCTTAGAGGCGAGGCGAGCATGTACTGCGTACGGTATGTATGTATGTATGTCTCTCTCAAGTTCGCTGGATTGTCCTTTTTCTTTTTTGGATTCCTTTTCATCCAAAGTTCAGAGAAAAAAAAAATTTTCATTTTGTTTTGATTGCTCCGTCTTTACTTCCTGCAGGTCTTGGATGGTCTTGGGGAACAGAAATATTTCTCGCATAACTGCCAAGCTGTCAGCCAAGGTGATGTGAAGACGATCAACAAATTCCTCAAAGCTTCGCCATGGAGAAATAAATCCGGGGTTGGATCACCCTACTCGTGTTGGTGTAGGAGGGGGAAACTTCCTTCCCGAAAAGCAACTATCAGGCGTTGGGCGTGCTCTCCGTCCACACTAGACAGCCTCCCCGCCTCAAGAGCAAACCTTAGAGAAGCGTTGATTGACCTCCGATTGTCGCCTATCGTAGGTTTGCGGGAGGCGTGAGACGCCGCGTGCGGAGAATCGCCGCGCTACTGGCTGACAACGACATATCACGGATAAGTGCTAAGAGCGGCTACGACTACGACTACGATTACGCTGGAGAAGCCATGGTATACACGCGTTTGAAGTGAAGACCAAATAAAAAAAGGGGCTTGACAGGGGAATTATCGAGTCATCGACGGAACAGCATCCTGGCATTCCTGTTTCCGCGCTGCACGCTGGTCCAAGCTCTTCGAAGCTGCATGCGGCCCTTGCCACAAAGGGAGCATGGGGGTGGTCATCGTCTGGGTTGTCGACAAGCCAGCTTTCGCACGGCGAAGGCCTGGCCGACGCAGAGCATTCAGGTTTCATCGATTCCGTGCCCTAGGGTGCCCCCCAGCCCCTGCCTTGCAGTCGGCATGGGGGTGCTTTGCAGCTGGAAAAGAGGAACCGCCCATAGCCCAGGTGATATCGTCCAGGTGTGTTCAAGCCCTCGTCCGGCCGCCTATGTACCGTCGCTGCAGCGAGCTGCACGGCTGGTACATACATGCACCCAAGCCAGCGGCCAGAGATATTTATATCAGCACGGCGCGCGCCTCCACTCCTGGCCGCCTCACTTTCCGTCCCACACACGCAGACATACGAGTTACAAGCCCGTACAGGGCCAGCACGCCCGCCGAATGCGGCATTTTTCGCAGCCATTATTACGGCCATCGCCTGGAGTTGCAACGCCATGTTCACGTGACCCACGTGGCTGTTTTCCAGACTGCTGAGTGCGTGACGGTACAGTACATACCGTTACACCAGCCCCGCGGGCCAATGGTAGCGGCGAACGGCCCGATCGCCGGCCGTTCTGGAGTCTTCCCTCTTGCAGCTAGCGGTAACGGCGACCGGCTTATGTCAGCAGGGTATGGAAGCTGGGTGGCAGCTGGGTTTCTGGGTGCGAAAAACCGGTCGGCGTGAATGAAACGGCCGAAGCGGAGCAATGGAGCCTGGGGAAGTCTGGCGTTGGGAGGCGGCGGCGGCAAGACACAGCGACATCATCGCCAGCCAGCCAGCCCTCTGCCCAGCGCAACGCAGCAAAAATACGGCCAACAAAAACCGAAAAAACAGGCCACCCTCGTCTTCCTGGCCCCGAAGTCCCCCATGCACAGGCCCCGGGAATTGGCACTGCGGCCACCCTGCAGGCGTGGGCTCGATGTACGTCAAAACCGCCGCCAAGCAGCCTGCAAGCGCGGCTTTCGTGCATGAACAAGTCGCGGGTTTGCCCTTGGACGGCGGCGCCACGTGCCCTCCTGCTTGTGTGGGATTCGAAGGAGCGAAAGCGGCAAGGAGCGCGGAGAGCGAAAAAGTATATAAAGCTGAGCGGGTGTCAGATGACGGCGGCGGCCTCGAGTCGAGGGGAGGGGAGGGGGGAGGTTCGTTGCGGCGTCGTCAGCGTCATCGCGACCGTCAGCAAAGCAGGCATGCTTCGAGCCCTACGGACATGACGGCAGGATATGAACTAACTCTGGGGCTGGCTGCGGGCTGCCCCGACGTGGCCACCACCACCCCCAGGCTGGCTGTTTTGCCGCAGAATCGTTCCGGGCGGTGCTTCGCCTCTCGCTTGCTCGCTTGAGTTTCGCCTTCCCGCGGCTGCCGCTGGACCGCTGCTGACTCAGATTGTCTTACATAAGCGACTCCCATGGCGTCATTGTTTGGGTTCTCCGCGTTGCTGCGCGACCCGCCAAGCGCAGTTCTGGCGCAACCCCCAAGGCCCGCCAGCCCAGGCGAGCGCAGCGGAGCGTCCCGTCGCTCACTCTTGCCCGTGCGCGGAATCGCCCCGTGACTGCGCGTCGTGTCAGCTCGCTCTCAAAAGGGCCAAACCCCGCGCAGGGCCCTTGCCGTGCTGGTCTTTGCGCCCAGAGACCACTTACGTGGCTGCGACCACAACGCGCGCGCGCAGAGCTGGGCTTGTCGCTTTTGCGCGCAGCTGGACCTGAAGCCTAATAGGTATCGAATGATTTTTTCCCTGAGGGTGTGCCCAGGCACCCATGCCGGGGGATGGCCAGAGCAGCGTCATATGAGGCCGGTTCCTGGACATTGTTTTGCGGTGCCATTCGGATTCGCGCCTTTTTTTCAAGGCCGGTTTGCGATGACGATGACGCTGATGGTGCTGCGGCTTGCTTACTTGATACAGAAACTTTTTCCCCCTTCGTTTGCGATTATCAACCGGCCGAAGCCCATTCGTCGCCTATTTCTGACGTGCTATTCATTGGTAGGGGAATTGGGTGTTGGATCGATTCCATGGTCGGCCACACACACCCCTTTGACTACTGGAACCGTTGGCAGCTTGTCGATCGAGCATGATTACTGATGGTTACTGAATGGGGAGGGAGGGAAAAAAAATTGGGCAGGCCCAGTCTTTTTTGTGGCTTTTCCCGCGAGTGTCATTGGGCATTTCGGTGACAATTCCTCCGCAAGGGAGGAATGGGCGCTCAGATGTCTATCTGCATACGGAGAATATGTATGTTTGACTCGTCGTTGGAATGTTCCGTGCTTCTCCGGAGATGAGATACGGGTTCGTTCGAGGCTGCGCGTTTCAACATCCATGGACGAAGTACGGATACCCCCCGAGGCGTTAGGCATGAATTGGCTCAAGTTCGGTCTGACATACGTACATACATCCATTAAGAATGAAAATATAATACAAAACGTATCTTCGATACTTTCACACCCCCTCACCCCCTCTCTTTCTCTTTTTGGCCTGCTGTATGCCGGTCTGCAAAAACCAAAGTCTGGCTCAGAACTTTGTGTATCACCATTAAAAACCAGACTTCCAAGTCTCACAGACCCCGAAAACATGCAAACCAAAAAGATCTGTATAAGGCTGACTGAAGCGAGCTGGGTGTGCTAGACACACGATTGTCTATCGTGAGCATGCCCCGCCATCAGACACCCACGGGAGGAAAAAAAACCAGGCTTGGATTCAGAAATACCGGCACGATGGAGGTATATTGCGACCACCGAACGTGTTCAGTATCACATTGTGTAGTATGGATGTCTGAAGTCACATATATGCCAACATACAGGCAATAACGCCCGCATTCGGGTCCCCTCCGGTTGATAGCGGTACACAATCCCTGATATTAACCAATTTAGGGACCGAAGGGAACCGGAGCTTAAATCGTAAAATAACTAACCTCCAATTCTATCAAATAAGATAACACCGCTTGCTATTAAACGTGGTATGTATATATCTCCTTTGGAGTCCGTACCGCTATCTTGGACCTATGACAATTGTACAGCTGCAGGTATCCCGTACGGAAAATCTGTATATATCCCAGGTCCCACTTCCAGCGTACCGAGTTACCCGCACGCCCTGCCTGCCTGCCCCTCCCTCTCCCTCCGTAAACTTCTTGTAACCATGAAGCCCTGACGTCTCAGGCCGCTTCGGGCTCCTACGTGTTCCGAAAGACGGCCCAATCATCGTTGAAGATATATATGGAATATCAACGTCCATGTTAAGCTTTCAGCTCCGCTTCCTCTTTCAACAGCTTAATTGCTCGCTCACGCAGGGCAAACTTCTGGATCTTGCCGCTGGCCGTCTTCGGGAACTCGGTGTCGCTCAGATAGAACACGAACTTAGGCACTAAGTAGGAGAGGTTGCGGGGTCAGCAAGAGGCTGGATGATCAGTATGGACCGCGTAATGCGCAAAATAAAGACCGAAGCCTAGAGTCTTGAGCGCACCGGAGAAAGAGAGAGAGACAACAGAATGAAAGAAGAAAAGATAAACAAAAAAAAGAAACGACAGGATTTGAGTTACATCGGGAGGGAGCGGTTGGCCAGCCATCGCGGCCCACGGACGTGACTTGCTGATCGCTGGGATAGACTTTCAGCAACGCGAGAAGAGCGTTTCCGTGCAACCAGCCGGACAGCTACCAGACCGCACGTGTATCGCGCGCCAGTAACACTTATCTAGCAAGCTCTCGAACAGAGTTGGGGAGGATTTGAGACCGGAGGACAAGGGCAAAAAAAAAAAAGGGCTGGCCTGAAGAATCGCAGCGGCGGCGGCTAGCTAGTGCTTGGGACCAGGCCTCGTGGTCTCCGGCGTTGTACGCCACTGGCTGCACGCCGCACACGATCGCATGGATTGGGCGAGAGAGAGCCCAGATCGGCCCCGAGGTCCAAAAGATGTGGCGGCCGCTAGTTATCGCCGGCCACGAGCTGCGCCAGCGACAGAACAGCGCAAACTCTCTGCAAGGACGGGACTGACTAGCGACGTGGGCAGGACAAAAACAGGGCAGAGAGGATGAGCGTATCGTTATTTACGATACAGACGGAGAACGGGGGCGCATGGGGAAAAGAGACGGGGCTTTTTGTTTAAAAATAAACGAGGGAGGAATAAAACGCAGGCTGTCTGAGCTCGCTGGTGCGGTTGATACGAGATGTTGGGAATGCGCGGTGAAAAGAAAGGAAGAGAAAAAAGCAAGGAGAGCGGCCCGGCCACGAAGACAAGCAAAAACAAGCTCTCGAAGCTCTCGTCTCGACCAACAGTCGGGACCTTGGCGGGTCGACGGACGACGCATCGCGATATCAGCGACGATCCCCAGGCCATTGAACGGTGCCCCGGGTGCTCTCCCCGCACGGCACTTGCGTGTGCTTCATGACGAGAACGTCGAATACGAACTCCAATGGAAAAAAAGAAAAGAAAAGCAGCGGAGAAGCGTACGTACCCAGATGGCTGCTGAGCTTCTTTCTCACCCATGACCGAATCTCTTCGATTGTCACCCTCTTCTGTCCCTCGTCCCGTGCGACGACGAACGCGGCGACGACTTCACCGTATTTGGCGTCCGGCACGCCGACTACAGACACATTCGAAACGCCAGGGTGTGCGAAAAGGCAGTTCTCGATCTCCAATGGGTGGATGTTCTCGCCTCCCCGGATGATAAGGTCTTTGATGCGGCCCGTGATGGTTACGTAGCCGTCTGCTGACATCGTGGCCTCGTCACCGGTCTATAGATCCAGACGGTTAGGGCTTTGATAAACCCCACTTTTGGAAGGGAAAAAAAAATCAAAAGCAGAGGGGAGAGAATACTCACATGCATCCAGACTTTCCCATCTTGATCTTTCCGCATGGCTGCAGCGGTTTGTTCTGGGGCGTTCCAATACTCCTTCATTACCAGATAGCCACTGACAGCCAACTCCCCTTTAGAACCAACTGGTAAGATTTCGTCGTGGTCTACCGGATTGACCACTTTCGCTTCCACATGAGGCATCAGCCGGCCAACACTGTTGATGCGTTTGTCGATTGGGTCATCTGTTGTCGTCATGCACGACACGGGACTCGTTTCTGTCATACCGTAGCAGATAGTGAGCTCCGTAAGGTTCAGAGTTTTGTGCAATTTCTTCATTAACTCCGCGGGAATACTACTGCCGGCAGCGATTCCCGTTCGCAAGTACTGGAAACTCTCGTATGGGACCGTGCCATCCGCTAGCAGCTCTAGCTCCTCGACGAACATTGTAGGGACACCATAGAGTGCAGTGCATTTCTCTTCCTGGACTGCCTTGAGAGTTGCGACCGCATTGAACGATTCAGAGGGAAATACGATCGCAGCGCCATGGGTTGCTGTTGCCATGTATCCCAAAATGCAGCCAAAACAATGGAACAGTGGGGGTGGACAACAAACAACATCTTTAGGCGTAAGAAGCATCCGGTCTCCTATTTGCGCCCCGTTGTTCAGAATTGATCGGTGGGACAAACAAGCTGCCTTTGGCATCGACGTTGTCCCGGAAGTAAACTGGATATTCACAATGTCGTTTGGATCGAGGTTTTGAAACGGCAAAGGGCTCTGGTCCTGTGAAAGCTCGGACAGGAGTGAAGAGAAGAGCGTCGTGCATTGAAAAGCGGATGTATCGATGCGGCCGGGATCATTCTGCACAAGTACAATGTGTTTGAGCGAAGGGACCAGCTGCGACTCGATTTTGGGGCCGCTGAGGTTGGTGACAATCTGCGACAGTAATGGGATATTCGATCTGGGCTCGCGTCGTGGGAGGTTCGCCTCGGTGCTGATGATCAGATGAGTAGCCGACAGATGACCGAGAGCTGCTGTCACTTGAGCGATGTTGAAATTCGGATTCAAGGGCACCTTGAGGCGTCATTAGCAGTGAGTACCACTTAAAATGCTTGGTCTGAGCTCACCAAGATTGCTCCTAGCTTGAACAGGGCGTATGTAGCCTATCCAGAAACAATTTTAGCTTGGAGCCCGTAGACATGCCCGCGCAGATGCCATACGACTGCGTATTCAATGCCATTTCCCAGCGAAACAGCTACCCGGTCTCCCTTTGTGACTCCTATCGATGCCAGCCCTCGCGCTAAGGCATTGCTCTTCAGATCCAGCTCGTGATATGTGAGCCTTTGCTGCTGATGCTTCGAAATAACCCTGGCAAGCATCGTGTCAGCACTGGGCCTGCAACCGGGTACCATTCAAAACACCAACGCTGTGTTATCTCCATGCTTATTCACAATGTTCGCAAAGTGGTCTCCAACGGTCTGCTCGAACAACGGGGGCTAGAAGAGCTAAGCTTGCTTGCAAAGGTGCAGCAATGGCTAGTTAGCTCCTGGATTCTAGACATCAATGGCGCTGCCGCCGGCCTGGCAATGCAAAGGGTATTCCTACTGACCTCCGACGGGCCACGGGCATAGCTTTGTGTAAGCATGCTTCGCCTGCAGCCGAGAGATGCAATCTGCGCTCTGCAGAAGCGTGACAGTCTCCACAGCTGAGAGCGGGCCATTGTGTCAAGGCTCGAGGAGGTTGGGACCGGGGAAGGTCAGCAGGGAACGGACAGGGGCGAGCACGGTCGTTGCAGCAGAGCACAGAGCGACATTGGTCCGCTTTAACTATCCAGCGGCGCTCCGAAAAGTCTTGGTCGGGTCGGCATCGAGGTCCGCGCTGTGCGGGGAGAGGCCGGCGCACTAGCTCTGGGGAGAAACGCGGAGAGACGGCTTGGCGGGCTGGCGAGAGCGATTTCGGCTCGCGAGGTCCGACAGGCCATGAAGCTGGCGAGAAGAAGCGAGCAAATGCAAGGGGGAGAGCTGCTCGTCGGCGGTGGTAAAACACGCTATCGTCCAGTGTCGAAATTGAATTCTTGTCGGAGACCCGGGCCAGTAGGCGTAGTTAGCTACCTCTCAGTGGCCACCCGGCGCTCCGACGCTGCCCAGACAGCCCGGAAAGGGTCCCGGTTCTGCCGTTGCTTCGAGACTGTAGAGCTCAAAGCCGATATCGTATTGCTGTAGCCGAAGGCGCGAATGGGAGCCCGCGGGATCAGACCCTTGAACGTTGATGCCAGAGAATACCTAGACGTAGCGCACAACTATGCTCCGTAAACTCTGTAGGAACAACTTCAGACGGCGCTCGGAGAATCGACGGTTTGAAATATCCACTGTCCATAGAGTGTTCTTATATCAGAGGAATTGCGCCGTGATGGAAGGAGAATGCGAGGACGAGGCGGTATCGCAGGCGTCGTGTTGTCTCCCCGCCTGTCACTGCCGCATCCGGAGCCGCCAGCTGTGATGTCCTAGCTAACGACCTCGTTCATTAACTCGCGAGGCATCCGCATCGGCGCTTCTCCAGCTTGTCACAACGCCTACAAGGCCTTCGCCGGCCCATGAAACCGAGAAACTAGGCCATCCGCTGCCCACGAATCGGTAACTAAATTTAAGTCACTAGCCAACCTCCCGCTGCCAAGACGAATGACGCTCGTCAACCCACCGTTGCTGTTTTCTCTTCTGCACCGCGGGACCAGCCCAACTAACTACGACGCGGCGAGGCTATGGCGACTGGCACTCCCTCCAAGGAGGCAATCGACGAGTTCGTTGCCATCACGAATACTTCCAGGTATGAGGCGGAGTGTTTCCTGAAGGTAAACCGCTGATTGTTTCCGCGAGTCAACCCTCGTAGTATAAGTCGCCCACAGCTAACTTCTCGCCAGGCACATAATCTAGATGCGAACCAAGCCGTCAATGCCTTCTTCGAGAACCCTACGAGGTGTCAACCAGAGGTGAGTTGTTATATGACGCCAACTACTGTGCTCAAGGCTAATGTCCGTTGGTTACAACAGCGGGACTGGCCCATTACGCCTTTGCTACAACCGGAAGATTTCACGTATAAAAATGCTCAAAGTTAAGACTGTCTTCTTGAGGTATCCAAAACATGCAGAAGTTGTAGCTGACTATATTTCATGATTGCAGAATCATTCCACATTGAACATGATAATAGTACCTTTACGGCGCCGCCCTCGCGCCCGCCGTCCCGGATTGGCACGAATACAAGCACAGAAGCAGAACGTGGAGGTGACGATATCCCCCGCATATTGCAGTTGTCTCTTGATGCTGACTAGGCGCTCTGAGTAGACAGCGACTGTAACATGACTCTTGAGGAGCAGGAGGACCGTGAGATGCAACAGGCCGTTGCGGCATCGCTCGGTCGTGATTATGACAGCGAAGGACAACAGAGTGGAACTGTAAGCACCCATGAGAACCAAGACCAGCAATTCGGCCCAGTCCCGTCGAATGATGCCAGCTCATGGGCCATCACACGATGCAAACCATCTCCAACCACCGAAGTGTGTGTTAACCCGGATCCAGAGGGGCGAAAAAGGGAGGACGGCATGCCAGCTTTTCTCCGCCCTGCGGAAGATGCGCCTTATCTTGCCGCCTGCCTCACAATACTGCATGAGATTCCACTAGCGCGAGAAGAACTCATTGCGAGGCATCGTATAGAGGCGGACTATGGTCATCATCCAAACTGGTGGATTGGAGTAAGGGCTCTAGCAAAGACGTCTCAACCGGAGGATAGTCGTGTCCTCATAGAAACCCAGCGTCTAATGGCATTTCTAGACGGCACAACCCGTGCCTTTGGGAGTGCTGATGTCCTTGCGCATCGCTTGTTGATCTCAGACGATGTTCCTGATGGTCTTTTGGCGGACTTTCTAGCAAAATGGCAACTGGAGGCCTCTCCACAACATCTTGATAATTCTCGCGACCATCGTATATTTCAATCGGTAGTCGTCCAAGAATACATCAATTCACGTATACCTCTAACGAAGATACCCTTTTCCGTTGCAGATTTGGGAAATGACCTTGAGGGTGGTAGCACCCTGTACGACGTCCTAGATACCAACCTCTGGCCTGATTGCACCGATGGTCGGGGATTTGACGAAGCATATATGGAAAATGTGGCTCCCATTTTTATCATGCGAATATCGACGTGCGATGAAAGGAAACCTGTCGGGGTCAAGATTCCAGCCACTTGGTACTCGGATCGCTATTTACAGTCGAATCTTGGATTTGCTAGAACACTGCGAGAACGCCGACGTGAAGCTAATGTGAAAATAAAACGCCTGGATAAGCTCATTGAGAAATATTCGGCTGGTCAGATGCCCAATGGCGAAACAATTCCGTTCACATCCCTGCTGGAAAGCACGGCCACAGGAGCTGGAATAGCGATGCAAAAATCTTGTTGCACTGATGCATTGGACGATATTATAATGGCAGAGAAACAGGCACTTAGAACTGAAGCGTCAGAAAAACTAATCAACGATTTGAGAGCAATCGCGGAAAAGGTTGAGAAGAAACTTAGTTGTATGATTTCTCCCACCCCCTTCCTTTTGTCCATATCCTCCAGTATTCCTGACACATTATGCAGTCTTGCACGAGGAGAAGGAACGCGTGAAGAGCGAGTTGCAGAAGTTTTCCAGGCATTTAACCGTCGATGACGGGAAGGATGGTGGTCCAATTCACAAATACAAATTACGTGGCGTGTGCACCCAACGACACATCTTGTACATTCTGAAACGGATTCCGGAGATAGAGTCGGTGAAAGAAACATTCCAGGATTTGACTCCGGAGCAGGAATGGCAATGGTGGCGGATCAGCTACTCTGTGGATGATGCAAAGGAAGCTGCTTCGAGACGCTCTAAACACGAGCTGGCACGCTCCGCACGGGATGGAAGCCACTATGTTCTTGACTCGTCGAAGGCCAGAGTGAAGTTGCCTGATAATACCGAAGTTACTGGTTTCACCATTACGACGGCCAGAGAAGTGGAGGTTCTCCGGGCAGCAAAGGAGGAGTCTCACACAGCCCTGCTTGTCTATGCGAATGAAGATGCAATCTGCCAGCAACAGTTTGACTTACCAGCGCCCCTGCAGGTATGGACTATTCCTACGAACAATTATGCGTGTAGCTAACATGAATATACGAATAGGCTTTTGTTGATCATGATAACCAATTGTTTGAGAATGAAATCTGTACTTTCAACCAGGCGCTAGAACTGGAAGAGAAAGAAGATGATTCGGAAACAGTGGAGAATATAGTGCTAGATCAGATGGACATGGATGGGGTAGTCCAATCTGAAGGCGACTTCCCGCTCACCCATCCCGAAGAGCTGGTGGATACAGTCTCGAACCGCCGGGCTCCCCCTTCTAGTCGATATTGCTCGATTCCAGCCCCGATCAAAGAGGAAAATGAGCCTCAGGGAGGATAGGATCAAAGACCAAGCCGCGATTTTTTCCACACTGATATTTGCGTGTATATGATATATTATATAGTAGGGGTTACGCCCATTTGCATTAACAGAGCACCCTGTATTTTGAAGTATGTTATGAAGACAAATAGAATAATAAGACCTTCATGCTCATGGTTGTCGCGATTGTATGGGGCGTTTGGTGTTACGGAAAGGGGCCAGCTGACATTGTTTGAAACTCAGATAATTCTTCTTGATAAGAAGTGAAAGGATAGGTATATATTAACGAAGTGCTAAGCAGTACCTAGATATGCTGCTATCCCTGTTGAGATTTACTTGAGCTCTGGGGCAGCTGGCCGATCTAGTCCGTTGTCTGTTTTGGGCGAACAAACGAATCTCGAACGATCATCACCCACGCCAACCAAACCAAAGTCGAGCCCTGTAGCCGAACCTCCCCTCTCTCCTCGAATGCCTCCAGCGAAGTCACCTACGAAGAAATAACTCGGTCGAATGGCATGGAACCCAACGATCTAGACACGCTCACGTCGACGGCGGCAGATACGATCTCTCTGCTGGAAACGCGGTTGCGCCGGGTCGAATACCTCCTGACCGGGCGGACGTCGTGGAGCGGCGAGCCGGAGCGAGTTGCTGCGCCGCCTGCGTCTGCGGCAGAGACGGTTGCGGCGCGGCTGGCGGGGTTGGAGCGTGAGTTGAAGGTGCTGAGCGCGCAGGCGCCGGCGGTGCAGGATGTGTTGAAGCTATGTAAGACGCGCTGCCCTCCCAGGATAACTACACGATACGAAGAAGGCTGGGGGAAGGGATGGTGACGATGATGATGATGATGATGATGATCTACGTGGATTCTGCCTGGTTCTCTTTTTTTCTTGCTCTACGAGGAAGATTGACTTGGGACTGTGATTCTATATGGCTAACGACGACTCGCGTGATACATAGATGCCCGCTACCCCGACCTCTTCCAGACGTCCGACCCGACGACGGTCCCCAGCACGCTCTCCACCCCATCGCTCGCGTCGATCGTGCTGTCGTACGCGGCCGCATTCCCCGAGACCGCGTCACGGCTGAGCTCGCTGCAGGACCTGCCCGTGCCGCCGGCCAGCGCGTCGACGGGGCTGATCGAGCTGCGGCCCCGAATCAACCGGCTGCTGAAAGAGCAGGAAGTGCAGGCGGACGAGGTGGCGGAACTCCGGGTGCGCAGTGCGCTGCTGATGCAGCGATGGATAGAGGTGGGGATTGTGGGCGGCGGCGAGCTCTGGGGGGAGTGGGAGGAGAGAGTGACCAGGGCAGAGCGTGCGGTGCGGCGGCTGGAGCGGCAGCGCGAGGATGCGCAGTAGTTAGTTAGTAGTTGGTTAGGTCGTCAACCAGGTACACAGTTGGCCAGTTCATCCATCGGCAGCTCCGCCAGAGAATAAGAATCCATCACGCAGAGACGGGGCGTGGATAGCCTAAGGCCTAGTTAGCTCACCACCAGTGCTCCGGGGCCCGCCAGCCGCCACGGGCCAGGGGGTTTCGCATGCAAATCCACCGCTAGCCAGCCCCCTCACGTAATCGCCCGTCGCCTGTTTCAGCGCTCTATCGCTCGTCTCCTTTCCGACACTCCGCCCTTCAGCGTCTTCCTGGCTGTCCTGCCCTGTCGTCATTCCTTTCTACCCTCTGCTTGTGCTGCGTGCCTCTGCTCACTCTCTTGCTCTCTTTTTCTTTCCTTCGCCCGCCTCGTTGCGTCCTGTTTGCCCTTCTCTTGCCGACCCTCCCCCGGTCCGCTCTTCTCTCTCGCCGGCCTGGTGCTGTTCGTCGCATTCTTTGACCATATCTGCCCTTGCAGAGCACGCCTCAACCTCTGCCCTGCGACTCGTCGAATCCTGTCCACTGCGATCTCCGCAGACTTCACTGCCTCCTCGCCTCCATCGCTTTCCATGTCGCGGCCCGCGAGCGCCCTGCCGTCGAGCCGTGATCCGCTTCGCAGATAGCCCGCTCTCCTTCCCAGTAGTAGTCTTTTCTCCACTCTCCGTCTTGATAGCAACCGCGTCGAGCGCGCCCGCAGCGCCTGTACGACCTTAAAGACGCCGTCTGTGTGATTGCGATCGACTTGACCTGGGCGTGTGGTTGGGCTTGCATACCCTGGTCTTCGCCAACACCCTCCAAGCCTTGATTCCGCACTGCGTTCATGGTTACTCAGCCCTCGACGGCCTCTCCATCTCTCTACAAGGCGCCCCAGTACCCTCCTCAGCGTCAGGGCACAATGGCTCGCATTAGCCTGGACAACCTGGTCGGGGACCCGTTTGCGTTGGCGTCGGTGTCCATATCATTGGTATGAGTTCTTCGTCTGCGTGTGTCTTGCGCAATGCTGTCCGATGCTAACGTAACGTTCCCCTCACCCCAGCTCGCCTGGTTAATCACGTTCATTTCGGCCATCATCTCTAGTGTTCGCGATTCTTTCCCAAATATCTATTGGTGGACCGTGGCATATATGTTCCTGTGCATCATGGGCATCGCATATGTCATGGCCACGGGCACCACTCACATCTACAGCACTGCAGTACGCTTCTTGACTCCTGGTATAAACGGGGGCGTATGTCGCTGACTCTGTCCCTAGATCGTCGGCTATGTTTCAGCTGGCCTTGCATTTACAACATTCGCCGTGGACGTCCTAATAAAGGACAAGTCTGGATCGAAAGAGGCGGCCGGTGCTGGCTTTCTACTCCTCTGTATTGTCAATGTATGGGACACCGCGTGCTCTGAATCCGTTTGCAAGAAGCTAACGACGACCTTTGCAGGTTGTTTGGATCTTTTACTTCGGCTCGGCACCTCAGTCGCGTTCTCGCAACTACATCGATTCCTTCGCCATGCACAAAGAGCAGCCACCTTATCTTAACTCTAGCCAGATGTCAAATCACTACACCAATCGACCCGATACTACCGTATCCAACCAACCCCCACAAATGTACACCTCTGCTCAACTGAATGGGTTCGAAACCTCGTCCCCCATGTCCGGCTTCGGAGGACCAACAGGAGCCGCCGGAACCGCAGGCATTGGCAATTCGCAAGTCAACCTAGCTGCTACCGGTAACGCGGCCGGAGGAGCAGGCAATGAAGTCAGCCCACCAACCGAATACCCGTACCGTGCCAAAGCCATCTACTCGTACGAGGCCAATCCCGATGACGCCAATGAAATCAGCTTTACAAAACACGAGATCCTAGAGGTATCCGATGTAAGTGGGCGATGGTGGCAGGCGAAAAAGTCGACGGGAGAAACAGGAATTGCGCCATCGAATTATCTGATCCTGCTTTGAAGCGAGCATGCAAGCTAGTGCTATTTTACTACTGTTTTGATGAGGCCTGATAGCCGGTGGCTGTAACGCTCATGGGAGCCTTCTTGCCCCGTGTGGCAGAAAAGAAGACTGTTTCTGCGCTTGATACCCGCTGGCTTTGTTCGATTAACTTTGACCATATTATTTATCCCTTTGTCTTTATCTAGCTCAACGTCTCTCTTTTTTTCCGGCGCAATGGTGGAAAGGGGCCTTTGCAATACATAAGTCATGTCCTGATGGATTTTTCCTTCTAGTCTACTATCTTATTTCCTTTTTTTTTTCAACCTCCTGTGAGTATATTTTTTTGTCCTTGGAAAAAAAGACATCCCATCCGAGTATTTGCCTTTAATGTGTGTTTTTCTTATTATGTTGACGTGTACACTCCGTATTGAAGGGGGATTTCTTTTTTTTTTTCCTGTGTTTTGTTTTCTACTGATGACCACCAGACTGGACGTGTTCATTCACCAATGTAGAGATGCCCGATAAATTAGGTTCTATCTCGCCCAGAGTGTTACCTATAATAGTTGGGGGGTGTCGAATAGATTCGTTCCAAATATTTTATTTTCCGGGGCTCCATTAACTGATACATCCAGAAGATATAAGAATGCCAATGAAACCTAGTCGCCCGTCGAGTGGGCTTTGTGCCGTACGTTTGCGGCCAGGTTCGGCCCACGGGGGCTGTATACGCGTAACACTCCGAAATCCCCTCCCCCCTTCCAATTCATTATTCACCACCGACCGAATCGGTCGGTAGGGCTGACACAGAAACGGCGCGAAACCGCCGCTCAGGAACGGCTCCAGGGAAAAGAAGGAACGCGTGGGAGACCGCGCTAACTAACTACGTGGTAGACAGCCGTCTGGCGTGCGGCCGGCGGATCGCGATCAGAGACAAGCTGTGACCGCGTTGTGTCAGAGTAAAAGGAAGCGTGGGGTGCGAACGATCACAAAGGATGCGAGAGTAGCAGAGACAAGACAGGCTTTATGAGATGCAAGAAACAGACTCGGGCAATCCCCGCAGCCCGGGTGGTCTAGTTGGTATGATTCTCGCTTCGGGATGGCAGTTTTCCCGAACTCCACAAGGGGTTCTAGTATGCGAGAGGCCCCGCGTTCGAATCGCGGCTCGGGCCTTGTTTTTTTCTGCAACACCACCGAAAAGAAATATGCAATAAGTAAGAAGAATATTTTTTTTAATTAGATAACTAGATAATAATTAACTATACAGTCTACCGGTCAAAAACTATTTATTGTGATGCAAAAATATTATATATGTACCCTTAGGGGTGCAAGCAGGCTTAGTTAGTTAGTACCATAGATGTATGGGTAGGTAGAGAATAGACAGATAGATGTCTTTGTTTCTTCAATGATGGCAGACTATATCCGTACTCCGTACAAGTACCTACAATAAACAACATACTTGATTTTCTTGCAGAATCAAGGATCTAGTCCATGCAGCCTGTGTTCATTTGCCATTTGGGGCTATGCAGAGGCTGGAAAACGAGCTCCAAACAGCTATGCAACACGCATGCGTCGTATTTTCCCTCATAAAGGCCAGGAATTAATATTGCCTCGGGGCGGGAACCCACAGTTTCATCTTCAACCCCTAGCTAGCGGTGAGCATCAGAGAACAGCAGCTGAACAAAAGGGAGAGAGGAACCTCGAGATTTTCGTCACGACCATCGAGCTCATCGACGGTGGATCCCAGGGCTATATTAGGAAAAGAGCTGCTTGACAGAAGGTAGCGAGAAGCAAGGCAGGGGAATATCCAGCGGGGAAGCCAGGATCTGATTCCAGAAGTCAATCATCGGCGTTGATATATCTTTATCAACTACTAGAAACCAGAAATACGGAAGGGCTTCGCACTCGCCGAACCTGGGGGCTGGTCATAGAATACCCAGTAAGGGCCGGGATATTAAACCCTCAGCAAACGGCATGCAGGGTTCCACCGAGATTCCCTGCCCATAGATTTGCTCAGTCGGCGCCTGGTTGGCCAGCGGGACGACTCGACGAAGTTCCGTAGGCCGCAATGCAGAATCTCAGGCCAGCACTACTGGGGGAAGATGAGGCATTGTACCCGAGCGTTCTGGTTTTTTGATGCAGTCTCAGACCGAGAGTCTTCCTGGGGCGGAAAGGGACGTGCATGCATCGCGCATTATCCCGGGCAAACAGGTACACAGCGTCGTCTCTGCGAGACTGCGACCGATGAGAGTGCCAAGGTCGATTCTTGATCTCACCGCGACGGCAAGGCACCGAGGGTCAGTCCTCCAGCCTGAACTGGCAGCAATAGCAAAGTGCATTGTGTATGATCCACTGGTCTTCCACTTCGGCTTTCTCGAGTCGTCGCTATAGAACTAAAAGCCGTAGTTATTAGGTGCATATTAACCGCACCACCGCGGTTAACAATCCATCCAGCCGTTTGAGTCGTGACGCGCTGCGGCCGCCCGAAACAAAGAGGGTCGTCCGACGATGCCGAAAGCGCGTTTATCAGCGCTGGCCAGGTTATGGTTCCAATCCCGTTTGTTCTCCAGACCACCAGAGCGCGCGTTGAGGAGGATCGCCCTTCCGTGTACCCGGCCCTATGTATCCCCCTCTCTCGAAGCAACACTGAATCGGCCCGTTTGGCGTCTGTTCTCGCTTCACGTCTTCTCGCCGATCATGACCGCTCGTCTGAAGCGCGTGTTCTTTCCCGGCGGAGTTTAGCTGGGAGGGCCAAGTGTGAGCTTATTTGCATTGGCGTGCCGGAACGCTATCTCGGGTCTCGAGTTTGGCAGCATCATTCGGCTGTCTGCGAGGAGAATGGTCGCACATTTCGGAACGACCAGAGAAATAGAATCCTCGCGTGTGTTGAAATCACACTAGGCTGCTAGGAGAAAACATGGATAGCAGCATCCCGCGAAGCAAGCTTGAAGACTGGCCGCCCGGCGGCTAACACAAACGAAAAGATATCCCCTTCTGAGTGACTTTGCTCTATATATTTCCGGTCCATTGCTCCATTCGCCTCTCCTCTGCGTTTGCGTCCCGCAGATCTCTTTGTTTGGCAGCACTTTCTTCTCAATACGCTGGATGTTTCCCTGGGAAGCCACCTTGCGCAGAGAGGACTTGCATCAACGCTGTGCGTCCTTCATATCCACTCAGGATCCCAATGTATCATCTATTCTTCCATTGATTAATTTTGAGGCCGGACCAGGGCTCGTCTACCATCTCGTGGAGCCATATTTATACCCGAACCTCCCATAGTAGCACACTGTTAGCCACCTGGATCTCATTTTTATATTCCGAGTGTATAGATTGCTGGACACTTTTATTTTGTCAACTACACCATGGCCGGGGGGAAGGAGATACCCATCGCCGCTAACGTCCTAGGCACCATTGGGACTGTTCTATGGTGCATACAGCTGATACCCCAAATATGGTATAATTGGAGGAGAAAGAAGACAGATGGCTTACCCGGCTCGATGATGCTGTTATGGGGGCTATGTACGCTGCTCAGACACCCCCGCCCCAACTGACACTCGCTCACGATTAGCCAGGCGCTTCTCCTTTTGGTATTTATATGGTTTTACAGGTAAATTTAGAGTCAATATCATTCGATAGAACGAGCCTTAAGAATTTCTAGCTAAATGGATGTTTTAGGAAGTCAATTTAGCCATCCAGGTCCAACCACAAATTTTTGGCACGCTGAGTTTGATATGTTGGGCGCAAATTCTAATTTATCATCAGTCAGTCTCCACCTACCCCCAGTTGTACTTTTGTCCGGGGGGAATTTGCTGAAGCATGGTCCTTGGCAGTAAGTATACTACTACCCGGGCAATTATCCTCGCGGTGGTCATCGCTATGCTGCTGGGTGGCTCAGAGGCTCTTTTCATCTTGACCTTGAGGGTGAGCATGAGTTCCCGTGGGACATGCGGTGATAGGGAAATTACTAAAATTGCATCTTAGATACCGTACAAAAAGGGCGTCACTTGGCCTGCCCTTTTGTTCGGAATTATGGCGACCATTCTCCTTGTACTAGGTTTGGTAACTCCATACAAGGAAATCTGGAAAAGGAGAGGAAGAGTGGTAGGAATTAGTAGGTTTCTTTTCTCCTAAGCACTAAATTTTTAACATCTATATCTAATTCTTTTTCAGACTGGGTTTTCCTTACTATGGATGCATTGGGGGCATTATTCTCTCTACTGGCTCTTGGTAAGATATGGAGTAGACCTTAATGAATCGCAAGAGTAGCTAATCACCATCTATGTAGTTGCCGAGGGCTCTATAGATATTCTTGGATGTGTTCTCTACTGTGTTGTGTAAGTCCCCACTAAGAAAATCGGAAATAGCAGTGCTGATGTGGGTTCTGTTAGACTTTTTTTGGAAATAGGCATCTTTGGTAGCCACATTGTGTGGCGTCTGCTGCATCGGGGTCTTCTTAAGGAAGCAAAAGCTGCAAACCTTACAGTTGATGAAGTTCTTGAAGCCAAAGGAGTCTCCACTCCTTCGAGCATACCAGACCCTGAAAGCAGATTTGAATTGTCCAGTAGTAAAGCACAGAAATCGTGATCTGTTTCTGTAAGGGCGTTGGGGTTTACGATGTATTCGTACGATTCGGATCCTTCTCTCAGCGTTATTGAGCGGTGAAGAATACAGGTCTTCGTTACATGCTCGAAGGATGAGCCGGTTCTCCGAAGGTTTTGTCTGGAATTGTTGTTGGTGGATTTGCAAATCTGCTTTTGGCATTTTGGAGACTCTGAGTATGTACTCCGTATGCAGTAGACCTATATCAGTCCCCCAGGAATGTCCAAAATCCAGCATTTGATGGGAATATAGGCTTTATGCACAAATCTGTGTTGTACATGCACTTCAAAGCGTAAAATTTTTTAATGATAGGGCATCAGTAGTTGTGGTTCAGCTAAAATCCATCAGCACGGATACCCAGGAACAAACAAGCATTTGGCTTGGGGTGGCGGCTCGGAGATAAGTTATGGTGATCGGCACCTGCAGAGAGGATCAGGAGAACTTTGCTCTCCCCGAGGTAGGCGTTGGAAGCGAAATAATGGGGCCATCAACCGTGGGTCGCCGCGAATGATTTCCCATGGACAGACGGCCAAGACGATGCGACTCCTTCCACGGCACGTAACTAGAGCCGAACTAGTTATGATGATAAGAGCTTGTCGAGCATAAAAGGATGTCCTAACTGTCCCGTCTTTCGATAAAGGACGGGTTTATTTTGAAAGCATGGCCTGGATGGGCGCGTCTTGTCTTGTCAGTCAGAAGTTTGCCACCTCCCAAGCCAGCGCAGCCCGGGTTCCCCAGAGTTTTAAACGCAGCTCTGTGACTGGAGGGAAGCTGCTTAGTTATATACCCACACGATGCTACCGTGGTGGAGGCGGGCCAAGGTCGGAAATGGACCAGAGCACGGATGCTGATCGACGAAGTGCTTTGTCCGTCATCGAGTAACTACTCCGTACATGGTCCAAGAGCAATTCGAGAGAGAATGATCCGCCGACAGAAGGAGAGTTTGGGGCGGGAAATTGGCAGACAAGGGTCCTTATGCTGGCGTTGTTTCTTTAGAGGCATGATTGTTGTTTCAACCAGCTACCTGAAGCTCTGGGATACAGGCAAGGCGGCGGCTGATAGGACGGGCGGGCAGGCATCGGGGATATTCCTGGACGGGCCTAAGCCGACTGCCTGTAGGAGCGCGTGGATCGTGTGTTTCCAGGGCCGTGAATGGCCAGTATTGCTGTTGGTGAGGAATCATGATAGTTGTCCAGTCGTTGAGCCCGGCAATGATACATAGAGCCGTGGAGGATCACAGGAAGCCGGAAGTATCGTAGTCACGGCCATTGCTAGGTGGGACACGCACGAGCGGGAGGATTCTGACAGGACCTTCACCTGGTGACTAGCCATTAGTTAACGAGTCAGTTGTTGTTGTTATCGACGTCGTTGTTGTCGTTGGTCGTGTTGGCGTTGCCGCCAGGGCTGTCGTGCCGCTGCGGCAGCTCGAGGGTCGTGACTCTCGACGTCGCTTCTTCCTCTTCCTCTTCCTCTTCTTCTCTTCTACTCTTCTTCTTCTCTCTCTCCACCTCCCACCTCCCACTCGCCATTGCCCTAGGGCCTGCTGCTTGAGCAATTCCCCGTCTGCCACTCCTGCTACACGCTTCGCCAGCTACGGCCTTGGGCCTCTCCCCGAAATGCGCTTCTCACCTGGCGCTTCTCTGGCTGTGACTCCTGCGCGCTGCAGGGGCAGCCCATAGCTGCACTGCCCGTCCGTCTCTTCTCGCCTGCTGTCTGTGTCTGCCGGTGAGCTCGCTGTCTGAGAGACACCCATCCGTCTGCCTGCGCGGTTTCTTGTGCTGGTTCGTGCGTGGGCATACCCGCACTGTGTGCGTGCCCGAGCGGTTCGGCTGCAAATCTTATCAACTTGCCTGGAAAGTTTTGGCCTGTCCAAAACCATGGCCGGCGACAAGGACGCCAGCACCACAACCTCCCATCGCCTGTCGAGACTGACGGCAAAACTGCTGCGACGCCCGTCGACTTCTCCCCCTAAGCGCCTCCTCCTCGCCGGCACGCCCTCTACGCCCTCTACCTCCGCCGCTGCACCTCCCGACGCCGTCCCCCGTCCCCCCGACTCGCCTCGCCCACGCCTATTAGGCCTATCGGTCCCCTCCAGCACCTCTCTCTCCTCCCAGAAATTATCTCCCACCAGTGCCAAGCCAGCGGATGCGACGCCGCGTTTGGCGGCCGATCACCAGTTACGGGGCTCGTGGTGCAGCCTCGAGACCGCCACAGACACTACTGCGCAGGATAAGAGTAATGACAAGCTCCTAGGCCAAACGGTGAAGGCGAAAGACGCTTTAGAGCTGCTCGATCGGCAACCTGACTGTAGCTCAGCTGGCCCCGGTTCAGCAGTTCAAGCTCCCCCAGCTCCCCAGCCCTGTCCCTCGAACACCCATTTTGCCGACGAACCACCTCCACCCACTGCGTCTGAAGCTCCAAGACGAGGCGATTCGCTGAGGCGCACCGAAGAGCCCGGCTCTGGTGCCTCTCTCAAAGAAGCCAGCTTGCCCTCTAGCAGGTCTCTGTCTGTTCGCAGGTCTGACTCGCGCTCTGCAGCATCTCGCGCGCTCAACGTGGTTGACGAGTCAAGCCAAATCGCGACCTTACCCTCTCCTCTCGCCACTGCACCGCCGAAACTCGTCCCAGCCTCTGCTATCCCTGCCACGCGCCCTCCACTAGCCATCCGCCGGCAGTCGTTGGTGCCCGCATCACAGCAGCGTCTGATCAAAACACTCCTCGAGCCAGGACCTCCAGGCAGCGGTGGCGACTATTTCTCGCGCGGAACCCCAACAATACAAGCAGACATGATCAGTCGAAAGATATGGGTTAAACGCGCGGGATCGTCCCCGACGCTAGTCTGCGTGACAGAGGAGGACTTGGTGGACGATCTGCGTGAAGCCATCTTGAGAAAATACGCCAATTCTCTGGGTCGCACTTTTGATGCGCCAGATGTTGTGCTGAAGCTCGTTCCACGCGAGCCCTCGAGCCGGCAGAGCAATTCGGAGCGCTTCCTGGGCCCTGAAGAACCCGTCGGCCGCACGCTGGATCACTACTATCCCGGCGGGCAAGCCGTCGGTGAAGCGTTGATCATCGAGACCCCACAGCGTCGTACCCCAAGACCCTCCCCGCGTCACAATGTTTCGTATTCCCACCAAGAAGACATCCGTCCCGGCGAAGCAGACGAATATTTTCCTCCAATGCATGTCATACAAACGCCTAACGTCCCGAGCTCAATATCCTCTGGCAGTATACCTAGTTCTCACCAACACTCAATGGCCGTGATCACCACGGGTCAATTACCGGCCGTTCCGTCCCCAGGCAGCCGTGGCTCCTGGCACAATATCCAACACCGTCCAAAATTCCCGCGCCAGCATACCTCCTCTCCCACAATCATAGGCGCGACCCCTGCCGTAAACAACTTAACTGGTAGGCGAGCCCCATCATAGGCGCTTTCAACTTAATTTTACTTCGTGTGGTGCAAATGTTAACGTACTTCGGCTTTATTCTGGCCTTTCCCGGATATTACAGATACCGTTGATCCTCCTGTCAATGGTGTTCCGTCCATGCCCTCTCCTCAAGCCACCACAACTCCTCCAATTCCCGTAACCGAAGTTCCTCCAAAATCCGTTCATACTCCTCCAGCTCGCGTCAGCTCTCCTCGCCCGGCCGTCAAGTTCCGCGCCTTGAAGAAAAATAGCAGTGGTACCACTGCTGATTCTAGCCCCTCGTCAGCACGTCTCCTCGACGGCACGATCCCCCCTATTAATGTTCTCATCGTTGAAGATAATACAATCAACCTGAAGCTATTAGAGGCTTTTATGAAAAGACTGAAGGTCAGATGGCAGACTGCTATGAATGGGCGCGAAGCCGTAAACAAATGGCGTGGCGGAGGCTTCCATTTAGTTCTCATGGATATCCAGCTTCCTGTGATGAATGGGCTAGAAGCTACGCGTGAAATTCGAAGATTAGAAAGGGTGAACGATATCGGCGTTTTCTCAAAAGGCGTCTCTGGGTCCGCGCATGCGATGATAGATGACGCCGCCTCGCCTCCCTCCCCAGAAGATTTCCTGGACAAAACGTCGCTAGTTAAAAGTCCCGTTATTATCGTTGCACTTACAGCAAGTAGCTTGCAAAGTGATAGAGACGAAGCATTGGCTGCTGGATGTAATGATTTTCTAACTAAGGTATATCTCTCTCTTCGTTCCACAAATATCCAAGACTCCTTTTCTAACTTGGCATTTAGCCCGTCAACATGATATGGCTGGAAAAGAAAGTGACTGAATGGGGGTGTATGCAAGCTCTCATCGACTTCGAGGGCTGGCGAAAATGGCGTGGATTCGATTCCGCGACATCGATACCTGTGCCCCAGCATCTACAAGCTTCCATCACAAATACTGCACTCACAAGCTCTCCTGGAACCAAGATTCCAACTCTTAGATCCTCCCAACTGAGCGTTGTCGCCGGATGCGCCGCCCAGGGCGAAAAGCTAGCTACCAACAAACGAGAAGCAAGCCCGGCACCCAAGAGCCCAGTCGCTGGCGTATATCCCAAGACCGGTGGCAAAGATTCGGTGACGAGCTCCACATCGACAATTGTGCCGAACGGTGGCGGCGGTGCGTCCGGAGCCCTTGCGCCGCTATCAAAGCCTCCGGCCAGCAATAGCAATAATAGCAATACTAGCAATAATGGGAGCATCCCATTGTCACCGTCTACAACTACTCCGTCTGGTAAGCGAGCAAGCCGTGTGCCAACGCCGGCCAAAACGTCACCGGCGTGATAGATACCCGCGGGAACGACCTATCCCGCCTTAGGGCGTTGGCATTACAATTCTCAATACATATTTTTCCACTATCGTCTCTTTTACAATTACCACATCTTTCTCCTACTTAATTGGCCCCCCAGAACGGCTCCTGGCTTTCTTGGAACTTCTCTTTCTTGAACATCTCTTCCTCATCCATTATTCTCATTACTTGGCATTTTTTCGACGATTTATCTACAGCACGTCTTCATTTGGCATGGCGAAGTAGGACTTGGGAAATTGCTTCCAATAATTTTTGATTCTTGGTATCCATTTTTATCCAGTCAGCCCTTTTAAAATTTTCATTGATTTAAAAAACGAAAAATACGCCAAAGGTTTTTGCATCATCACGGCCCCCCTGTCTTTGTTTGCCCCCTACGTGCGTGCCACTACTTGTAGATATCACACATGTCTAAAGTCTTTCTCTTTTCCTATGGTCTTGTTATGTTCTGATCCTTCACCTTTCTTGGTTTCTTTTGCCCTTTATTCTGATCTTGATTGGTTGTTGGCGGGGTGGGATACAAATGAGCAATTATGGCGGCCCGACCTTTTCAGCAAAGCATGACTCTCAGCCTGGGCTAATACAGTGGCCCAAATAGATACAGCATGTGCATACTTCTCGAAAGCTGCAATTTTCTTGGTCGATCACTTGCAATGAGGTCTTTTGATTTTGAATAGTGGTAATCATAGCTATTCCATTGGAATTTAAGATAGCGATTCAAATCTCTCACGTATAATATACAAAAAGCATCATTAGACGCAGTCCCATGGTATTGTTACAATAATGTCATATGCAAAACGGGCATTTTCATATAAATCGCAACATCTTCCAGGTATGGTTTTAAACTTCCACTTTCGTAGGAATCTTAACCACGCCTCTCTTCCTAGCATTACTAGGCACACCATATCGATAACCAGGTGCAGGCCGGCCCCGACACTCCTTGCCGGTGTTCTCGCGGGTTACCATAGCGGATTCAAATCTATACTCAAATCGGCTATTGGCAGGCTGAACGCGCTCGATGCGAGCTTCCCTCTTTTGCTTTGCGGCCTTCCTGTCTTTAGCTTCTGCAGCTTCCTCAGCATCCAGGCGATCGAGGAACCGCTGGTTACGCTGCCTCGATTCGCCCTTCAGTGTCATGTGATCGTGTTCGAATGAGACGAGGTGAGGGTGGGGAATGCGCACGTCAGCAGGTTGAAGAACTTGCTCTTGGTGAGCGCCCTCGCCTACTTTTTCGATGGCTTTGGGGTTTTGTGTTATCGCGGCTATTGCTTCTGGGGTATTGAACTCGGCACCCTCTTCGGAGCGTAATAAGGCCGGCGCAGCAGAGAATACTCTGCCAGCGTCGACTCGAGTGAAGCTTCGGGATTCTGAAACAGGATAGAAGATTTGGGGGTCTGTTAAACGGTGTACTGGAAGGTCATTAATGGGTTCGTGGGCAACTTGTTCTCCGGGGGTACTGCCAAGAGGGGTGGTAGGAATCATCTGGTGTATAGCACGGGCATATGGTAAGGCTAAAGGTTTTTCCTGGTTTAGATGTTAGCTATCGAGATAAATCAAGCTAAACGTTTTTCAATCAACAGAATATAAAAAAGCAGTACTCAGAGAGTTGTAATTTATTTCGGTAAGCATTCTCCTTCTGGGAATGAAGAAGTCATAAAGACTAATCGAAGTTTACTCATCATAGAATCGCCAACAATATCCACGGCATGAAATCAAAAAGGTAAAGAAATAAAAAAGAGGCATATGCCATCACGTACCTGTCGGATCATTTGCTTCTCCAACTCCACCAGCCGTACTACCGCCGCAACCCGTCTCATATCCACCCCAAACAGAACACTCACAGCTCGTACACCCTTCCCTTTTACCTTGACCTGCTGATATATCTCATTCCGCAAGTCCTCGCTCAGCACGCTCTGGCTAACAAAGGTCGGGTTTAGAGGGAAGGGTCTTAGATGTGATTTCACTTGTCGCTGCAACAGCCCATCACCAGTCAAGACCGTGTCATCTTCCTCCTGCTGCCATTCTTCTTCTTGTTGTTGCTGCCCCGACTCCGCATCATATTGCTTGTTCAGGGGCTTGCCTAGCTTATCATATGCAGTGAGATAATTAGTGGCACCAGGGATTGGGTGCTTGAAATTAGCGCCCGCTCCCTTCAGCCAAGAGTAGAATTCAACGCGAAGTTTGGTTGCAGCTGACCCTTCACCCGGCCCTACCGATTCCTCATCTTCCGGTTCTGGTTCAAATGCTCTTGCTTTTGCGGAGGGTGAGGATGAGAATGGCCTTGTTAAGGGAGAGGATGCGCAGGAAGGAAGATGTTTTGAAGGTATAGAAGGGCGGGAGAAGGGTGTTTGGAAGGATTGGGTTGAGGAAATGTGTGCTGAGAAAGAGGTGCTGAGTCTGTGCGAGTTGGGTATTCTGGGCGGCATTGTGAGGGAGAAATGTGACAAAAGAAATAAGAATTAAAGGGATAAGAGAGCTATGTTTCCATGTGTAGCTATTAGACAAGAAATTTAGCGGTTCAATGGCTTCATTTCATGGTTTGTGGAGCGTATTTGCAGAGACTAAAGCTGTTGTGAAGAGAAGTTTTGTTGATTTGAGGCCGAATTTTTTTCGCTTTGTAGTCAGTCACGTGGGTGTCTGTGTTTGGTTTAGTGTGTTTGACTCTCGGGATCGGACATATACATATCCGCGACAAATCGGGATTTCTCCTGAACACCACAGAGCTTCAAGAGCTGGGAGATTATCATCAAGTACGGATCATTACCAGAGAGGTGGAAAAGAGACCTTGGAAGAAAAACCTAACAATATGCTAACAGGCTATCTTGAAAAATAAAAAAAAAAATAAAAATAAAAAATCAAATGTAGCCAAGAAAATGCACGAAAAAAAAATGAACGAGGGGATAGAATAAAAGCAACGCCCAGAAATCCCTCCCGTAAGAAAAGATAAGTTGCCATAAGGTATCTCTTAATGTGCAAAAAGCCCATCGTCGTAGCGCCCTTCCGTTGAATTTCCAGAAAAAAATGCAATTTCCGACAGTGAATTTGAAAGATCATGAATTATTCCGCTTGGTAGAGAGAGGGGTGAGGGGGTTGGTATGGCAGGAAATATCCTCTGGATTCAATATGCGTTGGAGGAGAACTCCGCGTTCGTCTCCAAGGCAAGATGTTCCAGTCAGCAATAATAAGCACAGCGTGAGCAGTAAAAACGACAACGGGAGCGTTGCGGGTAGTAGTACGCAGCACAATAGAGGCCAAAAAGAATTACTACTAGGCGAGACGCAAAACGGGATGCAAAGAATAAAAATAGAAGGCAACGAGAAAAAAGTAATATAAAATGATAAGGGCCCTCAGCAATAATATGCCGAGTCCTGACCGAAGATGGACCCGTCAACATGTGTGCAGCAAAACCAAGTTGGAAAAAAAGGAATAGTGATATGTCATAATTATGAGCAAAAAATATAAAAAAAAAACTTGCGCTGCGTTGATTTGAAGTCAATGAAAACGTTAAAAAGCAGAGGTAATGACAGCAAGAAGATAGAATAATTAAAAAGAAAAAGGGTATACAAATGTATCTCTTGAAACGAGAACATAGAGCACGAAAATAAAATAAAAAAGCGCGAGATATGAAACCGCCACGGACGGTCCTCGCTGTCCTCCCGAATATTCCGCACGCCATACATAGTATTTTTTTTGGGGTCCACCTTTCTCCGAAAAAAAGTCGCAAAGATCAAAATTCAAAATTCAGAAATAAAAGAAAAGAAAACGAAAAAAATGCTATTATTCAACATGGCCAATTATGCACCCATCATCGTAGCTGTTACTTTGCAAAATGGGGAATCACAACTTCTTTTTTGTCCAGGAGGGGGAGCAAAAAACAGGTATATATGCATGCAAGCAGATTGAAATCAAGAAAAGACCAGGGGGGAGATAAACAAAGCAGAGAGGAGGGGGATAAAGCAAAAACAAACACGATAAAAAACAACACCCTCTAAATGCCTCCCTTGATGGTTTACAAGCCTATTTGCAAGAGCAACATGCACGTTGCAGCAAAACAGACAGTAACTCCAGTGCAGGGTTTTAAGGGGTGAGCAAACATTGTTCGCAGGAAACACATGAAACAGTCCAAACGGCCATACCAAATGATCAATCTGCCCAGATCATTGCAGGGAACAATCACGGCCAGACGGACGACCCATAAGAAAAACCAAACTGCGGAGAAAAAGGGGTTGACAGCCTCCCGAGACATCCGACGCTCAGACAGCACAAAAAGAGACCCGGGATAAGCGGCCACAATACCAGAAAAGAAATTAACAAGCCAAAAAAGAAGAAAAATAGACGAGCGCTCAATGAATATGCATGGACTCTCTTCTCTTGCGTCGTGAAAAAGCCGTAATGAGATTTCAAAATCCGCCTGAATCCCATGCGTCGCTGGTATCCAAAGAATCCGGAGCAAAACAACACAAAAACACAGTGTGTGGGCTGGCATAAGAGGGTAGGGGGAATTTAAAAAAAAATCCAAGAAAACAAAACGAATGCTGCCAGAATACCGAACAGAAACCCGGGAAGCTCGATAGAAAAAGCCAAGATAGCAAAAAAAAAGGGATAATAAGCGCGCCGCGACCCCCCTTTGTAGGACTTTGTCTCGAATATGCGATCTTTCAGGCTGAATAGTTTTGTCCCAACCCCGTTTGCGCCGCATGCTTTCAGGGTCCCATCATACATGCAAAACAAGAAAAAAAAAAGTTAAGACGATTATAAAATAAATTGGGAAGATGGCAGTGACTTCGCGACTTAACGGCCCATCATGTACCCGGGATAACCCGCGCCGTTCATCGCGCCGAGAGCAGGTCCTGCTGCCGAGTTTCCCAGGATCGACGAATTCAACGATGGCGCTGCCTGTCTGACTTGTGCCATCCCGTTCCCATTAGAGCCAAATCCAATTCCAAGTCCAGAATTCGTGGTGAAAGCGCCGTTGTTGGAGGACGCGTTATTGTTAAGGCCTGGGTGAGGGGACGAATGGCCATTCTGCTGCGCAATGCTCATGGGCATCGGCAGGCCCGGTGGGGCGCTGAGGCCGGGGGGCGGACCGTTGGCAGTTGAAAAGCGCGGGGTGCCGATCAGACCGGGCCCGTTGACGGCGTTGATGGCAGGATGCGGGCTCATCGAGTTGGGTGAGTGCATGTTGCCAGCCTGGCTGTTTCGGACGCCGAGAGGATTCTTAGAGAAGCTGAGGCGGATGCCGCCTTTGATGCTGTTGGACAGCTCGTACCCATATAGCTCCTTCAGACTCTTGGTTGCCCAGGAGATATCGTCAAACTCAACGAAGCAGATTGGTCCGTTGGGCTTTTGGCGGAAGATCATCCGTTTGTAGCCGCGTTGTTTAGAGAAAAGGGCTTTAAGCTCGTCCTCAGATGTATCCGGAGGCAGATTCCCAACATATAGAGTATTGCAAGGCGGGTTTTGATCCGCTGGGTTCACCGGGGGGTAGTTTAGTCGATGGTAGCCGGCCTGGTGATATCCGTTATTGGGACCAAGGCTAGGGAAATTGGGTGACACTGCGCTGGAGGGAGTGGTCATGGCGCGCGACGAGTTCCCATTAGTGAACGATTGTAAGGACGGTGAGGTCATGTTAGTTGACAGGCTCAGACTGGCAAAGTGATTGATCGGGATTGGGGGGTTGGTTGAGCGCCTGGGCATGCCCATGGAACTAGAATGGCCGTTTCGCGCATAGGCGATGGGGTCCTTGAGCAGCTCTCCAGTATCCTCGTCCACCTCTTGATCAATGACAGACTTGCCAGTAACCCGGGGGCGACCGTTCAAGCCATCAGAAATCGGGGACTGGGAGGAGAAGAGTGACTGGAGTCTGGAAGCTTGGTCAGGTGGTTGGAAGTCAGCATTGTGAGACGAACCATTTGTCGCAGCACCGTGATCCAGCCTCGACAAGAGGGACGGCTGCGACACCAAGCCTGGGGGGGTGAGGTGCGACAGCGAGGCGAGCGAACTCGAGCGAGGGACCTGGTCGATGGTGTTGCGACGATGCAGCATGGCAGCTGCAGATGGAGAATCAGGAAGCACCTCAACAATCATGGTGGCTTCGCTGGTGGAATTCAGCTTTCCATCGAGCATCGCCCTAGCTTCGTCGGCGGCAGCTCTGGTCTCGAAAATGGCGACAGCACTCAAAAAATTTCCATCGTCGGTATACTCATTAGAGATGAACTCCGTGTCGACCAGGTTCTTTGCGAAGAGCAACATGCTGCGGAGCGATTCGTAGCTGGTGTTGATAGGCAGGCGTCGCATCAAGATGGCGGTGCGGCAGGCATTGGCGCCGTTGGAGGCGACAGCGGCATTTCCATTGGCGGTGTTCTGGTCGGCTGCGCGAGCAAAACTGGCAGATTGCGGTTCGAAGGCGGGCGGGATGCCGATGGGGGTGAGGGCGTAGGAAAAAGAGGAGGCGAGTGAGGAGGCCGGCTGCGACACGGCGGGCGAGAAGACGTCGGCAGACATGTTGTTGCTGTTCATGGCGACGGCAAACGAGGAGGCAGTTGACAGCGCAAGGTGCGCAGTTGCAGTAGATGGGACAGATGACGGAATGCGTTTCAGGGAAGTCTCAAACAGAGGGCCGGGCTGGGTGGCCTGGCTAGCAGTGTTGCTCATGTCGGACGCGCAAGAGCGCGATCGGGAATGGGCGTCGGGAGGAGGACGGGCACGACACGGACGAGGACGGGAAAAAGGGGGCGGCAGGGCGACGACCAAGCTAACAGAGGCAGCGATCCTCGCGCAGAGGCCGCGGGTCGCAGCTTGCAAACACGGTCGGCAGGCAGACGAGATCACCAGGCAGGAGAGAGCCAAAGCGCAGATGTTGTTGAGCCGACTGGGAGGATCAGGAGCAGCAGTGAAACACACGAGCGATGGCGTGCGAGAGAGAGAGAGCACGGGACGAGACGAGGACAGCAGGACAAGCAGCGGGCCAGGATGCGACGGGGACAACAGACAGACGAGCGCGCACAGCGTCTTTCAGGGCAGAAACGAGCGAGGAGCGAGCGACGGCGGCTGGCGAGAAGTGTGTGGACGGGGGGTGTGGGAGGGATCGTCACGGGCAGGGCAGCATGGAGATGGCGAATACTTGGGCGGCGGTGGGGGGAGCGAAGTCTGGGCCTGGAGGCGGAGCGCACACGAAACGCGAGATCAGGGGGAGGAGGTGGTGGTGGTGGTGGTGGCAGCAGTGGACGCGAGCAGGACGCGATGGCGATGACGGCGAGAACAGAGCAGCGCGACAGCAAGAGAGAGAGAGAGACAGGGAGAGAGGGTGAAAGGGAGAGACGAGGATGGGGATGAGGGAAGAAGAGGAGAAGAAGAAGAAGGAGAAGCGATGGAGCGACGTCGAGCGGGCGAGCCTGCGACGCCGCGAAGGGAAAAGCCTGCTGCGCGTGTGGCACGCCGTACCCGGGCCGCCGCCGGGCGGTGAGCGACGCCCTGCACGGCTACGGCGCGCTGTACCGGCCGCCGCGCCCCAGCCAATCGCCGCCCGTTCCACCGGGTGGGGGCGTGCAATTTCCACCGCGCGCCTGCCGCTGCTGGTTGGCGCGTGCCGGCACCGCCGTTGGGCCGTGGCCCTAGCCGCCGACGCGCTCTGTTAGCCGCTGCTGCGCGCACGTGTCGCCGTCCAGGATTGTGGTTGTCGAGGCGCCCGCCAGGGGTGCGAAGCGATGTGCATCGACGGCCCGTACACGGCTGTACGGCGAACAGCACCCACACCACCTGCGCGCGTATACCGCCCGTCCACACAGACATGCGACGTCCATCGCGATATGGCCTGTGCCGATGCCTCGCCCTCGGCGAGGTAGCCAGCCCCTCGCGCAGTCGGGATCCCAACCGCCCCCCCGGCGCATCCAAATAACCAGACCCTGCCTCTCTGCACGCCGAAGAACAGGCCTGTCAGCTGTCCACCTGCGCGCCGCCATCCTGGCCCTTCACGTGTAAGTCCGGCCCTGCTGCCTGATAGATACTACTGCTGGCGGAAGGATTGCTGATCCATTCCTTCTGGTTAATATTATTTATCGATTAATTAATGTTTAAGGATGACGGGCCTCTCGCGCGGGAGTGAGGCTCAACGCTGCCCCTGGCTTGGCTGTCTGCCGGCCTCGCGCATCCGCGGCTAGGGCTGACGCTTGTCATGCTGCCCTAGATGGATGGAAGGAGGATGGACGTTCATACCCACTACTGGCCTGCTCAATAACAGAGATAGGATGCATGTGCGGTCGGACATATAGCCAAGATGCTGGTGGCATATCAGCAGCAACCTATGCTCACATAATTTGTTGGTTTGCTGGCTATCGCTATCATGCTCCAAGCATGATACACAGAAACCATGTGCAGCACCCATCAAACCATATGTACATACATAATACACGATGAATCATTATGTCTAGCAACAACATCAGCCTACCCATCTATCAACCAGAGACGTCACCAACCGGACACCGGCCGGCCCAACAAATAACCTTTGTCATATTAACAGTCCCATCCCCACCGTCGCAGGTGCCGTCTCCCGAAATCCATGGCGCGCATACAGCCGCCGCCCCGGCGGATCTGCCATCAGCGTCACCCACGCCCCAGGGAGCGCAGTCGATCGCACATGGTCCAGCACTCGCCGCAGGATCGTATCTCCCAGCCCTTTGCGCTGGTGCGCAGGCAGCGTCGCAATGTCGGCAATGAGGAAATACCATCCTCCGTCGCCAATCAGACGCCCCATGGCCACAATTTGGTCGTTGTCGCTGTCTGGTTGCGCAGCTTGTGGACTGTCTGTGGGAGACGGCGCAGAGTATATGATATGGCACATGTACAGCGACCCCGCCATGGCCCTGCGTGCTTGCTCTTCGGTCTTGGGCGACAGGCCCGATTGCGCCCGTAGCGCACAGTACGAGACGGCGTCGGGAGCGCCATCAACTAGCCGGTAGCCTGCGGGCAGCGGAGAGGGTGCCGTCATTATTATTCGTATTGCAGTGAACGAAAGGCTGGTTTTCTATAGTTGCATGCTCGGAGGTCTGTCTGCCAGCTTTATAACGACCCGATGCGGTTGCTGTCGGTGAGGCTCCGCACGGCCAAGCCGTCAGCCAAGCGAGCTAACCCGTGCTGCGGACTTAGCGCTGACATCGAGCATCGCGACCGGGCCGTGAAATCTCTGCGGCATCAACGCCCGCTCCAGGCCGTCGTCTCAAACGGGCTTCCCCACCTCACTCCCAACGGCCCAGCACATAAGCCAGAATCCCGTACGTGACATTGGCCCAAAGAGCCGCACCCGGCAAAACAGAGCCAGCTGAATCTTCCGCGCGATACACAAGCATGCCCACGGCCCAGCCGGTGCAGATGCCACACGGGCGGGAAGCTTTGATGCTGCTCCGTCTCAGCTGAACCAGGATGTGCCGTTGGATTCCCGCCCCCAACTCGCCAATGGGAGTGCAGAAGCCCGGTGAGCCGACCCTGGTGCTTATCACACTCTCGATAATAATAATAGCCTTTTTCCCCATTATTCCCTAAGCCACAGGGAACAACAACCGTCCCCAGACCACTGACCCTGTCCAGCCATGGCAGAAACGGCCGTGGGACAAGGCAGACACCCTGGTAACTTTGCCGCTGGCTGTGGTAAGTGGGCTGCATGGGGGCTTGGCCGTAAAAAAAGGGGGGGATCAGCAGAAGTCAACCGCAAGAGACGCCCGCCATGCGCGCCATTCTCAGGACTAGCTATTATTTCTGCTGTGCAAAGACAGGACTCCGGGGTATCTTCAATGCCATGTCTGATCACAAATCAAGAATGTATTTATTTTTGGTATCTGAAGCTACCAGGGTGGTAAACACGATACAGAGCCCAGTTTTCCCTGCGGCGAGGCTAGCATTATTGCCCGCTCTCAAGACAGCGCAAGCAGAGCAAAACGTTCCAAGTCACCACTGCTCTTCTGTTCCATCGAAGCAGAAGATCACAAATCGATTTTATGTCGATCCTTTTGACTCAATGCGTGCTGAGATGCCACTTGCTTCTCTCTCTCTTTCTTTATTTCTTTCCCTTTTTCCTTTTTCTTTCCACCGGAGATATTATTGACTACTTACTCCGTAGCTCCTCGAAATACGAGATGTTCGAGGAATTTTAACAACGCCAACTCCACTGCTAATAACAATGGGCCTAATTTCTCACGATCTGCCGTCCATTTTTTTTTTTCTTTTTTTTTTCGTTTTCTTACATATTCATCTCGTGATGATCATCTTGTCAAACCATGGGTGTTTGGCCGTTTTCATTTAATAGTCTGGGAGAGTCTATCCCATAAATACTAGAACTCCTCACTGAGGGTGGATCTCTTAAGAAACTGTCTTAAAGCCTAACGAGGGTCCTTACTGTTGTTGTAGAATTGTCCATGCAACAATGGTAGACCTTACAGTTGGTCATGTTTCTGGTATCATTGCCGCTGGTATAAATATACGTGAGTCTGTCGTGCAATCACACTATACACGCAATTGTACGCTGAACTCAAATATAGTTCAACTTTTCATACCCACTGCCACGACATTGATACTAACTGGGCTGCTGAGCGAGGACAACTCGTTGGCTACATGGTATTTGCCATTCTTTCTATGCCCGCAGGCTAATTTACGCCGCGTTGTTGACCCCTTTCAGGACGCAAATCGGAAGGGCATTACATGCATCGCATTGGCCATCGCTTCTCCGCGCAGACTCCGCCAGGGCTAACTCTGTTAGCCGCGTTGTACGGCTCGAAGGCCTTTTGAGACCACTTATTTTACTTGTGGTCAGCATCGCTGCCGTCATCACGCCGCTTGGTCTATACGACTCCGTCGTGCCAGCGACGTCATCGGTGCCGCAGCCATTTGAATACCATAAAGACCCTTCGCAGTTTGGGCTTGGTACCCCATCTCGCTCAAATCTTGGTTTCAACCGGGAATGTGGCAGCTTTTTACCGGTTGCCTGCCCGGGCTCGAAGACGGTTATTCAGAGCTCGTCCAATGGCACGTCAATTTCCGTCAGCTTGCAGAATTCCTATGATATTGCGATCCCTAGTAATTTGACGGAGATTTTTGAAAGTGGACTTAAAGATCTACCCCCGACTATGTCAAGCCTGTTTGACATACAATGGAGATCATATGGTATCAATATCAACGAAAACAAAAATAAGGGGTCTCCGTATTTGGTAGGCTCGTATAAACAAATGGATAATCTACTGTTAAAAGATGGATATCTACTTGTCGAGGGGTTGGTCGTGGACAACAAGAACAACGGTATTGGGTTTAGACACCACACCGTACCTTCGCCGCTCAAATACGGAGGAGTCTGGTCGGAAGATCTACTCTTCATCCAACCCTCCACGAAATGCATTGACACGAATATCACCGTCGACTTTACTATCCCGGACATCAGCACCAACTCCACCATGCAGAACGTCAAATTAGTCGATCACGGTGGTTTCTCTAAGCTCAACACCACATACCCTCAGTATGACCACGAAGATCCCCAGAAGAATCCCGATCTCCACCGCAGGGCTTATAAGGCGGCTTATCTCCACAATGCACTGACGATGCTTATTCTGAACGTGACCAACCCCAAGACTGATGCCATGAAAGCCTGGTCGTATTTGGACTCCACTGAAGGAAAAGAGTTTCCAATCGAAATCTTCTTCAACAATCTTCAGCCCAATCGACTGGGAGCACACCAGGATTGGCTCCTGTGGGATGGTGTAGCCGCCAGTCCGACCTTCAATATATCTTCGTCGTCCAAGGTCAAGTACCCAAATCCGTTCAAGATTACGAAATCCAATTTTACCACAATTAGTACGTATATCTAATTCTTAGCTAGATGTTAGAGCGCCTACTTACCCGTTTGTATAGATACCCTCTGCCAGGGTGCTGGGAAGGATGATTTTGCCAATATTACCAATATTGGCGTTGCTTGCGGCCTTATTGTTGGTGCTGCTCGGCGAGTAGACGGATCTGCTTCTCTTATTGCGGAGCCACGGTCCCGATGGACTGTTCCTCTGTATAGCTGCGCCTCATCAGCAAGAGCTGTGATAAAAACTGTGGATTTCCGTTACAATGGAACAGATGGATTAAGAGGCCTTTCTATCGATGGCGTAAAGGACAAGGTCTATAAGCAAGACAGTGACAAACCATTCTGGGGTGTTGAGCGCCCTGGTATCAAACTGGGAGACATTTCTGCCATGTGGGGATTGGTGTCTAACCGATACAAAAGCAGTAATGACCTTTCTATTGTTCAGAATGATGCGCTATGGCTCCCAGGGTTCGTCAGCCTATCAAAAACACCAGTGGCCTCTTATATGAACCTACCCGGCGTCAGCTTTTATATGAACGCCTTTGCATCGATATACACCATGGGTAGTGATACTCCCGACACTCTTATGGATTACACAGGCAAATCAAATCTCGCCATGTATGCCAGATGGCAGGAATTGTCAAAACAAGCAAATACCACATCTACTATCATTAATCAAATATGGACCGACATCGCTGCCAACGCTGTTTTAGGCACGAGGGGATGGATCAGCGCAAAGGCTGAGGATCTTAAGATCCTGAAACGCAATAACGACAAACCTCGTGAAGGCCAGACCGTCAATGTTCCCGTGAAAATATATGATCATCGTGTCAGCTACCACATAGTATACGGCATCCCCGCCTTCATCGCCCTCCTTCTCACAACCGCAGTCGCCGCCTCATCCGGCGTCCTCTGCATCATCGGCCGCGCCAGACCGGCCGTCGTACGACGTTATCTCTTCCACACCGCACCAGGCCGGATCTTAGGCACCTTCGTATACCCGAACGAAGTCGACCCACAGGCTCCTACAAACGGTTGGAACGATACCGTGGGCTCCAAAAAGGTTTCTATGGCTGGCCCCGTGCCGTATCCGTCGGACCCGGTGATGATGGCGCCGTATTCGAATACCTCAAGGACCAACATGGATTCTCCCTTACTACAGAATAAGGAGGGCACCCCGATCACCACGACCCATGAAGCCCGATGAACTAACAGGCTATCTATCATAGGGCTTAACTATATACTTATAGAGATTGGTCTCGTTAGCATGGCAGCTCTAGAGCCATCTGCAGCCCAGCAACGTACTCTTTACAGTTGTTATAAGAACAGTTCTCGTATTATTATTGCATAAGTTTTATATCATGCTTTACCTTTCTTGTTTATTCTTGGAACCCACTTTAATTTTCAAGGGTATAACCACACTCCATTATGTTATGTGTGCATCTGAGCTTAAAAGCATTGCGGATCATCTTTCTTCAATTCTTCTATAACTCTTTCCTGGTAAACATTTATGAAACATTTAATTAAGGCGCCGGGCAGGTTGAAAGAAATGGCTGTGAAATTTTCGGCTTACATCTAATAATATACAAGGTCGCTAGAATATTGAACCCTCTTGAAAAACCAAAAACGCCAGGAGTGAATGCGCGCGGTCGTGGGTATCCGTCTCACGCCCGCCAGTCCAAAATTGTTGTGCCTGTGGCAAAAGGCGAGCACATTTCTCAGGAGAAATTGCTAGCACCGGTACAGTAAAAAATATTTAGAATACTTTGATTTGTATATCCGTACTACCACATCGGTTTGGAGCCCTTTTTCTCCAAATTGTTGTTTTCCATCAAGCTAGTCATCCACATCAGATCATGGAGTATTTGGAGAGGTTCAGGGTTGCGGTTTTTTTCGGATCTTCGGTTCCACCAAGCCAATCTATTCATAAATGGAACTCATTAGTAAAAAAGTACCCCATATTTTCGGCTAAGTTGTAATAGGCCGTCAAATTGGCCTGGAAAGCAATAGTGGCAAATATATAGACTGGTGAAACTAACCAAGCTGAACAATTTCCAAACAGATTCACTTGGCTGTGCGCCCACACCAACCCAGTACTTTGCCCTCGATCGGTCGAGAGTAATAGCTTTAAATGCCCGGGCAACTTTTGCTTCTTCTTCCGACAAGCCGAGGGGTTTTTGGGGAATGGGGTTGTAGGTTCCAAGGACTTCCATGGGTTTAGAGTCACGCGCACTTCTATAGGTAGGTATGAGTTACTGTTCAAGGTGTATAACTAAGAGGGGAAAACATTGGGAATGAAGAGCCCATTGGAGACAGGGTAGGAAAGAGATATCACTTACCGCGCTTGACAGACGACGATGTTGTAGACCGGGTTGTGTCGGGTCCCGAAACGGGAGAGACGAATTCTAACCACCATTATCGCCGAAAAAGATATTAATTGATGCTGAAGGGGCAGTGAACACAATATTGCAACGACTTTGATATTGATGTCTGGGTCGGGACTTTTAAGATCAATTGACTTAAACAGGCGGCATTTTAGTCGGAAACGGATAAATGAAATGCCGAAAAGAACAATATTATGTAATAATTCGAGAAAATGATGTCACACCATTGGGGAGTGAACAACATCAACGGCTTCAACTTCGAGAAACCCGTGAACGAAAAGACCCAGCGTATTATTAGTCTGGTGGATGTTTGCTAGCATCATTACAGCTTTTAAGCTGGTATTTTGTGTCTAAACCCTACCCTATGGGACGTACTAAGCTCGCCGCAAATTGCTTAACTGATGCGTTGGCCGCTCTCAATATCACGACGAGCGGTCTCATTATTGTCTCCTGCTTCTAGATACAGATATATATCTATAATGGCTCTCAAAGTCAGTTTCTCTTTGTCATTTATCAACCAGTCCATATGGTAGACCCTGTCTAGATGAACAGCCACTCATCTACGCGGAATACTCATAGACAATCACGGCTCAAAATGCAGCGGCTTTGGATAAAGACCTTATGGACTACGGGGCCTTCTCAATTGATCAACTGATGGAGCTAGCCGGTCTCTCTGTGTCCCAAGCGGGTAAATAACTTTACTTCTCCCTTAAATGGCTCGGTGTAGCCCCAGTCCCTAACCACTTGACAGTATACAAAGTCCACCCACCAAGCAAGGGGAAAAATGTTCTCGTTGTATGCGGACCTGGAAACAACGGTATGTCCCTGTATCTAGTCTGAATCTCCAGGAAGTAATTCTAAATACAACGTAACTCCCTTTAGGCGGAGACGGGCTTGTTTGCGCTCGACATCTAGCTCATTATGGCTACACGCCAACTGTCTACTATCCCAAGCAAGGCAAAAACGAACTTTATGAGGTGAATCACTCCGCTGGATTCAGCCTGTATAGGATGAATTAGCTAACAGCTGGCCCCCCTTTCACCCCACAGCGCCTGGCAACCCAGCTGCGCAACCTCTGCGTTCCCTTCGCATCCGACTTCCCCACCTCCCTCTCCACAACCTCCCTTGTCATCGACGCTATCTTCGGCTTCTCCTTCGGTGGGCCTTTGCGTGAACCCTACCCGGCAATAGTATCTGCGCTCGAGAACACCCGCGTACCCGTGGTATCTGTCGATGCGCCAAGTTCATGGGATATCGAGTCTGGCCCACCTAACGAGGGCCCGGGAGCCAAGTTCATGCCGGAGGTGCTGGTGAGCTTGACAGCTCCGAAGCCATGCGTAAAATTTTTCAAAGGAAGGCATTTTATTGGTGGCAGGTTCTTAACTAAGACAGTCGCGGAGAAGTACGGACTAGATGTCCCGGATTATCCAGGAATAGACCAGGTAATGGAGGTGGAGGCAGAAGGGGCTGAAAAGTTATGAACTAGTATACGGAGGACCACGTTTGAAAGTGTATGGATCGTTACGCTTCATTCTAGTATTATTCTAATATTCGTTTCATGAGGCACTTTAAAAGAGCCAAATAGAGTCCCAGAATCGCGATAATGATTTAGGGGCTTCTAGAGCACATCTTGAATTTCGCCAATCACGCTCTTCACTCTTGGTTCTTTTCCAGCACCCGAGTTTAAAACTGCGCTCAAAATACTTTCAAGCTCATAGACCTGCTTCGCCGCCATTTTGACTTCTTCTCCCAATGCGATGACCAGAGTCCCAAGTGCCACGAGCCCACGATACACCACCTCTGAATCTGTTTCCTTATATACTATTTTGGTCAACGGGCCCAAAAGGGTGAGAGCCCGATCAGCAGACTCAGCGGTCGTCGATCGGCCTTCAGAGCCTAGATAAACACCCATATTGATGTATAAGGTTGTGACGGCAATGGTCATGTTACGATTCACAGTGGCCCCTGAATCTGATATCGATAGGTGGGACACGATCTCGTCAAAAGCGGACATCACTAGTTGTTGGCCAGCATCAGTTTCGAAGAGGTTTGCCAGCATACGCACTGATAGCATGGCGTTGTTAGCGTTCAAAGGAGAGCCAAAGGCGCCGCTCGAGATGATCGTCGATACCAAGTCTCCTCCACCATATTTCTCTGTGGCTGTGAGAGGGGTGGCGGCGGCAAGAAGGCGCAGGAGGTCCAGGCCCGGTAAGCGGCTAGCGACAGGCCAGGACGTCGCAGCTTTAACAACCAACGGAATGGTAATTTCAACAAACGAGGAATCTTTTAATTTTGGGGTTTGCTCCAACTGATTGCACAGCTCAGATATAGCTCCCAGCTCAGACGGACTGAATGAAAGATTTTTGGAGCCAGCAGACTCTAACTGGGCGTTCAGCTCGCCGATTTTCTTCTGGATGGCTTTAAGGTTCGCTGTCGTGATGGAAAGATAGGACTTCTGAGGAAGTACTTTAGGTCGAGGAGGAAGAGCAGGTGGTGACTGAGAGCTTGTACTAGCATCAGCGACCGGTTGAGATGAAGACTGGCCGATCGTAGCCCCTTGGGTATTCGCAATGATGAAGTTGGCAACCTGGTCAAGATATGAAACCGGTAATTCATTGGTGTGGATGAATTTGGTAGCAGCGTCGTAAGGGTTTTGAGATAGATTATATGGGAGTTTGAGTGGTGGCTGTCCATCTTCAATATCAACGTCAAAAACGTAGTCGTAATCCTGCCCCTGATGCTCAGTCTTTCTACCACTGCTACCAACTGAGTCGACGACAGTGCCAACAGAAATCCATTCGCGAGTGGCAGAGGACCAGGTATGTGCGGTAACACTTCCGTCTTCTTGCCGAATCATTTGAACTTGCCCTTCCTTCGTGCCTGATTTCTGCTTCAAAAACTCTGGGCCAGGTAATTTTTCTTTGTTAACCTTTCCAACTTGTTCCTGGGGAATAGACGACTCCTTTACAGAATTTTCAAACTGCTGTATGAGCGTAGAGTCACCCTGTCGTTCAGACACGCGACTGAACACGCGAGCTATTTTATCACTTGCGCCTGTAACGATATCGCCTGTTTCAGGGCACACCGCAACGCTCCATACAGAAATGGCCGGATGTGTGATTGTCTGGATACATTGCCCTCCTTCCCATACCCTCATTGTCCGATCCTCCCCGGAGCTGACCAATTCACCGGATGGCAAGACTGCTAAAGAGTAGATAAAACTCTCATGCCCATGTAATTCGCCAACCTGCTGGCCATTAATGGTCCACAAACGTATTGCCCCGTCGTTTCCTGCGGAAGCTATCTGTGCACCGGATGGGTGGCCTGTAGGAAGCTTACACAAAGCGCGAACGACGCCCGTGGAGCCGCGTATGCTTCCCTGCAAACGTCCTGCTCTGTTGAACACTCGGATAATCGTATCTGCGCATCCTGTACTCCCTGTGTGAGCATTGCCAAAACATCTCGCGGTCAGACGGGGTAGCGCGAACCGGTAATGATGGTGTCCTTGTCATACGCAAGAACGGCCCAAACACTGCCATTGTGGCCCTCAAGTACAGCATCACACTCCCATTTGCCAACTGTCCACAGACGCGCAGAAGAGTCCCAGCTTCCACTCACAATCCAGCCGGCCTCGGGACACACATCTAGACTGCAGACGTTATGCGCATGGCCCAGCAACAGGGCATCGGCGTCGGCGTCCGCGGAGCGGCTGGGCTGTCGGGCTTCGATGATAGAGTCCTTGCCACCTGAGAAGACGAGGCCCTCTGGGAAGTCTTGAGTGGGCGGGTAGTAAGCTAGGGCATTGATGAAGCTGGATCCGTGGACGGAGATGGTGTAGTCGAAGGTAGGAGGCGGGGTCGAAACGAGGCTCCAAAGACGAACTGTGGCATCTCTAGAGGCTGTAAGGACGGTTTTGGCGTTTGGAAAGGCCACAGCACGAACCTGAAGTGCACAGCCGCACATGTCAGCGTCATTCAAGCTCGTCAGTCAAGCTATCACAGGATGGGCTCTTACATCATCGCCGTGGCCGTCCAAGGCGGCAGAGATCTTGAAGTCAGGCATACAATAAGCTGTTGCGCGGTTGCAAGCTAAACGCAGTGCAGAAGCTTGCAGCACATTCAGAGAAAGTTTGAGAAATATCAAGGAAGAGAGAGGTTTTACGGTATGTGCCGTGATTCTGGATTTAGTTGCTGGGGGCCACAGCTTTTCACGTGGAAGCAGCCATTAACCGTGGAGATTAGTTACCCCATCACTGGAGCCTGTTAGTTAGTGGCTATCCAGTTGCCCAGCATTCTACAGATTTGTTGGAAGGAGATATGCATATTGCTTGCGATGTAGCTAGAGAACTCAGGAAACTATCTTGCTGCTGGACGTGTCCGCATATTCATATGGACAGTAGTCCCGTCCCCGCTGCTAGCTATCACGTCTGTGTGTAGCTACTGCGTACATGTAAGATACTGGTTCCAAGGCTCTCCAAATCACCACAAGCCCAGCAGCAGCCACAGCTCGGCTTGGATTCACAAAAGCAGCACGCATGGTTGTAGCCCGGTGGCCAACCAGATACAGGAGTGCGTGACCTGCTTGCGTGCTGGGCTGTGGTCGGAAACCGCCTGCAGTTCGGCCACACAGCAGAGACAACGCGCAACAGAATCACCACAGGCTGCTGTGTTCCGCATTCACAATAGATGGCCGGTGACTCTTCTTGTCTCGCGTTGCTTTGTCTGTCTTCCATTCTCCGCCGCTGGAGTCCAATCCGGCACCGGGCCGCGCCTTACTGCTTTGCGCCTAGCGTGCCACAACGCCCTCCCAAGCTTCCGCCGCCCGTCATCCACCCCAGGCACCCAATGCTCAACTTCTACTCCGTAGTTATATATTAATCTTTCTACCTTCGCTTTTTATCCTTCTTCTTTTCTTCCTTAACGTCTCTTTTTCCAGCAAATCCCCATCGCCTCCGCTGCCCTTCTCCTGCCGCCCTGCTGGTTCTCTCACGGCTTTTTCACTGCCATCTTGCATATTGGCTTAGCAGACCCTTTGACGATTTTTTTATGCCGTTGTCCTATTCTTAGTCTACCTGCTGGAATCCCTGCTTAAAGTGTTATATACGCCCAGAATCTGCTTCTTATCTCAGTTCTCTCATCTTTTAGACTCTTTTGCGTTGCCAGACGCCCGGTTTTTTGTTCATTTCTTTTTTTTTCCGCCTCCAAGCCGGGATCTCCGTCATTAGATCTCCTGCCTTTTCCTTTCTTTCTCATATCATCCACTTGAAACCATGGCCTCTGGTAAGCCAGCCTGCGAGCAGTATTGCTTGTTTTCAAGCCGTTGTGTGGCAGATCATGCTCTCATGTGGCTATCTAATCTTAAATCTAACGGTACTACTGCTCTAGAATCGCCCTCAAAAGTCGTTCCTCTAACGTGCCATGGCCATTCAAGGCCGGTGCCCCATATCAACTTCTCCCCCATAGTTGGAGATGAACACCAATATTACCTGATGTCCGCCTGCAAAGGTAAGACCGCTCTGGGCTCACCGCCCCGCAGCCGATCCTTAGCTAACTGACTCAGATGGCAATCCCATGCTTCGTGACGGAATTACTGGTGATTGGCGAGTCGCTGCACCCCTGATGCTCCCTGTCCTCCAAGCTGCTAACTTTCGTTCATTAGGATTGGCACTTTTCTTGGCCACAAGGGTGCTGTTTGGCAGGCCCGGCTATCAGCAGACGCGAAGATTGCTGCCACGGCCGCCGCTGACTTTTCTGCGTATGTGGATACTCTATTTCTGCCCGACACCAAATCCTTTTTTCTTTAGATTACTAAACTTGTCACAGAAAGGTGTGGGATACGCACGACGGTTCGTGCCTCCATACTTTGCAACATGCGCATATTGTTCGTGCCGTTGCCTTTCCCATTCAAGACAACCCCCAAGTGCTCGCCACCGGGGGCATGGAGAAGAAACTACGAATTTTTGACCTCTCGCGAAGTGAGTCTGGTGGCAGCTCTCCCACAGGCACTAACGGCGGTGCATCAAATACCAACGGTTCCGCGCCAAATTCTTCCAGCGCAACCAGTTTTGAAATAGGTCCTGGAGTACATGGAGGTACTATCAAATCCATCATCTGGAACCAAGATTATAACATCATTACCACCGCATGTGACGACCGTAAAATTAGGTGGTGGGACCTTCGTTCTCAAGTCCCCTGCAAGGAATACAGTGTCGATAGCGTTATTGGCAGCTGTGAGTTAAATACGCTCTCTGTCATACCCAATGACCCTGGCATTTTGAGTGTCACCTCCGGGAAATCTGCCTACTTTTTCGATGGCGCCGCCCCCGGCCGCTTGTTTAAGAAAGTGGATATGGATTACGAACTTGCCAGCGTTGCTGTAAATGGCCAGGCGAAGAGGTTTGTTACTGGTGCTATGGGAGACACCTGGGCAAGAGTGTATGATCTAGACACCAACCAGGAACTTGGTAAGATCTCAAAAACGCTCCCTGCATGACGCCCAGCCCTAACTGGTCACTTTATAGAAATTCAAAAAGGCCATCATGGCCCCATCTGGTCTGTAAGCTACTCACCTGATGGTAAGATCTACGGTACAGGGAGTGAAGATGGAACTATTAAGTTATGGAAAGCCTGCAGAGAGCCTTATGGCCTCTGGAGATGAAAAAACAAAACAAGAAAAAAAAAAAAAAAAGGGGGAAATAAAAATATTGTTTTCAATCTCGACGATTGGAATGGTCGCCTTTTCCTAGTCATTTTTATTGCAAAATTGTGCATGTTACTGGATGGAATACAAGCGAGGCGTTAGCGTGATAATATCATGCTGGTAGGCTATTTTATCTGATAATTATTCGGTTTCGAATACTTATAACCATGAAATACACCTGATATTGATTGTTCGCGTTGCAGAAATGAAATAGATTCTGTGGTGCTAGTGTTTCTGTAGCAGAGTACAGCTAGCTAGAGAGACAGTATGATCGTGCCTGGACTCTAGACGCGACTATGGAGTATTGAATGTCAGATAGTACATGGTTACTGCGACTCTCTTAAGTAGGAATATCACATATGTGAGAATGGAATCCCTTGAGCGATATGTATACGCCAAATACAAATCTAGTGGTGTTTATTTTAAAAACAACAGTACAGAACAGGGAGGCAATAATATGTATTTTGTCCCTCCAAGCCCCAACTCCGGCAAACAGTGGCAGCATAACACCAACGGAAAGGGGGGACGAGGCTATCAGTATTCTAAGAAGACTTCTGTCAAATTATAGAGACATTAGAACACCCCCAGCCGCATTATGAGCTTTATGAAGAATTTTATCAACAGCTCCTAACTGACTTCTAAGAATGGCAATTTAACCCAAGAACAAAATTACTGAATCATGTCGATATCATCGCCTTCGGCTGGAGTAGCTGGCTGGGCTGCATCTGCAGCATTGGAATGGCCGTTCGTCGCATCACCAGAAGATTTAGCCCAGTAGTCTGCCATCTCTTGGTCCAACTCTTCCTGTGTCTTTCTAGGTCTACCAGTCCCGTTTCTCCCCCGGTGGCTATCATTCCTCTCCCTATTCTCCGGTCGTCGAGCACGACTTCTTCCACCGTCGCGTCTAGGAGATCGTTGGCCAGGAACGTAACGATCGATATTATCGGGCGGAGGCCTGGAAACGTCGCTTCGGCGATGACGGCCACGACCTCCGGCGACGTCGTTGTCAGCGACCGGACTGAGGCTTCGGGTGTCTCTTGGGCGCTCGGCTCTGTCAAATAAACTACCCTTGGGCTTTTCTACAAAGTCAAACGGATTACGCCTCGAAGGCCGTTCGCTGGTAGTTTGAACAAGTGTGACCCGAATTGGTTGGCCTTTGGCATTGGCGCCATCAAATTCCCGAATTGCCGTTTGAGCGTCAACGGTACGCTTGTATATAACGTATGCAACGCCCTCAGAACGCCCGGCACGGTCATATAGCAGGGAGAGTGAAATGATGGGTCCGATGCGAGTGAACAAGTCCTAAAGATAGCATATCAGCCCGTCTTCGCCATTGTACGTGATTTAATTGAATAAGCACCCACCTCCAAGTCACCCTCAGTGATGTCGTAGTGTAAGTTGTTAATACGAAGTTTGGCGCCACTTGCAGATCTGGAGTGCGCTTTATTAGCAACTGTTATAATAATATAGATGAACGGACTTACTGGTCGGAAGGTGGAGAAAGCCGGCCATCACGGCGGGTGCGAGACCCCCGAAAAGAAGACGGGCGTGCTGGATTCAACACGTAAGGATCGTCGAGCGCATTGGAGCTTAAGAAGTGAAGAACCCACTATCTCTATCATCATCGAATTTATCATGGACCCAATCACTATATAACAGGTAGAAATATCGATTAGCTAGTCATCGCATATTTAAAAAGAACAAGGTAATTGGAACTCACAGTTCTACGTCTGCCCGGTCATTTTTCGGTGGCTGTTATTTCATCAAAAGACGATAAAACAAGGTTAGCGGACGGTCAATTTATATCTGTAGTTGCAGAAACCATCATGTATTTTGCTTCTGAAGGCCTGAGGGGGAAAATAAAAGAAAAGGCAATTCGCTGGTGCCATAAGCCTATCTTTGAAAGAGGGGCTCAGAGGCTTAGAATCACGCGAATTGCCGTCATGATATGGTTGGAAAAGCGAGATGAGGGAGAGGAGGAAGACCTAGAGTATCACGGACTTAGGTGTTAGCTCTATTATATGGAGCGGCGGGTCGTGTCAGACCTTATAAATTCGACCTTCATCTCGAGTGAAATTACTCCGACGAGAGTGTGTTGTAGGCTGTCGGTTACGCGCACGAGCTGGAGACCTCTGGTAGGATATTAATCAGCTTTATCCGATATAATCTAGCAAGTCTCAGGCCACAGCGCGCGTCTCGAAAGGAAAACTCACCGGTTTCTCAGCTATGATCTCATCCAAGCTCCGATCCATTTTAAGGCCTGCGATAGACGCAGCAGCGAAGCTTCTGGGTTTGAGGAAGGGAAGGTTGGTTGATAATACTGATAATATGTTGCTATCGGATATTCGCAATAAATACCACACAGAATGGTCGGGTGTTGCTGCAAGCTGGCTGGGGCAAAGGGATTTGCATCCTGAGATTAGTGAGATGTCAAGTATTTTCTCGTGACATTGCCAAGACATTTGAGTTGCGGCCAAAGCAGCAATAAATGTGGGCTACTGGGGCGGGCTGGGATAAGCTACACGGACCAGCAAGCTATATTTAGTGCTCATTTGCTATATGGATTGATTCTAGAAGAGCTGGAGCTATTGTGGGTAATATTTCACGGAAGCGCCAGGAAAACAGGGCTGGCTGGACATACACACTTACGTGCATCGCCATCAGCCCAGAGAGAGCACTGACAGTTCTGTATGTATGTACAAGCACTGTCTGGCAACGTTTGCCTAATAATATTAATAGTCACAGGGCAGGCAAAATATGCAAAGAAGACAGCTATCCCTTGTAAATACTCACTTCTCGCCACCATTCATACACCCTGGTTTACCCTGCTGCCTGTCTGCTTCATCTCTTGTGTTCATCATGTGTTCCATGAATGTTATATAATCATATTTAGGTAGTTCTCTATCTTCTAGAAGATCGGGACCTTCATGTTTCGGCATGCTTTGGAGTAGATTTTCAATAAGGTCCTCAGGAATCAGGGAATGCCGAAGATCAAGCTCGGTGACATATGGCTACTCGAGAATCAGTATGAAGATATGGATTACATACGCAGATTCGGCATACCTTGCCATCAGCAACTTCTCGGAAGCTCTGGAACACTTGTTCGGCGGTGTTCTGATCTTCTGTTACACTAACCATGAAGCGTATGAACTGTTCGAAGCTGACCCCAGCGTTTCGCTCCATTCGTCCAGGGCCACAAGCGTCGACAAAGACCTCGTGCATTTCATTTTCATCGTAAACCAAACCTAAACTAGCCAGTGCAGCTGAGAATTCAATTTCATGTAATGTATTTGATGAGTCGCGATCAAAATGCCTAAAAACGGATTCGAATTCTTCTAACTGTATTGGGGTCAGATTCGTCATATTCCGCGCAACCATCTGGTTTTCTAAAAATGCAAGTTTTTTGGCAACACTTGATTTTACGAGGCCAAGCTCATATGAGAGTTCTTCAAACGTGTATGTCGTGAAGTCATTCTCTTCTATATTTGCTTCAGCACACTTATCATCAAGATCAGCAATGGTCTCAAGAAACGCATCTAATGGTGGTATATTGTCATTAAGCCGCTGCACATGTGTTAACTGATCTTCCACATCACCTTCAAGACCAGAGATTGCCAGTGATAATGTGTTAAGAGTTAGGGCAAAGTCATTAGCTTTGTCTGCAAAAGACCTTCGGAGAGCATTTTTTATATCGCGGATAGTCTCATTAATCAATTGACTCCGTTCACGTTCATCCTGTGTCAAACTAGCCCAGTCTTGGTCCAATACTTCAAGCCTTAATTCTGGAGGGGGGTCATACGGCTTTAGTCGATAGGTGCTGAGTTTGGTTTTGATATTTCCTAGAAGAGCAGCTAGATCGGATTTTTCTGCTACCCATTTCCTCTTCTGATTCTTTTTATAGGCTGCAAATTCATTTGCTTGTTCCTTCGCGTCAGCATACGTTCCTGCAAATGAGGCCTCACGCCACTGAAGGCGCTGATTCGCAATATTCTGAAGAAGCTCCCTCATTCGGCGTTCGAAAGAGTTCTGCATTTCCCACGCGCCTTGCATATTGACGATAAATTTCTCAACCCGTCTTCCCGCATTCTCAACCCTTTCTAGCTGCGAAAAGGCATGGAACCAGTACGCAATGTAGGTCATCAATGACCGTTCATCGGGTTTCGCAACATCACAAACATCTTCCACATCAAGTAAATCCGGGATTCCGATTTCTTTTGATGCAATCTCAAATGCTAATGTCATGTTGGCCTTATGATCATTTTTATCCAGGGAATCAAAGTCGATAAGGTCAGGGCGATGAATGTCCAATAACGCGCAGAACGCCAACCCATCGTTCCAGCTGGCAGTGAAATCTCTTACTTCAACGCCTGGATAGCATGCAGTTTTTCGTTGACACCAAAGCAATAGACCTTCCTTGGCAGTCATGCCCTCCTCGTTAATATCGCTAATGGTAAATCGTAGAATTAGAGTCCATATTAGCCCGAGAATAATCTTTCTATTCCCATCCACAATGTCCCCAGCGCCAATATTGGTCATCTGAATCCCCCTCCCTTTGATATAGTCTAGACATTTGTTCAAATTCTCAAACTTCTGAACGCGGAGTTTAGGTTTGGACGCATATCGGCCCAAGGATTCGTTCCCGAGAATCTCAAGGATGTGGATAAGGATAACCTAAAGCATGCAAGTATCTCAGTCAGTTATAGTGCTTAGGATAGCAGCCAGCAGTAAACAGAGATTCCGAGAACTCCAGATTCGAATGGGATACCGTTTAGACATACTCCGTCGGAGAGATCGGCGACGAGGTCGTCTATGGCAATATCGCGGATTTTGAGTTTACTATTAACCCTACGAATGGCAGCGTCAGCACACAGTCGTCCAGAATGAAGCCGTAGACACTTCTGCTCACCATTTCGTGAATGTCTTCTCTTGTACGTTAACCCATTGCTTCCCCGTCAACATGGCGGCGCCTGGCCAGCGCAACTGGCAACGAAAACTCTAGCCAAGCCAAACGTAAGTGTGATGCGGACACGGGGAATCAGGATTCAGGAGGGTCAAGCGTATCCACGTAGACCTGCGGTCACGGCGGCGGGCGGACAGAAAGCGAAAAAGCAGCGTTGAGAAGGGCAGACGGTGGTGAATACCTCAATCCAAACGGTCATTGTTTCCCGCACATGATCGAGATTGATGTCAACACGCCGCTCTAGCGCGTGGTTACGGAAGCAACCAGAAAAACAGAGTTCCTGCAGACTCAGGGGCCTCCCAGCCAGACAATCCAGACCACCGAACTCTCTTCACGGGCTATTTCTAGATTGGGCGGTTGGTGTTCTCGCAGGATGTTTGCCTGGATCTTGCGCTCTCATCCTGGTGTGGGGATGACTCCGTTTACATAGTTGCGTCTCTATCCGTTGGAAAAGGCACATAACCTTCTCACTCAGTAACTAACAGGTAACTAGGTAGTCAGGACACCATTCGCCCAACTCACTTAGCTGCCTTATCATACGTGGTCGTCAGCCATTGATGCTTGAGCACTGTGCGCTGCTCACCGCACTGCAGCTGGTTTGGACGAGTAGTTAACCCTGGAGCGTGCAGGGTCTGCCCGCCTTTCGGATCCTCGGATATGCTCTGCCCTTGATGGTACGGATAAATTCTTTTTTAATCACCCAACACCATCTGAAGCACATCATGCATACCCCTGGAGGGTTGACTCGCGCAGGAGGTTGTGCGCATGAACCTGTTGTCACTTGAAACCCGAAACAAATCCGCCACGCTCATGCCTGCAATATTAAGCTTAACCCTCCGATCGATTCTTATGTGATCGCTGATCTCTACGCTCCCCTCGAAGAAACACAGGACTTCCTGCCTGTCAAACCATACTGTGCGAGAAAGGTCACTGAAAAAGATCGACAAATTCCACCCAGCTTTAATAGGCTGTAATTCGTGTTGTTGAATGGGAGCAATTTCAAATGGACCATAGGTGGAATATATGTCTCTGGCGAAGGCGAAGCGTGTAACATCCTTATGCATGGTGCGGGATTGTTCCTTCAAACGTCAAGCGGGGTTACATTGATGATTGCGTCCCATTTCCGACGTTAGGATTGGAATTAAAGGCACCTTTAAGAGCTGCGATCGACACTGCTTACGTTTGAGAGATGATGGGCATTTTCTGGAGACCCATCATTATTGTGACAGTATTGCCGAGGGCTCAGGCACAGCCATTACAGAGTGAAGGGTAAGAGAAGCTTCCTGGGCGTATCGCAACCATGCACGATGATATATTTAGTACCCAGCCACATTCTTCTCTTCAAAAGACACGTCCATATACGAATGATAGTTGTCGACCACATTCGTCTCCACCCGGAAGCCTGGGTCGTAAAAGGCTTCGAGAAGCACTTCGAAAAACGCCAGGCACCCAGCCTGGCCTCGGGTCCAGAAAACCTGTGTGCAGTGTGAAAGAAGGTTTCTCGGAGCCGGGCTAGGCTGAGTTGACAGGCAGGACCATGTACCCTAACATCCATATTTGTTCAATCTGAGAGGAACCTGCGGGCGCAAAGCTCTGAAATTAAGCGGCTGGAGCCAGGAAGATAGGAAATTGTCGGTTATTGCGAAGCACCAGCAGAGGCAGGAGCCGACACTAAGACACCCTGCGATTCCTGCGCGTACAGTACAGAGGCATTGTGCCGAAAGGCTTAATATATTATTCAGTGGCGCTTGACCCATCGCTTGGACGGGAGGCAACTTGTTCAGTAGTAGTAGTACCCGCGGTGAGACGCCGGGACCAACCACCGTGAAGGCGAACTGTAAAACGAACACTCGGCCGTCGCAGCGGAATCCCTCCAGCTGTGGCGCAGCGGGGAGCAGCCCAAGACGGTTCCTCGGAGGGATTGATTTGTAGGCGGGTGCTTGGATGCAGGCCCGGGAGCTGGTTGGGCGCTGCAGCACGCCGCACTGTCGTCACGTAAGAATACGGCCGGGACGGAGTCACTACGGAGTGCTGTATTATTAATCCCACACCCTCCGAGCCCCACACGGCATGCCGCCAGGACCAATCACAGACTGGGCTGGAGCGCATCTTGGCGGCGCGGCGCAAGGCCATTGGCGGGCAGCAAGGCATCGGCAGCATGACGGCGGCGCCAAGGCCCCCCTTTTCGCCAACAATCCTGAAACAGACGGCGTGCGCTGATTGGGCGGCGGGCCTTGGGCGGCAGACGGGGCCCACAATTCGGCGCTAGCGCGGGGGTCTTTTGGGGTGGGTACCGGCATTACCTTACGGCGCGGCGGGCAAACGCGAATACAGCCAAGCCCCTAGTAAGGCGAGCAGGTCCGCGCATCATTGGCCCGCCGCCGCTTGTCGTACCGGGCTGCCGTATCGCGCCGTGTGCGTCTGTTCTGTGACAATACCCCCCCAGCAACGACGCCAAACCAAATCTCGCTTCCTCCCTTCCTGACCTCCAACATCTCTCTCTCTTCTATCGCCTCGCCGTCCGCTGCGCTCCCCCATAGCCCGACCGCCCACGCTTCTCGACGTCCGGAAAGCCGCAATTGCGCGCTCTCTGCCCTCCTGCCCCTGGGTGCTGCCGTCGCCCCGTAGTCGCTGAATTGCCCGCTGCGAACTGCCTGGCAAATCCCGTCTGCACCTCGGGCTAAAGTGACCACCTTGACCTCCCCTGGTTGCCAGCCAGTCCGTCAGTCTTGAGCGGTCGATTTGGGCCGTGTTGCTAGGCGTGTTGTGAGTGAAATGAAACTTACTTCTTGTGATATTCCGTTGCTTGACTGTTTGCCTCCTGAACAATTATGCTATGCGTTTGTAACACCCGGATGCCTACTTCCGAGGCTGCCTTCAGCTCGCCGGATCTGTCCTGCTCTTCTATATTGCAACACACTAGCGTATACCGTGGTAGCAATTGCTGACTATTTCGCCGCAGGACGTTCCTCACCTCCCTATTCCCACCTCCCTCCAAAATAATCCACGGTCTTAGCTGTTGTTTGAGCCGCCAAGATGGGGTGTGGTATGAGCACTGAAGACAAGGAGGGCAAGGCCCGAAATGAGGAGATTGAGAACCAATTGAAGCGGGATAAGATGATGCAGAGAAATGAAATCAAAATGCTCTTACTCGGTAGGCCCCTGTGTGGTTCTAGAGTTTTCCTGCTAAGTCGCTAACGTGGCCTAGGCGCCGGTGAATCTGGCAAGTCAACTATTCTAAAACAAATGAAACTCATCCATGAGGGATCTTACTCTCGCGACGAAAGAGAATCTTTCAAGGAAATTATTTTCAGCAATACCGTTCAGTCAATGCGCGTGATTCTAGAGGCCATGGAAAGCCTTGAGCTTCCCTTGGATGATCAGCGTGCGGAATACCATGTCCAGACAATCTTCATGCAGCCTGCACAGATTGAAGGCGACTGCCTGCCTGCCGATGTTGGCACTGCAATTGAAGCGCTGTGGAAAGACGCTGGGGTCCAGGAATGTTTCCGAAGATCCCGAGAATACCAGCTGAATGACTCTGCCAGATAGTAAGTTCTCGGCTATCACGATTTTAAGCGGAACTACGAAGCTAATTACTGGGGTAGTTATTTCGATTCTATTGGTCGTATAATGCAGCCAGATTACCTTCCAAGCGACCAGGACGTACTTCGCTCTCGTGTCAAGACTACCGGTATCACGGAAACGACATTCATCATTGGTGACCTTACATACCGCATGTTTGATGTGGGAGGTCAACGGTCTGAAAGAAAGAAATGGATCCATTGCTTCGAGAACGTAACCACGATCCTTTTCCTCGTAGCCATCTCAGAATATGACCAGCTGCTCTTTGAAGACGAGACTGTCAACCGGATGCAAGAAGCACTTACACTCTTCGATTCGATCTGTAACTCTAGGTGGTTTACGAAAACATCAATTATTCTTTTCTTGAATAAGATTGATCGGTTCAAGGAAAAGCTCCCAGTTAGCCCTATGAAAAACTACTTCCCAGACTATGAAGGTATGCATCGCCCTTAGACGCTTAGCTATCTTTACTGACAAAATTCTAGGAGGTCCCGATTATGCCGCTGCTTGTGACTATATTCTTAACCGATTTGTGTCCCTTAATCAAGCCGAACAAAAGCAAATTTACACACATTTCACTTGCGCCACGGACACAACGCAAATCCGATTTGTCATGGCCGCTGTCAATGGTAAGCAGCTTTCGATTTCAGGCCGCCCGTAAACGATGCGCTAACAGTGTTCCAGACATTATCATCCAAGAAAATCTTCGACTCTGCGGCCTGATATAGACGAACCTGTGTCTTTCATTATCATGCAACGCCCGGACCTCTAACCCGGTAACCTTTTGTGCAGCCTGTACTCGATATCCACCATGCATTTGAATATCTCGTTTCGCATTTTCTTTCCCTCGTCTTTCCGACTACCACTTTTTGTATATCTACCACCCGACGTGCCTTTTATGCAAATTTTTACCTTCTCAAAATGATTTTCCTTGGATATCCTATACCGATATCCGCTCCCTTCGAGGAAATGCGCCTGGACCTTTTTTTTTTTTTATCACTAAGATTCGGAGTCTTTCGTTAAGGCAGCTGATTTTTATTGGAAGTACTGGGTTACCATGAAATCTTGGCTCTAATGTTTATTTAATATCCACTGGGACTCATGTCTTTTTTTCTTTTTGCTCTTTCTTCTGGGACGCTGAGGCTTATTTTTATTATTCCCCTTACCCTTGCCTCTACACTTAACGATTTCCTTGCCTTGATTTTCCTCTTGCGCGCTGTCGACCCTGTCTCATTTTACTTTTTCTTTTTTTAGTTTTATTATTGCCCTGCCCATGTAACTTTCGAAATGTCTCGTATGTCGGGTTGGAAAGTGGAGTGGGACGGTTACCAATCAATGTCTGGCGAAGTTATAGAGAACGGAATTTTCAATTTCAACTAGTCACAACAACAGGAGATTGGTTGTAGCGTGTTATTCACCTCTACGGCATCACAATTAGGCGTACTCTAATCAAATCGCACCACGCATATATTAATTACTCATGCTGAACCGTTCGCTCCCCGTATAATGGCCCAAAGATAAACAAAATAATGACTTAAAACCGCAATTTCGGCCCCACAAAAACAATCAGCACGGCAACGATCCACAGACCTACAATCCACAGATACATCAGAACCCGTCCCCACCACCCTTTCCCTTCCGTCATCCTCCTCAGCATTCCCATCCTCTTCCCCGCCGCCTCCAGGCCCGTGGTATTCCGGTCTAACCCCTCAGTGGCACGTGAGAGAATGGATTTTTCCGACTCGAGATGTGTGTGGAAGGTATGAGTAGAGGACTTGAGCTGCGTGGCGAGGGAAAGGAGGGATTCGGTGAGAGAGTCTTGCTCGAGGCGGGAGGTGGTAAGGGCGGCTTCGGCAGCGTGGGTGCTCGAGGAGGGCTGGGTAGCCGAGGATGGAGAAGATGTGGCAGCAGTCTGGTTGTGGATCGGCGTTATCGACGGTCGGTGGGAGGGAGATGTCGATGGGATGGCGGTGGAGCGGGATGTGTGTGCTGCCGATGCAGTGTGGTGTCTGCTGCGGAGGGTGCTAGTTGCTGGCGCCGAGCTGGAGAGGCTGGCCGGCTGCACGTCCGACTTGGAGATTTCGCCTGCAGGAGCCTCGCTGGGCAGCTGGCCCTGCGGCTCTCTCTTCTCGTCCCTCGTGGTCGACGTGCCCTCTCGTGACGGGGCGCGCTCTGGCGTACTCCCTGCCGGCGTCGGCAGGATATCCTCATCCTCTGACGACGATTCATCTTCATCTCTCATCTCCCCTTCCATCGCCAGCTCGTCGATTCTCAGCTGCAAGGCTTTGAGCAACTGGCGCTGCGCCACCAGCTCCGTTTGCAGCGCATATCTTCTCGTTGGGGACGGTATGTTCGGCAGGGAGCGCTCGAGCTGAAGTAGTAGGTCTCGACCATAGTTTACATTCTGCGCAGTATTAGCCTCGTAGTGTACAGACAGCAGCCTTCGTCGGAGAGGGGCTCACAGCAGCAACGCGGGCTCGGTGGTGTTTGGAGCGGCGGAGGAGTTTGAAGTCTGCGGACGGGGAGAGCAGATGCGCCTGGAGACGAGAGAGGACGTGGGCTAGGCGGATGGACTCTGAGTACCCGTCGAACGAGTTTCTTGTCATGTTGGACGCTCGTGCGATGTCGGCAGTGGTGGTGTCTTGCTTCCAGCGAGGCAACAGAGCAGTGGGCGTTGATTTGGCTTCGGCTTGCGGGCGCCAGCAGAGCCTAAATTGGTGAGCTTGCGGGCTATCCCACCCAACGGACTAGTTTTCTACTTTCATAGTTGCTACAAAGCGTCAACGCCCTTAGTCGCGATTCTGACGGGCTTCAGGGTGTTCTATGCTCTGTTTACTACTTCTAGCATCCACTACTATAGCCCGCCGAGCCACCCTGCTCTCTAGCCGTTCCACGAATCTGCCTTCGCCTATCGCCTGGGAACCAGCAGAGTCCATGCAATTTTGTGGACAACGCCGGCCCTTTGTGGTTTTACTTATAAAATAATGAAATCTGGTCCTAGAATGACCCGGGTAGGTAGCCACGATGGCGTCATAGTTGATGATATCTTGTCGTCCACAAACTCAATTTCGCCTGCCTGGCTGGCTGAGCTGAGGCCAAAGCACGGAACCGATGTGTCCAGAAAATTCGGCTGCAGAACCAGTCGAGGGGATTGATCTTCGATATGCCTTATTTTCTAGCTAGCTATGTTCCGTGGCATGTTAAATGATCATTACCATTGAGCAGGGTGATATCTTTGAGCAAAACTCATTAGTGGCGGATTAAGTGGATCGAAAGAAGTAATATATATCTGACGAGGATGCGTGTGATGGGATTCCTTCGCCGGCACTACAACAACGGCTCCAAGGATTAAGGAATGACCTAGCTTCATCAGTCTCAGAAAGCAAGACACGTCATATTTGATTATTGCCTTAGCAGAAGAGGTCCTGTACTCCGTATGGATGGCCCAAGACATTGCTACTCGTCTTTTCATAGTATAAAGACTACTAGGGCGGAAAGCATGACAAGAACAAAATGATTCACAAATCGGAAGACAAAATCCCGCCAATAGTTAGCTTTTCTGTCAGGGGTATTTTCTTGTTATTTAACGAAGCCAAAAGTCACATCGCTCCGCGCGCCTTTGAGGAATCCAAAGGAGTCAGTGTCGTATTCGCCAAAAGGCCCAAGCTCATAGCAAACCCAAGAACGCTCAGAAAAAGAAACGACAGGCAAACGCACGTGTGGTATCTTAGTGTAGCCGGACCCCGAAATATCGAGTGCCGCTGGAGAAAGCCGCCCAAAACAATGATGTATACAGAGATGGGAAACAAATAAAAACAAAAGACCCGCCCCCCTCGTAGCCTTCCCCACCGCATTCTCTTCGCCTGGAATGAGTTCAACTATATTCCAGGATCTTTCGCTTGAAAGTTCTGCCACCGGTTTCAGGGCCAATGCCATGGTAGTATTGGACGGTTTGACATCGCAGCTGCGGATGATGAGCTGTCACTGAGCCATGCATCACCTGCCCGTAGGTTTCAAGACTAGACAGCGCCGCCTCGCCGTCTGGCGGGTGGTATTTTGCCACGGAGTCCACGGTCGTGTCCGAGAGGGGCAAAACACGTAGGCCGTTGCCACCGCGCTGTGTTGGAAATGGAGACGGCGCATTCGCGAGGCCAAAGGGCGGCGCTGGCAGGTTGAACGGAAGTTGACAGGAGTAAGAGTCTGGAATCTGTTGCTCTGGTCCTCGACTGGGGCTCTCAAGTCGTACGGATTGTTTTTCTGGTATCGATAGCGGCCATGTTCTGTCGTAGAGGGGCGGCGAGGGGGCCTGTCTTCGATATCTTCGCACTAGCAGCGTTGTCAATATGACGAAGAGCAAGCCGGAAGCAGACAAGGCCGGCCACGATGGCGTCCTGAGTGTTGTGGAGAGTCTGGATATATCGTATGTCGGGGGCATCTTGGGTCAACGGGAGGAGAGCGAGAAGATATCAACAGCGCCATCGAAATAATCGAGCGCTGCGAGTGGCAGCACAGTTGGGTAATAAATGTCTGCTGAGACAAAGCAAGCTTCCTTCTAGCCATTGTTCGCATTGCTGTGGCGGCGGGCGAGCGGTTCGCGCTGCGGTCGGAAGCAACCGACGAACAGCCAGCCCGGTCAGGTCACGAAGTTTAGTTTGCTCAACGCGCTGCCCAGCGGCCTCCCGGCAGGCCGCCGACTCGCGCCCCGAAGATCCAGAGCCCGGCGGAGGTTCAGCTGGCGTTGATCGCCGCGGCGTGCAGGGATTCCCGGGCTGGCTCGCACGCGCGCGCTGGGCTGGGCTGCGACGCCGCGGCTCTTTTTCAGCTGGCGACGTCTCGCCAGGCGACACGGCGAGAAGTTAAATCGCGGGAGCTGAGGCCGAGACGCTGATCAGCGCGCAGTGCCATGCGGCGAGAGAAGAGTCTGCCTTTGATCTCGCCGCCTCGGCCGCGCCACGCCTTCAGGCATCCGCATTTTCGTCGCGGCCAGTTTGGTCTTGGGGCCTCGCTAATAGTAAGCGACTGCTGCATCCCTGCGCTGCCACCTCTGGAGCCTTCGCTGGCTGTGGCTCAGAAACACACTTCACTAGACCCGCGTCGTTGATGGCGTTGAGAATCCCAGCGTTAGCCTCCACTCGGCGTGATCTGGCCCAGCGCGTGAATGTGATGGGTAGCCGCGGGCGCGCAAGAGCGGGCGATCAGAGAAACCGAAGCAGATCGTCTCCAACGGTTTTCAGCTGGCAAAGTGCTTAAGAGTGGCAGGGAGATCGATGGAGCAAGACGTCCTCGCGGATCCATTCAAGGATAGCCAGGTGGCATGATAGACGGCACGCATACAGACATAACTATATCATTCAGACAAGACAGCAAAACATGCTTTTGGTAACAGCGGTCTTTTGAAAGGATCCAGAGCCGTCTCCAAGGTAACTATGCTAACCACGATATCATCATGCAAAGTGCACAGTTCTAAAAGCCTTCGACACATGCCAAAAAACGATCCCAACACCACTGTAAAGCAAAAGTGCTCGACCCTGCAGAACCTAATCATCTTCGCCCCCCGCAATGCATGACAGTGCCGTCTGCAGTTCACGGACAATCTTCTCCTCCAGCAGACTTCCCGCTCCGCCAGTGGGAGTCGACGGCTTGGTCTGCGACCACGTCATTTCCTTTTCGTTTGTGGGGGCAATACGAGAGCGGAGGATGGATTTCTTCTCCAATAGAATCTCGATGTCCTCTTTCACCTGTGCATGATCCCACTGGATTTCTTGGATGCGTTCGGCGTCAACGCCCGCGCTCGGGCCCGCCTTGCGGAATTTGCGGATAATCATCGATATAAGACCTAACGAGCAGGCCTCTGTTGCTATTCCGAGTGATAGGTGTTTGACTGACTGAGCGGATCCAATGCCACGGTGAGGGCTGGATGGAACAAATGTGTTCCCTACGGCGGTAGGGTGGCCGATGGAGAAAGCATCTGAGGCTCTTCGAAGCTGGCCTTCGAACTGGTTCAGGAACGCAGACACTTCGGCCGCCGCTCGGCCAACGTGATACAGTAGGTTGAGACAGAGAGGCAGGATTCCAGCCTGCCAGATTGTAAATAATCTTGGTGTATGGTCGAAAGGATCACAGCCCTGAGGTTGACGAAGAACATCTGTTAGTCGATAGGTGGACAGCTTTACAAGAATTCCCTCAACTGCCATCTGCTCAGCCATCATTGGGATGCATGATAGTTCAAGGAGGTACAGGATGCTGAGCTCTCCGTACAGCGGGTCGCCGTCGACTGTAAGTTTGTACGACCAAGAAAAGAGGGTGCAGGCATATCGAATCGTATCACAGTTTGCAAGATGAAAAGTAATCTGCTCGTAGATCCGATCTACGTTCTTCACTTTTAGCGTTGTTTGCAAAATAGCAGTCAAAAGTGCAAAGTCCTTTGGCAGAACCTTTTGTGGTTCGTCATGCAGGTACGTTGTTAAAGAACGGAACCCTCCTGCAATGATCACTTTCACGATATCGAGAACGATTGCCAGGTGCCCGGAGACTTCCGGCTTTCCAGTCACCGTATCAGGAATTGGCGGAGTTCTGCCGACAACATGGAATTGCAAGGTCAGGAAGAGAATATTTAGTAGCATTCCGTAATACTCGCTATCGTCGTTTGCGAGTGCAGTTTCGTAAGTCGAGTGTCTGAATTGAATAGTGTCCCAGGCAACCTGGAGGAGGCTAAACGTTTCATTCCCTTTGGATTGGATCTGGACCAATCTCTGTAGCAGGGCTAATGCAAATTCTGCCCGGATTTGATGCAGCTTGCAGAACAAATTCTCATTTGGGACGCTCCGTGAATTCGCCGTAAGGCAGTGCCGAACAACTGACACCATCGACATTTGAACACCGCGGTCAGGCATGAAGTCTCCACAATGTTCGATTGCTAGAAATTTGAAACTGCGGAGGAGGTCCTGTTATCATGTCAGCGTGGGTAGTTTACCTTAATGTGACGAACGGCCACTCACCATTTGAGCCTGTACAAGCGATAAATTCTCATTTGCCCTCTTCACTTCATCAACAAACCCTTGGTTTCGGCTGCCAACCCACGCGAACTCATACCCAAATATTTTCGTTCCTAGCACGATGTCGTAAAAGAAATCAGCTCCAAATGAAGGACGGTCGAGCGACGTCTTCTTGATAGCAAATAAGCTGCAGCCGGGATATTTCATTTCGAAATTTCGTTTAAGATTTGCGTGAAGCGACGCGTTATAGCCGTCCACTTCCACGGCATTCTCGGAGTACCAAGAAATAAGAGGTATCAGGGTCTTGAAGAAGGTACGGTCCCTAAGCTCTTTGGCTCCATGCAAATATATTGCAGAAATGTCCGCAACCAGAGAAGCTATTTTCGTATTGAGGCATTGTTCATAAGGCGCAAGTCTCTTCATAGTCATGCCCGCAACAAAATTTACCAATTTTGGAAACAAGTCTGGATGTGCTCGTAGCTGGGGTGTAGTCCAGGGCCAATTTTCCTGGGCCTTTGAAATGAAGTCCAAAATAGAAGCTGCAAGATGCGAGGGTATTTCGCCAATGGAGGATACTAAATCGAGGGCAGCTTGTAAGAATGCCTTCGATTTCATCGAGGACTTTTCCTTTTTCAAAGCGTCCCGTGGCGAAGAGCCCGTTAATAAGAAAACAGCAAGCCATTGTTGCCGTTTGCTGATGATAGTTGTGAGAAATCTCCAGATGCTGGTAGTAAGAGTAATGTTATCGAAAGGACGATCGAATTTTGAGAGAATGTCTAGGAATCGACAAGAAGACTGCGCGCCAAGGTGTCCAAGCAAGGATGGCGGTTCATGTTCACTATCCGTCGACGCATGAGCCACTAATAATTCCAACAAATTTGCAACCGGCAGTTGATAGGTTGGATGAAGAACATATAGTCGAATTAACACAGGTGAAGCATTGAATAGCTGTGTCTCCAAGACCGTCATCTGGGAATTTGGAACCCACCCAGCTTGAATTAACGTCATCGATAATCTCAGCACCGATGTGACCAAGCGAGGTTGAAGCCATCGTAAATATAGGTTTTCAGAGGGCGCGGTTTGATAACCACTGAGGATCAGTCGTAATACTGGATTGAAAAAAATCCCTTCCGTAGAAGATGGACGAAGCATGCTTAATAAATACTTCGCTGAAGGTGCAAAAACGCTCGTGAGCTTCGTATCAAGATTTTCGGCATCGTCTACCCCATACGTGTAATATAGTATGTCCTGGAAAGTATCAGTAAGTAAGATGTTCAGTTGTAGTGATTGGCGAATATCGTTATATCGCCAACTGGCATTGCTGTTGTATACATCAATCATAATTCGAACAAATGATTGAAGGAGACCACTCATTACATATGATGGGGCACCAGCAGTGTACTCAGCAACATGGGAGGCCTTTGATGTAACATTGCCTGCTGTTTTTCGCACGGCTACATGTTTCAAAGCATCGTCCACAACGAGCTTGAAGGTTTGGATCGCCTCCAGAAGAAACGAAAAGTTACCTGAATTCACTTCAATAGCGGAAATAATAGCTGGCAGAGCTCCCTCATTACTGCCACTAGCTATAAAACTGCTTCGTGTAAGAAATGGCCAGACCCGCCCAGGGATGACAGGCACAAGGGCATTGAGAAACGAGAGGCAGGACATTGACGTCTGTAGCCCATGATTCGTAGTCTTGTTGGTTGCATTTTGTAAATTTCGTTCGAATATATCAAAAATGACGGATATAATATCACCTTGGACACTGAGACCATCGCTGGTCATCTCTAAGATCTTTTTGGCGCAAGATTCGATACCTTTGCTCTTTGCTAATGATTGAGCAGAAGTCACAAGGTCACCCAGCAAGCTAATTATCTCTGCCACCGTACCATCATCTAGTTCAAACCCCGCTTCACGGTTATAAGCTGCTTGTTCTAACCACATGCCGAGAAATGCGAGACAGTTGTATTGATGGTGCCACATAATTATCGCTGGTTTCGTTTCATTCACTACTTGCCCAAGAGTACTCGCAGGTAGCATAGATGACTCTTTGATAACAATTAATTCGGTCCCCGGTTGATCGATTGCAGTCTTCCTTGAAGAAACTTCTCTCATTTCCAAAGGCTGGATGAGAGACACAAAGTTTGCATTTTCGTCTTCACGGGTAGATTGATAGCCCTGGAATCCCGGGGAAATCATTTGGGTATAAGTTTCCATGGTCTCTAGTTCTGGAAATACTATTGGATAACCATCATCAGTGCTTAAATCGCAATCCAATAATGACCTGCAGAGCTTAAGAAAGTTTATCGCTTCGTACGGGAATCGGGATTTTGCTATTTTAAAGATTTTGCTCATCAGCGTCTCATCGCGAAGAAAGACATCTTTGACTTTATTGCGATTGATAATTGGAAAGATGGCTCCCCGATTCCACTCTTCGTTTGGTACGGCAAGGATTTGCAAAAGTGTCGACAGCAACTCTGGGATATAATCTAAAAATTCAAGACTAGCCCGAACTAGATCCAGTATCTCGATGCGAGCCCACTGAGCAACGAGGCTACCGTGGCCCAAGCCAGAAATGCAATCGAGATGCTGCATAATGCTAGACATGACATCAAAAACACGACATCTGTCAACAGCAATCGAGATGATAAATTTTACGAAATCGTCATCGAACGCAGGGTTTCTTGCTTTCTCATACGCATCTTCGTAAATGGATGGATCAGCATTACCAGAACCAAATGCAGAAGGCGTTGATCCATTGTATGCGTCCACTGCATTTTGGGCTTGCCGGAGCTCGCGATCTTCTCGGGTTGCCAAAGCAATCTCACGGACTGAAAACATGATAATGCCCCACGCAAACATAGCTGGACTTGCATTCAATTTTTCGGAATCAGCTGCTTTGAGGAATATTTCGTTGAGTTCGCCGATATCCTGACGAGATAAAAAAGAGGGCGGTATGTTGCCCCACACATCGGAAACGTTGGAAGGTTGTTTAGAAGCGGTTTCAAACAGAGTCGTGGCTGTTCGTAATTTTAGAAATGAGAGTGTGATGATGGATGTGAGAGCTTGTAATGAGTTGAATAGCACTAACTCTTGCTCGGTGGACTGTCGTCTGAATGTCAGAAAAAGAGGAAAAGAGGTAGATCTAATTTTGGAAGCTCTTACCGGTCGATGTTGATCGAAGAAGTCATATTTAATAGTAACGCGCAACCACAGAAGTAGTAATTCGGACGTTGGAATCTTGTTGGATGTCTGGATTCTAAGAAATAAAATCTGCATAATGTGCACGACTTCTTCTGTAATACTTAGCTGTCTTGTGTATTCAGCTTCTTGAGAAAGCCAGTCGGTGCCAGCATCTATATTACTTAAGCGTAGTTGAATAGCATCTATACATGCTCGAATAGAGGTGCCATGGGTGCCTGAGTCATCTTCGCGCTGCTTAGGAAAAGCTAGAGTAGCAAGTTGATCTCTTTTCGAGTGTTTCCGGGCCTGCGATTCTTTAGGTCCTGGCCAGGACCCTGTATATGAGCTGGGTAAGTCCTCTCGTAAAGACACACATAGGAGATATAGAGCCAATTTGATGATCCACTGCTTTTCTGACAAATATAACTGAAAGAGTTCCAGTTGCCTTTCATCTTGCGAAAGCGGAGAGAAGGATGAAGCATCACGCGCCGTTCCTTTCAGAAGCTCAACAGCTTCAATACCAGAAGTCGGCTGCGACAATTGTTTATTCCCAATCGCATCCCGAAGACTTGCAATCTCTTCGTTCGAAAACTGATTCAACAAATCGTTTTCCGCGCGACCTTGCCAATTAAGGACAGTGATCCTCAATGCTGATACTTCATCTATTGAAGCTGTTTTGCTTAACCATAACGCGTCTTTTTTGATCTCGTCAAAGTTACATGGAGACTGAGAGCCCGAAACAGCGTTAATAGCCGCTGTTTTGGACTCAAAAGCAGACTTAGTTTGTTCGGAGGGTCGAAGGAACGAGTCGAAGGGAGCGGATAGTATGCGAATGCTTTCCGGGCATGATAGGAAAGAAAATAGACTGTCGCATTCCTGTAGTTCAGCATCTGAGCTCGTTAGGCGTAAATAAGCCGATCGCCATGATCTTTATCTGTTGTTAGCATTTACTTCAAAAAGGTTCTAGGTTCTGGTCCTACATGAGCTGGGTGTCAGTAGACAAACAACTGTCTAACGACGGGAAATAAACCTCCGGAGGCGGAGCCATGGGAGCATGGGCTATATCATTGTTCGACTGAGAAATAATATTAGACTGAACCCCCAGGCCTGGCCGTTTCTCGTGGTTGTTGGATTTCGCGTCGAACAAGCTTGTCAAAGCTTTAGAGGTCAGTTGCCTATCTAGGTTTAGTGTCTTTTTTTGCTTGTGACTCTTAAAAGACCGTTCGCACGTCGCTGAGCAGTGCCCCGCAAGCATTGAGCCACCAGCTGTGGGAGAGCCGCAAAATAGGTTACAAAGGAACAAAGGCGAAGTCTGTGAGGGGCTCTAGCTTTTTGTCCTTCGAGATGACTGTCTCCGAGCTCATTGACCACTCTCCAAATCAACCTACTAAGGCGAAACGACTCGAGAATGCGTCCAATGTCATCCTGGTCGATAATTACGACTCATTCACCTGGAATATCTACCAGTACCTTGTGCTAGAGGGGGCAACCGTATCTGTTATCCGTAACGATGCTATTTCTTTGGAAGAACTTATCGCAAAGAACCCTACCCAACTGGTTATCAGTCCTGGGCCTGGCCACCCAGATACAGATGCTGGAATAAGCAAAGAAGCTATTCAGCACTTTGCCGGAAAGGTACCTGTTTTTGGAGTATGCATGGGAGAACAGTGCATAATCTCGTCATTCGGAGGGAAGGTTGAGGTAACGGGAGAGATCTTACATGGCAAAACATCGCAGCTCAAGCACGACTCAAAGGGTGTATACGCCACCCTTCCTCCCAATCTGGTAGTGACAAGATACCATTCTCTGGCGGGAACCCACCAGACAATTCCCGACTGCTTGGAGGTTACCTCGTGGACAGAACTGGAAAATGGTGGTCGCGGCATTATTATGGGAGTCAGACACAAGCAATGGACTGTTGAGGGTGTCCAGTTTCACCCTGAGAGTATTTTAACGGAGCATGGACGTACAATGTTTCGAAACTTTTTAAATTTGAGGGGCGGCACCTGGGAGGCAAACACAGATGGAGCTAGAGTTGCCCTACCTTCATCTTCTAAGAAAGGGTCAATATTGGAGAAAATCTATGACCATCGTCGAGCTGCTGTAGAATTACAGAAAAAAGTACCTTCCCAGCGGCCTGAGGATTTGCAGGCAGCATATAACCTTGGAATTGCACCACCAATAGTTTCTCTGCCCGATCGGCTGAGGAGCTCTCCACTTTCTCTTGCCTTGATGGCAGAGATCAAAAGAGCGTCGCCTTCTAAAGGAATAATCTCTTCTTCCACTTGTGCCCCAGCGCAAGCTAGAAAGTATGCCATGGCCGGCGCTAGCGTGATATCTGTTCTTACTGAGCCAGAATGGTTTAAAGGAAGCCTTGAAGACCTCCGCGCAGTGAGGCAGAGTCTCGAAGGCTTACCCAGCCGGCCAGCTGTTCTGAGAAAAGAGTTTATATTTGATGAATATCAGATTCTCGAAGGGCGCTTAGCGGGTGCTGATACTGTGTTATTAATAGTGAAAATGCTCTCCGTTGAGCTTTTGACTCGTCTCTACAACTATTCACGTACGTTGGGTATGGAACCCCTCGTTGAAGTCAATACTGCAGCGGAGATGGCTGTGGCTGTGAAGCTGGGAGCTCAAGTAATTGGGGTCAATAATCGCGATCTTACCAGCTTTGAAGTTGACCTAGGGACAACAAGTCGGTTAATGGACTTAGTACCAGAACAGACCATTGTTTGCGCTTTGAGTGGTATATCCGGCCCAAAGGATGTGGAAGCATATCGCGCCGATGGTGTCATAGCAATCCTTGTTGGAGAAGCTCTTATGCGAGCAAGTAATACTCATGCTTTTGTGCAGAATCTTCTTGGATCTGAGCACCAGCTTCCTGCGAATTCAGCAACACCGCCCCTCGTTAAAATTTGTGGGACTCGTTCTGCAGATGCAGCCCGCGCCGCTATTGAAGCCGGTGCGGACTTTATAGGAATTATTCTTGTCAACGGTCGTACACGGACAGTCTCTGATAAGGTAGCTCTAGAAATATCCAATGTTGTCAAGACAACACCACGGCGTTCAACACCCTCCGCTTTGACAACGCAAGGGTTACCGGCTGGCTTGGATCATTTTGACTATAATTGCAATTTACTACGGCATCCAGCTCGTGCACTTTTGGTCGGTGTATTTGCAAACCAGCCTCTTCAATACATCATTTCCCAACAGCGAAATTTAGACCTTGATGTTATTCAACTTCACGGCTCTGAGCCTCTGGAATGGACGAGGCTATTACCAGTGCCAGTAATCCGAAAATTTTTGCCTGAAGACACCGATGTCATAAAGCGAGGCTATCATGCGCTTCCTCTATTGGATTCTGGCGCAGGCGGAACTGGAGAAAAGTTATCATTAACTGCTGTGAAGAATGCCCTAGAAAGGGACGATGGGCTTCGAGTAATACTGGCGGGTGGTCTGACCCCTGATAATGTTGCTGACTCAATCAAGGCCCTTGGGCAGCAAAGTCATAAAATAGCAGCCGTTGATGTTAGCAGTGGTGTTGAAGTCGACGGGGTTCAGGATTTGGAGAAAATAAAAGCCTTTGTCGCTGCTGCGAAAAGTTTATGAGATCCATGGAATTCCTTCTTGACTTATGATTTCGGGATGTAATTAAGGTGACAGGACTTTGAAAACTGGGTCACTTCATTTCGGTATGGTAATTCGACGCTTGTTATCTTTGAGATTAAACGCAGATTTGCGTTACACCTTCAAGAAAGTATCACTTTATGTGAATAAGATATTTTATACCTACTTCCTTTCTGAGCTTTCTTTCGGTCATACAATCACAATTGATACAATTTTAAGGTATGGCTGGTATCTCAACATTCCATTTTTCTATTCTACCTTATCTACTCTGTTCCTGATGTCACTTTTGTGGAATACCATAATTGGATTGAATTTAACAACACAACTCACTTACTTGATCTTAGTTGACTTCGCTTCGTACTTCCCACTTTAGGGGAACAATAAGAAGCCGATTGCCATTTCACTTCTTTTGCTACCTTTGTTCTCTTTTCTAACTTGCACTATCTTACGCTCCCACTGCTGTAGTCCTGCTGGTGAAAATGGGCAAAACATTTCGCAGAATCAAGGCATGCATTGCTGGTAACTTCGGCGCACAAGGAGACAAGATTAAGCAATGGGTCGAAGCAAATGGGGGGTCTTTTTACAAGCAAGTCGGCCCTGGTATAACGCATATGATTGCCACAGAGGCAGCATTTCGCAAAGCCGTTCCTGAGGGTGAGAACAATCTCTTATATGTGTATTCTATAGTCAAATAAAACTAATTGAATCATAGTGCGCGCGGCAAAGCGTATTAGAAATATCAGGATTGTGTCCATTGAGTGGCTGGAGGACTCTCTCATGTCCAAAAGCAAACGCCCAAAGCGAGAGGGTGACTACCTGTGGGCGTCGAAGATCAAGACCAGAAAGAAAATGGAGCTGGAGAAAAGAGAAGCGAGCAAAAGTACTGGTAGCGACAAGAAGACATCTGAACCGAGTATGCATTATCTTTTCTGAAGTATTATCATCCCCCATCTCATCAATATTCTAGAAGACTATCACCTATACACTGACCAGCAAGGAAATCGATACTCTGCCTTGCTGATCCGCCCTAGCATGTTGACCAAATTCAAGGAGCGACACGTTATCAAGGTATGCATAAATGTGGTGATTTTGTTTTAGTGAATGCCCAGAAGATCATCTCATAGACATAATATAATCAGGTTTTTGAGTCCGATCTGACCCCCCATACTTATGCTACCTCCGCAAAGTATACCCGTGTAGGCAGAAATGCCATGGATTATTTGGCTTTGCCAGGAAGCACTCTGGATGTTGCTCTACGTGCCTTTGGAAAGTTTTTCAAGGCGAAAGCTGGAATTCAGTGGGATCGGAGAGGTAAAGAAGTGCCTGCTAAGAAAATAGTGGGTGGGTTTGAACTGCCGCCTGAAGAAGGTTGGTTTGAATATACACCAGAAGAGACCTCTACCGCTCTAGCACCTCCGCCGCCTCCAAAATCAGTCCCGCCACCGCAGTATGACGAGGAGGCAGCAACTTTGGCCACAATCGCAATGCTTGAAGAAGCCATTGTAGAAATGGAATCAGGGGGGCGCCCAGAAACAATTATACTGTGAGGCGACTCCACCTCGTAGACATAATCTGGCCATCCTAACATTTAAATGCCTGACTATCACCACCGGTTCTTTGCCGGGGGTAGGACCCTCCGCGAAAAGAAGAAATGAAATAATTCTAGGAAAGCCCGTTTCTCGATCCCACAGTAGTCTTCGATGGATGTAATAGGGGAAGGCAATAGCAAATAGCGTTTTTTAGTTCCCATGTACTCCAAATATTCCCATTTGACGCCATCACGATTTCTTTTCCAAACTATCCTAACGCCTTTGGATTTGCCCATATGATGCTAAAGATAATCCTTCTTTCTGCTCGTTCGAGTATACTGCGTAAGCGCCCACTCTACGTCTCCCCCAGAACCCTTTTCTAGAGTGCCCCCCCGGATTTCGAATAGTCTCATAGTCATACGTGGCCCAACCTCAGCCAACTCGACATCCCGATAACCAGTTTTAACAAAGACATGATGTCGTACCTCAATGCTGTCTTCTAGATTTTTGAAAGTCACCACCCTGTTGCCGACTTTTCCGGCATCCCGTGGAGGGAACATATGCTTAAGAATTTGTACCACCCGCATCCCGAGCTTTGTCTTGAAACCCTCGAATATTAGATGAGGATAGCTCTCTGAGACGGTACCTCGCGCTGCGTTGGGAATATCCGCCCGTAAAACGACATTGTGAAGGGAGAAACTGGCAGTCGGACCATGTGGGAGGTGTGAAATGGTGATTGCAGTAGGTGTACCCCTGTGCTCGTGCAGCAGAATCATGTCCGTCAGTGCAGCGGCGTTTGCGCTTGCGACCAGGTCTGGAAGAACCAGCGTACCCCGATTGAGCCGGATAGAAGTAGGTAGAAGAAGACGAATTTCCTTCGCAAAGGTGCTGAGGCGAGAAGAGGGGGCGCGCGAAGTAGTAACGAGCGGTCGAGGGTCAACCAGGCCAGATGTCGTTGCGTATTCATCGTCTATGTCGACGGCATCGCCGTTCTTAGGATTGGGGCCAGAGGCCTCTGGGCCGGCCTGTAACGACTCATCATACTTGAAATCTTGCCGCAGAGACTTATCATTCGCAATCGACGGATCGAGGGGCTTTCCGGAAGCCAGGGAGGCCTTTAATTTGGCGCGTTTTTCGGCAATGGAGGCATCTCGGAGGAGCAGAGCTCTCCGATAGAGGTAGTCTCTGCGCTCCCGTGCTTGACGCCGCTAGAGGACAGTTAGAAGGGTTCAGGCAAGGCGGAGGTGTAGCCAGGCACTTACAATCATTGTCGTGCAGCAAGTCCGAGCAGGTGGTGGCTCTGCGGCGAATGTCTCTGCTGGGTCTAGGATTTTCTTCCGCAGCTTTAGCGGCCCTCGTCTGCCGTAGAGTTAAGTTCGACGCCATCCTCGCCTCTTCTGTGGTTCCGCCCTCCACGGTCTCGCCTCGAGGGTATTTTCTCTATCTTGCTGCTCGAGTATTGCTCTCCGCGCTGCAACCGAACCACCGATCTCTGTGTTTACAGTAAGTCCAGTCATCTGCCCTGGCCTGCCTTCCCGCCCCTGCTCGTTCGCTGCGGTGAAGCTTGGGGCCTCACTAGCCCCCCGTCAGATTCATAGCTCGCTCTTACATCATCTTCACCCACGCTGTCTTACCTTCATTTGTGCCTTCACTCTTGAATGCTTGCTATTTTTCCCTTGCTTACTTGACTGCTACATTTTCTAGGCTTAGTCACGCTTCAAACGCTGATGGTCTGCTCAGTGCGGCCTACATCTAGTTTCCGAGAGCACACCCATCTACCTACAACACCGATTTGAAGAGCACATGTGTTGAGCTATGGCAGCGGAGGCGTTCACTCAGATGGGCAACCATATGGTTTCCGATTCTGCATCAACTATCAACGCAGCCGATGACATGTCAACTGCCGATGGAGAGGAAAATATTTTAAACGTGGCTGGTGGGCCACGAAGACGACAACACGACGATGAAGATGAGGGTTCGGATACCTATGACGATGACGATGATGATCTAGAGAGCCTGGCAAGTGTTGCCGTCGACGGCGGTGCCAAAGCTCCGGCGGGAAAAGTGGATGATGAAAAGGAATTGCCTCCACATGCATGCTGGTAGGTCACAGTGTGTTTGCCTAGCTTTTGACAGCATTTGGTTAATCGCGCAATTTCTAGCTACTGTGGGATACATAATACGAGCAGCGTGGTAAAATGTCTTGCATGCAATAAGTGGTTTTGTAGTGCGCGTGGGAATACGTCCTCCTCGCACATCGTCAACCATCTTGTCAGAGCCAGACATAAGGAGGTTCAGCTGCACCCAGTATCAATGTTAGGTGAAACGGTGCTGGAATGCTATAACTGTGGGACAAGAAATGTGTTTCTTTTGGGCTTCATTCCGGCAAAGTCCGACACTGTTGTGGTCTTGCTCTGTCGCCAGCCTTGCGCTGCGATGCCCTCTGCTAAAGATATGAATTGGGACACTTCCCTCTGGCAACCACTCATTGAGGATCGTTCGTTTCTCTCTTGGATTGTTGCCGCTCCTTCAGACCAAGAGCAACTACGCGCGCGCCACCTCAGCCCCCAGATGATTGCGAAATTGGAAGAAATGTGGAAAGAGAACGCCAGTGCTACAGTGGAGGATTTGGAGAAGGCCACTGGGGTTGATGATGAGCCTGCTCCCGTTCTCCTTCGCTACGATGATGCTTACCAGTACCAAAACGTTTTCGGACCGCTTGTCAAAATCGAGGCCGATTATGACCGCAAGCTAAAGGAATCCCAGTCCCAAGATGGGTTGGTGGTCAAGTGGGATCTTGGATTAAATAACAAACATCTGGCAAGCTTCGTTCTGCCAAAGCTGGAGTTGGGTGACGTGAAACTGGCTGTTGGGGACGAAATGCGACTGAAATACTCCGGTGAATTACGATCGAAATGGGAGGGAGTCGGATATGTTATCAAAATCCCAAATAACCAGTCGGATGAAGTCACGATTGAACTACGAACGAAGGGCGATCATAAGTCGGTCCCTACAGAGTGCAACCATAATTTCACGGCAGACTATGTTTGGAAAGCCACCTCGTTCGATAGAATGCAGTCCGCCATGAAGACCTTTGCCGTTGACGAAATGAGTGTTTCTGGTTATATCTTCCATCGACTCCTAGGCAATGAAGTTGCAGCTGCCCCTATGAAAACCCAAATGCCCAAGAAATTCACAGCGCCTGGCCTACCAGGCTTGAATCCTAGCCAGGTCAACGCGGTAAAAGCTGTCCTTCAAAAACCCCTAAGTTTGATCCAGGGCCCTCCTGGTACTGGCAAAACTGTGACCTCGGCAACTATAATTTACCATCTTGCGAAGCTTACTGGGGGACAAGTATTGGTCTGTGCCCCTTCGAATGTTGCTGTTGATCAACTCTGCGAGTGCATTCATAGAACTGGCCTGAAGACTGTTCGAGTAACGGCAAAGTCCCGGGAGGATGTGGAATCTCCTGTTCGCCATCTTTCGCTCCATGAACAAGTGCGCAACAATGATAGTAATGTCGAGTTGATGAAGTTGACTCAGTTGAAAAATGAACTGGGGGAATTGTCAAGCCAAGACGAGAAAAAGTTCAAACAACTCACACGTACCGCAGAAAAAGAAATACTTAACAATGCAGACGTTATATGTTGCACATGTGTGGGTGCTGGGGATCCGCGTCTTTCTAAGCTCAAGTTTAGAACCGTCCTGATCGACGAATCCACACAGTCGTCTGAGCCTGAATGCATGATCCCATTAGTGATGGGATGTAAGCAGGTTGTGCTTGTCGGAGACCATTTACAGCTTGGACCTGTTATTATGAACAAGAAAGCTGCTAAAGCAGGGCTGAACCAGTCGCTCTTCGAACGTCTCGTCATTCTGGGATGCGCCCCGATCCGCTTGAATGTCCAGTACCGAATGCATCCTTGCTTATCGGCTTTCCCCTCGAACATGTTTTATGAGGGCTCTTTGCAAAATGGGGTGACGAGCGATGATCGTCTTTTGAAGGATATCGATTTCCCCTGGCCTGTTGCAGATAAGCCAATGATGTTTTGGTCAAACCTTGGCAACGAGGAGATTTCAGCTTCTGGAACATCTTACCTGAACCGGACGGAAGCTGCAAATGTGGAAAAGATCGTCACTCGCTTTTTCAAGGCGGGGGTGAAACCGTCAGGCATTGGTATCATTACGCCGTATGAGGGACAACGTAGCTATGTTGTTAGCTCCATGCAACTCAATGGGACTTACAAGAAGGAAGCCTACAAGGAGATCGAAGTTGCGTCCGTGGATGCATTTCAAGGCCGTGAAAAGGATTTCATCGTTCTCTCCTGCGTCAGATCGAATGACCATCAAGGTATCGGTTTCTTGAGTGACCCTCGCCGTCTTAATGTTGCTCTCACCCGTGCAAAATATGGTCTTGTCATCCTGGGTAACCCCAAAGTCCTCTCTAAGCACCACCTTTGGAACTATCTTCTGCGCCATTTCAAGGAAGAAAACTGCCTCGTGGAGGGCCCTTTGTCCAACTTGCAAACTTCCCTTGTTCAGTTCGGCCGTCCGAAACAAGCTTACCGTGGCCCCCAACGCTTTCAAATGGCATACCATCATGCATCAAACATGACTGCGGGTCTGATGAATGGCCGCAATGGAAATCACAGCGATTACCCAGATTCCGGATCTGTTGCTAGCTACATTCCGGACGACGTCTCCTCTGTCCACTCCTCTACGTTAGGTGGGGTGGCAATTCCTCCTGGGTACCCGCAAATGTTCCAGAACTTCAGCGAAATGTGGCCGACGCTTCCAAATAACCGGCGTGCAAATGGCTCCCGCGCACGTGGTACACCCAGCGTTGCCGGAGAGTCAGTAGCCGCCACTGAATCTGACGTGACAAGTAGTATCGTTGGTGGGCGAAGTGGTGGCCAGGGAGGCGTCAGTCTAACCGGACTGAGCATCCATGATGTTACCAAGCAGCCTAGTTTAAGCCAATCTGACCGGCTAAAGCACTACGTTGAGTCTAGTGGCCGCGCTGAGCCATACCGAGGACACGACAACACTAGTGTTTTTGGAGGAAGCTCAACAAGTGTTCGCGTCCCGCGAGGCAATACTGGCGCTGGTGGTGATGACGATGATGCGCGCAGCATCTCCACCGCCTTTGCAAGTCAAATAGGAGGGACATACGATTGATTGCAACGCCTTCAAGACCGCTAGTCCTCTGCATGACGCTATATTACCAGAACAAAATTAAATAGAAACGTCTTGACGACGCTGAGATGGCAACCTTTCCGTGCAAACGACGTTTTGGCGAATACATTCTCCAGGCATCGGCCATGCCAGTGCGCCGCGACCCCACGGTTTTGTTTGCTGCAGTCTAGACTCCATGAACCACTCACGAGATACGTTCTGTAGTCGAGACAGGCCTTTCTTGTTTGCATCGAGAACCCCACCGTTATCGCGTCCTTTGGCAAAAACCCCATTAGTTATGGGGCGCTATCCTTACCACCATTGGCCGCGCCTGTCCAAGAGATTTCGACGTTGACGCCACGGCTGCTAGCCGGAAGCAGAGGAGGACTGAGGGAAAAAACACCTTGTGTGGCCAGGGCTGCCGTGCTGACAGATCGCAACACTATCTTGCCCACAGCCCTGCATCTAGATTGAGACAACCGCCCGTTGACACCCCCTTTGTGTGATTAGATTGAGTAGTCCGTGCCAAATGCATTATGTGCTGAGTCCGTAGTTCGCTTCGCCGTCTCACCGGCGTCTCACGTTCTCGTTTGGGCTGCCGAGCTGCGGCCGTGCGACCAGATCGGTCTCGGATGTGCCAAGCCGTCCCAAAGCGTGAAGTTCAAACAAGCTTCTTGCCCGATCCAGCATGGCGGGCTCGCCCCCTTCGGGCCTAGCGCGGGCCACATCCGCGGGGGCGTCTTGGCGCGTCGCACCTGCGCGTCGCAGCGCCAGCCAATCGCCGCGTGCGACAGCTGTCGCTGCCTTCAAACCGCCCGCCATCGCCCACGCTGCTTGCGAGTCCTTCCTGGCCAGGGGGCGCCAGTCAAGCATTGCCCAAGCATGAACAGCGCCAAAAAGTTTCCTGTCTTTCGCCCGTGCCGGCGTTCCTTCGCTGCTGGTGCCGATTAAATTGGCTGTTATAGACGCCCGCATTTCCACTTCCTGCCCGTCTTCGAGAAATTACCACTTTATGCTGGCTGGCACTGGCGGTGGTGTTCGGCTCTTCTCGTACTGTGCCTTCGTTCCCCCAGGAGGCTGTCCCTCGCCCTCCGACCGGTGCCGGTTTCAGGTCTGCTGACTCTGTACTGCTGTTCTCTTCGAGAACACGGGTTTTTTGTCCTCCCCCCTCCCAACCTTTTGCTTCCGGGAACGTATCCGACTCTCCGAGTACAATGACAACTCTTCCTCCGAGATAATCATATTTATTACTTTTCCATCTTCGTTTTGTCCTGATGGACAAACCTCTTCCTCTCCTTCCATCAGACGCACCTCCGGGGGCCATCTCCCACCCGATGGCTGAAAATGCCTCGGCCTCTTCGGGCGTACCAGAAGCCTTGCCTACTGAACATGACTTAGACCAGGCGTTCAAAATACCGATTCTGGATTCATATGGAAAAGAGCAGCTGTTTGGCGATTTATTTGACAATTTACGAGCACAAGAAAAAAGCCGTGTTATGGTTATCTTTGTTCGACATTTCTTCTGCGGTGTAAGTCTTTCTAGCTCCCACAAATCTCCAAGAGCGTGACTGGGCATATCAGCTAAATATTACGTGCAGAGTTGTCAAGATTACATCCAAACTCTTTCATCTTCTATTCCTCCGCCGTCGTCTCTTCCGTCGAATACTAGCCTAGTTATCATCGGCTGCGGCGCCACCAGCCTGATCCCCATGTACGCAAAGGAGACCTCTTGTCCTTTCCAGATATACACGGACCCATCCAGTCGGCTATATTCTATCTTCGGCATGACGCGGACTTGGAGTCTCGGCCCTGTGCCGGAGTATCTAAGGCACTCGACGTTCGCCTTGGTTGTCAAAGGCATATCCCAGGGCTTGAGGAGAACCTTCAATGGCGACGCATTGAAATCGGGAGATATGGCCCAGGTTGGCGGGGAGTTCTTTTTCGAAATTAAACCAAAAAGTCAAGAGAACGGCCGCGATATCATTGTCACTTGGGGTCATCGAATGAAGACAACCCGAGATCACACTGAAGTCCCGGAACTTAAACGTATCATGGGTCTTGATTAATGGCCAGCCTGCAGATTCGAAACTCCTGGGGAGTTTTAGTTTATGACAATGCACATACGGCTTCCTCACTTTTCCCCGTGGACCGGAAACTAATGAAATGGAATGGTGCATGGAACATTATCAGAAAGTCGAAAATACTGCTGGCAGCCGAAATACAGTAGGGATTGGCATATGGAAGTTGGATTTCTAAGAGGCAGCAACCGGCTTTCTATTTTTACGGTTACTCATATTATCTTAATATTCTTTTGCCTTTGTTTAGAGAAATCATGGAAGGTCTATTCTCTTTTCAAGCTATTTCTGTTTTCCAGACTAACTATAACATTCTTCACCATACAACTGAGTTGTAGATAGCTGGGAGGCACCACCTTCAGAAAATCAAAGTAATACCCATAAGACTGATGCTTGGCTTGAGAAAACCGCTAAATGCATGCATAACTGCACTAAACCGGCTCCCCTAAGAAAGGGATGGCGATGACCTTTCTTGTTCCCTATCCAGCGCCTCCCACTAAACCAGCTTACAGAGTGTCTGCGTGCCAGGCTCCCAGCACCCACCAGTCACAGCACGCAAGCATTTGTGTACTCCATAGGCCATGGGAGTCCAGGACACACGGTTTCATGGCGCTCATTGAACTGCCCTATTTTGCACCGAACCCTCCGCACCCGCTCCCAACAAAGGACCAGGTCGATACTGCCCCCGTCCTCATTGCCCACAATGGGTACAGGGTTGTCCATATCAAGCCTCACTTTGTGGTGAAATATGGGAGCAGTGGGCAGCTCAATCTTATTGAAGGCGAGAACATGCTATTTGTCCGGCAAATGACCGCAGTCCGAATGCCCCAGGTGTATGCACTCTATACCGATCCCGTTAAATCTGTTAACTACATCGTGATGGAATACATCGAGGGTGACGTGTTAGCCAGCCAGTGGCCCAATTTAACGCCCACAGACAAGACCAACATAACCAATACCCTGAAGAAGTATTTTGATCAGCTTCGATCCCTCCCCTCTCCCGGATATTTTGGTGGCATTGGCAGACGGCCTCTCCCAGAAGGGATGATTTGGTCCGAGAAGCCAAATCCACAAATAAACGGTCCACTCGACACTGAGCACGCCTTAAATACCGCCCTCGCATTGAAATACGTTATAGAATCCGACATTCAAACGGTCTATAAAGCCGCATTCTACCGACGAACTCTCGCACAAGTCTTCCAAGGTCATGATCCAATCTTCACCCATGGAGACTTCCAGCGAAAAAATATAATCATCAGGCGATCGAGTGCCGGGTCAAGCGATTTCGAGGTGACTCTTATAGACTGGCAGACCTCAGGGTGGTATCCTAGCTACTGGGAGTACTCCATGGCTATGTCTGCTACTCGGTGGAATGATGATTGGGACCAGTGGGTTTCCTTGGTGCTGAAGAGCTATGACGCGGAATTCCCATGGTTAAAGATGTTGTATTTGGAAATTTCGTCGTAAACTTATGATTGAAATTCTATCATTGCCGATGATTATCGGTGAAAGCGGGATTGTTGTTTAATCCAGATATCATACCCTGGAATAAAGACTGTCATAGCACCTAGTACAAAAGATGCATATGTGGCAATGTGTTGACTGTGGCCTCTTTCACTGGGTTGAATCATTTCTTAGCTCGATGATATGATCAATATTGCCCAAAGGTCCTTAAAGGAATAGCAACCTGTGAAATAAGGCAATCTGTGTGCAGCAGGTATTAATCCATATTATCTATCTAATACAAGCCATTAGAATAGTAATGGTAGTAGCCTGGTACATGAAGAGATCCACCATAATGCATGTATGTATGTACTCCGCAAACGTTTGTTCCTCCTATGCAAGTATCAAGTCGTGTATGTATGCGACCGAGGTATATGATCATGGGCCCTTTGGAAATGCAGCAGTAACATAAAAAACTGGGTAAAATATTTGAGAGAAAGAAAGAAAGAAAAAGAGGGGAAAGTTGGAGTGGACATGAAAGTAAGGTATCAAATAGAGGCCGGCTCTGATGGGAACCCCTAAAAATGCCATGTAGCAAAGTAGCCACTGACAGAACAACAGCAGGCAGAGAGCCCTTTTGTTGCTCACACCAGCAGAGAGAGCCGAACACACAAGAACGCCGTTCGCTTTTGAACAAAAAACAGATGAATGAATGTCGTCACGTGTCGTTAAGCGCGGGGTGGGAAATCGCGACTGTTTTGATGTTGAGTCTCCCACCCGCGCGGTTTGTTCCATGAAGTTAGCATTGTTAACCTCCCTTTCATGGGCCTGGAGGAGGGGATGTGGGCGTCGGGAGCGAAGAGGTCGATGAAGACGACGTAGCATTCAGGGGTCGCATACCCTCGAAATGCCTGTCCTTCTCTCGCGCAAGGTCCTTCTCTCTGTCACTCGAGGGCCCGCGTTTGAACATCGACTGCCCAATCTGTCGAAAGATACCCCTTCGCTCGGTCTTTAGCTCTTCGAGTTCATATCGCTGCTGAGCCGGAGTAGATTCGAACTTGGTGATTTTACAAAAGAGTGTCGAGAACAGGTATTGGTCACCGTTGCCGTCGTAGAGAGGAAGATATCGATAACCTTGTGACAGGCTGCTGAGCTTTGCAGTAAACGTGGCGAGCTGCACGCTGTTGTTCCCTGCAAAGCTACGGCCATCCGGTGAATTCCACACAATCCAACGAATGAAAACAAGGTCTGGGTATTTCGTTTCAAGAGAAAATTTGAACGGGTCGCCGAAAAACGGATTGAATCCGTTTTTCTGTTCAATCCTTGTCCGGCGACGGTGGGGGAGGCCGATGCCAGACAAGCCATTACGATTAGAAGCGTTCACGCCGCCTTCGCCGAACGCAACACCCTTCTTCTTATCGTCAGCACTAATGATTTCAATTTCAATATATGGGTTAATATTATCATCAGGTCCCATGCCCCTGGACTTGGGCAGTTGTTGGGCTGAAATCACGTCTACGCAGAAACGCACCAACTGCCGGTCAATTTTCGGTTTCCCATCAACGCTAGGCAGGGATGACGGCGGCACACGGAGGCTCTCGGGTTTGAGAACATATCCAGTCCGATCATTTCCAGCGGCAAACATAGCTTGGTTCATCTGCATGCCAATGTCAAAAGTTTGCCAGTTGACCGCTGCCATCTGAACGCCTCGCCGCCAGAAGAGAATTGGGTTGAAATTCGAGGAACGCAGGCGATAACCGGACGGGTACACTCGCGTGAGGTACAACCGATTATGCGCCTCCAAAAGAGCTTTGTTTTCAGCGTCTCGGCATATAGCTTCCAATGACCTTTCAGCAAACGAATACACATGATTGAATCGTTTACTCTCTGGGGCATGAAAACTCCGCCACTTATATCCACAGGTGTAAATACCAAGCACCGCCAGAGTCTTGATAACTCTGCTTTTGGGCATTTTCTTTCCGTCAAATATTCCATCACTTTCTTCAGAAGCACTGGCAGCGCTAAGATCGGTAAGAGACCGCCTAGGGCCTGTCAGAACTGGGGGTAGACCGCCGATTGGACCAATGCTTGGAGGCGAGGATAAAGGCGAGTATTTGGGTTGTGCTGGCGGCGGCGGCGGCGGTGCCTGCACAACGGGAGGAGACTGGCTAAATGGAGAGCTTAAGCTGCGCTTACGAGTGTTTCCTTTCTTCGAACTGGCATTCGCTTGCTTCGTCGTACACTCATCGGACATTTTCACTTTGATAAGAATTCGGCCTTTAAGCGCTTCGGGACAAGGGAGAATCGGCCAGTCTTCTAGAAGTGGCTGATCGAGCAACTTATTACCAAACACGGTCGTCATGATATTGACCATGATAACTTGTTGTTCCGGGCTACAATGAACTTCAAGCGATAAGATCAAAGGATAATCCGAGGACAAGAAGGCATAACGATCAATGACCAAAATGCAATCGGAAAATGAGACACTGGTTGTCATCGTCCGGCCATGAGAAACAATCGGACGACCATCAGCTCCATCCCAACAATCAATTTCGACACAACGACAGCCTTTTTGGAGTGCCGAAATATACGCTTCTGTGCTTGACGCACCAGCAACCTGTCGCCCCAAAAGATACGTGTTGTGCGAGCTCGAAATGAAGTAATCGTTCAAGGGTGATTCCAACTTAGTGGGAGGCACTTCTTCTGGGTAGAGGCTGTTCGCCGTGGACAATAGGAAGGAGGAAAACGCGTCCAGATTCATGCGAGCAGCCGCGTCAAGACGGGATTCGGGGAGACTCTGCGAACGGAGCTTGGATCCACGAACAAATCTCTCGAAAACTGATGACCAATACTCTTTATTATCGTCGACGTCTTCTCCCTGAGTCTCGCGGAGAAAAGCGTAAAACTCCTCCAAGGTGAGGCCTTCCGTGTTGTCGGACTTGACAGATTCAAATATAGTTCTCACATCTTTGGGATCTTTCAAATGTTGAACGAAGTTTTGGAATTGGTCAAAATCAATTCTACCTGTTCCTGCAACATCAACCTTCGCAAACTGGGCCCGAAGAACATCTTTCGAGCAATTAATATGCAAGCTATGGCAGAGGTTCTCGACAGCTGCAAGATCAAGGTACTCTTCTTCTTGTGTTTTTGGACCACCAGGACACCGTCTTCCAATTTCACGTTGCCAGTGCGCTTTCAATATCGTTTCGCTCTGTCCAGAGCCTGCCAAGCCGACCATAAGACCAATTCTGTACCTGGATATCTGTTCCAAAGTATTGGTCCAAAGTTGTAAAATGGTTTTATTTGGGGCGATCAGATGCATCATTTTCAACGGCCTATTCTTGGACCCTTCCGAATTGGCGAAAATAATTGTGAACCAAAGGTCTTCCAGTTGTGCGGGAACTTGGTGCTCGTCTCGGTAGTTGCGAGCATCTTCCCCTACTCTTATTTCCTTGATATCGTCGATATAGAGCTTTTTCGACGGGTTTGAAACATCCCAGTACACTTTTGCAGCATCAATATCGAGAAAAAAAGTTTTGTACTTTCCCCCCTTTTTTGATACTTTTGTGAGAAGTGAACCGCATCGCAAAACAGGATCAATTTTTGGTGCTACTCCCGCGGTCACCATGCGAGATTCGCTATACAACGCACCACCTCCAGGGCCACACCAAGCTCTGCGAGCAAGTTTGACTTCATCCTCTTCAAGGCTCGAATCCAGAGCGCTGTCTCTAGAGAGAGATGTCTTGCTGTCACTTCTTCGGCGCATGATAACGGGGCCGGAGCTATGGTCTCGTTTGTCAGAATTTGATGGCCTCCGGCGACTGAGTTTATTAGCAGCTCCTCGAGACAATCTTCGCATCAGCCCCGGGGCTTTGTTAAAAGTGATATTTCCGACGGCGCTATCTGTGAAGGGGGGCTGGGTAGTGATGCTCATCAATGACTCGGGGAGCTCTAGTGGAGATGTAAGGGACGGTAGGTCGATGGAATATTTTCGAAAGGCGACTTGTGATGCGTCCGCCGACATGTGCAATGGCGTACTGACAGCACTTAAGCTTGGAAGGGGGCTCCGGGAAGCCATACAAGCGTTGGGAGTATCAAGTGACCAGCCAGGGGGCGCAGAGGAGCTCAAGGGCGCTAGCAAAGCGTCCTGTGAGGAACTAAATTCAGGGAATTTGGACAAGGAGTTAGAGTCGGATCGAGGACGACCGCTCTTCGCGTTTAAAGATGGAGACGCCATTTGCTGTGCGGGTGGCTGCCTTTTCAACCCACCCAACGCACACAAGGATCGTGGAACTACTAAGAGTGTAATGCTTCGACGTGAGATTCGAATGATTCCGAAAAGGGGACTAGACCCGTAGATTGGCGAACAGGGTGTGTTGGAGAGTTATTCGATCGACGAAGCAACAATAAAACGACTGAAAGAGACGGAGTGTCGTGGTGGAAGCTTTAGGAAGCATTGTCAATGTTGGAAGGCATCTTGGCCGGCAATGAGATGTGTATTATACCCTTCCGGAGAGCACGGGAGAATAGATGCGGCGTCGAACGGCGGGTGGCCAACGGGCAGGAGAGGCCCACAGCGCTCGAATTGCAAAAGAATTGCCTCTTGGGTGGCCCAAACTGATGCACTACCCAGCAACACTTTCAAAACTCGACCACCCCCCCACACGGTAGGGCTGTCTTGGACCAAACAGTTGTTTCGGCGATTGTCGAGTCCCAGGGAAGTATGACGAACCAAAGGATTGAGAGAGATCAAGAGGAAAATATGTGCTTGAATAAGCTATAAGGAAGTCAGAAACAACAAGAGAGGAACGGAGTGGGTGCTAGGCACGTACGAGAAAGTACTATTCACATGGGAAACAAGTTTCTGCAGGCACCAGGTTAACACCCCTCGCTGTTATGCCGGCATGGTATGATATTTGCAAACCCGGCAGACAGAAAGAGGCTATAAGAGAGGAAGCTTCAGCGCAGACAGAAAGGAATGCTGTGGTCAGTGGGTGGGAGCACAAGGAGTCGGAGGAGCAATCTTTCTGTGATTTGGGGAAGGCTAGTCAGCACAATGCGCCGCACGCACGGAAGGCTCTAGAGGGCAGCGGAGCACAAGACCAGACAGCCGACAAGAGGAGCATATCCTTGTGCTATGGCCTGGGGCGGCAACCTGAAGCAGGGCAAGGTCTGCACATACCGAAACAGCGTTGTGAGGGAGCGATGCAAGGGAGGGGGGTGGAAGGGTGTGTGGGTAGGTTAACTAACTATTGGGAGAAGACGGTAAAGAAAAAAGAGTTGTGTCAAACAAAGTGGGAGGGAAGAAAGGAGAGTTAAAAGAAGAAAACCAAGAAAGACAAGGAGAGAAGCAGAAGAGAGCAGCAACAGAGCAGAAGAAGGATTGGGCGTGCTGGGCGCAATTCAGCAGATGAGTCGACGACGGGCCTTGCTGTCGTGATAATTTGCATCCCCAAGCAGCTGGTAACTTACGCCGTACGCCCTGCGTACTAGCGCCGTACTGCGGGCAGGGGGTGTGGGCGCTGGTACGGTTTTGGTATTACCGTACGCTGCGCCGTACAGACGCACAATACGGAGTACCGACCACCCACGCCGCGCCGCACGCCGGTGCTTTTTGCAACCGCGCCGGTCAGTCAGTCTGTCGGCCTGCCCGCCGGCCTCTCTCTGGTCCTGCTGCTGCTACTGCTGCTGCTGTACGGCGCCCGTTTGGGACAGGCTGGGGCGGGGGCAGGATGGACAGGATGCCAAATTTAGGGGCTGCTGTGATCCGGGGGGGTTGTTTGCCAGCCACAAGCGGCAGGGATGCGCGGGAGAGAGCCACACAGCGAGGAACCGGGTGAGCGAGTTTCGATGGCACGCCGGGGCGGCCTCATCCTCCTCCTGTGTGGGACGTGGCCAGCCAGCGGGCCACGGGCGTCTTCTCTCAGCCTTGCACCACCGTGGTGGCAGCGTTGCCCGGCGGGGCCATTGGCAGCTGCTGTGAGCTGGCCTAGCGCTGACAGTCGCTCGTTACGTGCCAGATGCGGCTTGAAGGGGGTTGGCCATGCATTAATCCAACCCATTATTGCCTGCTACGGAGCTTGGACGTTGCAGATGATCAGGTTGGGATGTCTGCGAGAGCGGTGAAGACTCATTGGCCTAGGAAGGACCAACTACATCAACTACAGCGTAGTTAACTACTAACTAACTAATCAGAGTGCCGACCCCGTCCAGTCTTGTCAAGATGATGTGCAGCAGGCAGCGCGACGTAGCCAATCGCTCGGGCTCAGCGTCATGACTCCTGACGACTACTGGGGCTCCGGGCGACGGCGCCGACCAAACCCCCAAGCCTTTGGTTCCATGTGACTCGTCAGGGCGTTGGGTCCGGGATGAACTTGTTTCAATAGCAGCCGTTGCTAATTCATGCTTACGCTCTGGGCAAAACGCCTGCCGTGCCGGTTCCCTCCCCCGGCTCCTCTCTCTTACCAGCCTTTCCCCAGTCCGAAGCGGAGTTTGTTTCCTGTCGTGCCACTACTACTTGCATACGTGCAGCTCTGTATGTGCTTTGCGACTGACAGGGAGATGGGCTCTTGAGGTAGGCCGGAGACACGGGGGGATCGCAGCGGGCAGGGCGGCAAGCCAAATCCATGGCAGGCGTTTCCGGCGGGAAGATTCTGTGCAATCCATCGAAGGTCCTAAAAATAACAAGACGACACAAAAAAGAAAGTAAGTCGCGGCGTTCTCATCCTTCTCCGGGGCGGCGCCGCTGGATGTAGTGTGGGGAAAGCCGGCTGCGAGGATTTTTAAGGTAACGAGCCGACGGTATGCATGTATTATTTATTTTCGTTCCCGCAAGCACCCGTTGACTCCTCTTGTTCCTTTTTTCTTTTTCTTCTTTTCTTCTTTCTTTTGCCTTTTTATTAGTTTGCGTTCACAGCAAACGAGGGTCCGAGGGTTCGCAGAGGTGTCGCCGAACACTAAGGACTGCAGTGAGAGCCAAGCGGTGCTGCCCATGCAATAGAGGGCCGCATTAACGTTGCCAGATCACCAGCGCTTATCCGCGAACGGCTGCTTGCGGGCACGCTCCCCTCCCCCCCTCTCCCCCGGATTATCAGGCCATTTCGATATCTGCCGACGGCGCAGCAGCAGTAGCAGCAGCAGTCTGTGTGGGCAGATAACTATGCATCGGCGACGGTCAGTTCGTTTTTTTTTTTTCTTTCCCCCTCCCGTGTCAGGACGCCTTGCGTTCGTTGCATGCATCGCGGTCAAGCGCTCAGGACCCGGGGGGTGGTGGTGGGTGGCAGTGAGACATGCAGGCAATGCCGGGCCCCTCCTGGCAGCGGGGAAGCGAGAAGGCCAGAAGTGGGCATTGGGTGTGTGAGAGAGTATGCAGGAGAGGATGGGTGGTGGGTGTTGGTGCTTGGGGAACTTCTGGCGAGCGTGGTGACGGGCCGTGGCAGCGGCGGCGGGTGAGCCACAGCGCGGCGCGGCGCGGGGGGAGGGGGGGTTACGCAGGGAGGACCGCGGCAGCCCCTCCGCACGCCGGCGGTCTTACGTGGGAGCGACGTCGACGGGCAGCAGCAGCAGCAGCAGCAGCAGCACCACCACCACCACCACGCCAGGCTGTGCGGGGAGGGCGGAACGTAACTATATGCGCGGAGTCTGCAGAGCTCACGGGCGTTCCGGGCCAACCGCTGCGCGCTCAGGCGCTGCACACTGTCGCAGCGGGCGGTGGGATTGGGCGACGCGGGCGCTGGAGCAGCCCACACGCCCGCCTCGCCTTGCTGAGGCACCGCTGGCCTCGCCCTGGCTGTTCGCCGTCGCCTGCCCGCCGCAGCTCCCATGAAGGAGGGAGATAAAGTGATGTACTCCGCACTACTGGAAGGGATGTACCGCGCCATACTGCGCTGGCGGGCGAGGGACTTGCGGGCGTGGGCCAATAACGGCGCGGCGCGCGGCGGTCTCCTGCGCTGTTGCCCAAAGAGGGTGTTTGAATACGTTTCACGCGTACCGTACCGTACCGTCCCATCCGGACGTGACGGTACGGGGTGGGGGGGGGGGGGGGTCTCTCTCGCAAAGCCTCGTTACGCCGGCTGTGACGCGGCCAATACCGCCGGCCAGTACAGAGTACGCACCAAGCTCCGTAGGGCCCTCGATGATGTCACCGCGCTAGCCCGCATGCGGCGGCGCCGCGACACAGCTAACTAGTCCGGCTGTTCAGTTCGTGTCGCGCGCGCGGCCGTCGGCGTTGCGCTGCAGCAGCAACACGCGCCCCGAGCGTGAGAGCGGCCGTCTTCTTCTTCTTCTTCTTCTTCTTCTTCTTCAAGTTTGTGGCGGTCCGTCGGAAGAACCCGCCGCATGCGATATTATTTTTGGCGTTCGACAAGAAGCCGCTAAGTCGCGAGCTAAACCCGCTGAGCCGTGGAATGGCATCCGGCACGGAGTGGAGCTCGCAATACATACCACGCTGAGCTTTGCGGACGACGAGCTCCCGTCTCGACGCTCTCAATCTGGCTGTTGTACGGAGTACAGTCAATAATAATAATAATAATATCAGGATTATGATTCATTCTTGGGATCACTGACGAAAGCGCAGAGACAAATGACCGCTGCGTTCCCCGGTTAAGCTTTGCCAGCGTGGTTCTCCCAGCATATCACAATCATAATGATGACGATGACGATTGGCGGCGTTGGATAGTTACTAGTTATGCGAGAATGCCGTCTGCCTGTGCGCTGCCAGTCCCGACGGCCAAAGTTTCACGCCCTCGCTCTCTCTTTGGCTGTGACAGTCGTCGATCGCAATCAGGCGCGCGCGGGTTCGCAGATGATCTCTACCTCTATCCACCTCTCTCTCGATGCGCTTCTTTTTCATTTGTTTTTTTCCGGTCGGCTCGATTAACTAACTACGACCATAGTTACATCCTCCCTACGACCACGACGAGTAGCATAAGGGGAGAGGGGGGCCGCGTACAAGGATGGGTCCGTCTCGTGGAGCTGCTCGGGAACAAACCACAAACGTGAAACCGCAGAGGAACGGGTTTCAGCCACCCACGTTCCCCATTAATCATTATTTATTCAAATTTCCCCATTCTCCGGGGCACCAGCCCTATCGCTGCCCATTGGCGGGCTGTCGGCGATTAGGTTCAGCTGTTCCACTTGGCGTCGTCCGCCGTTTTTTTTTTTTTTTTTTTTCTTCGGCCCTTGCCTTCGCCTCCTCCCAAAGGATCGGTTTTGGACGTAAAACTTGTGTCGGCTGGT